TTTTTTTTTAATTATATGAATGATAGTAGTTATGAATTATAAGAGTGAGATCTACCCATTGATATAAGAATATACACATTTCTATAGTCTTAGAAATCCAACCTAAATTTAAAAATACCCCATTTCCCTTGTTTTATGAATTTTATGTATTCTTTACTTTTAAGAATAAACTTTATATTGAAAAAAATATAATTTAAAAAAGAGAAACAAATAATTATCGTTGCTTGTGCAAATTTGAAAATTTAATTCTAGAAATGAGAAGTTATACAAAATTTATTTAAAATTTTACTATTTTAGTAATATGAATAGAAGTATCAATATAAAATGTTTAAAGTTCACGTTTGTCTAGGAATTAAAAAATTTTACGAACACAATATTATTGAAGTACCTAAGTATTTGGAGGATTCATAATTGCAAGATTTATTATTTATTTATCAGAAATACTGAACCAAATTAACTAGATGAACATTGACTTAAGACAAACTTTTATTCAACTGAAACAAGAACAAATGAAACTTAAAAATCATTGATTTATTATCATCCATGTTAGTGCATTATTCAATATCAAAATTAATTTCTTTATTTAAATATCATTTATATATAAATAACCCTAATTTTATAAAAAATTTTATTATTTTTGGAAACTATCTTTAAGGTTTTCCCAATGTTGCATCTTTTTTTTAAAAGTCCCCTAAGAAAAAAAAGTGCAACATTGAGGAACGTTCGCATCAACACTTTCCCAATCGAAAAAATAGATACTGTAATACAATCATTATTTACTACAGTACTATTTTACCAAACCCAAATCCAGAAATTTGAAGGAAACAGAAAAAAAAATCCTCTTCCGTTGACGAACTTCTTAACCAAAGTAGCCCCTACTCTATTAAGGTATAAAATCCAAAAGGCTGATAATGAAAAAAAATGAACATTTTTTTCATTATCGAAATGAAAATATAAAAAACATTTCCTTAGTGATCGAAAGTTTGATGCTGAAAAATACGACTGTATTTTTCATTATACATCGGATCCTTATAAATCTTAAAATAAAATAATTAATTATTTGTTATTATTTGGTATTGATCAATTCTATGTTATGTTTTCCAAAAAGTAACTTCCTTTTTGCTTGAATAAAGTTTTCAAATCTATTCCTAATTAGTTTACGAATTCTCCTTGAAGTATTATAGCTCCTTATGCTTCAAGGTTCAATTTTTATTAAATAATTAGAATAGAATAGGGTAATAAGATTAGTTTTATAATATGGGATTTTTAAATTACTCTTAAATCTCATTATAACTTTTGTCTGAAGATTGAAATGGAGATTTCATATCGGTCGTGATTGATTAAAATTTTAATGCTTTCTCTACCTCAATGCAATAATGTATAATTCGATATGAATATAAAATTATAATTAATTTTTGATATCTCATCAAATTCAAATTAAGAGTAAATATGATATATTAAGATTTAGTGTATGGTGAAAATATGAGATTTAAAATTGTTCAATTTAATATATAATGTCCAGGATATATAAAAAATTGTGAAACTTGTTTAAGAGAGAAAGTAGGATTAACAAGAGTAGTTCATATATGCTTAAAATGTAAACAGGGATATTATGCTGATAGATTATCAGGTAAATGTTTCATATGTCCATCTGAATTAAATTGTTAACATTGTTCTTAATAGCAAAAATTGTCAAAAGATTCTTGGAAGATTAATATTAGAGCTTTCTATCAACTTTTTATTAGTTCAAATTATGATCATCCTTTTAAAGTTTTTGCTCAAAGTGAAAGTAAGAATGATTATGAAATTATTTGCACTTTTNTATCATCCATGTTAGTGCATTATTCAATATCAAAATTAATTTCTTTATTTAAATATCATTTATATATAAATAACCCTAATTTTATAAAAAATTTTATTATTTTTGGAAACTATCTTTAAGGTTTTCCCAATGTTGCATCTTTTTTTTAAAAGTCCCCTAAGAAAAAAAAGTGCAACATTGAGGAACGTTCGCATCAACACTTTCCCAATCGAAAAAATAGATACTGTAATACAATCATTATTTACTACAGTACTATTTTACCAAACCCAAATCCAGAAATTTGAAGGAAACAGAAAAAAAAATCCTCTTCCGTTGACGAACTTCTTAACCAAAGTAGCCCCTACTCTATTAAGGTATAAAATCCAAAAGGCTGATAATGAAAAAAAATGAACATTTTTTTCATTATCGAAATGAAAATATAAAAAACATTTCCTTAGTGATCGAAAGTTTGATGCTGAAAAATACGACTGTATTTTTCATTATACATCGGATCCTTATAAATCTTAAAATAAAATAATTAATTATTTGTTATTATTTGGTATTGATCAATTCTATGTTATGTTTTCCAAAAAGTAACTTCCTTTTTGCTTGAATAAAGTTTTCAAATCTATTCCTAATTAGTTTACGAATTCTCCTTGAAGTATTATAGCTCCTTATGCTTCAAGGTTCAATTTTTATTAAATAATTAGAATAGAATAGGGTAATAAGATTAGTTTTATAATATGGGATTTTTAAATTACTCTTAAATCTCATTATAACTTTTGTCTGAAGATTGAAATGGAGATTTCATATCGGTCGTGATTGATTAAAATTTTAATGCTTTCTCTACCTCAATGCAATAATGTATAATTCGATATGAATATAAAATTATAATTAATTTTTGATATCTCATCAAATTCAAATTAAGAGTAAATATGATATATTAAGATTTAGTGTATGGTGAAAATATGAGATTTAAAATTGTTCAATTTAATATATAATGTCCAGGATATATAAAAAATTGTGAAACTTGTTTAAGAGAGAAAGTAGGATTAACAAGAGTAGTTCATATATGCTTAAAATGTAAACAGGGATATTATGCTGATAGATTATCAGGTAAATGTTTCATATGTCCATCTGAATTAAATTGTTAACATTGTTCTTAATAGCAAAAATTGTCAAAAGATTCTTGGAAGATTAATATTAGAGCTTTCTATCAACTTTTTATTAGTTCAAATTATGATCATCCTTTTAAAGTTTTTGCTCAAAGTGAAAGTAAGAATGATTATGAAATTATTTGCACTTTTTGTAACAAAGGATATGAATTATTTAATGGAAACTGTATAAAGGAATGTCCTGAATCATGCTTATAATGCTAATGTTTAAATGGTTAAAATTAATGTATAAAATGTTAACTAGAATTCTAAGGTAGAAAATTAAGTTTATCTGAAAATTAATGTATTGAATGTCCTTAGATTTGTGCCTTATGTAGGATAAGATCCATTCAAGAAATTCAATCAATTAATCCTCTTTTTAATAACAATAGATATATCACTAATACATATTAATGTTTAAAAAGTTTTGATGATTAAGATTATTTTTTTGATTAATAACTAGGAAGTTTCATTGATTGTAAACAATTTTAAAACTGTTTAAAATAATATATCATTCCAATTAATCGATATTGTTCCTAAGATGATTTTCTAACAACTTGAAATCAGAATTTAAATTCCTATTAAAAGTCATAATTTAAAATTAGAAACATATTTTTAGAAATTTATATAGTTTGAAAACGATGAATTTTATTCTTAGGCCAATTCTAAGTTAATTAAGACAATCATTCTTAATATTGTGAGTATCAAACCACAAATATGCAAAATTAAAGGTTATGCTTCTATTAAATAGAATTTTAGTTAGAATATTTTTTTTTCAAATATGTATTTATTAATTTATTTTCTAGAAATGTAGAATTATAAATAAATTTCAATTAAAATACTATCATAGAATATGAAAGAACTATAACCTTTTTGAATTTTATTAAAATAACAATTATTGGAGGAAAATTGTAACCTGTAGAAAATGAACATCTAAAATAATTAATATTTTCTAGTATCTTTCTTCAAATGATAACGTTAGACACTATTATATATTAATAAATCTCATTAGAAAATGATAAATCTCAAATAATTTTTAATAATGTGAAAGAATTAAACTTAATTAATCTTAAAATAATTAATCTTACATAAAATAATAATGAAAATTTTATTTTAATTAGAGAAACTTCTTTTACAAAAATAATTAAGCTTTAAGCTTTTGAAATTTTGAATTCCACCATAAGCAATCAAAAAATATTGTTTTTTAATATTAACCAATAAGATATAATTGAAATCAAGGATTTATTTGTGATTGGAAAATTTTAGAATACTACCTTGATAGAAACAAGTACTTGGAACAATTTTGGAAATCTATTTGTGAAAAATATATTAGTAGAAGAATATTTATAAATCAATCAATTTATTTAATCATTAAATTGTAACCTAATTTGATATATTTTCATGATATTAGAATATAGGAAATTTTATTTGAGAAATCTTAAGTCGATAACTCAACACTTATCATTATGAATAATGATAATTATTTAAGTAATTTAACATTAAAATATTCTAAATTTGGAGAACTTACTTAAGGAATAATAAATTCTAATGAATTATTTGATGAAGATTTTCAATAGAATTCAATAATATTGTAATATAACATATTGAATATCATTATACAGCAAAATTTATAAATTCTAATAAGTACAATAATGGGAATACTACTATTAAATTTAATAATTTAGCTATTTTAAATAATTAAATGACCTCGATTTAGTTGGATTTCAATTGGAATGCTAAAGCACTTGTCTTATATTCATAGAATTAGATTTTATTGAAATAAGGAATTTAAATATTTATAGAGGTTTTGGAGTAAAGGATATAAGTATATATAATGCAAGACTCTTAAGGATTACATCTAGTTATATAACTTAATGTGATGAATTTAAATTTTTGGTCTTCATTAATATCTTGATTGTCAAATCTAAGAGGTAAAAGGAGAATATTATTTATAATCGCTGTTTATTTCTTCTGTAGATGATTTATAGATTATTGACATACAAATAAAATAAGTTTAATCATATAATTCTGCAATTATATAATATTAGTCTTCTGATATCACAACATAATAATAGCAAGTAACAATCTATTTAAGTAATTTTGCTGTTGAATCAAATTTCTTATTACTAACAAATCAAAAATATTTCACAGCTATCTTATTTATAGAATCTATTCAATAGACTATACTAGAAATTTCAAATATTACCTTTATTGGAAATATTTTACATGAATACGTTAAAAACAATCTTGAAATATCTTCATTATTATTGAACTTTAATTGTATATAAAGAGTTATTACAATAATAGATTCCTTTTTTTCTAATAACACTCTTTATAACAGTACTGATAATATCATCTACATTAAAAGTGAACAATTAAAAATACTAAATTGTACATTTTATTAAAATAGTTATTTCAATTATTAAGTGATGTAACCATTTTTATTGTGGGGATTTAGAGATTCAGAAAAATTAACATATTAATAGATTAATAATATCTTTAAAGTAAAATCTAAATCTGGGATTGGTTAATTTTTTATAGAGAAGCTAGACATTTAATTTAGTAATTTTGAATAATCTTTTGGATTGTAAGGAGGATCATAATATATTGAAGCTTAAAAAAATAGTATAATTACTATTTCATATTGTTAATTTAATAATGTATCAACTACTTTTTCAAATGATTTAGGATTTGGAGGATCAACATATATAGATGGTTCAGCTTCAGATTCTCTTTAATTATAAATCAATAATCTGATTATTAATGATATCATAAAGAAGATGGAGGATTTCAATACATAAAATCAAATTCTCCAATAATTTCAATTTCAATTTATTAATTAAATATCAAAAATATCTATTCAAAACTTGGATCATTTATTTATGTTGCTTTTTCTTCTATTACTTTTACTATATAAGAAGTGAAACTAGATTCTATTTTTATTAAAAATGAAAAAGAGAAGTTTTCTAAATATTTTAATTCATATACTGAACTATCTAATTTTAATGAAATAGCCTTAATTAATGATAGGGCTTTATTTTATTTTGATTCAGTTATTAATCTTATCATTTACAATGTTGAAATTAATTCTATTTTTTTAGAATCTGCAATAATTATTAAAAATGCTTAAGTAATTTCACTTAACAATTTTAAAGTTTCATGTAGTTTAATTAATAATTGTTTATTTTAATTACATCCAAATTTATGTTTTAATATTTATTTATATTAGATGAATCAAACAAAATATATATCAACAATTTAGAAGTTTATAATATCACAATAACAATGTAACTTAAAAGTTACGATTGTGAATAATAAAAACCAATAAATTAAACAATATTCTTTTAATGCATTTAGAATGATGATAATAAGAAAGCACCATTTAATTTGCAATTTTCATATGGAGATTGTTTTTTATCTTAAATTGAATAATAATATGCATAAAAAGAAAATTTGTTAATTGACAATAAGAATTCTGGATTATTCTTATTTTTAGATCTGACATAATTAACTTAAATTAAATTGAATAATTTAATATTTTAGTAGATTAATTGCAGAATATGTCTAAATGGGTTGATATTTTATTCTTTTAAGAAAGTGGATGATCTTTTATTAAAATAATATGTTTCTAATTTGAAAATATTTAATTCAACATGTGGAGACTATGGTTGTTTTTAACTTATTAAAGAAAATGCAGTTCAACAAAGAATTTTAATGAAATCTGAAATCAATATCTAAAAAATGAATTTAGAAATTATTATAGATAAGTATATCTGTCTATATAATAATGCTAAAAATGATACATGTTTATATTTAGATAATTTAAAACTTTATTATAAAATTCTATTTTTTAATATAATAATGCAACCGTATTAGGCGGAGCAATATTTATTAAAATGAAGGAGAATATTTTAATTAGAAATAGTTTAATATCAAATAATAAAGCATATATAGGGGAGGAATATATTTGATTGATTAGTAAGATATGGATTACCTTAATATTGAAACATTTATTTGTAATAATGAAGCAAAGTTTTTTGGAGACAATATACTTTCTATACCACAATAAATGACGATTACATTTTAAGATGAAAATTCAAAATTGGGGAATATTTGAATTTTAAAAACAGATGATTTGTTAATTTAATAGGTTATCGTCTAATAGAATAATTCATTTTAGAATTAATTCTTCTTACCTAGTGGTTAGAAGATTTCTCTTTATTAAAAATTTTAAAAAATAAATCGTACATATTCTTTATCAAATTAAAAATTTTGTTTGATTGCTTTGAGTAAAGATTAGAGTATAATTAAGAATCTTAACAATTCCTTTTGTTATATTGATAGCAGAATATTAAATATTTCAGAATATGATGATGAAAAATATGAATTTAGTTAAGACTTTACTAATATTGATGTTGTTAATTTTAATGAATAAATATAAGATTATAATTTAGATGATTTGATTGTATATTTTGATAATGAATTACCTTCTGAGATTGAGTTATAATTGAAATTTAGATGTAATTCTATCTTTGTTCCTAATTATAATGAATTATATCCATATAATTTATAAAGCACACATTCTAATTATAAATTAAGAATTAATATTAAAACATTGCTTTGTTAATATGGAGAAATTAAAAATTATACAGATTTTTCTTGTATTCCATGTGATAATAATCAGATCTTTAGTCATTAACTCTTAATTAATAAAAATGTTAACTAAAAGATGATGTTTCTACTATTAGTGTCAAATCAGCTTTATTAAAGTTAAAATTAGGTTATTGGAGACCATATTTTGAAAGTAATTTAATAACTTATCGTTTAAAATTACCTGAAAATTGTTTCGGTGGTTGGATAGAGGGTCATGAATCTTGTTTTCTAGGTCATATTGGAGCATTATGTGAATAATGTGATTTATATAATATAAGAGGTGATGGATAATTTTCTATTGGTAAGAAATTCTCATGTGGATTATGCACAGAAAATTATCACTTTAGTTAGTATTTAGTATATATTTATAATTATAATAGGACTCTTGCTTCAATTTTAATATCAGTTTAAATAACATTGATAGCAACTAAAGAATATTAGAAATTTCTGCTTATCCAGTATGGGATTAGCAGTATCTTAAAATAGAAATTAATCAACAATTTTAATTAAAATGCTCACTAATTATTTTTAAATAATTGGTTCCATTGCTACATTTTAATTAAAGCTAATTGATGGATTTGAAGATACATTTCGTGCTATGGGATCTCCTATTTAATCAATGACTTATTCATTAGATTGTTTTTTATCAGAAATTTTTAACATAGAAATTGAATATGCTAGAATAATTTGGTAAATTATAATGCCATCAATTTATATTACATTTTTCTATTAATGGTACCTGATTTTAGTTTTTTAAAAACAAACAACATTTAATAAATGTGTAATTGCAACTACATTAATTTATATGTACATATATTTATAGCCAAGTATTATTGGTGGATTGGTTTAATTAATATCATATAGATAAATTTCAGGGTATAAATGGATTCAATCAAATGTTACATCAAGATATGATACTATTAAACATGGATAATGAATGGTTAGATTTTGTTTACCTTTACTTTTGATATTTGCAATATTTATTCCTATTTATTTCTTTTATAAGCTTTTACGTAATTCTGCAAATTTAAACTAAGAAGATATTAGGCTTTAATTTAGATATCTTTATAATGAATATATGGGACATGCCTATTTCTGGGAAATTATCAGAATAGCTTAAAAAGAGCTCAAAATCATATTTATAACATATTTTGAAGATTTTATAGTAATCAAAGTAACAATTATATTTCTTATTACAAGATTATATTTAGAATTTAATTAAAAGTATAAACCTTACAAACTTAATACTTTGAATCGTTTAGATTAGAAATCTACAAATATTTGTTTAGTTTCAATTATTTTAGCTATTGGTTTATATGTTGCATAACAGTCAAATTCCCTTGAAGTTCAAATTCCTTATTAAATCATAATTATAATTATTAATCTTCATATTAATTACTTATTAATATCCAAAATAGTAGTAGAATATTTAAATGAAAAAACTAGTAATTATTAGGATGCACTTGATTAGTTTAGATTTGCTATCAGAAAAAATTTCCCATTTCTTAATAAGATAAGATTTCTGAGTAGAATATTAGCTGATAGAAAATAGTTAAAAATTCGAAGTAATAGTCTCTATGTAAAATTGAAACACTTTTTAATCCCAAAAGCAAAAGAAATTTTAATTTTAAAAAAATAATAATATTTAATTACCATTGAAAGAAACTAATAGCTTAATATTGTTAATAGATTGAATTTCTTTATTATATCATAAGTTTTTATAATGAAAGAAACTACTTTATTATGCTTATATTATTATGGTAGCTTCTTTTTTGAAAGATACAAACTTCAAGCCCTTTGGATTTGATGATGAAACAAAATAGAATACTATTGAATAAAATACTAAAAGTAATATAAAAAATCAATATAATTTTTTTCAAGTAATTATCTAATTAATCAACTTTAAATGTTTGTGAAAATTTATTTATTTTTTAAATCTTCATTGAAGTGAATTTATCAGAAATGATACAATTAACTAGATGATAATCCTAATAGTATAAATCTATTGCCAGAAAAGGAAAGTTAAACCGCTGTGGCATTTAATCTAATTTTTTAATTATCTAAAATCTGAAATTTTTTTAAATTCCATATAAAATTATTTTTTAACACATTAATAAAAAACTCATCACATGAATCTTGGTAATAATCTTATTTGATAAATTACCATCTAAAATATAATATAATTATTTTGAAATAGTAAGGAAGGATAAATTTAATGAAATTATTCGTAACATGGGATTAATTAGAATTAATATAGTAAGTGGGGCGTGGAAAAAATACTTATAGAGGCTAAAATAAAAATTTAGATAATAATACTACTTTAGAAAAAGAATAATAATTAAAAGCGACAATTTTGAACTTTAAAAAATAATTTAATATGTGAGGTTCTGTCCAAAAAATCGAACAAGAGATTATCTCAAATCAAATTTACGAAAATATTAGAGATATTTCATATAAAGTAAAAATTTTTAGATTATTAAAATAAAATCTCACACCATTCTATCTTGATAATGAATGAAACAATTAGAATAAAAGAAAATAATTAAATTGATTAATTTTTATATTTTTATAGTTTTGTATAAAAATTTAATTTTTAAAGGAATGAATTTTAAAATAGAAAATGCTTTGGTTCTTTAAGAGCCAGTAAATTGGAATTAAGACAAAAAAAAAAAGTTTATTAATGGGATTAGTAAAAATATAACTTTATTAAAATTTATATTCAAATTAACTTTACTTAAATTCAATTTTTTTAATGGTAAGGATAATATGGATTGAATAATGAGAAAGGGAAAATGGTTTGCTTTTTGGGATGTAAAGTTCAAATGAATATTTGGATTACAATAGCGAAGGATTGAAGTAAGGTTTATGGAAAGAACTTATCAAAATTTTTTGCAGGTAGTTATTTAAATTTTTTGTATTAAGATAATCAAGCTATAGTTTTTGAAACAAAAGAGTACCATAATAAACAAAGAATAGGTAAATGGAATTACATTTTATAAAAGTCATTTATAAAGGTGAATAATGGAATATTGGCCATTGTAATCCAGCTGAACATGGAAATATAAAAAAATGTAAAATATTATATGAATAATTATTACTACTATAAATATATATTTACTAGTAAAAACTTAAATAAAATATTCATAGATTAAGAAATATATTAGTTTGATTACCAATTTGAAATTATTAAACTTTGAAGATTCATTAATTTTAGAGGAACTAAAAAAATTAGTATTAAATTCAAATAGAGAAGTTGAAATCAATTTTTTTAAATGATTGATTTCGTCATTTAGTATGTTTAATAGCTTTCTACATCTAAAATCCATAATAATTGTTCTATTTTTTTAAACTTTTTAATCTTATTGAACACTTTCAATTATTAAACAGATCTAGAAGATTTAATAACACGCCTCAATTTTTTTAAAATTTCATATAACTTTCTAGAATAATTATTACAAAATATCAATAAGTTGATAATCAAGTAATTCAAATTATTTGATAAGTCAAATTTATTACTTTTATGTATTTTTTGTAAAACTACTTTATGTATAATCAAACTTCACCTTTAAAGAGTGAAATGCATTTAATTTATCAATAAATCCAATCATATCAAATATTAGATAAAATTTAATTTATTTTATTTTAAATATCATTATTTTGAATAGATTTTGTTAGTTTAATTTCTACTTTATTTTTAAGCGTTTCTTAAATATCTTGTATATTCTATGAAGAGTTTTCTGCATTCTTACATGGAATTAATTAAAACTAAAATTTTTATTTGTGCATTTCACTGTCACTATCAACTTTTAACTCTAGATATTTAAATTAATCAAGAAAGTTATTTAATTATATAAAACATTTCTTTACTCTTAAAGAAAAATTAAATAAAAATGATTATATTCTTTTTTTTGAATCCTTAATATAATCTATTAATAATGCTAATTAAATAGAAGTTTTAATAAACCAAAAATAATTTTAATTTTTAATTATTTATAATTGGATGGAAGAATTCTATAATTAAACTGATAATTTTGAATTTTTATAAATGATTGAAGAATATAAAAAATACTATTATATTTTATGATATGAATAATTAATTGTTTTTTAAATAGAATTAATCTGAAAAGATATTTATATTTTATTGATAAAATAATATTAATTAGAAAATATTCTCAAATAATATTCTACACTAATTTTTCAATAAATCTTTTAGTGTATTCTTAGGGATTTTTAGCTGAAATATCTAAATCTTTATTAACATTAATTGCTAGTTTAGTGACTTATTCTATCTTTTTCTCAGCATTCCAAATTTATAAATAATCAATAATAGCAATATGATAATAAATTCCTTTTTCTTTTACAGATGGTATACAACTTAATTTGGAATTAAAAAAACTTGGAATCTTAAAATAGATAAAAAGATTTTACATCTTTTTCATCTTTAGAGTAAAATGACCAATTCATTTTAATAATAAGTAATGAATAATCCATTATATTCAATTTTTAAAAGAATTCTGAATCTTTAATTAAGCTATTTTTCAATTAATCTTTAATATTTTCAGGAATATATAATTTGACTTCCTCTTCTTTAAAATCAATATCTTTAAGAGTTGTTTTTTTTAAATCCCTTTTACAATCATCTGATTTCAAGACTTTTCTTTAATATTCAGATCCTTTAAGATCATAGGTTCTAATTACATAATTTGATGGAATTTATAATGCATTTCTCATAACAATAAATATTTTAGATTCTAGACCCTAAAAAATAAATATTTAAAAATTGATTACATTTTATAATTCAAATTTAAATATACCATATATTGGTGAGATTAAAGAATCATTTTCATATAAATGTAAGAAATAGCTTCCTAAATTTTAACGTATAACTAATAGTTCTTATTCATTAATAGTTTTAATTAATAATTTATTATCAAATGTAAATAAGATAAATGCACCACTCTTACCACCATCTTGTTCTTTAAAAGAATTAATTTAATCTTAATTTTTTATTGGATCAAAAGATTTAGTATAATTATTAACTTACCAATCTTTTTTTCTTAATTTAAAAAACACTTTTGGAGCATAAATAGTTATTGTAGAAGCCAATAATCTTAGTTCAACATCTAAATCTTACTCTGGTGGAATAACAAAATGAGTTTCTTCATTAATTTACTATTAAGTTATTTTATATTTGAATTCTAATTTACATAAGTCATTGTCTTAACTTTAAAAATTAACTTAATTTTTTTTTTTTTGATTTAATTTAGATTTCTTTTTTGTAAAATTATCCTATTAAAATATTTATTATATGCTATAAATAATTGTATTAATTTTATCAATTAACAAACTTTAGGTGATAACCTCTAAATTTATTTCTTCAAGTACTATTAATAATAAATGATATATATAAATACAAGAAGAACTGCTTGCTGTTTATTTAGAAGATATTTTTTTCCAAAATCCTAAGATTTATCTTTTTATTGTAGGATCTTTAAGTCTTAAAATAGATAACACAAATGGAGTGCATAATTTAGCTGAATTTTCAATTGTAATAAATATCAATAACCAACCTTCATGAAATTTAGTACAATTAAATCCAACTAAGATATAACTTAATGCTTGTATAAGTTATATAAAAAACTAAGCAGTTATGTATGAAGAATAATATCTAGTTAATTTTCCTATTAAATTCAAATATCTTTAATTTTCAGGTACAGCCTTTTATATATAAATTATTGTCATAATTGATATAAAAGTGTTTAAAAAGACTAATACTAATCCTCCAATATTAAAGCCAGGATTATATTTTAGACTACATGTTCCAAATAATGATAATCCATTATAATTAAATAGTTTTGCAGTCAAAGTTACTAAAATCATAATAAACCATGCAATTGAATGAAGTATTATTCGAAGTTTTTTTCTAGCTGCAAATTATTCTTTCAAAGTTATTCGAACATAAAGACAGAAAATTAAATTATATGTAATTTCACCTGTTCCTGCAAAAATACTTATCATTGAATTAATTTAACAAAATAAACCATCACTTTGAGGGCTAATTTAATTTATCATAAAGTAAATGCTTGTACTAAACCAATGTACACATAAAAGAGCTTCACAAAATGATATAAAAAAAATTATATCACCAGGCATTTTCCAAGTCTTTGGATATATAACAAAACTCCACATTATAATAACTGTTAAGCAAAAGGCAAAAATCGCTAATAATAATTATATTCATATACGAATTATTAGAAAAAAGTATTGATCAAGAATTAACAATTTTATTTCTTAAGAAAGTTCTTAATCGCTTAAATTAGTATTACAATCTACTACATCTTCATCACTGTAAAATGCCTAAATTTTTACAATTATTAATAGAAATATGCCTATATTATTCATTAGTATATTTTGTGGAATTTTAGTTGAATTTTAAATATCAATATTTTTATTTCCTTAATAAATAATAAAATATGGATAAAAAGGTTCTACTCTTTTTTTATTGAATATATAAATAGATATAATATAAATATTATGTTATTTATTATGTATTTCTTTTTACATAAATATATTTATTCATAAAATCTATCAACTTTTTGTATATTGAATGATTTATATAATATTTAATTATTAGTTTTCAATTTATCCAAATAATATTAATTTTTCTACTATTATATTTATAATTATCAAAACTAGTAGTTATATAAAATATAACTAAAGGGATTTTTTAAAGAAATTATGAGCGTACAGATAATCTACATTTGAAGTATTCAAAAAAATAAAGGGAAGCTTTAATTTAATAAAATTTAGCATCATAATTTTCTTAAAATTATACTTTTGAATTATTTTAATTAATAAGCTTTTCAGTGTTTTTTCCAACATCTTTTTTTTCTCAGTTAGATAATTAAGGTTATCAAACAATAAAACTTTTATTTGATGAATACTCGTTGGCTTATTATTGAACATAATTTTGTTTAAATTTTATCAATAACTTTTTTTTTAATTCATTATAAATTTCTATTCAAGATTTTTTTTATTTGTACATAAATTGATAACCTTTGGAATAAAGAAAATTAAAATATTTTATATACAAATTGTCAGTCTTGATAAAAAATTAATTTCTCTAAATTTCAAAATATTATGTGATGAAAATTGCTTTTGAGCATTGTTCATTTAAACTTATTTCATTATTTTTGGTTCAGATGTCCAATTTTATCTTTATGCTTTCAAGTCTCCTATCTTAAAACGTATTTTCAGTTTCTTAAAATAAATTTTCTTAGAAACGACTTTTTGGCTCTATTTTAAATTATTTTTATGAAATCAAAACTATTCTAAATTAGATTAAAAACCTAGAAAAATTCAAAAAGGTGCTTATTGTAAGATACCAATTATGATCAATCAATATTTGTTAGTTATTAAAATGATCTGTTATTATCATATATAGATTTTAATCTATAAAATTCCAATATCTTCTCAAAATCCACCATTTGATAATTATAATAGAAAACCAAAATAAATTAATTCATTTTTACATATGATATTTTCTATTCCAATTATTTTTTTTTGTGAAGCGTTCTTTTATTTTGCAGGAAATATTTTTCAATAAATAAGAATCATTAAGAATAAAAAATATCATAATAATTTGAAATTTACTTATTTTAAAGACTGGATGAAATGGAAGAAGAAAATAAAAAATTGATAGTTATATCAAACAAGATTTAAATACGGAAGAAAATATTTGTAAATAATACTTTCTAAACTCTTGAATATCTAAACTAGAGAAAACAACTATTAGCTGACCCTAAAAATATTTTTCTTTAACAAAATCATAAAAAAATTTCAGGAAATATTAGCTTTTTGACTTAATAACAAAATTTTTTTTATATTAATTCAAAAAATTTGAATAACACTCCTTTTTAATTAGTGGTCAAACTAAAATTATTATTATTAAATTAATATTTCTGCATTTGCTGCATAAGAAAATCTTTGGCTTAGAATAAAGAATTAATATTTCAGAAATATTAAACAGATTCTATCGAAAAAAAAGCATTGGCTATTGATCCTATCAAATGCATATTATAATAAAGGTGTTTAATATTCTAAATATAGGATTTCCAGTTTGAAAATTTAAGGGAAGGCTTAAGGTTTAATCTTAAAATAAATGCATGGTACAATAAAGGTATAAAATATTTATTAAACATAGGTTTAATTTAAATTCAAAATTAGAAATGCTTAAAATCAAAATTAAGCAAGAGGTGTTAGAAATTCTAACTATTTATTATTGATTTTTATTTTCAAAACCAATTTTGATTAATGATAGTTTTTATTGGTCCTAAATTAAATTCAATATTGGTTTTATTACAATTTCAATTCTAGATAACTAAAATTTTTAACACCTACCTTTGAATATATGATCATATTTATTTTATTAATTTAAGCAAATAAAATATTTTAAATATAAGTCATTTTCAGAAAGACAAATAAAATTCTTTCTTAGTTTTTTTATTTAAAATAAATCTAAAAAAGATGTTAAGTGGATTTATTGATAAATAATATGAAGTGATGAAATCTAATTTTATTCAGTATTAGATATTGTAGCAAGAAATTTGTTTCTCAAAAGATTTAATTTGATTTTTTTAACTTTATGTTTTTTACTCTGACAAATTTATTCTTTGATAATGATTTTTCTTTGGTAAATGATTTTCAAATTGTATTTTAAAACAAATCATTTCAAATATATTCTATAGAAATATAGTTAGAAATAGAATTAATCAAATTCTCTCTATATTTGCCTTTTATATAAATAACCTGTAAAAGCTAACAGGTATGAATAGTTTAAAAACAAAGAAAAAATGATTGAAAGTCTTTAAAAGCTTAGGGCCAAAAACATAGAGAAGGATTCATAATCCTTATCTCTTATGAAATTGAATATTAAGATTTGAAAATCAAAAAGCTGAATATTTTATATTTGAAAAGTAATAATTATTAATTAAACTATAAAATATTTATAACATAAAATCTAATTTCAACTTGAATCACAGTCAACAACAAAATTTTTTTATTTTGAAATAAATTTTAAGAAATTTAACATTCCTTTATATGAAATTTTGAAATTATCGACCAGAAATAAATTAGCTATATTTAAAATAAATATCTAATGAAGTCTGACATAATCAAATTTTAAAGAAGAAGCTTGTGAAAAATGGATAGTAGATTCAAAATCATGCAAAGAGTATCAAACTTATAATTTTTTATCAAAAATATCACAATCAACTCAAAGTTTTATTTTATAAGTTTCATAAGTCAAATATTGTGATAAGGACATACGTATCAAATTTTACATCACATTAAGAAAATTATTTTTTTTAAATATTTCCTTATATATTTAACTTTTATTTTGATTTTAATTTATATGTTAAAGATAATAAAAGATTAAACCTTTAAAAAAATATTTTAATATTTGATTAAAATATATATATAATTGACTATTTAATAAAAATAATATTATTTAAGATTAATTCGAAGTGATACCCAGTAAGGTAAATTCTAATTTAGAGACTTTTAAATATCATAAAACAAAAACTTTATTAGAATTTATCAAATTTTTAAAAAGATTCAAAATATATTTGATAGGTTAAATATGTTTAAATCATCTTCATAGCTTCAATTCTTGTAATATAAGTTTTGCCATCCTAAATAAATTTATCCAACACTTTTAACCATTTTTTATTTTAAGTACTTATTTTTTCTTGACAAATTATTAGGGACATAAAAAATCATCACTATCACTTTCACAACTTACACAAATTTCTTTTACTTTAACATATTATTAATTATAAATATCCACATTTAATTTTGATACTTAGTTTAAAAAATTACAATATTTTCATCAAATAAAACATAATCTAATTCCACAATGATCTATTCTAATTTGCTATCTTAAAAACCATTTATTATTCTCATCTATTTTTTTTCAATAATAAAAATCAAAATTATCTTTATATAAGATACCAATTAAGATTTTTATTCATTTATCTAACATATAGTTTAAGAATATTACCATCAAGTTTTTTAAGTCCAAAATTTAATTTTATGGTCATTGCTTCCAGATATAAAGACTTTCTTTTTTATTTAATATTTAAAATAAGATATTGACTGAGCGTATTTTGTTCACTACTGTTTAATTACGAAATTTTGATTATATTATCTCTACTTCCAGACCCAAATTAATGTTATCAATACATAATTAATATGAGCATCTAATCCATAAAAATTCTGAGTTCTTTTGTTTGAAAACTTAAAAATTATTATCTGATATGCGCATGCTACATTTAAAATAGAGTAATCTGAATAATAAATGTAATGTATTTGAATATTTTATTTTTTATAGTGGCATGATTATTCACTTAACTAGATATCTATAAAGTTTCTTCTATTATATTTTGATCCCTTTTTAGTTAAATTTAATATTCAAATAAAATCCAATTTAAATTTAATAAGAAAAATATTATGTTTTTTCCCCATTCTTCAAATTAAATTTTCATCTAAATATTAAATTGATGTAAATTCCTTATTTTATAAAGTTTGATTTCGATAATTGATTCCACAATTATTAATATTTTGCATAAATATTATAAAAATATTGTAGTTGGCTGTCAATAAATTAATTAAAGTTAACTTAAGTTTTTTAAATAGAATGTTCAAAATTTTTACTCATATTATCTAAATTTTCTGAAAATTTAAAAATTTTAAGTTTTATTTCCTTAATATAAAAATTACTTTGCTAAAGCATTTGTATTTAAATACTTTAAAAATCTGTAAATTTTATTAGGTAACTCTCTAAAAAAATTATAAATGCTATTCTATTATGCAAAGTTTAACCTAATTTAAATCTATCATTTAATTTTATTTATAAGTTCATCAAAAATTAATTTTTATAAAATTTTAAGCTAATTCTATTATCGTAAGTTAAGTATTTAATTATCAGAATAATTTTATTTAAACTTTAAAGCATTTTTAGATTATCTGATTTGAAAGAAATAATTCGAACTATTTTTTAAATATGATACTTTGTCCCAAAATAGTTCTTGATATTTCTGTATTATTTAATGAATTAATCAATATTTTTTTAAAGAAAGCTTCGAAATTTATTTTTCTAAAATATTATTTTTTAAATAATTTCTATTTATTAGTAATTTATTTAAAGAAAGTAATTATTCTGTATTACTTTTATTTTGTTCTTGTTTCTCTTATAATAGAATCATTTTTATCCTCTTTTAGTTATCCTTCAACTTCCTCTAATAGAGCAAATTCTGTTTAAATTTGCTATGCATTGTGCAAATAGATATATCTCTTTTAATTCTGATTAATACTATTTTCTTAGAAACTATTTTAAATCATTATTTAATTGAAGAATCAAAATAATAAAAAAATTTTTATGGTTATTTAAATGTAATATAATTTGATTAAATACTACTCTGAGTAATATATTCTAGCAACATTACATTTATATTCTCCTCATTATTTTACTTATGATTCATCATCAAAACAGCTTAATTTGGATAATAATTATTTAATTTTCTTAATTAATTTCGAATCTAATTAAGTTATAAACAGAAATGATTAAAAAGTTTGTAGAATCAAATAAATGCATATACTTTAAAATATTATCTTATATTTATTTAATTTTATTTTTAATTAATATTAAAGAAATAAAAACTTGATTTATATAAGTACTAATTGATTTAATTAAAAATAATTATTTGATATCTATAATTTTCTATTTTTAGTATCTATAATTTTCTATTACCCGATAATCAAAAATCTTTAAGAAAATTGTTTGTGCAATTAAAATAGGTATTTTCGCTTAAAAATCTATATACATAAATCAGTCTGTATAGTCATTAAAGAATACTTTAAGCAAGCAATATAGATTTACCTGAGAATATATATTCAACTTTAAGCAAACGAAAAAAATAGCAATATTCATAGAAGAAGTAGATTTATAGTTAATTTCTTTATTAATAAATATAAATAAATTTTTGAATAAACACAAAGAGTATTACAAAAGACTAATCAATTCTTAAGATTCTATTAGATGTAGAACAATTTATTATAAATAATTAATGCTTGATTTTTAGACTTTACATTTTCAAATTCTTAAAATTTAACACTGATTTTGTTATTTAAAAATTATCAAATATTTATTTTTATTAGCTGTGTCTAATAAACAAGATAATATTTAAAAATTAACTTGATTCTGTTTACATATATCAATCTATGTAAAGTTGTTTAAAAACAAAATTTCTCTCTATAAATCTATTCTATAGCACTCATAAAATTAATTCATTAAATAATTTGAAACTTGAATTATGATATTGCTTATTATCATGATGATGTTTTAATTCTAAAAAGCTTAATACTCCTTAACGAATACAGCATTGAGTCAATCAAACCAAATCTTGAAATAGTTGATTTAAGGTAAAGAGTAAGATGAAACAGATAATAATTGCCTCACGTTTGGAATATGGTCAAAATATAATCCATTAAGTAATACAAATTTGAAAAACTCATATGATTTGTTCGAAAGTAATTGTTTTTAAGTAATTAATGCTTTCGATTATGTTACTCAAAGTCTAATTTTTATTTATTATGATTGTGTTGATCCAACGACAAAAGAAATAAAAAAATTTATTTTTGGTTATACATAAAATACTTATTTTATATTTAAATAACCTATTGAACCTTCAGAATATGAAAATATATGGTACTTTTTATAAATAATCTCTTTCTAATCTGAATAAAAATTAGAATTTTCTCTTTATTATTAGATTGATAATATTTTTAGATAAACTGTAAATATGATTATGCCAGCCAAAGATTAATAAATATTAATTACATTTGGAGGCAACTTAAAAATAGATATTTAAGATATAGAAGAATATGCAAAAATATTTGCAGTCTTTCCAGGCTCTATTGTTTTATAAAATTATGAAATGAAAAGAATTCCAGCATAATTTAATTTTTACGACTAAATTACTTAAAGTTATAAGAAATTAAAATAATGTATTTGTTAATATGATTCAAAAATTATTTTTGATGATTCTCATTTAAAATAACTTGATTAAAAAATTTATGTATCAAAACAAATTTATTGTAATTCATATACACTTAGTGGTTGGTTTTAAATATAAAATCTTTATTAATAATCTGAAGAGTTTACTTATTAATTTTTGAAAATAAGTACTAATTTAGATAGATTTCAGAATGAAAATTTAGTCACATTTTAATTTTTTTATCAAATCTCACCTATTAATAATAAAATACTTATTACAACATATAAATATGATTTTCCAATTGTAACATAAGACTTTGTAAATAATGAATTTCTTATTAAAAGAGAATTTATTATATCAAATAATCTTACTTGTTGGCAATTTTTATTTCTTAATCTAGATGAAAATACATTAGATTTTTAAATTACATTTCATGATGATCAAAATATTTAAACATACTAATCATTAATAGATATTAAATAATTTCATGACTGTTAATTTAAAATAACATATGGAAATATATAATAAACAGATTTAAATTATATTGATATAATTGTTAGAAATATGATATTTACAAACTGTATTTAATATAAAACATTGGTAAAATGTCATCTTAGTTGTAAAGAATGTGATGGTCCTAGTTAATATAATTGTTTAACTTGTTCTGAAGAATCAAATAGAATATATATTCCAGAATTTAAGCGTTGTGTTTGTCCATATTCATCAATCGATTAAGAAAATGAATGTATTAATTATCGAGACTAAAGATTAAGGTTAGATTACAAAGAGAAAAGGAATTAAAAATGTGAATAGGGTTTTTTTGAATTAGATGGTGATTGTTTTAAATGGTAATTTATAATTATTTATATTTATTAGTCCATCAAGAATAAAAGAAAATTTGATAACTTGCTCTGAATGTTATTTAAACGTTCAAACGTGGAGAAATGCTCCTATATGTTCTCAATATTTAGTATATGATAAATAATATCAATACTTATTGTATCAGCAATTACTAAATGTATATCTTTTTGATGGTTCAGATCTTCTCTTTTATCAAAATTCTTTAGAGATGAATTAAGGTAATATTCAAGATGAGTTATTACTTTATAACTAGTATAATTTGAATATTAATCCCTTTTAGTTTTTTTGTAACAAATAGTCAGATAGAATTTATGATGAAAATTCTTGTTATGAATGCCTAATTAAATAATGTCTAGTTTGTGGTCTTTAAATTGATAATTACATTTGCCTTAAATGTGAAAAAGAATATAAATTATAAGATGGTAAATGTATTTCAAGTTATGTAAATTTTAATCATACTTCATGTTAACCACCATATTATGCAACATTTAAGAGGAAATGTGAATTATGTCAATTGAAAAATTGTCTTTATTGTTTTGAGTATTTTAAAAACTATGATGAATTTGGATTTACAATTGAATATGAAAAAAATATTGTTTTGCCTTTTCATACTTAATATAAAGGTGCTGGTTGTTTATTATGTGAAAAAGGCTTTAATTTTGATTTCAGTTTAGGTGTTTGTTTAGATAGAGTTCCAACAATTAAAAATTGTTTAACATCTTGTGTTAGTATAAGAAATGAGGAATTATGTATTGCATCTTCTTTAGATAATTTTTAAGTTTCTAGAGAAATTACTATTTGTGATTCATATATACCAAATTGTTAAGAATGTTTCTTAGATTATCTTAAAGTTGTAAAATGTATTTCATGTATATCTGGTTTTGAATTACAAATAGGATAATGTTATTAAAATTAAGAATAAATACCAAATAATTAATAAACATTTTGGAATTTGAAAATATAAAGTTTCTTAATTAATATAGTTTATGATGCTGAATAAGACTAAAAAATTATAAAATTAACTCAATGTGGAAAAAATTGTAATTCTTGTGTATTATCATTTGGTGAGTATAAGTGTGAAGAATGTGATAAAAAAAGTATTGATTAATAAATTTGGTTTTAGTATGAGATGTGTGAATAATGTTCTCAAATTTGTTAAGTTTGTTAAATACGTGAAGAGCGAGAGATTGAGGTAAATATAATATTATTATAATAAGAAATTTGCCCCACTACTATCAACTTAATACTATAATACTATTTACACTAGGTTTTGCTTAAAACCTAAAATAGATCCTTCAATTTATTATGATCCTTATTATAAGTCAGTCAAATATTGTGAGAATGCTGACTGTAATAACGAACTTACTTATGAAGTCTTTTAAATGAGTTGCAATTTCGAAAGATTTCCAAGAGATTTAGATTATTTTCGTATAAGTCCTGAATATTTAAATGGTATTGGAGCTGATTCTATTACAATTATTATCAAAATGGAAGTAGAAGATGAAATTTGCATTCTTATGCCAACTTTATAATCAACAGCCTCTTTAAAATAAGTTATTTTTACTTTAAAAACTGTTCATTTTTAATTAATATCATCATATCCCTTCAAAATGGAAATTTATAATCCTTTTTCAATTGAAGAATATGATTCCTTTACTATGATTGGTTTTAATCTAATCTTAGTTAATTTTGATACAATATATTTTAATTTAAAAAATAAAATTAATTAAGTCGATATCAAATTTATAAATCTTACTATTATAGATAGTTAAATAAAAAATGTTTAATCACTATTTAAAGCGGATCAATTTGGTGATGTAGAATTATAGAATATATCTATTATCAACACATAATTTACTAATTCATCATTATTCAACTTTAATTAATTTAGTTTAAATGGTGTAATCAATATCAATTCAATATATATTTATAATTGCACTTTTATAGATTCAATTCTGTTTGAATTTTCTTCTACTAAATTTACTATTCAATTCTAAAATGTAACAATAGATTTATGTCATTTATCAAATTCATCTATTTTTTATTTTAGATCTAACAGTCTTCTCTAAGTAAGTTTATACCTTATTACCATTTAAATATTTTAAACTAATTTTTATAGCTCTTAGTTTTTTTTCTGCTCTTAATTTATAGGTGTTATTGCTCTAAAAATAATCTTTAATAATAACTATTTATAAAATTCAGTTATTCTTGGATTTAGTTCTCATTTAGAGTCATCTTATATTGATATTAAAAACAATACTTTTATTGAATCATAATTTATCTCAACTATTTAAATTATCAATTAAGATTCAATTCTATGTAGTATTAAAGAATTGCTTATTAAAAACAATAATTTTCAAAATTCTAATTTATTTAGATTTTTTTCAAATTTTCAAGCTAATGATTTACTTGTTATTATTTAAAATGTTCTCATTTAATTTAATGAAGGAAGTATTAACACTGATTAACTTAGTTATTTATTTAACATTAATAGTAAAAAAATGATTCTTTAAAATTTTGTTATTAATGATAATTTCAGAACCTATATTCTATATCTATACGATAGTGCTGATATTTAGCTTTTAAATTATACTTTTAGAAATTCCTAGATTTAACTTAAAGTATCTTCATAATCTAATTGTTTATCAAAATTAAATATTTAAAACTAATTATTACAAATAGTTGGATTTGATAAAATTATGATTTCTAATTTTAAGATTTTTAATTTACAAAGTATAGATGAATCTATAATTAAAATTATGTCTAGCAGTTAATATTATTAAGAATAAGTTGGATAAATAAAATTAATAAATTTAGAATTTAATGGAAATCTTTTACTTTCTCTTAATTCAATCATTTACTTCTCGCTTGTATCAATTATTTCTGATAAAAATTTAGATATTCAAATTGAAAATGTATTATTTTATAAAAATATTATGCATGTGTATAATGAAAATTCATTAAAAGATTCTGCAGCATTAATATATATTGCAACTTTACAAAGTACAATCTTGATTGAAAATTTACATTGCAATTAAAATGCAATGACTAATTCATCTAATTCTTTTATTAATATTGCCTCAAAAAACTTAAAAATTAATAATTTATTAGTATAAAATCATAATGTATTACCTATAAAAGTTTGGAATGATTATTATGATTTAACTGTAGTAGATTAAGAAGATATTAAAATATTGATTATGTAGATTTTTCACATAAAAACTATTGGTGGTGTTGCCTACATTTAAGCAGCAAATTTTATATGTAAAAATGTAACCATCGAAAAAATAATAGCAGCAAAAAGTTCAGTATTTGATATTCTAACTTCGAATGAAGGAATTATTTTGATATCAAATTTAAATGTTCATTAAACGATCAATAATCTTTAGGAAAAAATTGACAGTTCAGGATGCATTAGTGTAAATTCTTAATATAGTTCATTGAATTTTACAATTATTCAAGCAAACTTTTAAAATATTGTTAATCGAATGTCTTCAGCCATTTTAACAATAATCCCTTCTTTAATTAGCAATAAATTAATTTTCTAAAGTTTGACGATAATTGACTGTGTTTCATTAAAAAATTAAATTGTTAAAATTTTATTCCTTTCATAAATTAATAAATAAAATTCAATTTCTTTTTTTGATTTAAAGATTATTTAAAATAAAGATGCTTGGATAAATCTTTTCTCAGATATTGGAGAATTATAGCAAAATGAAATAATAGAAATAACTGGAAATGATAATGCTTTAATTTATTTAGAAAACTGCGATATGACATTAAAAAATATTTATATTGAAGGAATGCTTTTTTCAAGGGCAATCAAACTAAATAATATAAATAATTTAGTCATGTTTAATTGTTATTTTTAAAATATATTAAGTATTTTCACATAAAATCTCATATCTATAAGTTTAACAACATAATAGAAATGTAAAATTTCCTTAAAAGCAGTAAATTTTTTCAAAGCCTCTATGTATAATGCTAAAATGGAATAAAATTAAGTTAAATAATAATAAAAAAGTTAATATTTAATTTCTGGATGTTCTATAATTTAATCTTCTTCCTAATTTTAACCATAAGATTATTTTTACAACAATATAATTTACCTTACATAATCATTAGTATAACCAACCTCAATTCTATATATTTAGAGCTAATCAAATTAAACAATTTTATTATTTGATATGGTAAATTTTGAAAATAATAATTATTCTGCTAGTTAAGATGGAATCATACATTTTGATGAAATAAATTTTCATAGATTAAAAATTTTGAGATTAAATTGTAATTTTAATTAAATAAAGAACTATGGATGTTTAAATATAATAAGTAATAGTAATACTTCATAATAAGTATAAATTGAAAACTCAAACTTTATCTAAAATATTGGAACTTAAGGAATAGCAATAAAAGGAAGTGAGGTTTTTTTAAAGTTAGATTAATGTAAAATAGTATTAAATATTGCCCTTTCTTAAGGTGGTGGTTTATATTTGCAACTGAATACAAAATAGTTTTTCATTTTAAACACTATACTAATTAATAATAAAGCTTAAGAAGGTGGAGGAATTTACTTTGAAGATGACAATGATCTTATAAAAAAGAAATTTCTTCACACTTTTCTAAATTTCAACACAGCATAAATTTATGGTAATAATCTAGTGGAACATCCTGATCATTTGACTATTTATATTAATTCAAAGGAAATGTCATCTAGTTATTAAATGAAGAATAATATATCAACTAGAGTTCTAAAAATAAAGCCATAAAAAGTTATAGAATAGGGAAAATCAATTATTTCAGATATGTTCATGATTCCTAGCACATAAGTCATTAATTCTTATTAAATATTTATTTTAAAATAGGCTGCTTTTATAAATTACATAAAGAATATAAATATTTATTTTTTAAATAGTAAGGGAGAATTACTTTTTAATCTTTAAAATTCAACATGTTAAGTAGCAGATCTAATAGTAAAATCAGATAATCAAGAAATATAAGGATCTACTATTTATGAGATATTATAATTTTAAGCTACTAGTAATAACTTTGAATTAGGTACATTAGCTTTTCGTCTTGATCCATATTAAAACGAATAAAGTCATTTATAAATTTAAATATCATGCAAAACATAAAAAACTTAAAATGAATTAAAATATATCATTAATGCAAAAAGTTTTAAATGTCAATTAGGAGAATTCTATATTGAAAATGGTTGCTAAATGTGCAAATCAAGTTAAGGATTTTATAGTGTAACTTATGATGCAATTAAATGTTCTATTTATGATAAAACTAAATTCTAAAGTATTAATTCAAACATGATAAATTTACGATAAGGATATTGGAGACCTAATCATTTATCTGATTATACAGAGGAATGTTATAAAAATACTGAATTTTGTTTAGGAGGATGGCAAGTCGGTGATATTACATGTAAAGTAGGACATATTGGAGCTTTGTGTGAAATATGTGATATATATAATATTAGGGGACATGGATAATTTTTTAAAAATCAATAAAATTTAAATTGTCTCTCATGTTCTGGAGATGAAAGCAGTATCTTTCCATTTTTATTAGCTCTATTTTAGTAAATATTATTTTTAAAATTAGAGTATTGTTATCTATAACTTTAACCTTAAAAAGTATCAATAAGTCAAATTTATTATTCAGTTCCCTTAGAATTTTCTAAAAATTTAGCAAAATTATATTTAAACTTAATTAAGGTAATTCTAAATTTAAAATTAGATCATGAAGGTATATTAATTAAAATCTTATTAAATTATTTATGGATTTTTTCATCAATATTTTCTTTTAACATCTAATTTTCATTTTCAATCTATTTTATTGAATAATCTAGTAATAGCTTTTATTTTATGGTCAATAATTTAGATTGTTATTTATCAGATATACAAATACACTTAATTTATTTTAAGGTTTTTTTCATATTGTTATTAATGTTGCTATAATTTTATTTTATACTTGTACTCTCATTTTTGTATCACAAACTATTAAAACGAAATATGGATAACAGTCTACTTTCAAGTACATTGCTATACTTATATTTATTTAATTATGGAGGATTAATAAAAATGTATAAATATTTTATTTTACTACTTAGGTTATGTTCATCTCTATCTGTTAGATAAATATCAAATATTAATTATATACAAGGAGATGTTTCTCTATTATTTGATAAAGAAGAACATTATTTATGGATTTACTTTTTAATCATACCACTTTTATTTATTTTTGGTTGTTTATTACCGTTTTCCTTATTTTTAATGATGTTTATGAATAGACATCAATTAGATAAAATTAAATTCAGAAAACATATCTGTTATTTATTTAATGAATACCATGAAAAAACATATTATTGGGAATAAATTAAATTAATTTAAAAAGCCATTATAATTTTAATAACAACTAATTTTGAAAACAATTTATTAATAAAGACAGCTTTTTTAGGATTATGCCTACATATATACCAAATCTTAGCCATTAAGAAAAAACCTTATATTATTTCCAAATTTAATAATTTAGATTTGTAATCAGGATAAATTTGTTTAATTTCTATTTTTCTTGCTGCCTCTTAATATGAGAGTTAAGTTTTGTAAAATCACTTTTTTTCAATGTGTCTTTAAATTATATTGATTTTATTATTATTTAGACTTAGTTATCCTTTTATTTTAAATATTGCCACTATTTACTATTAAAAATATGCATTTTTCTTTTTGAAAATAATTCATTAATTTTTAAATCGTCAAAAATTATACCTCAAATATGTTAAAAAATGTGGGCTTTTTCTAGATAAGAAAATTAAAAAAAAAGAACAATTGCAAATGAATATTCTCAAAATTAGATAATTAGTATTGAATAAAATTGAAACTGAAAAAAAAGAAATTACATCATCAAACATTTAGATTGTAAAATCTTTTTCAAGAAGGCATCTTTTTAAAACAGTGATAAACAGCAAGGCCTCTCTTGTTGAAATAAATAATTAATTATGATAAAAATTAATACATATTATTAAATATCAAAATCTTAGATTTAAATTAAAAATTTAATTTATTACTATCAATAATTTTCTTAATATTCTCTACTCTATGATAAAATGTTAATTTCTTTTTTATATTTTCGTAATATTTAATTTTTATTTTTTTTATAAATTTGTGTAATCAAAAAAATTATTAGAATATAATTATTTTAGATTAAATAGTGTAAAATAAAAGAATATTCTATATATAGCAAAAGAGATATCAAAATACTTCTATTGAAATCTTAATAATTTGATGCATTCAAAATAAATATCATTTAATATCATAAATGATGCATATATTTCCTGTCTTTTTCATCTGCTTTTAAGATTAAGGTGATGTTATTTAAGATTTTCTTATATATATTTATCTTAATTCCATAACAACCTTTCGAATTTTCACTTGATGATTTTTTAATTCAAAAGTTTTGAAGCATTAACCCTTTACTTAATCAAAAACCTTCTCCTATATTTATTAAGAAAAAAATTTAAGATTATTTTGAAGTACTAAAATCTTTGGGACTTTATTAAAAATGATTAATTACAAGATTAAAAAATAGTATTTAATTTGCAAATCACAATTTTTGATTATTCATAAGATAATGAATTAAGGATAAATTTTATTATGATACATTTCCATATCTCACCTATGATTTTTAAATATATTAATACTTTATTTTTTAAATTTAGTAATTTAACAATGTCTATATATAGACATCAGAATCTTTTAATTTGATAATTTATACTGCAAACTATATTTAATAATAGTTCTGTCATATTATTAAGATGTTTATAAATAGCATAAAGTTTAGAAAAATCTTATTAAAATAATTATTTTGCTATAATTTTATAAAAATTAAGAAAACTGTAATTTTTAATTCATTTTGATAATTTTTAATAATCTTATTAAATTACCAAATTAATTAATTTATAAAATAAATTATGATTTCAATATTCTTCATTTGTATTATGTATCTGATAAAAGTACTTTTTAGCTTTGTCTTTGTTCTCTATCAGTAATTTGGCTACTAATTTATATACTATTTAATAATAATACTTTATTCTTTAAGTAATTTACTAAGTTGAAAAAGTAGTAAATAAATTTATCTAGGTATTTTGTTTTTATTTTGATTATTTAAAAGCAGTTTTCAATCTTTTGAAATTATTTTTAACTCTTTTTCGTCTTTCTGCTTAAGGCTCTAAGATTCTTTGGCATTGTTGACTAATTTTTAGTTGTTTTGGTAAAACAGTTAAGATTTTCTTTTTTATTAAATCCACAATTTCTTCCATTTCATTAATATAGGAGTTGATGATATAGATTAATAATTTCACTAGGATAAATATATTGATTATCATCAATGCAAAAAAGTAAATATTATTTATGCTTTTAAATTGAAATTATTATCCTTAATTAAGTCCTATTGCTAAAATTATAGAGACTCCACAGATTAATGTTGATTCATAATCCAAATTATTTAAACTATAAGATTTAAATGGTTAATATTTAAGATTTAACAATTAATAAAATAAAAGGATGAAATAAATTAAAGAGCCTTTTATAATAATTGAATCTTCATAAAAGATTAAGAATAAAATAACTAATTCTTTAGTAACAATTTTGATAATTTCCCAAAAATAAGCTTTGGGTTTATATTCATAATAAAGATATCCAAATAAGCTTTTACCTCTTTTATAAATAAGTTTATCTCTTTATTTATATAATCCATAAAGTAATCCAAAGGGTATTAAAATACCAAAAAAGAATAAGATTGGGATACAAAATCCAAAAACCCATTTTTAATGAGTATAAGTATTAAATTAGAAAGCAACATTAGCTTAGATCCAAGGAATCCCAGAAATAGTTCTAGTAGAAACTAAAGCTATAATAGATCCAATTAAACTAGGCTAAAAGTAAATATACATATAGATAATAGCTGTCATGACAATAGGTCCTCTATATTTGATATAATTTAGATAAATAAGAATAGAATAGAAAATTGCAAGTATTAGGAAGTAAATGCAAGGAAGTATTAATTACCATATCAATCTAATATAATGCATATTAAGAGATGACATAAGAACTAAAAATATATATATTATACAAATACTTAGATAACAATCCATAGAATATGATATTCTTTAAATTGGACTTCCAACACCATCTAAAAAATAAAAATAATTAATTGGTAAATTCAATTTAAATGTTGTTAAAGAACTAATAATTTATAAATAATTAGTAAATATTTTGATTAAGTAAGGAGATTCTAAGAAATAGAATTCTATAGTGATTGCTCCTTTAACACTAAGAATTATTGTTATTAAAGTCCTTATATATAAATTATATTTAATTACCATATACTTAATCCAATGATTTAAACTAAATTGTATTGAATATCTTCACAAGAACCACAAGAGTATTCTAAACTATTTGAATATCTTCCTTATCCTCTTGTATCTTCTATATCACATTACTCACATAATGCTCCAATGTGACCTAAGAAACATGAATTATCACCATAATCCCATAATCCTACACAATTCTCTTTCAAATTATAACATTCTTCAATATCATTATTATCAAATTATGGTCTCCAAAATCCCTAATTTAATTTATTAAATACTTATCTAAGATTTAATTTATAAGAAGTAACATTTAAGGTTGTTTACTCATCCCTTATGTTACATTTATTTGAATTGAGTTTTAATGAATATTAATCTAATTTAGAATCACATTCATGACATGACATATCTAAGTGAGATTTTATTTCACCAACTCTACACTTAAAAGTATTAATATTAACCAATAATTTGTAATTGTTATGATATGATTTAACTATTAAATCATTATCATCATATTGATTTATTTTTATACTATCACAATGTATAGCTAATTACAAATATCCAGTATTTGTATAATCACTATCAAAATATATTATTAAATCATCTAAATTATAATCATTTGTTATTTCATTAAAATTAATATGATTTTTAGATATTAAAGTTTGATTCTAAACTTTAATATATTCTTTTTTTTATATATCAAATATTTTTGTTTCAATCTCACATTTTGAATTCCTTAAATTATATTATTTAGAATATTAATTATTTAAAGCTATAATTCTAAATGTTAAATACTAAGCTTCTAATTATTCTGTTTGTTAATTAAATTTTTAATATTCTTTTATTTAAGTACCACTTGGTAAAAATATAGATTAATTTTTATTATTTGAATTATTTAACATTTCATATAAATAGTCTTTAGTCTTATAAATGGCATAGGTATTAAATATGCTTTTATAATTATTTATACTGATTGATAAATGAGAAGGTGCTTAAACAATATCATTTCCATAAGAAGTTGCCTAATTCTCTTTAAGACTTGCACCAAAGTATTTAATATCTTAACTAATGCTATTCTCAAAATAAATTGCACCTGCTACTGATGCCTCATTTTTCATTATTTCAGAGTCACTCACTATTAATAAAGATGCATTTCCTATCAAATATATTACTCCACCAGCTAATCTTGCTTAATTATTTGATAAAATTGAATCTTTTAATAACACTCTAGATTAATTAGCAAATAAACAAGTTCCAAAATCTGCATAATTTCCTATGCATTGATATTTTATTATAATGATATCAAAATTAAGTTATTTTAATATCTATTCCTAACTTTATGATAAAATTCTTTAGGATTCATTAAAAAACTAATAATTATTATTGTTAATTTCATCATTTAAACATATACATCCTAAATTACCACATTAATTATTGTTAATATTCAAATTATTTATGAAAATTGTAAAATTGTTATACTATTATTTATTCATTTAAAAAAAGATTATTCCACTTTTTGAATTAGATATATTATTATTTATAAAATAGCCATCTTAAAACTATATTATATCTGATTCTTTAATTTAAGTAATTGTCATTATAGCTTATTAAGGATTTGAATTAGTATAAAGTATTTAACTTTCTAAACATTTTAAATCTTAATTAGTTACTACATATTCAATATCTTTTTGAATATTTTTATTCTCAGTTTAAACTTAACATTGCATATTTTAAATCTTTATAGAACTAATTGGTTAAGCAGTTAAATGGCATAGTTCCTCTTTATTTAATAATTGATTCAAACCTTCAACTTATAATCCTTTAATACTAATAACAGTTTACAAATCTAAATAATATTTATAAATTACTATTTCTAGGTTGAATGTATAATAGACTTTCTTTTGCAATTTTACCATTGTTAATAATCATTTTATTAATCATTATATTACCTTGGCCATTACAATAAATTAAAGATTCATAAAACACATCTAATAGCAATACATTAGACAAATTTAACACTGAATTTTCAATATAAAACTGAACTCTATTTTTAATATTCACTTAAACATTTGGATTTTATATCATGTTTTTAAGATAATCATAAAAAGCATTTTCACCATCCATTATTACAACATTTTAAATATTCAAATGATTTGATAAAGAGGTTTTTTAAAATGATGCATATAGAGTACTTCCTTTAGATGATATACATGCTTTAACTGTTAAATTAGTTAAAGTCAAATTTAAATAATCATGATCAGATTTTATATAAAGAAAGCTACCATAATCTTTTGTAATAATATTTTCAGCAGTATTATCTTTTATTATTATATCAGATCTTTTTGATGCAATTTCAATAAATATACAAGACCCATGTTCATCATTATTTTTAAATTATGTTTTCAAATTTTTAAAATGAACTCCAATAATCTTTGTAGATGAAGCTACAATATAAAATCCAACTCCATTTTTTCCAGATGAATTTTTCACCGAACAATTCTAAATTATAACACTTTAGCCTTAAAGGTAAGCATTACCCACTTCACTAATTATTGGAAAGATAGATTTTAAGTTATTTTATCTTACAATTTAATCCCTTGGAAAACTAAGTAAAATATTATCTATAAATTATTCATTATTATAAATTGAATTATTTATGAATACTATAGAATCCATAAATATATTTTTTGCAAATATATACACTATTGTATCTGAAGTATTTGTTGCAAAATTATTGTTGAATAAATTTTACTCTAATTTTATAATTCCAGATGGACAATTTATAAGAATCCCTACAGCTGAATTTATGAATAAATTTTATCCATAATTATGTAATTAATTTCTTGTTATTGTAACATTTGTCATAATTACTTAAGACTTTTAACTACTATAAATATAAATTAAAGAAGTTTTTGAATCTGGGTGAGAAACCATTATAAGATTTCCTTCAATTTTTAAGTTTTTAAACTCAAATATCAATTCAAATGATAATTCAGAATAACTTGAATATAAAATTAATGCAGTATTTATTATATTAAAACCACTTAATATAAAATCTTCAAAATAAATACTTTTTACATCCAATAATTTTATAAAACTTGGATATAAACTTGGATTTAAATTACAACATTCATAAAATTAATGTAATTAATATTTTATAGGTTATGTAGCTTTTAAATTCTTCATCTCTAATTTCTAAATATTTTCTAATAAAAATTCAATAAATCCACTCCCCCTCTAAATTAAACAAAATTATATTTTAACTTTTTATACTAAAATATTTATCAAAGGAGAATTAGATTAAGTATTCAATTAATTATCAATATTTATATTTGAAAATTTAATATTTTCTATTTCTACTGATGATGAAATTGATTAAAATGGTTATAAGTATATTATTTTTGAAAAGTAATTTAAAATTAAATTATTTACTTCTATTTAATATAAAAAATAAGTGAGTGTTGTTTGATTACTCATTTCCTTTGAAATAAAGTTTGAAATAATTTAAACAACCCCAGATACTTGGCATTAATCAATAAATATATTTTATAGTATAGCGTTTTTCTCCATTTAAATAAATGTTGAATCTATTAGTTTTACTTGAGTTAGTGTACAATTTTTAATTTAAGCATTCTAAATATTTCTTAATGTAATAAAAGGCTCTGAGTTTTCTATTTGACCAGTAATGTAAATATTTGAAATAATAAATTATATTATTTCCTAATTTGTTTTTGATAATAATAAGGAGCAACTATTTAAATTTGCAGAAATATTCATTGAATCTAATTCAACTAATATAGTATAAGATGATTTAAATTCAAAAATATTGTTATTTTTAAAAAGACAATTAGATATTTAAATGTTTTTAATATAAGCATGTGATTATGGTTAGGAAAATTAAAATTCAAAAATGTTTTATTGAATTTCACTCTAAAAATTGATATTTTGAAAATTAATTCCATTCAAAAAAGTTGAATAAATTTAGTTAGCTTTAAAAACAAAATAATTTAGTTATTCATTTGATTAAGCAGAAAACTAAATTTTTTCTAATTCTAATTTAATAGGTTTGAATCCTTGAATATTTATAATTTTCTATTATGAAGATGATTGAATTTCAAATTCAATATTTTCAAAACGTAAAAATGAAAAATCAAAAAAATGCAATTCCTTGTAAACTTTTATTTTCAAAGGTGAATCAATTTTGGATGAAATAATCAATTATACATCACTTTTTATAAGATGATAATTACATTAAATAAAACACATGTTTTGAAAATTTTTAGGAAATATAGTTTATATCATTAACAGAACATATTTATTCTGTATTAGATGTTAGATTTATAATAACTTTTCTAACAAATTTTTTGTTCATTACTTCATATTTTGAATCTAATTCAAGCTAAAATTAAATTATAAATTTTACATCTTAAAAACTTATATTTTAAGGATCAGATTGTAGGAGTGAATCAAATAATACATTCTTCATTTTAAACTGAATTTATTCATCTAAATTAGAGATTGCTAATAAAATTGTTTAATATTATTAATATGAACAATATAAATTGATATCAAATGTAATAGTATTTTCACAAGCATCTAAATTATAACAAGGAAGAAATTATCCAAAAATTTGATCATAAAAAAGATTTTAATTATTAGTAAAAGGTTTGAGACATTAATAAGAATAAATTTAATTATTCTAATTAGAGACAAAATTAGAATTTAATATTAAAATTTCATCTTTTGATCTTTCTCTACAAAATACACAATAACTAGGACAATTAGAGCATTTATTATAAATTAAACTCAATTAACTGTGATAATTATTATTTAGACAGTTTTAACATTAAAACGTTCCTTCAGAGTATAAACAGTTAGGACAATCTTCATCACAATATTTGATACATTATCCATTTTTTAACATGAATCCAGTATTGCATGAGCTACATATTAATTAATAGTCTTATGGATTTTTACTTTAATCTTAAGTAAACTAAATAATTAGAATAATAAAATATACAAAATATTTGGTATTTGTTTATTATTTCATAAATAAATTAATGGGTATAAGTTTAATTTTCCATTAATCATTAAACTTAATATATGAATGAAAACAAGTTTAACAATTTAAAAATTCAGGACATATAAAACATTATCCATTTAAACGATTAGCATAATATCCAGTTTTACATTCAAGGCAAAAAGAAGGAGTATGTTATTGTTAATTAAGTGAAAATCTACAATTTGGAATAATAGATTCAGCTACGTCACCAAAAATTGATATGGAATTATATTATTAAGATACAATGCAAAAGTATTAGTAAGGATAGACAATACCATTATATAGATAATCAGATAAATAGGATGATAGACAAGTAGTATCATATGATCTTGGTTCACAAATTCCATAATATTGATTATATCCATAAAAATCTTCACATAATCCACAAATAGGTTATTCATCCTAATAATCATTAGATGGAATAAAATTGTTAGTAAAACTAGAATAACTTTGAAATTAAGATTTTGAGACAATTAAAACACCTTGACAATTATTAATTGTAATAAGTTTACAATTAATTCCATCAAATCTTATAGACATTCTTTTTTCATCTAGACATTTGAGACATCTTATAAAGAATTATTAAGTATTTGGATTATAATCTTCTTCACAATATTCACAATCAATTCCACATTTATTGCATATTCCTTCTTTTGTTAATGTATATTACCTTTATAATATATAAAATATAAAATACTTAATACATGTTAAACATTTAAATCCTTTATAAGTGTTATGATCACTTTTGCAAGTTAAACACTCATAAGGACATAATTCACATTTTTTATTCTTAATATTAAAATAATAATTATCCATACAATTAAGGCATATATCTTCTGATGAACAATCAATACAATATGGATCACAAATCTAACAATAATTATTTTAGAAAAAATGATTAACCTTACATTTCAATCTTATTTATTAGCCTAAATGATAATTTTAACTTTATTAACAATCAAATTAAATATTATTACAAAAATCTGCAGCTCCTTAAAGTATATTTAATTAAAGTTGATCATCTAAATAATAAACATCAATATTTATATTTTATCTTATTTTTTTAATAAAAGGATATCCAACTTTTTATTGTATATAATCAAATGAACAAATAGGTTTATATTACCAAGTATTCCATTGATGATAGCAATCACCACATTATAATCTCTCTTCATTATATTCTGGACTAATTTTATTAAATATTTTAATATACCATTAAACACAAAAAAACTAATTTTATAAAGTTACTTAAAAATAACCAAAATTACATAATTTTTATAATTATTTTTAAACAATCTACAAATTTTATGTGTTTTCTATAGGCTAGCATTTTTATGATGTTGTAACATATTTAGTGAGATACATACAATCACAAATGTTATATTATGTCAAAGCATAATAATATTCAGTATAACAAGATTTACAATCAGAGTTTGTTGGCCCAAAACAATCTTTGCAACTTGAATGACATTCTTCAATTATTTATTATTATACCATATGTAAAATCATTATTATCTTCAAGATAACCTGAAATAAACTTCATCCTACGAATTTTTGTTCTACTCTTTCCAAAAAAATCATCCTATTTATTAATATATTGTATTATTGGTTATCCTGTAAATTAAGAGTTATAACCATAAGTTCCTAAATTATATATTAGATATTCTTGATTTAGAAAATATATCCTAAACTATAAAGTAGCTCCATTTATAGGTGTCCTTCCATATTCAATCATTAAATAATGCCACTATTAACTTAATTCATACAGATTATCTTTCTCTATAATCGCTGTATCATATTATCTCAAATTTTCATCTTAATATTGGTCTACAAAAAGAGGTATTTTTATGAATTCTGTTGACAACTTTATTATAGTTTAATTATTATTTTAAAAGTCAACCTAATTATTAGAAATAATTATACTTCATAATATATGCTTATAACTTTATCTCCTTATAAATTTTACAATATGTATTATAAAGAATCAATCATGAATATTGTTTAACGAAGTTTTTTAAATGTTAAGCCAAATTCATTTTAATAGTATCTCAAAGCCTTAAAATATCAATTTAAAATATACTTCTTCATAATCTTATTTAACCCAACATGTAATCAAGTACCGATTGTTTACTATTTTATATACATATGATAAAATGAAAAAATCATCTTAAGCTGATAAACTTGGATTAATTTCATATTTATTATCATAAATTAAAGTTTTAGTTTTTTATGGTTATATCTAACATAATGTAAATAAACTTATAAAAAATTCATCAGTATACTAAAAGAAATCATATTCTTATAAAGGTGAAAAATATCCTTTAAAAAAAAGTAATCTTTAATCTTCGTAAACATAATTTTTATATAATTCGTAGTCATATCCTCCTAATTATACTGTTATCTCATCAGTCATCATTTTATAATCAAATGAATGAATCTAATTATTAAAATTCGTAAATATTTTAAGTTTTTGATCCATTTTTTAATATATTATTGATGTATAATACCATATATTTTGATATTAATTAGAATTATAAATGAATTAAGCCGATTAATATCCATTTTCTCCTATTCCAAATATATGAATATCATGAGTCAAACTTATAGGATCGTCTTTCATCATTAATATTATGGCAGCTACATTTCCTTAATTTTAATCCAGGATTTTCATGAAAAAAAATCCATTGAAAATGCATTATACCCAGAAACAATATTGATCATCAAATGGTCTAGAATACTTACTATATGAATCAAAATCCATTATTGCAACATATTTTGACCAAAATCCAAAACCTTTATCATCATATCCAGATTCACTCGATTTCAGGTTAATTATTTTTTCCTATGGTCTTGAATAATCAATTTCAAGTTGAGAATCATCATTCTCATAATAACATGTAATTTTATTTGATGAAATCAATTACAAAGACATAAGAGAAACAAGTAAAGTTAATAAAAACATTGTTTATTTTAATATTGATTCAATTAAATCCATACCTAATTTATCAATTTGAATAAATTAAAAAATAAATTCAGGTTTTTTAAATAGAAATAATTCATGTTAAAACTCTTTTTAATTATTTAAAAATCACTTAATCAAGTTTTTATATATATTTATGTTTCGAAATATTAATAGGTGAAAACTAAAATAATTGTTTTTTAATCATTGCAATCTTAATTTATTTTTGTTAGTTTTTAACTTTATATATTTTTATTCATTAAAATAAGGATAGAATTAGCGTCAAATTATTTTAAATATAAATTCCTTTTGTTCATAAATTTTTGTTATCCATAATCATTTCTTATTATATTATAGTTGAAAAATCTTATAAATGTAATCATAAACTACTCTTTTTTAAAGGATTTTAATCAGTAATTTAAAATAATCCATATGTAATTATTAGATAATTCGAAGAACTTTTCAATTATTTTATGTATCTTTATATATGATAAAATAATCAAATAGCAGAAAATAATTCAATTATTATTAAAAAAGTATGTAAACTAAATATAGAAAATGAAAGAATTAAGTATATATCTTATTTTATCAAGGTTGTCATAATTTAACCTTAAACAAATATAATAAGTATCTTAAAATATTAAATATTGAAATATATATTATTGAATGTATCAATATTGAAATTCTTTTAAATCTTTCATTTTTAATTCATTTAGCAAAACAAAGCCTCTTGATTCTAACCATATTAATATGAATGATGTATAAAGTTTAATTTTATGTGTGAAAAATATCTTATAAATATTAATTCTTAGAAAATTGATGATGGATTTCAAAAATCTTATCGATTTTATTTTATTTTTTATTAAAATTTTTTTTCAAAAGTAATTATATCTCTTAGAACATTTTTATTTTAATAAGATTTTCTTAATTATTTATAAATATTTTAAGTATATTCTAAGAAACTAGTTTATTTTTCTTTTTTAAGAAATATCTCATAAAATTTTAATTTGAATGAAACTATTGTTTTTATTTATAACAATTCAACAATATTATGGATTCACATTTTTGATTGAAAAGAATAATTTTTTATTTAATAAACTCAATTTTAAATTAACTTGACAAATGAAACGAGTATATTTTAAATTATTTATTTTTGAATTCATTAATTTAGGAGGAAAACACAAAATTTGATTACTGGTAAAATATTTATTAAAGTCAAGTGCAAATGGTAAAGGAATGCTTTTTACTAAAATTATCTTATTAATTTTTAAATATACATACTCAAATTCATTAAAAATCTAATTTATAAAATTAATATATTTAGGATTAATTCTCTAATAGTTTTTAATCTTTTCCCCTATCTATCCAAGTAGCCAAGTATTACCCATCATCCGATATGGTGGCATATACCAAATCCTATTAATATTCTAATTTATCAATAAGTTGAAATTATTCATCATTCTATTTTTTTAAAAAGTATATTTTTCTGAAATGTTTAACAATTAAAATTTTTCTATCTTAATTATACCATATAGGAGAATAGATATAATCATGATCTTCTGAAGATAATCTGATTTTTTATATTTCTTTAAAAGTTCCCCATTCAATTTTATAATAAAAAAGCCAGCCATTCTTTTAAACCAATACAAAAGAGGAATCATCAATAAATTTGATTCTCATCCCTAATGAGTCACACTGTCTTAAAATTTTACATTCTAATTTCTCTTTTAATTAAAATAATCTAATACACTTATCCTACCCACAAGTTATTATTTATTATGTTTTATTATTATAAGCCAATCCAAAAACTGGTTTATTATCCTTTTCATTTAAGGATTCATCTAAAGTTTTTTTGAGACAATTCTTTTTAAATTCCCAAATAGTAATTACTCCTTTTTAACTTCCAGTAATTAATTAGTTTTCGAGATGATTTAAGATCATAACCTTTATACCCCCATTATTTTAAATATTTTATGCATCTTTCCACACATTTTCGCTTTTTTTCACCCAAACAAAGATCTAACAATCTAAATCTCCTCCTCCAGAGATAAGTGTATCTGAATCCACATCAAAAACTAGACAACTTACATCATTTTTATGTCCTTATAACTCTGTTATTTATTGTACATTATCTCTATAAAATCTCCAAATTATAATTATATTCTTTTTAGCTGTTGCAATTAATGTATTGTTTCTATTGAAACATAAAACTTAGCATAATTAAGATTACTATTATTAATACATAATTTTGTAGTTTATATTTTACACTGTGTTTTATTAATAATCGAAATCTTAACTAGCAGTTGCTGTTTGAATTTTATGATTTTTAACACATAGATGATCTATAATACTATTCATCTGTAATTAGGCAAATGTAAAGTCTTTTTGAATCCATTCTTTCAATTTTATATCAAATTACTATCGATATTTGATAAAATTATCTTAGGTTTATGCAAAATCTTTCGCCATTTTATTTAATTCTTAACTAGCTATAATATGTGATCCATAAATTTCCTCAATTATTTTAATTCTTTATTAAAATTATTAGTTAAATTCGTTGTAAATGCTATCAGTATTTCTTTAAGTCTATAAAATACTAATGATTGTTTTAATTTTTTATGCTACTTCAGACCTTTTTTCTTCTGATTAGATTTTAAATTCAAAAAACTATATTAAATATATTTAGAAGAATTCTGACAACTTAATTCCTTATTTACCACAATCTTTACATAATCTTCTTTCTTATATATTTTGGTCGTTTGAAATATCCAAAAATTCAATCTTTTAATTATGTTTTAGACAAGCCATTTAATTAGTTTACTAATAATTTTCTATAAAATATGATAATTTATTTCTGAGATTCTTAATTTTTGATCTTTCAATTTCTGAATTATGATTAATTAATACACTATTAACTGTTGAATTGCTTATGCTGCTCCTTCTTATATCTTAAGCTTTTTCTAAATGTTCTTACAATTATTTTTTATCTTATGGCATCAAAAGTAAAATTTCTTTAGTTTGATCAAATTGTTCTTGAAATTTATTTAAATATTCCAAATAAGTGGCCACTATATCTAAAGTTGATACTTAATCTTGATTATTTTATTAATTAGGATAATAATCTCTTGAACCTAGAAGCTATCTTTCTTCATTTTAATTCTAAAATTATTTAAATTGCTAATCTTATAATTCATTTAATTAAGCTTTTTGTTAATTAATAAGTAATTACACTTTTTCAATTATTTCTTTTCTTTCTTAGAGGATAAACATATTAAATAAATATTAATAATTAAAATTTATGATAAAATGTTCTTTTCTAGAAAATACTCTAATTCTATTAATTAATATTATTTTTTTAGAGTATTTTATGTTTTAATAATAGGATAAAACATTTTTCATAATCATTTTACTTTGATTAAAAATGAGCCCAAATTTCATAGACAACCACCAATTAAAGCTAAAATTTTTCGACATAAACTTGGTTGGAGAATTGATTGTCACGATTGGAAAAAGGATTTTTTCTTGAAACAATTCTTAATTGATAAGAAAAAATTTGGAGCAAACCAGAAGAAACTTATTTATTCGTAAGTATTACGATGGAAATTTTAAAAATAAGAAGAAACAAATCGAATATATTTAATTTGTAATACTATGAGAATTAACCAAATATATAGATTGTTTATTATATTATGATTATTTTTAAAATTTTAAGATAAGCTAAACGATTGATAAAAAATCATTTTCATGTTGGAACAATAAAGTATGAAACAATATTGGTTTTTAGTATAAAATTATATAGTTTATTGTTATATATTAAAAAAATAAAGATAATCTAATATTAGTATTAATATATATTGTGGAATGTATATAAGTATAAAAATATTGATTTATTAATGTTGAATTGAGAAACATAAATAAATATATTATTTTAATCTATGTAAGTAAATTACGAAGCGATCATTGATGGTAAACTACTTATTTAATTGGGTAGAGGCTAAGAATAAAATGATGAAATGGTAGGAAATAAATGAATAAAACATGTGGGAATTATATGCAAATAAGGAAGGATATATTGTATACACAAAGAAGAATCCAGAAAATGGAATAAACATGAATAGATCTCAAACAGAAATTGCAAGGACTCCTGATTAAATTTTAGATTTGGTTGGCGATGTAAATAAAAGACCTTTGTATGATGAGAAAGTGGAAACAGTAAATTAAATATATTATATTATTAGGCTCATGTAATTGAATAAATTGATGCTAACACAAGAATTATTTATGTGAGAATAAAACCACCCATTCCATTTATGAGCAGCAGAGATTTAGTGATGGTTTAGAAGGTTTATAAATAAAATGATGGAATTTATATTGTATGCTGTACTTATTTTATTATTATTAATAGCAAAATCAATAATTCATTAAAAAACACCTCCAATCAATAAAATTGAAAGAGCAGAAATGCATTTAAGTGGCTGGATTATCATTCCTTAACCAAATCAAATGACTAAGATAATTACTATCTAATGTTTTGATCCAAGAGGAGATGTTCCGACTTCAATCACCAATTAATATGCTAAACTTTAAACAGATATGATGAAAGCTGCAATTAAATACATAGCTCTTAATTACAAATGATTCATTAAATAAACATAAGAAAATCAATTAATCTTATTTTTTTCAATATATTTAATAAAATCAATCTCTTCATAACAAATTTCATCATTGAACTTGAAGAGTTTTCATAAAAGTCTATCATTAATTTAAAACTCTGTTCTTAATCTTTAGAATTTGTTCAATATAAATGAATCCTTTTTATTAATATTAAGTTTTAGTGGCTATTACAGATGATCCTAATAATACAAACATTATTATCAAGAATTTCAATATTCACTCTAAAATGAAAATATATAACTAGGAAATAGTTTATTGAATTAAAAGATATCGTAATAATTAAGAAGTAGAATGGGTGATTGAATGATAGAAGTATTAGGTATTCCACTGAAACTAAAACCAATTCTATTTTTTTTAGTTTCTGTATCAAATATGAACAATTTCTTATCTAAATCAAATAATTAATATTCTGATTAACATTTAGGAATTAGTTGCATGTTTATAACCACCAAATTGGATGATATTTATCACATCCCTTTATAAGATTTTGTTTAAAGAATAAGTCACAATAAATATTCTACGTAATTATATTTTTATTCATATTAGAAATAAAATCAAAGATATGAAATAAATCATATTAGAAAACTTGAATTATGAAATTACATTTCCTATAATTCTTGTTAGATTTTATAATCTAGATGATTAATATGTAATTATCATAGCTTTTTAATTACAAAATTTAAATGGATATGATTTCTTTAAATCTAAAAAAATAAATCTGATAACCATATTAGAAGCAAGCATCTATATTTTTAAAATTAGTCTTCATGACTATACCATTATTTAATTTCACGCCAAAACACTAACAGTATCTATATTTTTTATTCCAATAGTGATTTCTTTATTTAAAAAGATTCTTAAAAATAAAATAAAATATTAAATTAATTTGCACTTATACATTCAAGTTTATTATATAGAGCTTTTAAATTAACTCTATGTCTGAGATAAATTTAATCAATTTTAATTCGTGCCAAGTCAAATTAAAAGAATTAATCAATTAATGAAAAAAATATCCAGATCTATAGAAGTTAAATAAGTACTCTTTAATTTTAATTTTTTTTAATTAGTTTCAAATAAATACAAATTTTATAAATTATAAGATTTATTATAATTCTATTGCTGTGATTATTTACTTCAATAATAATATGTTTAAAAAACATTTTAAAAACTAATGATTCTAATTTTTCTTATCTTCATGATTAAAAGACATAATTTTTTATTTTATCAAATAAGATTGATTTATCATGAAACTTTATTTTAAATAAAATAGGACTCAGTCAATATGACTTTAACTGAAACTTATTAATTTTATGGAATGAAATTCTAATTTTTTTTAAATGAAATCTAAAATAATGATGAAATAACAATTCAAGAAAATGAAGTTAACTCACACAATTTAACTTTTTTAAATTGAATATACATATGTTTTAATTTCTAAGAAGTTAAAAATTTATTATTATAGATTTGAAAACTATTGAAATAAATATATAATTATATAATTAAATCAAATGGGAATGTGTGATTCACGAGAAGAAATAAAAGATGTTTAATTTGGAAGATCAACAATTCAACCAAAGATGTCAGAGAATCCTAATTTAGATTTTTACAGAGGTGTATATCCTTTCTAGTTGAATAATTAAATATAGTTTCATATGAAGCATTGGAAAACTTATAATTAATAATATCAATGGAACAAATTTTATTCAGATTTAGAATCCGATAAATAATTTATGCAATGGCTGTATCCAAATTTTTTTTAATCATTTTTGAACACAACTAGTTTTAGATTGTCTATAAAAGAAAGAAATAGTTTTATAGAGGATTAATAAGTAATATTAATAAATATCTTAGATTATTTAATAGTATGTGGAAAATATAAAAATGTTTTAGAGATTCTTAGGTATTGGTAGAGATGACAATTAAGATTTATTAATAATAGATTAACAATAATTTGATCAATGCATATATTCTTATACATCAAATTAAGTTAGAATCTAGCGATTTATATCCTCAATGAGCATTTTAGGGTAGAGAGATTTGGCACTTGAAACCTTATAAGTAATAAAGAATAAATTGACAAAAAAAAATAAGATATATTAATCTAAATTTTAAGGGTTTGAATTATTGATTGAAGAATTTGATTATTCAGCACAATCTTTATATTCAAAAAAAGTATATTCAATAAATAATATAAAGAAGCCAACAAAATCATTTGAGGAATACAAAACACATTATGTGTAAGAAGATCTTTTTAATGAATTATGGGTATAGGCTTCGATATTGACAAAGGCACCAATATAAGTTAATTAATAAAGTAGAGAATCATTTTTAGTTAAAGAAAAGGTTTGTTGATAATGATTACTTTAATGAATAATCATTTTTTAGTTGATAAATTGGTATTGATTTTTGGATTTACTGTCTTAAATTTTTCCATTTTGAAAGGTTCTTTTTTCTCAACACCTTGAATAGCTGCTAATTTTTTATGATTTGTATCATAAAACAATTAAGAAGCTTTGTTACCTTTTACCAAAGATGAAGAGAGTTTAGAATCCTTTTTATATAATATAAAATACATACTTAAGAGCTTGCTCTACCTTAATATTTATCTAAGATAACAGATTCAGCTTCAATTCCATAAGAATTACCCATAATCAACTTCATAGGTGTTGATGGTCTAATATAAATACATTTAATAAAACCTGTTTTTACGACCATATCTAAATTCTTCTTCTGGTAATTCTATAGCTTGTATGTTTGTACCCTTTTTAAGTTTCAATCTTGCATCATTTGTCTATCTAAATTTGTACATATCCTGAATATATAAAACAGTTACATGTGCTTTGACAGATCCATTATGAATAGACTATTTGTTTAATTCAGCAAAATCTCGATTAGGTACTCTATCTTTTGATTCTTAATGGAATTTCCATGTCATAGTTACTGATTATAGATGAATAAATACCTTCTTTAGCTCCTTCCTTATCTCTAGCCAAAGGTTATCCATAAATAAAATCTTAATTAGGTAAATTGTATGTTGAAGGTTTAGGTTTGCCAACATCATCTTTCATTAAAAGAGGATTAGAATGATTTTATGAGAATGGAGGTGTTGTTTACATTTTAATAATAAATAAATAATTAATATTAGATAAAAATTGATTAGGGATATTGAAAATTGTATATTAATTAAGGTGATAATAAATATTATTCAATAGAAAGAAGGAAATAAAAATGAATTATTGATAATTATTTATTTATTAAAAAAAATAAAATGTAAATGAGCCAAGGTGAATTTTGGCAAAAATAAGAGGAAATAATTTAAGGAGTTTAAGATGGTTAATAAAAGAGAAAGAATAAAAAAAGAGTAATTACAAATCCAAGTTAATAAACAGGACATTGGAGTGAATCTGAACATTAAACTTATATTGATTTTTTGAATATGCATAGAACTGTAATGGAATCATAAGATTAAAAAAAGACTAGCAAAATATTTAAATTGATGAGTGAGACTATTGGGACTAGAAGTCCATCATAATGTAGGTTGTAAATTAACAAATAAATATTAGATCTCATCATTAAAAGTTTAATCCTTTTGTTCATTAAATAAAAAAGAGATAGAAAGGAGCAGGAAGAAGAAAAAAGGATAATTAAAATATTGATAAATTAAATAAGAATGATGAAAATGCATTTTTGTAATCTTTACAAATTCAGCATTAATTATTTTAACAATAACCTTTGGTAATTATCAAATTTAATATAGGATTATTAAATGTTGTAGTTTCCTTATTTCCCTTATGTTCCAATATTCGATAATTAGTTTAAAGAAGATGAGAAATTAAATGAACAATAGCAGTTGTATTTTCAATAATGTATGTTATTTCAACAACAATTTCCATAATAGTTGGATGATAAGAATCTTTGTTGTTTTAATTTTAATTTTATGCCTTAATAATAGTAAGTTCATTTAAATTTTAATTACTTCCAATAATAATAATAATAATAATAATAATAAATGTTCAACAATGATTTTTAAGTATTAAATTCAGGTGATATAAACAACAAGGAAAACTAATTCGATGAATAATGATAATTAATAAATATATATAATAATGTAATAATATAAATAATTATATATATAAATAAATGGAGGAATAAGCAACAGTTGAGAATGTGATAATTGAAGAGAAGATTTCAAAATCTAATGGAGATGTGATAATCAAAAGATATTAAAGAGGAAAGACATTAGGAAAAGGCGGATTTGCAAGATGTTATGAGATTACTGAAATAGATACAAAAAAAATATTGGCAGCTAAGATAATTTAAAAGAATACTTTAACTAGGAATAGAGCAAGATAGAAAGTAAGTATATGATACATATGGTTTAGTTGATATCAGAAATCAAAATACATAAATCGTTACATTAAACTAACATAGTTTAATTTATACATGTATTTGAAGATCATGACAATGTTTATATAATATTAGAGTTATGTACTAATTAAGTATAAATATGATGATATAATTAAAGACATTAAATGAATTAATAAAGAGAAGAAGAAGAATAACATAATTAGAAGTGTAATGTTATATATTATAATTGGTCAATGCACTTAAATATCTTCATTAAAACAAAATTATTCATAGAGATTTAAAATTAGGGAACTTATTTTTAAATGATAAAATGGAATTAAAATTAGGTGATTTTGGATTGGCTACAAAACTAGATTTTGATGGAGAAAAGAAGAAAACTATATGTGGTACTCCAAATTATATAGCACCTGAAATTTTAGATGGAAAAATAGGTCATTCATATGAAGTAGATATATGGTCATTAGGTGTTATAATTTATACTCTGCTAATAGGGAAACCTCCCTTTGAAACTTAAGATGTTAAAACAACATATAAAAAAATAAAGGCATGTTAATATACATTTCCTGATCATGTAGTAATTTCAGATAATGCCAAAAGTTTAATTACTAAAATGTTAGTTCTTGATCCTAGCAAAAGACCTACTTTAGAATAAATATTATAACATCCATTTATGACATCAAATCCAATTCCAAAAACTGCTCATATTTCAACTTTAGTTGGACCACCTTCAATGTCATGGTTATCATAATATTAATCTACTTAAACATCTTCATCTCAATAAAAAAGATTAGCTGATACTGCTCCTTAATAATTAATGAAAGTTATCAGTTAAGATAGAGTATCACTTTTAAATGATGCTCAAACTTAAAATAATTTTATGAAAGATTCTCGAGCATCATCCTAAAAATTAGTCGATATGAGAGCTACATAATAATCAGCTAAAACATTACCTACAGGAATTACTAATAATATTAATAATGTAAATTCATTTAATTATTTATTAGAAAACATTTAAAATTTAAAGAAATGAAATATTTGTTAAAAAATGGGTAGATTATAGTAGTAAATATGGATTAGGATATTTATTAAATAATGGAAGTAGTGGTGTCTATTTTAATGATTCTACTAAAATTATAGCTGATTCTAAATAAACTTATTTTGAGTATATTGAAAAATAATCAGATAATTAATAATATGAAGTTAATTCATATTCATTAAATGATTACCCAAAAGATTTATAAAAGAAAGTAACATTGCTTGAACATTTCAGAGGATATCTTGATACTGATAGTACTGATAAAGAAATTATTGATTAATCTGATGATAATAAAATTCCTATGGTTTATGTCAAAAAATGGATGAAAACTAAACATGCTGTTATGTTTAGATTATCAAACAAAGTAGTTTAAGTAGATTTCACTGACAAAACTATAATCATACTGAATTCAGATACCAAATCAGTTACTTACATTAATAAAAAAGGAGAAAAATAGAATTTCCCTTTGAGCACTGCTCTCGAGTCATAAAATCACGAAATGACTAAAAGGTATTCTATTCTCTTATTTGTAGACTTAAATATACCAAAGAAATATTGCAACATATGTTATAAGGAACTTAAGCTTAAGTAATCAATACCTAACTTACTCTAACTAATTGGAATTAAAAATGAATTTATAACACATCATTCAATTATATTTAAGCATATCTACTTAGTATTAAAATATATAGATTAATATCATCAAAACTACTTATATAAATTTAATGTACATCTTCACTGTTAATATTTTCAGGCAATATCTTTTCACTCATTTATTTCTATTCTTGTTAAATAAATGCATTCTGCTAACTAAAATATTAATTTGATTTGAATACACTGCTTGTGCCAACTAAATATCCATCATTTTGATCTTTAGTTTATCTTTCATGTTCAGTCTCATTTTCTTTGATTATGGTTATTATTATTCAAATTGTCTATTATGAATCAATTAAAATTTATTACTGTGCTTAAGCAAAATAACAACTAACTTCTGTTGCTTATTCCTTTCCATAATATCCAAAGCTGCTTTCTTCTGAATCATTTACTCCTATTAATATATAATAATTATATATGTACTTGAATCATCAGCTAACAATGAATCACATAAATCTAATTATTTATAACTTTTTTCATATTTCTAAATAATCATATCTGTAATTTAATTATTTTCTTTTTGTTAAACATTCTTCTATGATTATTTTTGTTATTTTTAAGGTAACATATCTACATTTAAATTCCCATCAGTATCATCTTAATTAATATTCTCAGCATTTGATATAAACTATTCAAACATTCTATTTTAATTCATATTATTTATACTCTATTATTGAACTATCACCAACCCTCTTCAAAAATACTTTCATTAATTATTCTCTTTACAATAATTTCTGTATTGCTTCAAATTATCCTTATACAAGAAACTTTAATTCTTATGTTTCTACAATAAATTTAATATAAATACCTGCTTATAATTGTGTATTTTCTTTGTTATTTTTTAAATCATATATTTATTAGTTCAATTATTCAATTTTTTCATTTTATTAAGTTTTATTACTCTATAATTATTCGTTCTCTTAAATTAATACTTAGTAATTCTTTTTTATTTGGAGTAAGCTATTTTCCAATTTCTTTTTTTCTTATTAAAATTAATAAGTTTATTATAAAATTTATATCTATCTTTTAAAGAAATGATCAACTTATATAGTTTAAAATGTATCTGAATTTGAAGAAGGTAAATTTATTTAAGGCTATGAATTTTATAAATTAGGTTCTTAAAATAAAGCTGCTACTAATTAATGTAACATTTAATTAAATTTGGTCATAAACGTCAATTCTAGAGCATCTTATTATAAATTTTTATCTCTTTCTTATAATAAAACTTTAATTTTTTCTTTTATTTTTTAAACTTATGATTAATCACTTGATACGCTGTTGCTATTTATTTTATTTTTAACTGATTGATGAAATGAATAATTTTTAGTTTAAGCAGGAGATTATGAATCAATATGCATCATTGATTAGTTTTTTCGTAATTCATGGGAAATCTTAACTGTTTCAATCAATTCGTTGTTAATGGAATACATTTATTATTTATTCATTTGTTATGAACTACTGATTACATTTAAAATACTACCCAACTTCTATTAAGAAGCTGGTTAATTAATAAAAGTTTTGTTAACTTTTTGAATATTTTCAAATGATTTTTATCTTCCAACGACTGGACTGTTGTTATTCGAAATATTTTATGATTATGTTTCAATTTAATTCTTGGATCTATTTTTGGGGAATTTCTTTTCTAAAATTTTACCTTATAACTTTAACATTTAGCTAACACACATTTATTGTGCTATTCTATCATTATCACACTTCTTCATAATAATAAATTTATTAATGTCAATATTTTGAGGAATTCTAAGGTAGACTTTTTAAACAGCAAGTATAGAAGAGCTTAATTGATTAATTAGATTAATTATGTTTATATAATAGAGAAGATAGATTATTTTGGATAAAGTTTAAGAGAATATAGATTTGATTTAAGTTTGTATTCAGAAATATAATGATTTTAGTTGGTTTATGTATAATAAAAATAAAGAATAGTATATAAGATATGATTAATAAGGATGTGAAATAATATTTAATATTCAAATATAACAATTTTACATAAATAGATGAAGTTCTTTAATACTTGAACACCTTGTTTTTTATTTATTTTTTTTATTAATTACAACAATATTATTAGTATCTATTAAATTGATTTAAAAATTGAGATTATCAAATTCAATTTCATTTCTTTTATCCAATTTATTAAATCCCATAATTTTAATTTATTAAATAAGATCATTGTCAATAGGTTATTGTCTACGATTTTTTTATAAATTATTAAAATCGAATTCTTTTAGAAGTGGGAAAAAGTTTTATTCATTTTCTTTTGAATAAATATCTTTAGTAACTAATTCTTTGAGTAGTTATTTATAATCAATAGTTTATGTTGATTTATGAACTATATATTTTAAAGCTTCTTTTAAATCTTTTTTTTCTTTATATCTTAAATGTAATTCTAAAGCAATACGATTATGATCAATGTTCATTTTTGGATCTATTCTTTCAAAAAGGATTTTTTCTTTTTCTAAAAACATTTAGTAGAAATTTTTTAAAATTTGAAAGGAAATAAGAATGTTTGATTATTCATCAAGTAATATCAAAATGATTTGTTTGAGATGATTAAATATACTTCCTTATCCTTCATTTTAATCAAATAGTAATTCGAATATGATGGGAAATATATTAGTTTTAGTCATATCTTCTAATTGAATTCTTTCTTTTTCATGGATTTTTTCAATTTTCTTAATATAGAGTTCAAATAAAAATTGTTTAATTTATGGTTAATACTTTTCATCTTAAGTTAGAATAAATTTACTACAAATTAATTTACTTAAAATCATTCTAAATTTTGTCCTATTAACAATATTATTAATATATCTTTTCTATAGAATATATTGATATGTATATATACCTCTTATAAATAGTATTCATATATTTATAGTAGTTCATCAACATAAATGATTTCATACTTTTTTGGTTCAATCATAACATTTACAATATATTCACGTACTTCTTTTAATTCTTATCCATCTATCATAATACATATTGAATTCAATGAAATCTTAGTAAAGAAACCTATCCATGAATCTTTGATTAGTTATCTAAATTATGATTCATGATGAGCAAATTAACCAATTTTAGAAATCTAACTCAAAAATGAAGTTCTAAAACCTTCACTTAATCCTAAATTATCAACCATTTATTCATAAAACCTTCAATATTAAGATTAATATACAATTTCTAAACAAATTCTAAATGGATAGGCAAATAATAATCATATGTTTTAAGATGTTCAAACACTTTTTAATTAGGTTTCATAATAAATTAAAAAAATGAATACATTTATATAAAATAGAATTTATATAAATAATAAAAAATTAAAAGATGGATATATTTATTTTGTATATGAATAATAATATCATCAATCTTATTCTTACAATGTTCCTTCTAATGCTTATCTTGATTCTTCTTCTTTTCTTTCTTATTCCATTTAATCTTCTCTCATAATATTATCTAAATCAGTTTATAATTTAATCATTGCAGGTCCTCTCTCAATTTCTTAAGTCATTTGTAAATATGCAGTATTTAATTACTGAGCCAAATGATCACCTGAATCTTATTCAATTATATTTCCATTTAAATCTGTTACTGTATATGAATAAACACCAGCATTATTTGATAAATCAATAACCTGTCCTACTACTCCTGGAATATATTCACTATGAGTTTCAACTAGTAATTTATGTTTCTTTGTCTCTTTCTCTACTCCATCTTAAGTTATTTAAGCCCAATGTTCTATTCAATTTATTAATTTTTTACAAGCTTCCTTTGCATTCAAATGGTAATCACTCTCTCCCAAATTTACAAATTCCAAAAATGCACTGTTGAATCCTCTCTTCTTCTAATGAACTGAACCATGCGATTTTCTAACATGTCCAGCATATGCTGTTAATAACAATGCGCATATAAGAACTGATTTATACATATTTATATTATTAATAATCGTTTTTCCACTTTTCAATTTTATATTATATATACATATATATACTATCACTAATTTCTCACTTTCTTTAAACTAATATTCTTTATTTTCTATCCTATTTTACACTTTCATTATTCACTACCTCTCTTACATCATACTTTCTTATTCATTTCCATTTTTACTCAATCTTTTTAGATGTTTTATTATCTCTTAAAATATATTCAATTTAATCTTTACTCTATTTTTCATTCAAATTTTTTTAAAATTTATTAATTTATTATTAACCATCTTTCAAATTATATTTATTAAAATTTAGATTTTTATATATCTATGTATATCTATTATATTTTATATAATTATTAAGTAATATTCTTTTTTATATTCACATAATTTGTAAATCATATTATTTTACTATTATTTTCAATAATTTTTATTAATAAATAAATGCTTAACAATTTTACAGAATATATCTATATATATCAAACTGTAGATAACCTCTTTAATAGATAAATAATGTCATATCATTATTATATAAGGCTTAATCACAATTAATTTGAATCTCTAATATAATAAAAAATGTTAATAAATTCTTATTTATTGAATTTTTCACATTCCCCTACTGAATTTTTTTATTGAATGAACATTTTACATACAAATAAATTAATTTAAATCTCTAAATATCCATTAAAAATAAGATTTCATAATTATATTCCATTTTATTTGCAAAAATATCTATAAATCTTAAAATGAAAAGATCAATTTTAAGTTGAGAAGAAAAATCAATAAGAATGATAAACATGATACAACGAAAAATTTACTGTAAAATAATAATATTTAAATCATTTTGTATTCATTTTATCTTTATTCCTTAAAATATATTTTTAATCTATGATGTCAAACAAAATTTAATTAACTATGAATGTATTTAAGGCTTCGAAATCAATCCATAAGTTAAAAAGTGTAAACCAATAAATATCTAATATAACTAATTATAATTTAAAAAAAATAATAAATATAAACATTACATTGATAAAACAGTTATATTCTACATCATTTTTATTACTCCAAATTTTCATTCGTGTTTATTAATAATAGGATTGATTTTTTATAGCTTATTAATGAAAAATAAATAAAATATATATCTTTTTTTATAAAAATAAAATGTTAAATATTTTAATGAAAAGACTCCATAAACCCTAATAAAATTATTTCATTAAAAAAAATAAACATTTATAATAGGAATATATAAATAAGCAGATTATAAGATGTATAATTTGATAATAAACAATGTTAATTATTTTAGAGAACTCTTTATTTAATTAAGTTTTAATAGTACTCAAAGATCAAAATATCTGAGATTGATTATATATTTATGAATATTTGATATACTTTGGGGAATATAATTTTTGAGTAAATAATATTGAAATATATTTTAAATGGATGCTTTTAATAATATAAATAAATTTAATAATTAGATGTAGACAGATAGTCAAGCAATAGATTTAAACCGAAAAATATTGAAATCAAGTTTAACAAGGTAATTTACAAGATCCCCAACAAGATCAAGAAAAAGAATAATTTCTTTACCACCATTAGAGGCAGCATAAAATCAATATTAGAAATTAAAGTAACGTGTTATAACTTACCACAAAGAGAGTCCAAGAGAAGTATTTAGTTTAATTATCAATGTTGTAAGGTTTGATATGTTTAACGATTCGGGAGTTAAATGGATTGTGTTTGAATACTTGTAGATATACAAAAGCTAAAGAAGAGAAAAAATATTTTCTAAATAACAAATATTTCGATTCTTGTTTTAATGCTATGAACAAAAGAAAATTCTAATTATTTAATAAATGATTTTTATATATATCTCATTTTCATTTTAATTCATTTTAAACTATTACCATGGCTTTTTATAAGATTGAAACATCGGCATCTTGAAATACATAGAATCCATTATTTTAAATAAATCCTAATCCATCTAATGCAGTTCTAGCTCCTAAGATTGTATCAATTTTATTCAAATAAGCTTAAGAAGTTAATGAAATTTTTCTAAACTTTTCTTCTTAAGGATTTTTATAAATATTTTCTAAAATTAAATATAAAAATAAAATAGATTACCAAGTATTTTAAGAATAAGTGATAATGAATTAAAAGCAGTATCAGGAATAAGATCAGGTGGATAAGCAACTTTAATTTATTTTATACCTAATTCAAATAATTCAATAGGTGAATAATTTTTTTGTTATTATTATTATTATTATTATTTAGAATAAGATTTTCCAAATCTAGCTTCTTTTTCTCTTCTTAATTATTCTTCCATTTCTTATTTATCTTTTAAGAATTATTCTCTTTCTCTTTTTGCTTTTAATGCTTCTTATTTCTTTTTTTATTCTTCTAATTCTCTTCTTACATCATTCATTGCTTTTCCTGAAGCAATTCTATTTTTTTCTTATTCAAAAGCAGCTTATTCTTCAGCAATTCTTCTTTTTTCTCGAAGTTTCTATTAAAGTTCTCTTGCTTTAAATGCAGCTTCTTCAGGTGATATCTTTTTTCCAGAACCAACAATTTATAATTCTTCTTCAAAATCTTAATCATTTTTATGTTCTTCAATCCATTTAATAGCAGCATCAACACCTTAATTATTAGATAATAATAATGATTTTTCAGATACATTTTTAGAATAACCTTATGACATTAAAATAGCAACATGTTCTTCATTAACATATTTACTAATAGAATCAAGTTATTATTATTATTATTATTATGATTATGTTTGTGTTTATGGATTATCTTATGATTAATTTTCAATGTATGTAAGTAATACCTATATTAATTATATATATATATACTCCAATGTCATAAGAATTTGTTGAATTAATTGCATTTGTGATTTACTCTTCTGTAAATCCCATTTCTAAAAGTGAAGTTTTAGCATTATCCATTTTATTAAATTTATAATGATGAAAAACTTTATAGTTTTTGAGAAATTAGGAGAAGGTAAATATACTAAAGTAACACATATTAAGGATCATTTTCTACAGTATTAAAAGTGAAGAGATAATCAGATTAATAGGAATATGTAATGAAGAAAGCAAGAATAGGATAATTGAAAGAGAAAGAGAGCTCTTTTGAATGAAATTAGAATACTTGCTAGCATAAAGCATCCAAATATTATCGGTTATAAAGAAGCATTTTATGATGAATAATCATAATGTTTATGCATTGTAATGGAATATGCAGATTAAGGAGATTTATTATAAGATATCTAATAGCATATATAACATAAGTAATATTTTGAAGAAATGGAAATTTGGAAAATGATTTACTAAGTGATATTAGGTATATAGTTATTAAATATATGTTTGATAGCATTACAAACATTACATTAAATGAAGATTTTACATCGAGATTTAAAGTCAGCTAATGTATTTTTACATCGAAGTAATTATAAACTGGGAGATATGAATGTTTCTAAAGTAGCTAAGAAAGATTTAGTATATACTTAAACAGGAACTCCATATTATGCTAGTCCTGAAGTATGGAGAGATTAACCATATGATACTAAAAGTGATATTTGGAGTCTAGGTTGTGTTGCATATGAAATGGCTGCACTTAAACAAACCTCCTTTTAGAGCATAAAATATGGAAGGATTATATAAAAGAGTCTAAAGAGGTTTATTTGGAAAAATACCATCTAAATTTAGTGGAGAATTAATGACTATTATTGGATTGTGTTTATAAGTACAAAGTAAATCTAGACCTTCTTGTAATTAATTACTTAACAATCCTATCCTATTCTTAATAAACTTAATCATCATAAGCTGGATCTAATGTACTTCTATAAACTATTAAATTACCTAAAAATTTAAAATAACTGAAAGAAAAACTACCTTAATCTAAATATCTAAGTGAAAGTCTTAATAAGTCTTATGATCAATCTTAACTTAATAGTCCTCATCTACCTAAAATTAATAATCATAAAGATATTAGACCTAATTGTTCTGTTCCACCATTAAAAAGTGATAGATATCAATAATAATAATAATAATTATTATAATTATAATTATAATTATAATTATAATAATAGCATTCAAAAATCAACTCTTTACATGAAGATAGATCTAAATCTATTGTTAATTCAGTCTAAATGCTTGAAATGGAAAGAATTAGATAAAAGAAATTATTAGAAAAATAATACATTCGTTAAAATGCTATACCATGTATCAATAGTTCTTCTTCTTAAATACAAAATCTATATGTAAATAAACAAAACATTCATGAATCAAATCAATTAAAATAATACTCAGAAATACCCAAACCCATCTGGTGGGGATGATGTTTATATTTTTATTATTTTTTATAAATTCTCATTAATTTATTAATCTATTGATAGATATAATATTTATATTAAAATTAATCTTTTCATATTAAAAATATATATAACTCTTATTTTAAATTATTTACAGATATCAATATTTTTATCATTGATTTATTAAATCTTCATCAGTCATCAAATCAGTGTTTAATTTTGGAGATTAAATTATTTAATCAAAAGCTACTTAATAAAGAATAATAATTACCAGCAATTTTTATATCTTTTTAAATTACTTACTATTAATTCTTTCTTGTATCCTATTTGTTGTAATCTTAATAAAATTATAATTTTATTAAATCTTCCAATTATTATAATTCATCTATTTCAGATTCATTATCCTAATTAAATTAATCTTACATTTGTTTTTCAAAATAATTGGGAGATTATTAATCTAAAATTTCTGAAGCTGCTAAAATTGGTTATTAAATTGGTTCTTCAATATTTTATTCTATAATTGAAGATTTAAAAAGAGAGGATTGAAATTATTGCATCATCATTTTTTCAATATCATTTAAATTATTTTAAAAATGGTTTTCCTAATTATTATTTGATCCATAATAAAATTATTAAATCATAATTTTTTCTAAGTTTTCAATTTCTTGAACATTTTTTGTTTATCCATTAACCATACTAGAAGGATCAAATGAACTAATTATAATGTTAAGACTACTACTATTCAAAGATTTATGCAAACTTGAAATTCGTTATTGATATTATTTTGAAAAAGAATAATCATTAGATTATTTTTATCTATTTAATGATGATATTTCTTTAGGTTTATTTTATTAATTATCTTTAATTTCTTTATTACGTTATTATATTCCAATTTCTTTAATTTGTGATTCTAATTAAATCTTAGTTGATACTACATTTTAAATATCAGTATAAGATAATTATTAATTATGATTATTTATATTCTTAAAATCTAGATGAATGGATTTCAATTATTAAAGAACTTATTGATATTTAATAGAACCAGGATTATGACTTCTTCTAATAGAATATCTTAAACTTGAATTAGAAATATTGCTATTCTAAATTTTAAATGATCTCCTATCTTCAGGTCTATTATGATATTATCTTCTTGTAGATATAATAACTGATTTTAATGGTTCAGTTTCCAAATCTAAATAAAATAAATAGAATATAACTTTTAAAAATAGGATGATTTAATAATTCAGTAGGTTTTGATCTTTCTCGTGGATTAATTTTGAATATACAATTAAATATTTAAAGAATGTCTTAATTCTTAGTGATATATTGATATGGAAATAATTCTTTATAAAATTAATAATTAGATATACATCCTTTTTCAAAGCATATTTTAATTTAATTTAGAGTAATATTTGAAGATAAATGATGCCAAGGAGATATTCTGGTTAACATTTCAATAAAGATACAACCAGCACTCCAAATATCAGATTATTCACAATAATTTTAATTTTTAAAACATTCAGGTGGACTATAAATTGACAATTTATAATCTTTCAATACATAAATATCACTTAATTTAGCATTTGCTTCACCATCAACTAAAACATTAGAAGTTTTTAAATTTCTAATAGAATAGAAATAATACTTATGAAGAATTCCAAAATTATGTAAAGATTCCAATCCTTATAGAATTTGTTTCATAAACATTATAGCTAATTAAGTAGAAAATGAATTGAATTTCTACAATAACCAACTTATTGAACCACCACTTTCATATGACATTAGAATTCTTATTTCATCATGAATAACTTCATTATTATGAATCGAGTAATCCCATCCAATTATTTAATGTATATTTTTAGATTCCAATCTTGTAAGGACATCAACATAATTAACAATAGTATTAAAATTATCCTACTTACTTAATTTAAACTAATATAATATAAGTCTATACAATTTTTAATGCTAAAAGTTAACCATTCAATGTATTCAATGCACAATATACATTACATCCTTCTTATATTAAATCTCCTTAAATGTAATCATATACTATGTTCTATCTTTATTGATGTTATTTACTTGATCTTCTTCTTCTTCTACTTATTCTTCAACATTCTACTCTACATTATCTTCATTCTTTAACTCTCATATTTGAACATCATTTACTCTCATGCTCTTATCACTTAACTATGATCGATGAACTATCCTTCCTTTCTCTCTCTTCTTCTTTTTAAAACACGGTATAGTACCCATTATAAAATATTAAAATTATAATCACATATTATTGAAAGTAGATACTCTCTCTTTCTTAATAACTTTATCATATCAATTACATCTTATTCCTTTTAACATCTATTTTCAAACACATCCTTCCCCTTATTCATTATTAAACATAATTATTTTTTAATCATCATTAATTTTATTACAATCTATCATTATACAATTATCGTACTAATCTTAAAATCACTTTATCTTAACTTACTATAAAACATGTAAAAATTATCATTCTTAAATAGAAACTTTCTTTATTATTTTTAGTTTATTCAAACTCAAAAAGATAAAATAACAATTATGGATCAACAATATGATAAGATCATACTCTATTTAAGTTCTTTAAATTTATATTTACATTCTTCTTGTCTAATCTCATTAACCCTTCTATTTAAATTTCTAATATAACAGATTAATCTCTTTAAAAAAGATTCCTTATGATTTCTTTTATACAATACTAAATGGAAGTAATATTCTATAACATTTTAAAAAGGAATTTAAATTCATTATACTTATATTATCATAAAAATAATATATCTATGTTCAATAACACAAGAAGATTAATTTTAATAAGAATTTTTCAGAAAATTTGAATAAATAATTAAGATAAATAAATTATATTAATCATATATCTTAAATAACATACTGCATACTTAAAAATTATGTAACAAATCTTTCAAAAAATGAAGCATATGTATTAAATTGAATTATAGTTTAAGAATGATAAAATTCCCAAAATTATTTGATTTAAATTGATTTATATTAGATATAGATCTGTCTGTAGAATAATTTATTAAATTATTATAAAACTCTTTTATTATTGATAGAATTATAATGAATTATTTTTAACATAAATGTGAAAGAGAAATTATTATTTTGAGTTTAAAAAACTGAAATAATAAAATTAATAATTAAACTAGTGTTAGTAATTTCAGATGAATACTATTCACTTGAAAATGATGAATACATTTTGAGACAAGATTTATTTTTTTGAATAAAATATATAAATCTATTTATTTATTGATTAATATTAGAATGTAATTAAGAATTTAGGAATGAATAAGAATATTTAGAAAATGAGATTTGAAAAGAATAATGATAGAATATGAAAATTAAAAAAGAGGAAAGAGAAAATGAGAATGATAAATTTGAATAAACAGATGATGAGATTAAATGGTTATTTAATGATTAAGAATTTAAATAAAATCTTGGAATATTTATTTAATTTAAATAAGAAAGTAATGCCTTTAATGGATTAAGAAGTTACGAAATCTTAAGGTGATGGATAGGAGAGTTCTAAAAAGATATCAAAGAAGTCTGGACATTGGAATCAAGATGAACATGAATCATATCTTCGTTTTTTATAAGAAAATGCTAATCATAATAAAGGTCAAAGGCTATTTAAGAGAATGAGCCAAATAATAGGAACAAGAACACCTAGTTAATGCAGGTAAGATTAAATGAAATAAGATTAGATCTCATCATTAAAAGTTCAATCCTATAAAACCTAATGGTAAGATAACGTAAATAAAAATACTTAAAACAAAACAATTAGTCAGATTGTATATGAATAAAAATAAGGAAAAAGATGAGGAAGAGGATTGAATGAGATTATTTTTTATGTAAATATTATATTCAATTTTTGCTGGTTGACTTTGTTAAAATATTTAAATAATTAAAGAACATTTATTTTTTAAGACAAAGAACAAAATTTAAAAAGTCTCAATGGTATAGTTTATAAGAAATATTATTAAATCAGATAGTTTTTAAGAATGCAAAAGATTTAAGTAATTTTATAAAGATACCAAAGAAAAGCAAATAAATCAGAGTAAGTGAAATTTAGAATCATCAATTAAGTAATAAGTATAGAATCAGAAAAATCTAAGTTTAAAGATACATCTTAACAAAATAGTGTTATCTAAAGAAACAATTTAAAGCTATTATATTTTATATAATAAATAAATGAATTTTGAGAATAGTGTGTAATTTATGTAGAAATCAGAAGCTTGTTTAAATTACGAATTAATTTAAGCACCTTTTGTACCAAATACTTTTTCATTATGGAGAGATGTGATATATGAAAATATAGATTCTGATAAATGGTTTGAGTTTGTGAAACAGATAGATAAATAACTATTTTTAAAATATTTGGAGAAGGTCAGAGAAGCATATGGAAGGAAATTTACATATTAAGATTTAAAGTTAAATATAAGATATGAGATAGATGTTTAAAAGTTTGAGAAAATATTTGAAAATGATTTAAGTATTAGAATATGAAAAAATATCATAGAAAAATAGGTAGATACAATAACAATTCATCTTTCAGATTATTAAACTTAGGTTGAATATGCTTATGATTTATTAAGAAGAATACATACATATAAATTTGTAGAATACAATTTTTAATAATTTTAAACTTGGCAGAAAGATTAAACTTTGTATTAGAAATATTTAGATAAAATAGTAATAATAATATTAATAAAAACATATAGATGAAAGGATTTATTTCAAATGTTTAAGAAATTGCAAGTGAAAAAATAAAGGAGTTCTGTGCAACTGGATTGATAAAAAATAATTCATTTATTGAATCAGGAAAATCCTTTTTTAAATAATTTATATTTAATGGAGGAACTGTAATGACTAAATTGAGTAATTTAAATTTTGGAATATTAGTAATAAATATAATTCTAAAACTTAGATTGGTGGAATAATAGCAGAATAAATAGTAAGTAAAGTGGCATATAATGTAATGATAAATAGAATAAGTTGTAAATTAGAGTTATTGTAAATGGAATTGAATTAGATGACAGATAAATTAATATAAATTAATTCAGATTTTGATAATTTGATATATAGAGTAGTTGAACAATTTCCTAATAATTTTGAATAAAATAAAACATGTAATCAAATTTGAATTGAATGAAGTTATTTAAGCATTTGTCTAAAAGAATTACAAAGTAAATTTAGGATCTGATGTAATTTATTGTCCAGACACTAATACAATTATTTAAAAACAAGTAGAAGAAGATTGTATATTGTTAAATGAAGTGGAATATAATTTACCACTTTAAGAATAAATAGATGAAGATGCTTATGTTATCAATTTATAATCAAATATCTCTGATAATATTAAGAAATAGCATTTTGAATTAATATAATGAATTGATTATAATAATAATTATTATGTAATTTACTTAATTAATTTTATAATGTAAAATAATAACAGCTTTGAGTATTAATCTATTCAAGATAAAAGAGAAATTATGCTCTAGTAAATTATTTTAGAATAAAAATAAAAAATCAGAGAGTTAGAATTGAAAACTTAAAAATAATAGACACCTCCAATGTATAAATAATAATTATTGGAATGTACCAATTAATTAGAAGAAAGTAAAAACATTATCAAATAATTATTGTAATAAAAAGAATAGCTCAATCAAAAGATATAATCAATTGAATCAGAAATGGAATTAAAATAGACCTAAGCTATTTAAGATAAATTAAATTAATATAATTAGAATATTACACAATTATAGAATGAAAATTAATTATTGTAAGAAGAATTAAAATAATTCTAACCATTATCAAAAGCATTAAATAATTATACATAAGAAGAGAAGTATATTTAATAAATCAACATTCTTTATGATTTTATAACAAAGTGTCAAAAATAATTTATGTCAGATATAGTTTATTATAAAAGAGAATTAGAAATTAAAATTAACTAAAAAGATCAATAAAACTTAAAACATATTTAAGAAAAATAAGAACTCATTACATAATTAAATCAAAGAATTAAATTGGATCAACAAATTTAAAATGACGTTATACTTTAATTGTAAACAACTCTTTAAGAAATTTCTAAATGTTAAACAGAGATTAAATAATTTAAGATTTTCAATGGAAATTATCAAAAAATTGAATAATTATTGATATAATAAATTGAAAATCTTAAACCTATTCAAAACATTTCATAAATTTAATAAGTAAAATCTGTACAATCATCATAAATTAGTAAAATTGAAAATAATATACAAGATGATCAAACTGCTTATCTGAAAGCAGAGAATGATTAATTAATATAGACTACAGAAGATATTAAATAATTATCTTTACTTAGGGAAAAAACATTAAAATAAGAGATTCAAAGAAATAAAGATAAATGTGAATATCTGACTTAATAAATTGAAATAAGAGAAAAACATTACATTTAAGATTTACATAAAATTAAATTATACATTGAACAAATAGAGAAGAATTATTAGTCAAGAGAAAACTTTTATAAATTCAATAGCGAAGAACTCTAATCTTTGCTTGACAATTTTAGAACTATAACTTAATAGATTTCCTAAGAATTAAAAAATAGAAAAGGTAATGAACATGTTAAAGAATGTAAGGATTTACTTACAAAGTTAGTTTAAACTAAATCCAAATAACCAAAGTAAATTAAGAGTTTAGAAAAACTGGAAATTATTTGTAAAGATTTATTGAAAAATTAATAATTAATAAAATAGAATGAAGATCTTAAAGAATTGATTATTGATGTTAGCAAATAAATTTTGAATTCTTAGGAATATAAGTAGCAGACTATTATTTTATTTGAAGCACTCGATTAACTTGAAGGCATCATTACTACTCCTAATAAAAGAATTGATGATTTGTTAGATTTATTCCATAAAGAATTACAATAATTAACTAAATTAAGAGAATAAACATATCAAAATAATACAATTTATACACAGATCTTAGAAATCATAAAAGAAAAATAAGAATGTCCAACAATTTAAGCAAATAATTCAAAAGAAGTTGAACATATATCTTAGTTGAGATAACTAGAATAAGAATAATATAAAAAAGAAATTGATATAGCTATTAATAGAAGTCAAAAGCTTTTGGAGGCTCAAGAAATTAAAATTAAGAATCTTGAATATTAATTAAGAAAACAAGAATAATAAATTAATTTATAATATCAATCAACATCAACTTAGTAGAATGAAATGGATTTGATAATTAAATAATAAAATAAGTAAATTTCTAAACTATAAAAACAACTAAATGAAGTCTAATAATAAAGAGTTCAGGATAAAAAGGATTTAATCAAATTAATATAAGATAGTGAAGCTAAACAAATAGAAACCTAAAATAAAAGATTAAAATCAATAGATAATAAATATAATATTATTATTGAAGTTGTTAATAAAAAATTAAACAAACTCATTAAATCAGATAAAGTCTTAAATAATGAATAGTAGTCAAAAGTAATACACTAAGAAACTGATTCTTAGATTAAATAGTTAATCAACAAGGATCAGGAGAGAGATTTACAATATTAAACATAATTAGAATAATTAAGACAAATAATTGATGAATTAAAAAATAATATTTAAAATCTTCACTATGAAAAAGGTGAATTAATTTAGCAATTAGATGAGCTTAATAAAGTTGTCTAAACTTAAAAAAAAGTTTATTATTCTTTTCGTTAACAATAATAATGATTTAAAGTTTTTATTTTTTTAATAACTCAATATTTTTCATCATATATTATTAAATCAAAATCTGTTAATGTAGAGAAAATATTAAATACACATTTGTTTTATAGATTATTTATTTTATTAATTCTTGATTATTTGATGTTCATTAATAAATGGCAATTAAATTTGATATCTAATCATCCTGAATTAAAATCTCTATAATATTAAAATTAAAAAATAATTTATTCACATATAAATGAATAATATCTTTATCAAAATGTAATTTCTTATTTTAAGCTATTACATTAATCTTGTTTATTCATGCTTAAAATATTTGATTAAATGATAATTTAGTTGTCAAATATGCTTTTGAATATGATATTTGACTAATTATCGCTATTTAAAATTACCAATTCATGAGTTACAGTTTATCTAAATCAAATAACTCTTAAAATACTAAAATTCTATATTCGAATAAAACCTCCATATAATATCAACAATTTAAATTTTAGAATCAGGTATAGGAGCATAATGATTTGATTAATTTTGATATCTTTTTACAACTTTATTTAGACAGGTTCTGAAAAATCATTTTATAAAATAATTATTTCGAGTATTACTTTAAATATTTTTAATTATCTGTTCTATACAACGATTCTATTCATTAAGTTGCTGCATTTTAAATGAAATATACTAAACAAAACTTATTCATTATCATATTGATTAAAAAGAACTTAAATAACATTTGATTATCAAATGCTTACAATAACCTGTAAGGATAATAGATTCGAAAAGTATTTCAATAATATTTTGATCTATTCATACTATAAGTGAGATTATAGGTTTTATTCTTCTTTTAAATATTTTACATAGGTATTCTTTGTATATTTTATGAATTATAAGTTTTCTTCTTGATAAAATTTAATGTATCATCTTATATCTACTAATTTTAGTAGTGTATTGTGTCAAAATTCAAGATTATGTATTAAATAAGTAAGTTATTCATAAGTATATTAATATAAAAAAAATTAATAAATTTATAGGATGGGAGTGATATGTTCAAATTCGTAAATAAAAAGAAAGGAATCAAAATAAATATAAACTGATAAAATAGTTGAAATAATAAATAATAATTCATATAACTATAATAACCTAAACATAGTAATAGAGTTGATATACGATATTAGTATCTTTGATATGGCGATATATTAGTAAATGATCTTGATTTGTAGTAGAAACAAGAAGTATAAGTGGTAGAATAGATTAAGATATAATTGATACAAGATATTGAATAGGAAAATGTGAATTCTGTATTTGAAGAATCGTCTCATTAATAGATATAATCTCAAAACCCACCTCCTTCTATAACTTTAGAAAATGAATAAGAACCATATTCACAATTATTGCAAAGTATGATAGTGAAAAAGAAGGAAAAGTTATAGGTAATTTAATAAGACATTGGAATGCTTGATTACTCACCAATAAAATAGGAATCGAAATCATAAATTTCAGAAATAATAGAATCAGTAGAACCTTTCAATTTGGATTTCGAATCGTCTTCGTCTTCAGAAGCAATTTAATGGAACTAGGAATATAGTATAGATAGCAAAGGCGAAATTTTGGTAACTGGGATTGTTAATTGACTTTAAAGTTTTGAATATTATGAATAATATAAAACAATTAATAGAAGCTATTTAAATAGTAGAATAAGAACTTAGTAAATTGAATATAAATCCTGAAGATCGAATACCCATCATTAGTTAAATCTTATTCAAAGAAAATTTAGAAAGTTTAGATAATCTAGATTAAGTATTAATCACATAATTTTAGTAAAGTGGTAAACATTAATATAATGAAAGGTTTAAGTGAATTACATGAATATATTGATTACTTACTATATAGATTAGATTCATAATGTGATTTTGAACTAAATTTAAATTATTAAACAAATGATAAAATATTGTCAGAAATAACATAATGTTAGTATTAACTTAAGGAATAAGCAACTTAAGATGAAAATGATGTAAAGAAAATATAAAGGCCGAGAATTTACATTTAAAAATGAATTATAGATAAATATAATAAATATTATTAATATGAATAAAAGCGAATAATAATGATATAAATATAATAATTTAAATGAAAATGTCACAATTCTTGAAGATTTTAAAACAAAAAGTCAATGAATCTATCTCCTTTAACATTTAAAATATCCAAATAGTATTTTGTGGCTAATTAATCATTTTCATCTTTATGAACAAAGAATAAAAGTTCTTTGATGTAAATAATTCTATCAAAATAGTTAGTGTCTAGATAATAAATTTGATTTGAATACTTTCTTCTTCTGATACTTTTTCAAATTCATCAAACCAAGCTGGAGTGTTAACAAAATTATCTTTATTAATCAAAAGTCCATTTAATTATGTTTAATAAATTGATAATTCCTCCTCTTTTGGAGTTGGTGATTAGAGTAAGATCAAATAAGTACAAATTTATCTAACATTAACGTAACTATAAGAGATAAGATAAGGTTTAATACCCATTTTAATCCAATACTTTGAGAGCTTTCATCCATTAAGCAGGTGTTAATTTAATTACTTCATATGATGATCTTGCCAAGAGTAATGCTAATTATTTAATATCTATAAGTAAATGAGTATTAGTTATGGCTCTTAAGTCTTCAATTAAATAATATAATTGAGATATTGAAAATCTATCTTTAGAGATTGGTTCTCTAGCTGCAAGAGGAGGAGGAATAGGTGTTAAAAAATTTAAAACTTCATGACTTATAATAACATCTACAAATTATAATTGGAGTTCTTTTTAAATTCTTTCACCTCTTTCTATAAATCCTCTAAATAAATTAGAAATTGCATCTAAAGCTTTTATTTCAGTTAAATAAGTATAATGAATCCATTCATCTAATTTAGTATATAAAAGATCAGCAGATTATTTATATTATCTAATTGTTTAAGATGCATATCTTCTTATTACATCTACTCTTTCTTTAAATATTTATTTCTCTAAATTTATAGCATTTATTCCTTCTGTATTCTATAACTCTTTTTTTATTATTTCTTCTTCTTTTCCTTTCTTTCCTTTTTTTTCCTCTTTTTTTGCTGGTTATTTACCTCCCTTTTTTGTTTTATCTTCTATAATTTCTTCTTCTCCTGCAAATATTCTTAAAACATCTGCTATCAATTTATCTAATCTAATTTAAGGATCATCACCATCAATTATTTGTAATTCTCCAACAGATGGTTATATTTCTTATAATTCTATTCCTTCTAATGTTCCATAATAATCATTTAATAATTAAATTGAATTTGTTACTCGATCTAATTCAACAACAAGCATCTATTTCAATTATTAAAGATATAAATCAATTTCATTCTCTATAAATTATGATGTTTATATTTGTGTTTTCTCTATTATTAAATCATCTCTCTTTTGATCTATTATATCTATCAATTGATCATATAAATCATCAACTCTCTAATGTAATTCTTCTTTACAAACTTCTTCTTCACATAAATCAGGATTTTCTAAAACAAATTCATTATATTATTCTTAAAAATTTCTAATAAAAAAAAACTTTTCATCTGGAGTATTAATCAAATCAATAAATTTACGTTAAATATCCATTTAATAATTAGTAATGAATTCACGTTACTCTCTAAATCCTTTAAATATTATCTATAAAGACATATACTTGTTTTCAATCACATTCCAAAAAGAATGTAAATATTTTAGAAGTGTTTAGCTTGGCTATTTTACAGGTAATGTATCTAATGTTACTTATTTAAATTGACATTTTTTATCTTATTCTTCTAATTCTAATTATTATTTGAGTGATTATTCTTATTCCAGAATTTTATTTTATTAATCTTCAAATTTTTATTAGATATTATTAATTTAAATTTGAAGAAAATTTTAAAATATTTAATCTACATCATAGAATACTCTTTCATAATTATTAGATGCATCAACATTAACAAATGCATTTTATATATTTTCTCCTGATTTTGATTCAAAACAGTTATACCAATTTTAAAGTCCTTGAATTTATGTCATGAAATATGAATTTTTATCTGAGATTTATTATTATAGATTATCAACTTCATATAAAGATTTAATTCTTTCAATAAGAGGAGCATTGTCAACAGGAGGAGGATTAGTATCTAAATGATATAAAGAATGATTATGATTATCATATCTTCTTCCAATTGCTCTTCTCAGACACATTTCATTTGATGGCATTTCCAAATATACACAAATTCCAACTCCACTTTCTTATTTAGTCCTTGGAACTATACGATATTCATTTGGTTTAACAATTTTAGCTGCTTCCTGTAGTCTCGCTTCTAAAGGTGTAGGTTCATCTTATGGTTGTATATTAGTTAGATATTTTTCTAATAATTTAGCTTAGTCATAAGTTTAAGGAAATCCTACTAGTAACCAACCTTTACAATAAGGTTTATTATTAATCATGTTATTTCTATGAAAATCTTCCCAATTAATTCCATCATCATTAAAATCATCAATATTCTTAATTGGTCTTTAATTGTGATTTTAAGATTTGACTTTTTATTCTTCATAAATTTCTTCAAATGTTTATATTGAAAAGGATCTTTTAATCTTCTACACAATTGCTTTGATGTATAATTCATCAGGAATGTTTTCACCTTAAAAAAGATAATTAGATATCGATTGACCTAATTCAATTTATTATTAATCCCATACTTAAGAGTGTTCTTAACCTTCTTAATATTTACTTATATATTGCAACAATTCATTTATAATAACATCAACACACAATAATGTAATTCCATATTTCTTACTTAATAACTCACTTAATGTTTTTTTACCACTAAATGAAAATCCTATCAAACTTCCCCTAAATGGTACATAAGGTATATTTAATTCTTAATGTTCCGTATTAGTAATTTCAAATTAACTTTCAATTAAATATCTAACCAAATTTCCAAATGTATAATTATTCTAAGCTTAATAAATATTCCATGCTCCAGTTCCTTATAAATAATCTTACATTTCCATTTAAGCAAGAAATATTTTTTATTTATAATTTAGTGTTTCTTATTTTTTCATTTCTTTAATTGGATCATATGTACTAAATCTTTTATATGGTATAAGATCCATTCCATATTCAAATAAATGATTATTTTCTCTAGTAAATTATTCATTAATTTAATTAGAATCATGATTTTATAAATGTTCATAAACTTATTCTTCAATTTCAAATAGAATTTCAACTAATTTTCTACATTTCTAATAATTCTATTATCTTGTATGTAATTTGTATTCAACATTAATTTCTAATTATCTTTTCTATTATAATTCAACTTCTTCACTAAATTCTTATTATAATGCTCTTAACATTTCTTCTTCTTTAAATTTTTAATTTATAACATTTAATTCCTATTTATTTTTATAATTTTCATCTCTTAATATTCTATTTTCACAAATGACTTATCTACATTAAAATGCTCTCCAAATTTCATACATAATTTCTTTTTCTTATTTACTTTACTATTTTAATTTCTCTACAACACTATATTCTCTTCTCTATAATTCATCCGTCTACTTTTCTTAATCAACAATCATCTTTCTTCTTCTTTTATCTCTCTCTTTTCTTAAAAATTCATTCATCATCTTATTTCTTAAACCTAAACTAACTGGTTCTTCTCCTTATCTTTTCTCAAATTATTCTATCTATTCTTCCATTTCATTCTTTAAAAATTATTAAGTCTACACTAATCTCTCTTCTGTCATTTTCAAAATTGTTGATTTAAATTTATCATCATTTACTTTATTTTTATGTCTTATCTATTAATTTTTCTTCCAATTTTCTATCCCTTTCTAATTCCAATCCTCCATAAATGCCATATTTCTTTATAATTTATTTAATTGAATCTTACGCATTTCTTCTTTTAAATTTCTTTCCTCTGTTTCTTCTTTAATTTTTAATCTTCTCTCTTTTTCTGCTTATTAAATAGCAAATGTTGTAAATTTACCTAAATGCTTTTCTAAATTCACTGATTTTTAAGCTTTATTTCTTTCATTTAAATTTTACATAAAAAAATCTTACTCCATCTTATCAAATTATTCTTTTGGTTATTTTATTACCATCAATGGCTAAATAACATTATATTTTCCTGTTTTTGCATGCATCATTACATCATGTGGATCATTTACTTTTTATAATTACTAAAATAATTATGAAATCTCTTTTACCATTTATAATTAATATAACAATTACATTGCCACTCCTTTCTTTCCTTTAATTACTTAATCAGCAATCTAAAAATTAAATTAGATTCTCAATGTCTTAAATGTTGGTTCAAGCAATTAGAAATTTTTCATTTTTGCCTCTCTTACATCTCTATCAATATTATCTTATTTTATTACTTATTTGAGAATTCCTCAAAATTTAGCTACTGATTGAATTTGCTCAATAATTCACCAAACAAATATCCATTACTGAAATCTTGTTCAAATGATATTACCTTTTTACTCAATTGAACTTCATCATTTAACCATACCATTAGAAGTTACGACATTTATAATTATAATAAAAATTATCAAATCAAATAACAATTGCATTCAAATTCGTTCTTAGAATATCATGATATAATTAAAAGTCATAATCATTCAATTTACTCTAAGCTAATTCTTCAAAATCAATAGGGGAATCTTTTCCATCTCTTAAAACCCTCGTAAAATTAATTAAATACTCAGTCAACACCAATAAATATGTCTCACTCATATTTTACAAATTCTTTTAAGCAATAGTCAAATATTCTATACAATAATCCTAACATAGTTAAGGAACTCTCTCAACACTAAAATCACAAGATAATCTTAATTCTTCAATATCATGCATAAATTGTACATAAAATTCATGTTCTCTTTTCAATTCTGGTAATTCTCTCAATAATTATTGACTCAATACTAAAACCCACTTTGACAAACAAAATGCTAATTTTAATAGAATATTGTTCCCATCACAAAATTATAAAATTTCCTATTTATTAACAAGTATCTCTTAACATAAATAGTGTTTGAAAATGATCTCTTATCTTTTCTTTAATTATTCTGGTTGGATTGAATTAATATTTGATTTAGTATCACATGAAGCACTAACTTCAAGAATATTAGTTTTACTCTAAAATTGTGGTTATGGAATAGATTTTTTATCAGCTTTCATTAATGGTGATAAATTAATCATCTAAACAACTTCTTACCAATTAGGTCTTCTAAATTCATCAATAGTTAATGTTTTTTCTAGAAAGAACATACTAAATTAACTAATTTTTGCTTATTTCAATTTCTCAATAATAGATTATTATAATATTTTTTTCAATAAAGATTGAGGATCATTAGCTAACCAAGGAAGATTTCCAAAAATCATTTCAAAATAGATAACTGCTAAAGACCAAATATCACATTTGAAACAATATTGTTAATATCCTAGTAATTGTGGTGCCATATAATATGGAGATCCCACCAACGATTTAAGCATATTGGTACTTGAATAATTATTAACAATTTTAGCAAATCCAAAATCAGCAATTTTAAATATACCATTATTTATTAAAATATTTGCTGGTTTCAAATCTCTATGTATAATACTGTGTTTTTATAATTCTTTGAATCCTTCAACAATTTATCTAAGTACTTCAAATGATTCAATTTCACTTAATCTTTTTTAATTCAAAAGTTCTTTTAGATCACCATCTTTACAATATTCAATAATAATGTAGATATATTTAGGAGTATCAATTAAATCAATAAATCTAACAATGTTTGGATGATTACATTTTTTAAGTATTTCAATTTCATTAATGATTTGTTATTTAATATACTTATCTTGTTATTCAATGAATTTAGTATCAATTTATTTGATAGCAACTTATTCATTATTTTCAGTATCTTATCCTAAAAATACTTTACCATAAGCACCTTCTCCAAGACAGAAACGAGAATTGAATTAAAACTTACCAACTTGAACATTCATTTTTTTTAATCGTTTTTATAATAATAATAATGAGACAATTCATATTAATTTTGCTATTGATGGGTGTTATGTGTTCTGATTTAGAGAATACAATAAAAGAAGTAAAAATATAAATGTAAGTAGATGAGAAAAAGTGAATTTGGTCGATCATTTTTATAGAAGATATAAATGGATGATCCAGTTGAAAAAATAATAAGAGACATTGCAAACTTTTATAATAATGTAGACAGAAGATTAGAAGAGGGAGTATAACAATTTAAACAATCTCAAGAGAAGTGTAATTAAGAAATAAAAGAATTAAAAAGTAATGATGATGAATTGAATCATAAATTAGTAATTGAATTAGTAATTTAATATATAGAGAGATATATAAATAACAAGAGCAAGAAAATAACCTCGTTATGATTTGATAATTCATCGATTCCACTAAAAGAATAAGATGAGATAAGAATTAGATCATTAAGAAACTAGATATATTGAATTAAGAGAAGCAGAATAATCGTTTTTTAATTATAATTAAGATTAATTTGATAAAGCAATGGTAGTAATTGTAGAAATCAGAAATAAATTTATTGCTTATTTGTCTTAGAGATAGAATAGATAAAGGAAAGCTGCAGTTAGAGATAATTAATATTGGGATGATGATGAAACTCCATTTAATAATAATGATGATGATTATGATGAAGAAGAAGAAGAGAGATAACATAATGAAAAATATGCATTCATCTAAATTATTGTAGCTATATAAAGAGTAAAGGGAGGATTAGAAATGGTATTAGTAGATAATTAAATATTTAGAATGGAGTTACTTAATTGGTATAAGGGATTGAAGATTTATGTTAATAAATGCATGATATAAAAGAAGGAAATATCATTTATGATGATTCAGAAGAAACTCTAAATAAATTAGCTAGTTAAGTTATTGATATCACTGCCAGTATTTTAGATTGGATTGCATAAGTTAAAAGAAGAGAAGAAAAAGCTGATGATAGTAAAGGAGATCTTATTATCTAAACTTTAAAATTAATAAATAAATAAAAATAATAGGCCGATGTTGAAATATCATAATTAGCAAATGAATCTGCTGCTTTAAGTTAATAATTGAATTCATTGGAGTAAAGTGAAGATTTGACTACATTCTCTATTACTAATAATAAGGATTTATTATCTACTAAAATTGAAATGTGTAATGATTAAGAAAATGCATATAAATTAGAAAAAAGATAACTGTACATTCCTTATTTACATTAGGGAAGAATAATTGAATACTGTTGGATTACTCTTAGAGGCTATGGAATAAAAAGGAGGACAATTCAAGAGAGTTATGAAAACTTTAGAAGGAGTAGCAGATTACAAATGATTTATAAATAATCAATTATTTTATTATTAATTAATTATGGAGCAAAATATTCCTCATTAATTGATTATACGAAACAAAAATGGAGTTTATCTTACATCCATGTTAGCTAAATCAGATGAAGAAATGTAACTCCTTATTTAAGATGCAAATGCTTAACTAATCATATTGATAGATCACATTATTATATTCAATAAATAATCCATCAAACTTCATGATTATAAATAACTTCTCAAAGAAATTTAATTTACAAACTTGTAGAATATTCATCTTACTGAATCTAAATAAAATCTTCTCATAATTGAGAAAATAGATTAGCAATAATTTTAATTGCAAGTCTTTAAATTTCCATCATTAGAACAAAAAGCAATTAATTTCAATTTTAAAACTTTTAAAAGAGAAACCTGGCCTATCTTAAAGTTTTCATCTGATGATCAATACTATTTTATTATCCTAAATTAAAAATTACATTGTTATGATGATAATAAATGTATCTATTAAACTGATATTGGAAATTGTGAGTATTTTAGTGTATAACCTAATACAGCAAAACCTTTAGTTGTTTGTTATAGTTTGATGGATTTCAATATCAAAGAATCCTTTTTAAAAATAGTTGATATTAATGGCAAAGTCAAATATGAAAAAAAATTACATTAAACTAGTGATCTAGAAGTCATATGGTCACCAAATGGATAATCCTTATTAATTAATAAAGGATTTCATGAAGATAATACAAATAAAAGTTATTTTGGATAAAATTAAGTATTATTTTATGATTTTGCAAAAAATGCCCTCAGAGAATTACCAACCTATGAAGGACCCATTCATCATATATAGTGGTCACCTTCTTCTAAAGAATTTATTCTATTATCAGGTTTCATGCCTTCTGGTGCTGTTATGTATGACAATACATGCAAACCACTATTTGAATTTGGTAAGGACCATAAGAATAAAATTATTTGGGGAAATGGTAGATTTGTAATGATTTGTGGATTTGGTAATTTAGATGGATCAATTCATGTTTGGGATGCTAAAACTCTTAAATAAGTTAGTACAAATAAATATAAATCAGCCAGTTTATGTAATTGGTCACCGTGTAGTCGATATTATATATGTGCAAAAGTAACACCTAGAATGAATGTAGACAATTAATATTCAGTTTTTGATTATAATGGTAAAGAACTAATGAATAGAAAGTTTATGGAATTATATGATGTTTAATTTAGACCTTCAAATATAAAATTTGAAGAAAGACCTCCTACTCCTACTAAATAACCTCCATAAGAACCACCAAAAAAATAATTTGTTGCATTTGCTGACAACCCTCTTGCTTAATAAATGAGAGCTTTGAAAGCTGGAGAAGGCGCTAGAGTATTATAAGTTAATGAAACATTTGGTAAACAATAAAATAATAATTATCCTCCTGGATATGAACCTCCAAAAGAAAAGAAAAAAAGAGTAAGAAAACCAAAATAATAATAATGATAGATCATATAAATCTAAAATTATCTATTTTTTTGTTTTACTACTTACTCTTCATTCCATTAATATTAGAATAAATTAAATAAACTAAATTAATTCTAAAATTTCTATGTGTTAGAGGAGGTTGTTTATAAAATTATTGTAAAATATCATAATTATTTTGATATTATTTTCCTCTATTTTCTAACATATTAATAAGTATCTAAATAATTTTTAGGGATCCTTCTAAATTAATTTGTTAATGAAATAAACAATAACTTAAGATAGTATTGATTTCTTTACAGATACTTATTTATTGATAAGATCGTAAATCATATTATCATCAATTGAATTGTATTCATTCATTTTCTAATTATATTCTTGAGTCGATCTTCTAAACATTCAGTTATTATATAAACACTTATTTAATTGATTAGGTCTCATTTTTATTTTGATTGGAAATCTATAAATATATATTAAAATAATAAAAATAGGAAATATTTATTTATAAAAAAAGTAGAAATATTTAATGTTTATAAACAAGACCATTTTAATAATCATTTTAATTTGCTTATTTATTATTGTACATTGTTACGCATTGACTCAAAGATTATACCTATTATAAAGGATTTGTATGCAACACTTTAGAATAATGGGATTATTACTGTTAAAGTGCCTCACTCAATTCTTACATATATAAAGAATAAGCTTGGTACAATATGATACTCATATCTGAAAAGGCTAGGATCAGAAAAATAAATAAGTATGGTTTTTTATCTAGAAATACAAAAATTCCCATAATGATAATTATTAGGGATTATATTAATGGCTATATTAAATAAGATTATTACCTAAGGGAATTGATAAAAGAGATGCTGAAATGGATAAAATGGTAATTTAGAATCCTTTAATAAATAGCAACCTGTAATAATAAAATAGAGTGCAGCAGGAATAAGCAATATTTTCATAATAATAAAAAATAAATATATATATATATTATATTATTATTATTATTGTAAAAAAACGAATTAATGATAGTTGTCTTATTTATTTCAACAGCATTAGCTATATAGATGAATGAACAAATTACACTTACAACAGAATCATAAACAGCTGTAAAAGAATTTCTTCAATCTGGTCCATTAGGAAAGATGATGTTTGAATTTGCTTAATTAGAGATGCACGTAATAAGCATTATCAAAAATTAGAGGCTTCTGGTGCTGTAGATATCTTGATTGAAGTTCTTAAAGCTTTTGGTCGTCAATAAGAAGATAGATTAAATGAAGAAAACACCATTGTAATTATTATTATTTAATTTAGTGGTAAAATAGACTTGGTGATCATAATGCACGTAGAATTCAATATGAATCACTCGTAACTGAAGGTGGATTAGCTATTAATAGAGATAGAAAAAAATTAACATAAGAATATGAACCTAGAAAAGAGGAACTTAATGATATTTTAATAACTTTGAAAACCAATATGGGTAAAAATGAAGTTGCTAAAAAGAATGCTGAAGCATTAAGAGCCGAATAAAATTCATAATTCTAATAATAAGCTAATGAAATTACTGAAGCTATTAAAGCTACTGATGATACTTTAGAATATATTAAAAGATGCAGTTAAAATTCATTTATTGAAGTTGAATAAATTAATGATCATCTTCTATTCCTTTAAAAGAAATCATCCAAATCTACAGATTATGTTGGATCTATTATTTAAGCATTAATGTAAATTACTGAAAAATAAAACTTTGCTGATAGAGAAGTTTAAAAACAATTAGTTGATCTATTGTAATCACTAAGAGGATATTTTGTTGAAACTTTATAGGCAGCTTATAATGATGAAGATTAATAAAAATTATTACATTCAAATAGAATGACTCAATTAGAAAATGAAAAATAAGTATTTGAAAAATAATACAGTGATGCCTATGCAGAAAGAGAATAAAGATCATGTAATTATTATAATTTCATTTTAGTATAAATTGAAGACACAAATAGATTATTAGACACAAGGGCTAAAGAATTACAAGGTTATTAAGATCGTTTAACTACTGAAAACAATAATTTTTCATAAAATCAAAAAATTCATGATGATTTAGTTGCTGCTATCAGTGGAGAAATTGGTTTTATTGAAAAAGCTTTAGATGTTTTAATGACTTAAGCTTTTTCTGATGAACTATAATCAGCTATTAATAAAGCTAAATGAATTATGTTCAAATCAAATATATTTATTATTAAATCATATTATATATATATCTTATTAAATTAAATTTAGTACAGATCAAATATTACATTTTATTAGTATAATCTAATTATATTAAATTAACAATTAATATATTATTATTTAATAATTAAGATTTATTGAAATTCCAATTAAACTAAATATGTCAAAAAAAATAGAATCAATAAAATACTTTTCTCTATCTAAAGGATTATAAATAAATATATATTTTAAAAAAAATAATTAATATATTTTTAAATTATTATGAATTAAATAATTTTTATACTATTTATTCAGATTCATTAAAATTCTGTGTTACAAATTGGACATTTTTTATTCTGATTCAACCAATTTGTGATGCATTTTTAATGGAAAATATGATTTATATGACATTTTAATTATACAACTCGATTTGTAGCTGAATATTAAATCAATTATTGTAGACAAATTGTGCAATCTAATTTCTCATTTAGCTCTACTTGAAAAATAAAATTATCTTCTATAGTTGATAAAGGTGGAAGCTTTTATTAATTGGATCTATTATTTTCAATAAGAATAACTGGATTATTAATAGGAATAATATTTATTTCTTATTATCTTTACACAAGTATAAGCATTTATTATTATTCTACAGTCTAAACTTATTATTCATAATTTTCTTATGGTTAATTTTCAAATTTCTAAATAACGTCTCCAAAATCCAATATTGGAAATATTAAGTATTTTATAATCATTAAACCAATCAATACTAATTATGCTATTGCACAATCATAAACGATAAATATATCATAATTTATTACTACATCAGTCATTTCCATTTAAATTTCAAACAACATAATACCGACTGCAGTAAAAATACATGACAATACTAAAAAAAGCTTAAATAATAATCTTGTTGTGTTATTTCTTTATAATAAGGATTCTATCAAAATTTAATGATTGATGAACTATAAATCATCATGTTATTGACCATTATTTACTTATAAATTTTAAATTATATTTTTACATGATGAAGTAGTTCTGAATATGATTAGGATGAATATTATCATAATTGCATGATAAAATAAATTCGAATAAATTAAAATTTTTGAAGTTTCATTCTGAGTTTAAATTAGAATTATAACTAATGCTACAAATTTTCCGATAGAATTAAGTAAAAAAACCATACAAAATACTTTACTCCAAATTATTGTTTTTGTAATATCTATTGAATAGACTAACATTTACTTAAATTTTAATTATTATACTAATAAGAAGGCCATTAGCACTTTTTGACCAAAATTTCTAATTTCAAATAAACACCAGATATTTAATATCCTAATAATAAACCCAGCTATATTATGCATAATACTGATAGTGGAATTAGCATAGGTCCTTCAAACTTTGGTTTAACTGAATATTTGATGCAATCTTTATTATTGGAATTTATGTATTTCCTATTCTGTTATTTATCGTTGCAATCATAATAGTTCCTATCAATGATATTTAATATCAAGAATAACAAAGCAAATGAACAATATAATTGTATTAACTTACTCATAGTAAATTTAGATTGGTCAGTATATAGTAAGTAAAAATTGTGTGAAGATGAGTAAACCTATTTATTCATTTAAGATTCTTAAACTACTCTATACCATCTATCTTAAGCTTCTGATATTTGCAATTTTACGTACACCGTACATCCAAAAAGAGCTGATTATATTAGGATTATTAAAATGCATAGAATAATCACTTATTCTTATTCTTAATTTTTTAAAATAGCTACTATAGTAACAGAGATAATCACTAAAATGTAAAGCATGAAGAGATAGAGTAGGAGAGCAACTTTACCAAAACTTAAAGGCTGCTAGGCTACTTAATTTTTTGTTGAAACCTCTTGATTGCTAAATTACCTTGTTAATTATTAAAAGTACTTAATTTACTATCGAGGTCTTTCAATGCTTCTCATTAAATATCAGATAGAAAAATAATCAAAATTATATATGTTAGTAAAAGCTAATAAACTAGATTTAATTTTTATTTTATTGTAAAAAATAAGCTTTCTAAATAAAAGAGCTTAAATTCTGAAAAAACTTAAACTGTAAGTTTTTTCTAATTTTTGTATTTATATCAAATAAATGAAGTGGTCTAATTATTAGATGATAAAATATTCATTTAAGATCTTAAGAATTAATAAAAATTTATGATTATGATATCCTATTTTTTAAAAACAACTCAAAACCTTATAAAAAAACTATAAAATTAAAAAATTGTTGAATTCCATTTTGCAAATTAATATTTTATTAAAAAATTGTAAATCTCACAATTCTTGTTATATAAATTCATAATTATAAATAACACTGATATAATAATTTGCTAACGTGATCTATTAACAAATATAAATAAGTTTATGTTATTTTAGTTTTTATAATATTTAGGTTTCAATTCTGTAATTACTTATGAAAACTTCTCAGTATTTTAGAAAAAATATTAATATTCATTTATTGTTTATTTATATAAATGTTACAACAAGATAATACTAAAAAAAAGTTTTTTAAATTCTAAAGCACTTTTAAATTGCCAAATGAGACTTTAGAGATCTCAATTAATTATAATGATACTATTTTAGCAATTTCAGATTTAAAAAACATTCAACTATATTAAATATTGGAGTTTTAGTTTATTTATCATAGTACTCTAGAAGGACATTAAGGAGGAATAACTACATTATTATTTAGCACACAAAGTAATACTTTATTTTCTGGAGGAAGAGATAAAATAATAATTATTTGGAAGGAAATTGATAATCAATTTACTATTTTTCAATTAATTAAAGAAAACACAGATTGGATCTAATAAATAGCAGTATTTAGTAATGATTGCTATTTTATTTCAACTTCTGATGATCATTCAATTAAATTATGGAGTTAATCAAATACTTAATAATGGTCTTGCATTCAAACTATTCAAAATGAAGAATGGGATCCTAGTTATGTTTCTTTTAATAAATAGTAAAATTTAGTGGTTTGTGTTACTAAGTATAATTAATTTGCCATTTGGAATTTTCAAAAAGATATCTTAAAAAAAATACAAGCTGTAAATTTGGAAAATTTTAAATCTATTTAATAAATATTTTTTTCAGAAGAAAATTTGATTTTCATATTAACATTAATGCAAACAATAGAAATTTGGCAATAAAATAATGAAAATTTCCTCTTTGAAAAAAAGTCATCATTTTTTTGTTAAAAATAGTAATATTTTATTCATTTTAATATAAATCTTTAATATTTAGCAGGTTTAGAAGCTGGATCTGCTATTCAAATTTATCATTTGGATTAGAATAAAGAATTGTAATAAATTTAAACAATTGATGGTAACTATTAAGCTTCAATAACTTCAAATTTAAATGGAGTTCATTTAATAATCATAAAGGATTATAATTGTTTAGAATCGTGGTAATTTTAAAACTGAATTAAATTAGTAAATAATCTTTTAATAAACAAAATTTATATAAATGTTAAAAATAATATTTATCTACAATTGCAGCACATATAAATTAAGTATTATATTTCTTTCAAAAATAGTGGATTTCTTTTTTATATTTTATTTCTATCAAAGTTTTGAATAAAATTCAAAATATTTGATCAATTATTGTAATATAAATTCTTATTTACTTTTGTGATAATCTAAACTATTAATTCTTACAAAATTAAAATTNAATAAGTTTATGTTATTTTAGTTTTTATAATATTTAGGTTTCAATTCTGTAATTACTTATGAAAACTTCTCAGTATTTTAGAAAAAATATTAATATTCATTTATTGTTTATTTATATAAATGTTACAACAAGATAATACTAAAAAAAAGTTTTTTAAATTCTAAAGCACTTTTAAATTGCCAAATGAGACTTTAGAGATCTCAATTAATTATAATGATACTATTTTAGCAATTTCAGATTTAAAAAACATTCAACTATATTAAATATTGGAGTTTTAGTTTATTTATCATAGTACTCTAGAAGGACATTAAGGAGGAATAACTACATTATTATTTAGCACACAAAGTAATACTTTATTTTCTGGAGGAAGAGATAAAATAATAATTATTTGGAAGGAAATTGATAATCAATTTACTATTTTTCAATTAATTAAAGAAAACACAGATTGGATCTAATAAATAGCAGTATTTAGTAATGATTGCTATTTTATTTCAACTTCTGATGATCATTCAATTAAATTATGGAGTTAATCAAATACTTAATAATGGTCTTGCATTCAAACTATTCAAAATGAAGAATGGGATCCTAGTTATGTTTCTTTTAATAAATAGTAAAATTTAGTGGTTTGTGTTACTAAGTATAATTAATTTGCCATTTGGAATTTTCAAAAAGATATCTTAAAAAAAATACAAGCTGTAAATTTGGAAAATTTTAAATCTATTTAATAAATATTTTTTTCAGAAGAAAATTTGATTTTCATATTAACATTAATGCAAACAATAGAAATTTGGCAATAAAATAATGAAAATTTCCTCTTTGAAAAAAAGTCATCATTTTTTTGTTAAAAATAGTAATATTTTATTCATTTTAATATAAATCTTTAATATTTAGCAGGTTTAGAAGCTGGATCTGCTATTCAAATTTATCATTTGGATTAGAATAAAGAATTGTAATAAATTTAAACAATTGATGGTAACTATTAAGCTTCAATAACTTCAAATTTAAATGGAGTTCATTTAATAATCATAAAGGATTATAATTGTTTAGAATCGTGGTAATTTTAAAACTGAATTAAATTAGTAAATAATCTTTTAATAAACAAAATTTATATAAATGTTAAAAATAATATTTATCTACAATTGCAGCACATATAAATTAAGTATTATATTTCTTTCAAAAATAGTGGATTTCTTTTTTATATTTTATTTCTATCAAAGTTTTGAATAAAATTCAAAATATTTGATCAATTATTGTAATATAAATTCTTATTTACTTTTGTGATAATCTAAACTATTAATTCTTACAAAATTAAAATTCTTCATTTTAGATTTTCTTAAATAGTCTTATATATTAAAAGAGCCATTATAAGAGTTCAATTTAAATTATGTTTCTTAAAAATATTGTTATTATACTTTAAAAAAATTTTAATTAAAATAATTTCGGTATTCTTCAAAAGACGAAAACATTTGAAAAATAAAAATGTGAATGAATTTTACTTAAAATAGAAATAAGAGAAAAATTGGTTTGATTATTAAATAAAGTTATACAAAGGAAATAAATAATTCAATTTTAAACTTTTTTATTAAATTTTCAAGCTTCTTTTTAATGAACTATCGATTTGGATTAATGTATTCTATTCTTCTAATATTTTTGGTGCAAAATAGGAAAAAGATTATAGAATGCCATCTGACTAGTTGGTTTCAATTAATCAGAATTATTAGTATTTTCTTCAAACTTGAAAGCTGTTCATAAGCTTGAGATCCAACATTAAAATTATTCTCTAAAATCTAAATAGGATGAAAATTTTTATTATCTTAATTAAACTCGTTAAACAAGTTTTTTATTGCCATATTTAAGGGATAAATAATTATTTAAAGTAAAACTTTTATTTCTTAAAATTTTTAAACCTATTTTACACCTTTTCTTTTTAATTTAAATAATTTAAATGATATTAATGTTAAAATAAAACTTTTTCAATAAGGTAGATCCTGAAAATTGAATAAGTATTTATCAATATCACAAAATCATTTAATACATTTATCTAATATCTTAATGATTGAATAAATTTATTTATTTTAATAAATATTTTTTTCATATAAAGAATATTTATCGATTAACCTTTACATATTGAAATAATAGCTTTGTTCATATATTTAAAAGGTATTTTCTTAATAGTTGAGTTTTGAAATATCTTAAATTAGTTAATTTTGAAATGATAGAAAAATAACACAATTTTTTCATTCTAATTATAGAATCTTTACAATAATAGAATTAATTATTTGAAAATTTTTGTTATCTTAATGATTTTAGCAATTAAATAATTCTTAAGCTTTTCTTTTCATTGATTGAAAATTGTCAATAGCTTAGTAAAATATTTTTTAAAGAATGCTTGCTTATCAAGTTCTTAAATTTATTGTTTACATTTTGCTTAGGATATTTTCATCATTTAAACAATCTTATAGATATTTATTGCAAGAACATTTTAAATATGTTTCTGGTTTATCTGTATTGAAAAGTTGGAAAAAGCAATAATTTTTTATGATTATGATCTATGGTTTTTCATCTCATCTTTGTATAAATTAATCTTGATATTTTGATTGATTTAAAAAAAAAATTATAAAATATAAAAAACCATAGAGATATTTGCAATTTTTTATAGAGATTATAAAATTTTTGAGAAAAAACAAAGATAATATATTTTTATAAAATGAATGATCAAAATGATTATTTGAAAGACATTCACGCAAATTTAAAAAGTATCAAATGTATTTAGGGATCAAACATCTTCTATAAATATTAGATAAAAGAATTGTTAGGTAACGGGTAAAATAGAGTATACCTTGGATATGATAATTTTGGGAGATAAGTGGCTATAAAAGAAGTAACATAAAATTTAATAGTTAGCATCATGATACAAATGCAATGAGAAAAGAAGTTTAATTATTGGAATAACTTAATCATCCAAATATAATCTAATATTTAGATTCATGCATTTTATTACATTCAAACAATTAATATCATAAAGAGTAGAATGGATATATATGTATGGAACTAGGTAAGCTTGATTTAGATACTTATAAAAAAAAAAAGTATCCTATAGGCAAAGAATTAATAGATTAGACATTAAGTGCATTAGCTTATTTATAGAGGAACAAAATTGCTCATTGTGATATTAAACCAGCAAATATTTTAGTTATGTAAACAGAACCTATAGTATATAAAATATGTGATGTTGCATCTAGCAAAAGTCAAGGATCTGAGTTTCTTTAGGCAGGGGTAATATGTTATATAATTTAGACTTATAAATATATGTCTCCTGAAATGTTAAATAACAATGCCAAAAATTATATTTTGTCTGACGTTTTTTCTTTAGGATTATTATTTTTATATGTATTTAGAGATTTTAGTATGCCTTGGATCGAAAGAAAGAATCTCACTGATTTAGAATTTATTGAATAATTAAGAGATAAAATAGATGAGAATGATGATGATATTTAAAGACTTTTAAATTATATGATTTAATTGAATCCTTTAGATCGTTTAGATTTTATTTAACTCGAAGAATTTTGGCATCAATAAAAAAAAAAAGAGGAAAAATAAGAATTTAATTATACTTAGATTAGACAATTCAGAGCATAATCTAATTTCTTTTCTATTTAAGAGGATTAATATTATGCAACAGGAAAGTTTATTAAACAATCCTAAAATTCAAAGCTTAAAAGTTCAAGAAAATAATTACTTTAACCATTTTAAAGTATTTCACCATAAAAAAAAAGTTTATTATTGTAAAAGTCAAGTAACACCACTTTGAAATCAAAAAAATTTTAATAATAAATTTTACCTCTTGATAATTACTTTTAAAAGCTTCCAAAATCTCCTGAAAAATCTAAAATGACTAGTCCTACAAAGACAATTTTTATGGGTAAAATTTAATTACCATAATTAAAAGAAGAAAGAACTAATTCTTTTAAAATAAGACCTATACAATTTTGATTAAGTATTTAACACTTTTATTTAGATTTTAAAATAAATAAAGGATTAAAAATGTTCATTAATTTTGAATATCATTTTGTTCTAATAATTACCCTTCTAATTATTGAATTTATTATTATTATTGTTATGTTTATTCTGGTTAAAATTTAATTGTTTTTCCTCTAACTCTTAATTTTTAATTCTCGTGATCTTTAAGATCATAATCGCTTTAATTTTCTCTTCTTTTTAATTCCATTATTTAATCAATATTATCAGAATCTTTATTTATAAATAATAATTCTTTAGCCAAATCATCAGTAGGTACTTTATATTAATTTATCATTCTATGTATTTTATCCCATTATTTTTCCTCATTTTTCAAATGAGGCTTACAAACATCACATAGCTATTGAAAATTTGTTCTATTATTACACTTTGTGCATGGTTCAATTTAAATCTATGAATCTATTTTAAGGAATATATATACAATGACTTAAAAATTTTTATCGAATCTTTCATCCTTAAGTAATTGAGATGGATCTAAGTCTTTTAAAGAGAATTATAAAGTACTAATAAATATAATAAAAAAAATACTTTTATGTTGCTTCATCAATGAAAGCTGTATTAAATGCTAATCTAAACATTTTTTCATTTTTTAACATTGCTTCATTAAAGACTTTAATTAGAATATCTCCATAAACTGGCATTACTTTACCAATAATTAACTGAATAAATAGATAGAATACATCATGTGTAGCTCCTTTATATTTCGTTGCATATTTTTATGTTGAATATAGTTCCTTATCACTTTTCACTTAAATAATTTGCATATATGGTTTACAACTGCCATTCATATTAAAAGCAGGAGCTCTGTAAAATAATATTAATAAACATTACTTTCCCTAAAATGTTACTCTCTTGATATTAATAAATGTAGGATAAAGTATTTAACCCTTAATACCCATTGATAAAAGTTTATAGAAATATTCAACATATTTAACTTAACAAGGTTGATTAACTCCTAAACCCTCTGCTTCAAATCTTTATATGCCATAGTAGTATAATACATCTGCTACACTCTAGAATTTGCCAGTATAAAGTAAATAGCAACAAATAATAGTTCCTGTTCTTCCTTTGCCAGCAAGACAATGTATTACTACAACCTTAGTTTTATCACCTAATTTCTTAGAATAATCTAACCTTTCAAATAATTCTATATAAGATCACATATATCAAATAGAAGATCTAATGGAGGAGAATGGTGATCTTTCCATTACCAATTATCATGTACTTCTCCTGTAAATTTTGAACGATCATATTTTCGACCACTTAAATTGAAAACCATATAATCATTATTATGTTATGTGTTTAAATAAGCAGCAACCTAATTATATGTATATCATCAACTTAATCAATTGGATTTCGATATAAACCTTCAAATCCTTCTCCAGGATAACTCATCGCTATTATTCTACTTGTCACATAAGTAAGATCTAGATTATATCCTTCCTATATTAATCTTTTCTTTTTTCCAGACACCTTTTCTCTTATGTAATTCATAATTTTTAAATAAAAATAAAATATGAATCATTTCTAATTGATTTTGTTCTTAAATACTCCACACCTCTTTTAAATTATAATCATAAATTCAAAAAATTATAGAAATACAATGTTTACACTTTAAACTTACAAAAGAAATAAGTTAATATTTAAATTTTTAGAAATGATTATTCAGAATTCCAAAAAAAATTGCTGATCTTATAAAATTAGGAGCAAGATACCTTTTTTCATTCCTTTTCTAAAATACTAAAATAAATATAACATTTCTAGAAATGAATTATTTATTAGCTGATAATATTCTTTAATAATTTGTAAAATGTATCATTCCAATATTTATTTAGTTGCAATGAAAATTGCGTCAGTTTAAAATGAATTCTTTAAGATAGAATTCAAAAAGATATGTTTCTTCTTTTTTGTGCTTCAATTAAGTTACTCATAAACTTTGAGATAAATTCATTTCTAAAATAAAAGATAAACACTTACCATTCTATATAATTAAATTAATAACTATTATTTCTAGATATACTTTTTAGATTAAATCATATATACAATAGAGTTTATAATTTATACTATTTTCATGATTTTTCTTTTCTTCTTCGGATCCATTTTGGGATATGAAAATTAAATTAATTGAGTTTTTGAGATAAAAGAGAGTTTTGAATTAAAGAAAAATGTAAGTTTTATTATAAATTTAATTAAATTAATTCAAATATAGATAAAAACTACTTTGTTGAAGCTTTTAAACTTATTGTTGCAATTCTTTTAAATTTATTTTAGTAAAGTTGATTGATTGAATCTAATTTAATTTTCAATAATTATTGTTTTAATTGTCTTTATGATATCTTTTTGCATTTAGTAAAGCAGATTAATAAAATATATTATATTATAAATTAATATCAGTTCATCTACGTGTATAATAATAAAACTTGTCTATTTTATCATCTAACACTTTCCTATATGGTTTATTATTAAAATTGGGAATTGAAGATGTTTATACAAGGTTAGTACTTTCGGCTAATTCTTAATCCAATTTAGAATTATTTGTGTTATAAATATAATCAGCCAAATATCTTTGTTAATACCAAAGATGAGGAGCAGACTTTTGATAATTTAAATTTTCCTCTTGGATTTCAGGTTATTAATATGTAACCGTTGGTTATTCAATTTTTCGTTTATCTTATCTTGGAGAAGGATGAGGTGAAGGTGTTTTATTTTAAGATCCAATAACTTCTGTAGGATATTTAGGAGTTTCTAAAATTGATTTTTATTTATCTTATTATGTTAATTTAGGTGGTCTCATTGGCTATTCTTAATTCTATTTTGGTTTTTCTTCTTTTGGAGAAAATGAATTTGATTGTCTTTTTTTAGTCTCTTTTTCCTTATTATCCTTATTATCTTTTTTTTTTACATCTTTTTTAGATTACTTTTTATTTAATGCTTCTAATTATGAATCATTTTTCTTTTAACTTTTATTTGCGTTATTGCCTAAATTTAACGCAGGCTAATTATTTGGTTATGCATAAGGTGAATAAAATTATTCATTAAAAAATGGATATTTTTCATTATTTTCTGAATACATATTCCCTTTATTTTAAACGTTATATTATTATGTAGGAATTTAAAAAGGAGGAATTTATTAAGGTTAATTTGGAAAGTAGAAAAAAGGTTACTACGGTTGTATTTATGGTTGAACATTTTATTTCTTATTGTTTGCCATACTTGCAACCAATCTAAATTCAACAAAAGATACATATTCGTCACTATTTAAATTAAAGACCTTAAATAGATCTGCCATTTCTTCAACTGTTAATTAACCATTTAAACTCCAAATCAATTGACTAAATTCTTGAAAATTTAAGAAGTTATCTTTATCATAATCAAATTATTAAAATAAGTTTAGTACATCCATTTATTTTGATTTAATTACATTAGTTATCATTAAAATTGTTCTTTCTAGTTTATCACTTTTACCAAAACCAGCACCAGCAGGAATTTATCCTGAACTTTACATTTATGTTTATGGAAACATTTATTAAGGTTATGGTTAGGGTTAAAATTATTATTATTTTTGAACGTTTTAGTTTATGGGATATTGATTAAATTATAATTATTATTAATAATTCGTTTGTTATTATTAATAATATCCCTATTATAAATTTTAGGGTGGCTACTATTATAATTATTAATAACCAAAAGGTTATTGATAATTATTCATCTATTATTGTTATGGTAACTATGAAATAATCTAATTTTATGGTTATTATTAAGGTTAATAAAATTGATTTTAGTTTTAATTTTTAGGTTATTGATTATTAGTTTACTTATTATTTGGTTTATTTATTTTAAAGAATGCCATTTTAGTATTATTACCACTAATCCATTATTTAAATTCATCAAATGAAATACTATCACTTCCATCTTTATCTATTTATTTGAATATGTAAGTGCAATCTTCTTCTGATACTTTCTTATCAATTTTTTTAATAAATTAAGTGAATTCTTCTAAATCTAAAAGTTCATTATGATCTGCATCTATTTCATTATAAACAGCTTCTAAATCTAAATTTTTTTTAATTATTTTTTATCTAATCTAAGTCATTAAATATTTTTTATTATCCTTAAATACTTCATTTTTATTTTATAGTTTAGCATTAACAATTGGATGTGATACTACTTTAGCCCAATCAAATCTTTTTTCTAATTATATTTAAATATATGTAAATACCTTCTTAATATACTAGACAACCTTCAATAAATGATTTCATAACTGCAGAAATTTAACCTTATTAAAATTCAATTTTTTTATTTCTACATTATTTTAAATAATCTTCAATATTAGAAGCTTAAAATGGTAACATTCCAGTTAAACATTCATAAACAATTACCCCTAATGACCATATATCACATTTATCTGTATATTTAGTTTTTTCTTTTCCAAGTAGTTAAGGTGCTGAATATTAAAATTTCTCAGGTTTAGTCTTTTCTTTCTTAAAACTTTCAATAGTTTTTATGAATCCAGGATCTATGATAATTATTAAACAAAGCTTACCTGAAATTATATATGATCCATTATCATAAAGTATATTACTTGGTTTTAAATCTCTATGAATTACTCCTGTCTTAATTAGTTCTTAAAATCCTTCAATTAGATCAGATATTAGTTTAATTGTTTCAGCTTCTGGTAACTTTTTTTGTTTCTAAAGAATCCTAACTATTAAAATCAAAATTACGTTTGTAAATTAGATTATTTAAAAGGAAATACCACATAGAAATATGTTTATGACTCAATAACATCTAGTATTGGGTTTATTTTTGGATGCTATATTTTTTACATTATAGCCATTTCTTCAGTCAAAGCTGCTGAAATTATATTGCTATCTTTTAACAATGATTTCTATAACAAACGCAAAACAACTACTTAGCCATTCGTTTTATTCACACCTTTATGTAACTAATTTTAAATATCATAATCCTACATTCCCTAAAGTTCCCTTTCCGATTAATTCGTTAGTATTAAAAGTATAAACTCCTATAGTTTTAGACATATTTTATTTGATAATATAAATAAATCAAAAACTAATCTTTCAAGTTAAGCTCTTATACCATTAAAATCATTCTAACTAAAAATTATGTTCTATATTATTACAACATAAATTATTATCACTTTGAACTATTTCTTATTATTAATCTTTAAATTACTTAATAATGTAAATGGAGGGATCACAATAATAATATCAATACTTAATGGCAGATGAATACTTTTTAGAAAACAACGAAAACTATACAGCTTTTAAACATGAAGATATTTAATTTTTAGTCAATTTATCAGATTATGATGCTCCCATTTTTTAACCCTCCAAAATTCATAATCCATATGCAAGTCTAATTGGAAATTATTGTATTTCTGGTAAGATAATTATTCTTATGATTATTAGATTCATCTATTACTTTTATCAATAAGGTTGATCCAATCTTTGTTGCTATTAAAGTACTCAGAAATAAATTTGAAAATGAATAATAAAAACACATCGTTGAATTTGAGAATATTTTTAATAATGAAGATTCTTTTGAACATTATCTAAGTAAGTGCAAATAAATAAGAGATAACATTGATTGTATATGCACCACAAAACTAATTAATAATGAATTATATGTTAAATTGGATAAACAAAAGTTGTTCCAATTTTTAGATGTTAAATACAATAATATTCAAAATTATACTTAATAAGGTGCATATGTAGTATCAGATTGCAATTAAAAAAAATAATAATGTAAATTATTGTATTTAAACTAGAATTTGAGGTAGAAACTTGTAGATTGTTTCAATAATATATCGGATAATAATTATATTCTGAGTATCAAGCCACAAAAATAGTTATTGTAGAAAATAGACCAGAAATTCTAGATTTTTAGAATGAAAAAGAAGATCGATAATAAGGATAAAATGCTAAGCTGAATGCCTCAAAAAAGAAATCTTAATAACCTAAAATAAAACAATCAGAATAGAAGACTCTGGATGCAGGTAAAAACTGTTAAAAAATGGAAACTTTTTTCATCAACAAAACATAATAAAATAAATGATTAGTTATTTATCAAAAAAAATATTTTTTTTTTGGAATCAAATAGTAATATATATTAAGTATATGAAATTCTGGTTGGTTTATATTTAAAGATATATAAAATTAAGTATAAATTATATAATAATACAATACTTTATATTTTAAATTATATATAAAATAATACTAAAAATATAATTTATAACCCCTAATTTAATTAATTATATAAATATTTGTTTTGGTTCAGGAGCAGAAAGTCAGAAAGAACGAGGTTGTTATGAAGAATGAATGAAGCTGGTATGATTAAGTTAAGAAAATGAATGGCAAAGTGATGAGGGTCTTAATTGATAATGTATAGGTAAACACATAAATTAGAAAGTTAATTGATATAATCATGTTTCATGTTCCTCTTTGATTTCAGGTGGTGGATGGAAGTATGAGCTATAATAGGTATTGATGCTTGATTATTGTTAGATAAAGGCACTTACATTCATGGGCTAATATTTTGTTAAAAAAATACATAATATGGTTAAGGAAGTGGTTGAAAAAATAATAACTATTCAGGTTAAACCAAGAGGGGCCCATAATGGTTTTTTTAGTCTATGTTTTAGGATGTGAAAGATGATATTGATTAATACATAAATTGTTAAGGATGATATGTATTATGATGAAATTGAAATTTTGAATATAGTTTAGGTAATGGACATGATTTCATCGTAAAAATCGGACGTTTAAGTTATATTTTTCTAAGGATGATCTATAGAGATATAGAAGAATTTATATACAGGGTCAATATTTAGTTTAGTTGTTTTAGTTTTTAGTTTTTGACTTTTAGATCTACTTTTAGAAATATTCTTTTTTTCTAAATCATCATTGTAAGATTCACTAGGTAAAAATAATAAAAATACTTTATCTGTTGTAATGTTTAGATAATCGATTTAATTTTATCAATGTCCTCTATATCAATCTATTAGGATAAGTTATAATTTTTGTATTTAAGAATAATAGATCTAAAAAGCTCGGCAAATTCTACTTCAATACCTCCTTCATTCACTTGGTTTTAATTAACGCAAAATATTTAAGAAATAACAGAAGGTTTAAGAGTTTTAGTCATTTATGATCCTATTATAGACAATTCAATAATTACCATTTTTTGTTCCATTTACTGTTTTAGAAAGGCGTCTAAGAACTTTTCTAACCAATGAATAAAAATAATTTTTAATTAAACCGTCTGTCCTGTATGGCAATTCTTTAGCAATTATTCTCTATTTAAGTATATTTTTAGATAATTACCCATCGATTACCATATTTACTTTGTAACTCAAATAGTTTATCAACTTCATTTTGAGTCCATTAGTCTTTATTGATATAAGGATTTAACTAATTATGAAATCTTTCTTTGCATGATTTGCCTGATCTTTTATATCCCATAGAAATCATTTATTTTGAAACTCTTCTCCAATTATAATTTTAAGTCTTGCATATTTCAAGCAAAGCTTTATCTTCCTAGTTTTATAAGAATAAAAATTATATACTTCAGGTCTCCAATTCTTTCTTCTCATTATTAATATATATATATATATAATTATAGATAAATAGACTATTCAACTCATCTTGATTGCAGCCAATTACTCTTTCAAAGCAGCTAATTATAATTATAATTGTAATAATTCAGGACTTGTTCTCATTGATACTTTTGGAGTATATACTGGAGCAGGCATATTATTTCCATACATCATTTTTTATGCTTAAGAAACCTTTAAATAATTTATAATGAAAATTACTTACATTTTAAATACCTGTTTCATTCCAATCATTAATCATCTTTTATCTCTCTATTGAATTTCTACGACTAGATTCTCTACTACTACTACTCTTCTTCTTTTTACTTTTCTTATCCTTCTTTTTATTTTTCTTAGGACTCTTTCTAAATCATTATTATTAATATTTTACTCAGGAACTTCTTTCTCTTTTTTATCTCTATATTCTGGATGTTCTTCATACATTTGATTAAACAAACTTTTCTTAAACTTAGTAGATATCTTCTTTAAATGCAAATAATTGCATGCTCCACCTCTTAAAACTATACATTTCTAAATTCATACCTTTAACATGTTCCATCAATATATTGTTTACATTTAGCACTACTAAAGTCTAACACTGGAGAATATTCCATCTGTAAAGGTCTGTTTTCATATGATAAATTCTATAAAGCATTAAAACATGATTCTGCAAATAATTCAGATGTATATTTCACATAAACATTCCCTACTAAATGATCTCCAATATTTTCGCATACAATCAAATCTTCAATTTCACCAAACTCTGCCAGCTTATCATTATATCAACTTTTACTTTTAAAAATACATCCTCATAAAAGTTTTCGAATTTTTCCAATGCCTCTTCAATACCTGCTTAAGAAACTGCATTTCCTGAAGCTATAGCTACTTCCATAGGAGAATTCTAATACATATGCTTAACTATGAATCATAATTCTTACTTTAAATAAAATGGTTTAAGAGATTGGAGGGATACTGTGAATTCTTTAACATTTATTTTCATATCGACAAGCTCCAATTTTAATATAAAATGAGCAATTCACCTATTAAAATTTAACTTTAATTTTACTTTGTCTTCTTCTGTTCCATAAACTCTCTCTAATCCACCTGCCATTTAATTATTATATATATATTAATTTTTTAGTAAGACTGAATGCTAATATTAATTAAATTCATCTGGCTTTTTTAGAAAATATAATTATTAAAATAGCAATTATTGGTTAAATTCCTTATCTTTCGATAATTATTAAATAAAATTTAAGTTTCATTTACTAATACTCCAAAAAGTTTTCAAATGAAAACAATTCATCCAAAAAATATCTAACATAATTTCACCTATCTTAAAAATATGAGACTAAAGAATCAATTACTTGTTTTGATTAGTTTTTAAATAATTTTCATCATGACTTTTCTTGTCTGTAGCAATTACATACATACAACCTTTATATAAATATTTTTTACAGAATCCTCATAAAAAATTTACCTCAAAACTTCAAATTCACTACTTAAATCATAATTAAATGAATATAATACATACTTTAATTCATTGTTTCATACGAGTAAACATTTAAATAAATTAGATGGTTAAACACTTATATCATTCTTTTAACTTTATACATATCTCAGAAATAAAACGATTTAAAATCTTGGTCCACTGAGTTATAAATTTAATATGAATTATGGAGGGATCAATTCTAAAATTCCACCATCAATTTAATCATCCAAAATAGGAATTTATAATACGACTCTCTCCTATCTTTGTTACACCAATAAAACTAAATTTCATCAACCTTCTACTCGAGATGAACTAATTAATGTAAAAACTCAGGAATCAATGCACAGTATTGGAATGGTTATTTTTCAAGGGAAAACAACTCTGTAATCATTTCTCTATGGATATATTAAAAGAGATAACATTTTAATGACATATCCTTGTTTACAAAGACATGATATTGCTAATTACACACCTGAAAATAGAACTTGGTATATAGAAGCCAAAAGAAATTTCTAAGTTCATAAGCCTTATAATTAATACAATTTTTCCATAACTTATCCTTACTTATGTAATTACAATTTCTATTAAATAAAGTATTTAAATCTACCAGTGTCGGATTATCTATGACTATTCCATTTGTTGATCAAAATCTCAATTAGATTGGAAGTGGAGCTTTCGATTTGATTCCTTCTAATTTATTACAAAAAGTAACTTAATAATTTGGGAATGATTAAACTTCCATCTTTCTTGCATCCTTAGATGGAATATTGATTATGCATCCATACAATATTACTTCAGATAAATTACCACTTTATTTTTACAATCAATCTATTACTGGCTTCGACTTTAAAGATTGGGAAGGTTTGTCAGATCCCACATTTGTTTCGAATTGCAAAAACCAAACGACAACAATGAATTTTAAATGCCTGTATAACTCATTTTATAATCAGGATGTATTTATTAGTAGATAAACTTTACATTAATTTAATATGACTGTTATTGTGTAAGTTTATATATAAATTTTATTTTAGCTTAATCAGCAGTTCAGAATTTAATAAATTTTCAAATGATTTCAACACAAATTTGAACTCATAATTAAATAGTACATTTTTAAATTCATTAATTTAATAAGCTAGTCTATTTGTATTTTTGTGTATTCTTATATACTTTATGACTTCTTATCTATTTTATCCAATAGAATTAATCATAAATGCAGCTATGAATTAAATTTAAAAGAAAAAGTACAAAAACAAAAATTTAACTACAATTTTATAATCAGTAATAAGTGTTTAGATTTTGGAATTATATAGATCTTGCTAACATTTTAATAAATTATTTGAAAGATTTTCATTCAATAAAACAGAATAATGTTAAAAAATTGAAAGTCTTTAATACCCTTAAAAGTAATAAGAAATTAGATTTTGTTCATTAATGGGTCATAGAAAATTAAGAAAATTTGATGTAAATGTATAATTATAGTAATTAGTATAAACTAAAAAATTAGAAAAAAGAAAATTTAGATTTAGCGAAATCAATAATTAAATAAGTATATTTTTAACTTCGACTAAAATGAATGTGTTGAATTCCTATCTCTTTAACATAATATTTTTATATATAATTTAAATAATTAATAAATTAATAAAAAAGTATATTTCAAATCCTTACAGCTTTTCCAACTTAAGAATTTGCTCTCTGATGATGTAATAATTTAAGATGGAGATTTTTAAATGATTAATCTTGCAACATAGGATTCTCTATAGAAATTCCTGTTTTTTATATAGATTCTGCTCTATCTCCTTTATCTTTCTTATAAGCTTTCATTTATTATTTAAAAGTGCAAGTGTTAAATGATTTATCATTTACTAATTCATCTAAACCTGAACTTGATGTTCTCTTTGCACTAGTATTTCCAATATTATTTACATAATGTTTCAATCTATCAAAGGCATCTATCAATAATAAAATTATATACTTTATCCATTTTATTAATCTAAGTTAATTGTTACTTTAGGTGCTTCATATTTACCTAATCCTAATTTACCCATAAAATTTGATAATTCATCTTTTCTTTTATAAGGTTTAACATTATCCTTAACTTCAATTGAAAAATTCATCGTTTATTGTACCTTAGTATTAAGATAAGTATTTTCTTTTTTTGTTTTCTAACCTGATGTACCAATAAATTATTAAGAAGGACTTGCTTATATGAAACCAAATCTTGCATTTGGAGATTTACCATTCGATAATTTAATATTAACTTATGGAACTTAAGAGTTAAGATAAGTTCCACCATTCTTACCACTACCATTTTCTAATTATACATCCTAATTTAATTTGTTGGGAGTTTTAAATTATTATAAAAGGTTTTCCAAATTTTTTGTTCTTTATTTTTAATTTTAATCAACATTAAAATTAGAATTTGTGATATCATACTCAGTATTTGTTACATTTAGAGGAAGATCTTACTGATTGCTTCTTTCTTTGAAAGGAGTTCTACGGTTAAATAAATCAGTTAGATCTTCTAATGTAGAAGCACTTTTGAATTAATCTAACAATTCGATATAAGTATTTGTGACAACAGGCGGATCTTGATTGACAACTGTTTTCTATTCAACAATTTCTTAGTTTTTGGATCCAAACTCTAAATTATATAAGTTATCTAATTTTTTTTTGGATACAATTTCCTATTTTGTAGGTTATAGATCAAGATTAATTTGTTCAGTAACTTTCAAATCAAGATCATATTTTATAGAACCTATAGACTAATTTAAAAGTTCTTATTTGCAAGAGGTTTCAATAGGTTCTATTGATTTATTAGATTCCTCTTAAATTTGGATAGTTTATTCAATAATTTCATTTTATTAAATTAAATGTTCGTTAGAATCATTTTATTAAAGATTAACAGATATTCTTTCTAAAGGATTAGTATTAATTTAATTGGATCCAATAAGATTATTATTTTAAATTGGTTTTTGATCTTGATTTACTTCTAGTTTATTAAATTGATCTATTTTAGTTTCAATATTGATTTATTATTAAATAGATTCATTATAATTTGCATGTACAGCCATGGCTTTAAATGCATCAAATTTATTTTTATATTTATCTATCAAATCTTTTGATGATCTAGCCCAAGTATTAAGAACTTTTGATTCTTAAGGTTAATCTTATTAAAGAGTGGTATTCATGATTTTTTATTCTGGAATTTCAGACGATTATTAATTATCGGACATTTTATTATTAAATTTATTTTATTAATTTTAAAATATAGTATTTATATAGATGTAATTTATATAGATAAGAAATAAAATATAAAAATTAGTATTTATAAATATATATATATATATATTAATAAATGGAAATTTATCGTATTCCTGAAGATTTGCGATTTGTAAATCAAATTGGTCAAACTTTAAGTGCAGAAGAGAAGTATTGATTAATGTAATATAGGATAAAATTAGAAATAGCTTTAATAAAGCTTAGTCAAAGTTAATCATTTGATTAATTATTATTTTGGGGAAGAATTGAAGGAACAGTTGCGAATTATTATATTGCTATTGGATTAAATTTTAAGAATAATTTTGAATTTCCACACAAAACATTCTTTTACACAGCAAATTTAAAGGAATTCTAAAATTTACCACCTCTGAATCCAGAATATAAAGAATAAGTTGAAACTTTCAGACAGTTATTTTCTGGATAACCAGAGAAAATACTTATTAACATAACAGGTGAAGATGGTGATTAACCACCTGCTGATTAAGTAAATCCAGATGAACCTTAAGCAGTAGTAAAAAATGATGATGACTCTGATGTTGAAATAAAACCACCTCCTAAGAATTTTTTAGAAGTTGATAGATTATCATATATTGTAAATGCAATTGAATTTGAATGTTCACTTCTTCCAGTTGGTGCAGTTAGATTAACTCCTACTCATGAATTAAGGTATATTTAAATTTTAATAAACATTCTCTTTCTAGATATAACGATTCATTCGAAGGTCTAAATCTTTAAGAAGCATCTAAAATATCTAACTATTAACATTTCAGAGCACCTCAAACATAATAAAAAAAAGAATTGATTGCTTAAGATGATGCTCTTTTTCATTATAATTTCTTTGATTAATTAGATGATCATCCTGCTGGATAATGGAGTTTATAAACTGATTCATCTAAATATTAAGTATCATTCATCTCAATTCTATCCTTAGATAACTATACGTAATCTATAATGGCCAGGTTTCTTAGGTTATCATAGAGCAGCAACTAAAATATTTGGTTATGCCTATTTTGGAGATGGAATCAAAAATGTAGATTTGGCATTTCAACTATGATTATTAATAATAAATATCCATACATTCATAATTATTCAATATTTATTTATTATATTATTCAATTTTATAATTTTTCTATTTGCAAAATTACTTTTGAATTATCTTATCTTGTCAATTCTAATTTATCTAAATTTTAATCACTCTCTATAACCAAAATCATTCTCCCTTAACATTAATCACCCCCTAATTCTATTTCATACCATAATTAAGTAAATATTGCACATAACTCAATCAATTCATTCATTTTCTCATTTAATTTACTTACATTTCTTAAAACAAATAAAACTTCATTATCAATATTCTCTTTCAATTTCTACTAAGCCAATTATTTTAATTATGCTCCATTTATTTTCTCTAAGTCCTTCTACTATTCTTTTGAAATATTCCTTATTATTTATCTCCACATAATATCTTCTGTCTACCAACTCAAATAATCAAATTCCTTTACTATATCTGACTCAATCTACAATATTTATTTTATTGAATTTAATGATCTTTCTACATTCTATTTATACTTTACTTTTATCACAATAAAAAAGCCATGATTCTTAGACCTCTTCTGTTCTATTCTTCAAATTACTTATTTCTTATTCTAATTATTAATTCTTGCATTATTTCTAATGTATACTTTTATCTACAATTTTTTTATTTGATCTAACAAATCTCCCTATTAATCTTCAAGTTCACAAACTCTTCCTAATAATTGCTCAGCTAATTTCTCTAATTAACTTACTCTCTAATCTAATTACATTTTAGATATTATTATTTATTATGATTAAATTAAATAACAATAATTTCTAATAAATTAATATTTAACAGCTTTAGATCTCTAATCTAAAAAGACCATTAAATCAGTAAAAAAACAAGGTTTTCTTAAAAGTTTTTTATCTTTTAAAATAAATTTAAATATATCTTATTAGCATCAAATTTAGGGATGAAAAAAATAAATTTGATAAACTAGCATATAGTTATTTTGTAAATAAACTAAATTAATTTAAAAGATAAATGGAAAGATATTAAAATACAAAAGATACATTTCATTTATTATTATTTTATAAATAACATATTATTAATTAATAATTATTCTCTTGAATTTAGATCATGAAGTTTTTCTGAATTCATAATTTTTCAATCTAGATATTAGATATATACATCTTAAAAATATTGAAAAAATTTAGAATAAAAATGATAATATTCAGACAATTCTAAGATTGATATTCCAGCAAAGAAATTAAAACTTTAGTTGCACAAAAACTACTATTGTAAAGAAATTATAAGTAATTATATGAGCCATTTATCGATCATAATTATTATTTATTGAATAGAGCAATATATAAGTTACTTAAATTATAATTTAATTTAAAGGATGAATTATTTAATTGTTATAAAAGTTAAAATGAAGTATTACACAGGATTTTTAAGTTTATTCAATTAATTGATTAAATTTCACTATCTTTATTAATTAAATAAATAATTAGACTAAAGTGAATCAGTGAATAATTAAAAATGGAAGTAGAAAGGTTTATTATTCTACTAATAATTGGTACAATCCTTAGAATTAATGAGTGAGTATTTAAAATGTTAATGAATTGGATCATTAGTGCGATATCTATAGTTATAGTTTTGAGATAACAGCTTATACTATCGATAATTTTTTTAATATTTTGACATTTATTATATAATTGTATTTATTTGATTATAATTTTATTTCAAATAAAAAAAAGCTAGTCTAATTTGATCTATTACACAAAGTAATATAAATAATTTAATTATAATTATATGAGTAACCCATTTAAGATTGTACCATCTGATTCATTTTTGAATATACTTAATCAAAATAATGTTTCAGTGGTAGATGTGGATGATGATTATAGAGCAGAGTAAGATTGGATGTTTGAAAATGATTAAAATTTTATTGAAGAATCGATACTATAATAATAATAGCCTATCATGCCTGAACGATCAAAGGCATTAGTTGGAGGAGAATTATTGCAGAAATATAAAAAACATAAAGAAGAAGATCTTTTGAAAAAAAATAAAGAGGTTTTTCAAGCAAATCAATCTAAAAGCATTTACCTTAACAAAATTCAATAATTAATAGATAAACCCACAGTTATAGGAAAGCCAAAACAAAGGTAAATATTATTTAAATAGATAGTCGTTAAAAAGTGATCGTTGATAGTGACTCATCTGATGGAAAGAATAGATTGGCTAAAAATAGAGAATCTGCAAGAAATTCAAGGAAAAGGAAAAAAGTCTATATAGAATTATTAGAAAATAAAGTAAAAGAATTAACAGAATAATTACATTAATTAGAATATATTGTTTAATAAAACAGAATTAAAAATATTTAAGTATTAATTATCGAATTAGAGATTTAGTTGGAAAACTTTATAGAAGATTATCAAAGATCAATTAATTAACTTAATGGCTTACCTACTATTCAATAGTTACATGAACAATTTGGGGCAACATCTTAGAGAAGATGGAGTGTTTGTACTGAACTCATAAATCTATTAATTGAAACCACTATTCCTATTGAAGTTAAGAAATTGATGGAGTCTGCTAAAAAAGGAACTGATATGTTTATCCAACCACTTCTTTAACATAATCCATGTCTAAGTTATAGAGATTACTTTAAACAAGGAACAACCGAATTAGAAATGTATTCATTTATGTAAATTGAGAGCAACAAAAAATTTTGGTTAGGCTTATGATAAAATTAGAGAATAAGTATTTGCTTTAGAAAGATTAAAATTGGACATCATATAAATCTTAGGCCCAGATTCTTATATTGAGTACTTAAATTCATAATCATATTGAATATGATATATTTGTAACAAAAACACATATAGTACTAATCCAATTTGAAATGTAGTTTATTAATGATTTCATCTTTAAATTATTATTTATGATTAATCGTACTATTTTATTTGTGAAAGAAACCCTCTGTAATGCTGAAAGTGGTCATGATTATTTTCATATAGAAAGAGTTCTTAAAATGGCCACTCGTATTGCAAAAGAAGAGAGTAAAACCAAAAATGTTAACCTAAATCTGGTTCAATTAGGTGCATTATTGCATGACATAGCAGATCATAAATTTCATGGAGGAGATGATACTATTGGACCAAAAGTAGCAAGGTAATTCTTAGAGAAAGATGGGGAGGCTGATTAATAATTAATTAAACAAGTTGAAGATATCATAAAGGAAATATCCTTTAAAGGCGCGAAAGTGAAGGATTAAATGTCAAGTTTTGAAGGTTAAATAGTTTAGGATGCTGATAGATTAGATGCTATTGGAGCGATTGGTATAGCCAGATGCTTCACTTATGGTGGATATAAAAATAGACAATTATTCAATCCAGATTAAAAACCTTAATTTCATGACAACTTCTAAGATTATAAAAAGAATGAATCCACTACTATCAATCATTTCCATGAAAAATTATTATTATTAAAAGATAGAATGAATACAGATACTGCAAAATTAATTGCATAAAAAAGACACTAAATTATGCTCGATTATTTAGATCATTTTTTAAAAGAATGGGAGGGAATTGATTGAGTGATTTTATTATGTTGATTATAATATCATGATAATTTTAATTCATTTATATTAACATCATTTTTACTTTAAAATATTGTTGATATTTAAACTATTATATTTTTCAAATATATATACATTCTTTAATTATTGAATCTGAAAACTATAATCTAGTTTAATACTTTATTTCAAACATCTTTTAGATTTGATTTATAATTGAATATTCTGTTTCTTCTTATTGAATTCTTAATTCAATAATGAATTCATGCAATTTTAATAAATAATTATTGTTTAAACAAAGCGATTCCATATCAAAAATTAAATGCTTTTTAACAATCAATGATTCATAAAAGTTAGTTAAATAATTAATGTAATATTTATTATAATTTTAAATAAAGTATATTGTTTTATTGATCATTGTTTCTATAGCATCTAAAATGTATAAAAAATTTACTTTATTAAGATACCATAAATTCCTTGATATCATATTAATTTCTATCTAAAATTGATAATCCACATAATATTTCACTACACAATCTCCCATCATCTTATTCACTTGATTATTATACTATAATACATTTTTTTATATAAGCAAATTAATAGCTATTAAATTTCTTATTCGAATTATCCTTATTTTAATCTGAATAAAAACAAACTAAATAAGGATAAATAGTTTTGATTTATCAAAGTTGTGAGATATTTAGTGATAAACTTAAGTATAAGTTATAAATCTGCAGAGTCATGTAGTAATACTAAATAATAAGCTTATACAATATTCTCAAATTAATCAGGTTCCTCATCCAAAAAATCAAATAATAAATGTTAAATTTATCTTATTTATACTCCAATCACTATTTATTTTATTTCATTATAATTAAGCAACTTTCTAAGCAACATATTTAATAGATTTATACAACCCACTTAATGTTTAAATAATTTAAGAGATTAATCAATTAATTAAAATATAATATTTTAAATAAGAACCAATTAATTGAAAGGCCAAATATCAACAATCAAATTCATTACATTAATTAGCATCTCAAAATGATAATATAAAAAAATTACCTATTTAATATTTGTAGAAATGTGTTTCTGATTGGATATTTAATAGTTCCAAATTTATAATACTGATAATAGAGTTATCTCCAAAATTTAAACTTTCTAGTAAAATCATACATTTAAGAATATTTTATTTATAATTAATCTTATTCTACAGAGAATAATAGAATTTTAAATCGAAATATATTTATTGATTTATACAATTGTTTTTAGGGTAAAACTAATGTAAACAAATTAATAAATCTATCATTGTACATAACAAATTCGGATTATTAATTAAGTTTATTAATTGTATTTATTCTTTAAGAATAGCCAATAAGTAATTGATTTATGATGTATTTGCTATGATTTATTTTTGAATAAACGTTTTTAAAAGAGTTAGTATTTGTATTTTGATTGGAATATAAATACTATTCATTTATTTCAAACAACAAAGTAATTCTTGTAAAAAGAGCTAATCTATATTGTGAATCGGTATTTGATTAAACAGATTTGAAATTATATAATAATGAGCTTCTTTCTTGATATAATCACTCTCTTCCTATAGAGCAAGCGCATATTAATCAAAGATTTACAAAATTTCATGAAATATATGATTTTATTCATCAAATTTTAATATAGTTAAAATAAAATCAATTCCAAAATTTCTTATCTTTAACAAATAGAAATCATATACATAATCATCATCTTTATTTGAATATAAATTTTGATATGTACTGGGATCTAATTAAATTATATTAATTATTATGAAAATGATTAATTCTTTTTGCTTTGGGTAATAAATGTTTGAACGAATAATTAATTGTTTTAATATTTTTAAAAGGCTGTATGCAAAAATTCTATCTAAATTAATTTTATTGTTCAGATAATTGTTTGTTATTTATTACAATAATTATTAGTAGTTAAGTTCTGATGGGCTCATTCTCTTAATGATTCGAAAGATTATTTTCTAAAACTTTCTTAATAAATTTTATTCATAAGGATTATTTTATATAAATTAGCAATATTAATTTATGATAGTATTATATTCATTTTCTGTTAATGAATAAAATAAGGAACTAGTAAGAGAAATATATAAATCTAACAACAAATCTACTACTTTTAGATTATTGAAATTAAAGATATTATAAATTTTATTAAAATCTAATCGATATCCTGATTATCTAATTCTTAATTTAATAATTTAATTATTCATCATCTCAGTAATCAATTAAATATATACCATATCAATTTGAGGATTATTTATTATTTGTATTATAATATTTGTGGAATCAAGTGAATTTAAGATCATATAGTTGATCAAATTACATAATAAAGGAATGATCTATTAATCAACTTTATCAAGGTAAAACAATAGAATTTATTGAATTTCAATTTAATGATTCTTTAGTAGTGAAGTATAATTTTGCTAAATGAAATGCTTCAAAAAAATAAAAAATTAAGTTTTAAGTGATTTATCAAGATTGTGATTACATAAATATTCAAATCCAATTCTTATTTTTTGAACATCATTAAATATTTAATTGAGTTTTTATTCAGAGATGTTGCGTATTTCTTTATTTTAATGGTAAAGTTATTTTATAAGAATTAGAATTTATTCCATTTAATAAAATTTAATGGAGTAGAATACAAAGGTTAATTAAGAATATGTAAGTTATATGTTTATGATTTAGTTTAAAAAATTGAAGCTTATTCAAAAGAAAATGAATGATATAAAAGCTGATTAAAGTCCAAGTGTAATAAAGTATATGATAAGAAGAAAAAGTGCAGAAGAGATATAAACACCTTTACATGATGTTGAATATAATCAATAACCAAAGAAAAAGAAATTATTGTTTTTGAAAAGCTTTTAAAAAGTAGTAATCGATCCTATAATAAAATTGGATGAAATAAATGAAGAAAAATGGACTATAATGTCCAACAATTATAAATCATTAATTGAAAAATCAAGATAAAGTCTTTAAAAACACAGTTAAATCTTTTAAGCTTCTAAACCAACTAAAGAACATTAGAAGTTTTAGTTTCTAACTCGAAGATAATCAATTGAATTTCGACTTCGTGAAATAGCTACTGCTCCGAGTAATCATATATCTGTAACTCCGATAAATATAAATACTAATACTTAATATGTTGATCCAAATTAGAATAGATTCAAAAAATATTATTAAAAAATAGGAATAGTGGCTGATAATCCAGTTCAATTAAAATTCAAATAATTGATGTCAACTCCAATTTTACCTTATAAAAAAAAGGAAAAAAGTTAATACTCTTGTAATAATTCATAATAAAATTCAACTTCTCCTCCTAAAGCTAGAACTCTTCATTTGAAACCAAATCGTAATTCATAATATTTATAGGAGATTAAAGAATTATTTTCAGTTGCATCAAATTATTAAGCACATGTTAAATAAGATGAGAAAATATAAATTCATTAAACTAGTAAATAAATGGGATATATATAAGCAGAATTCAATAAATTTCATAATATGTTAACAACAGATTTGGAAAAACTAGACTTTTATGAAGAATGAACTTTATTTATTGAATAAATTACTATCCTTTTTATTAAATTTGGATAACTTTATTTTTCATTATAATTTTTGGTAGACTAAATCAATATATTTAATCATTTCTGATTTCACTTGTCCTTTTGCCAAGTAAAGAGGAATTGACATTTTGAAATCACATAATGAGTACATTCTGACAAAAGAGAATTCATCAAAATTTTTATTTTTAAATCTATTATTGTTTATAATATATATATACCTATTATTAAAATAATCTTTATTTTTATAATTGGAAAGTGGTTCAATCAAGTAACCACTAAGTAAAATTTCTCCTCTTACTTTTTTTTTAATTGGATATTAGGGATCTGAAATAGATTTACTAACGTCACACCAAACCTAATTAATAAAATTAAATGAAAAACATTTGTAGCAATTTATTTTGTTTTTTTATAATAAATAAATTCTCTTGCTGAAGTCATAAGAATTGGTTTATAACTTAAGTAAATAATAGATTCTTTATTATCTTCATTCTTTTTCATAGGATAAAAAGCATCTATCCGAGAATCTAATTCTTTCTAAATTTAAAAATTGCTCATAAAATCAATAAAATCATTAGGTTTACCAGGAACTATGAATTCACATTTTGTTGCATTTATTTTAGTTTAACTATCAACTTCAATTTATTTAATAAATAATTTCAATGAACTTAATGTGTTCTCATTATCACATAATATGATCCAATCATCAATTGGAGTTATGCTTTCATCACATTTCTCTTGTATTTGTTTCACAATCTCTTCCTACATTTGTTCATATTGTTCAAATTCGTTTGTAGTTCCTTTTTCATTTAAAGAATAAGCAGTTACAGTAGTGTCATTTGATAACTCAATTTTGCTTAAGAAATAACATATAGGTTTGTCTTCATATATTAAGATTTATCTTCTTTATTGACCAATGGTAAATTCTTTCATATATTCTAACTCATCTTAAATGGCTTAAGATGCTATAGATGCTCTATTTGTACTTCTTTCTTATACACAACACTATTATCCCATTAATAATAATATAATATTTTATCTTGCTGAAATATTTATTATCACAAAATAAAATGAATAATATATCTTAACATTCATGATAATAAAAATTAAAGAATTATTTAAAATATGCTGTTATAAGATCATTAAAATTATAGGACTCTTTTAATCAATCATCTCTATAAGGACATTTTATCTCGAAATTAACAAATGTAGCTTCATATTATGTAAAAAAATCAAAACAAGCTGAGTGTCTATTACATGGAAATGCTTTTGCGTCAATTACATCACATAAACAAATTGGACAAGTTTAAGGATTTTATAAAGGCAATGGTGTCAATCTTTTACGTAATTTTATTTAAAGACGTCTCATTTTAATTATAAGAAATTTAGGTACTTTACAACAAAGCCAACAAATAAATAAATATAACAATTACAAGAAAATTGTTAATATTTTAAACATCTGAATTATGAATGAAACTATTATACAAATAAAGCAAATGCAAATAAGCACAAAAGGTAAACTAGCTCTTATTCTGTAATTATCATTACATTAATATGACTTTATAGCGTGACATTCATTCAAACAATTTTCATATAAACATGAAGAACATGAATTCTCAATAGGCAAGGTTGAAAATAATAAACATTGATTATAATAATCTATTGCTAATTCATTTGTTTAATTGTTCTTCAATAAAATTTGCAGTCTATATTTAAAATTTACATCTTCAATCTGATATTGTTCATCTTCAATTTTCATACAAAGTATGTTTTGATAATTTATTTATAGACTCTTACTATAATATTGATAACATATCCCTTTATTTGTAAAAATAGCAAATACATAAGCATCTTAAATTGAAAATAAATATTTTATCTTAATTTTTGAATCTTCATGATACCAAAATAAAATTTTAGTTGGTACGGTATAATTAATGTGATGAGAATTCATAAAAACTGCTGTTCCATTATTCCAATACTATGTTGAAAATACATCATTTTGAGTGCTAAACCATACTTTCTCATCAAGTTGCTAAATATTTTCATTTAATTCAATAATATGGAATTGGTTATCTGTATTCAGATATGTAAATGTTAAATTAGAATCATATTTATATACTTCAAAGGAAGTATGAGAATTATTTTTTTATTTTATTTATGTAATGTTTAGTATTTTTGCAGTTTGATTTAATATATTATTCACATATAAGGATTAGTTTCGATATTGAGCCACAAAGTAGAAAGAAGTCACAGTTATATTGGTAAAATTTTCATTTATAATACTAAATGATTCTTTTATATTAATTGAGGTTTCATTCTATTTTTCTTATAGGGTATATATAATGATCCGATCTTGATTCCTAAATTAGTTTAGTTGAATAATACCATACAGCAAGAGAATGATTTTAAAGACAAAAGTCTGTCATGTTTTATGAAATAATTGAAAATTGATCAGGGGTCTGAAGATAGGAATAAGCAATATTATTATTTTGATTGAAGATTATGTAATTTTTAAAAAGTGTATTATGAGGATGAGTAATATTGAGTTTCCTAAATGCGAATATTATTTGGATGAGTAATTATATTAGAAATATCATATAAATTAAATAATAAGAAATTCAAATGCAAATTTTGGATAAGGAATTCAAAACAGTTTTAAAATAAATAAATAAAATAATTTAATACTAATCATGGCTACAGTGAATGTTCAGATCAATGTGAACCAATATTAGCTTATATTGTAAAAGTAAAAAGCTAAAAATCCTTATTAACTTGATAAAAAAGAATAGTTAAGTGGTCCAATTAACATTTATGAATAAAGATTCAACTCTGTCAATTTCTCGAATTATAAAATTAATGAGGTAATTGGATGGATAATGATAATTTTTGTGATATTAATGATGCTTGTCATGATCATTTCTCTCATTCAAGATTCAGTTGTTGGATTTGCTATCCCATAACTTTCAGTAGTAGGATTTTTCATAGTTTATCTAAACTGGATATCTATGAAGTTCTTTATCAACTCATGATTTTGAACACATATATTCAAACGACTAACTGTCTATTTAAATTTTTATAGTGTAAAATAATTCATTTCTTCTTTTTCCTCTCTTTTTTTTCTTCACTATCCTTATGTTTTTTATGCTTTTTTTCCTCTTTACTTTTCTTTTCCTTTTTTTCTTTCTTCTTTTTTTCTTTTTTTATTTTCTTCTCAATACATCCATCCTCCTCCTTCTTTACTTACACTAAGTATTAATCTTAATCGCCATAAGCTTCTAGTAAATACTAAGCTTCTGTATTTTTAGTCTACTTTTACATAGGACCATTTCCTAAGCCTTTTTTCTCATTATTCAATTCATCATCAAAATCTATTTTTGATTTTTTTGTTAACTAAGCCATCTCCTCTTTTGTCAATTTAACTTACATCTATTTTTATTCATCTGGTTATTCTAATCCTAATGCTACTCTTATTCTTCTATCATCTTCCTCTTTTGCTCTTTTAAATTCATCATCCAATTCTAATTTAAAATATAAATATATTCTCATACATATATTATCTAAACCATTACGATCTTCTGGTTTAATGTACCAATCTTTCTTTCTCCATTTTCCTCCTTTATCTAAATATCCAATAATTGTTGTTTAACCCAAATATTACTCACGATCATGGTATTTCATTGTTCTCAAAGACTCCCAATTAAATTGATCATGTCCTCCTCTACATCCTGGTCTAATTAGATCAGCATTATTTTAATGCATTTTTTATTATTTTATTTATTATTTTTTTACATTTTCAATATATTATATTAAGATATATATAATCATTTTAATTTATCATATTTTTCAAATTTAATATCTATAGCTTTTACATTCTATTGAGTTTTCCCCTAATAAATGATAACTTGATAACTAAAATATGGAACTAATCCTTTTTTCTTTTTTTCATAAAATTCTGGATCAACACAAGACTAGTTAAAATCATCTTGATGAACAAATATGTCCTTATTATTTTTATCATCCAAAAAAAATCCATATTTTTTACTTTCATTATAGAACTTCAAATATCCAATTACTCTTTCTGGCTAACTTTATATGATCTATTAACTAATGTAATTTATTTTATTTACCTTACTACTGTTTTTAAAGATTTTGTATCTTCTTTTTCCTCTGCTTTATCTTCTGAAGAAACTTGAAAATTAAAGACTTTTTTAACATTCATATATTTTTTTGTTTATGGTGTGAAAGTTGGAACTTGATACTACTTATCATTTTTTAAGTTTTTGCACTTTAAACACTTTCTCCTATATTTCCTAAATCATTCGCTATGATCTCTTTGTTAAGAGATGAATGCGATTTACTGATCTATAGAAAAGAATTTATTGTCTGATCAAGTAACTTCCTTATGAATTTAAACTTTTTCCTGTAGGAATTGGTCTACAATTCATAATAATTATAATCTTCTTTAAACATTCTTATTGTTTTATTATATCCATGATTAACAATCATAGATAACAATCCATCATCAATAAAGTATAATTCTATCTTTACCTTAAAAATTGAAAATATTAACTCTAAATTGAACTTTTATTATTAACAAAACTTTTACATATTCAAATTCCTCAGATTGCTAATTTATTATATACTCAGCCAAAGAACTCACATTATTAATGGTTTTATGAATTTATTTAAATTGTTGTAAACATAAGGTTTTGATTTACTATTGAAATATATCAGTCTAAAATAGTAATGTTGATAAAAATTAGAATAATGTTTTAGGTTCAAAAATAAGAACCATATCATTCTATTCTATCAAATTAATACTAGACTCTCTTTTTAGATTCATTAAATTAGAACTTATGAGATTGTTATACATATTTTATTTTTATAATTAAATTTCTATTCATATTCTTGTTTGAGAAATTTACTTTATACATAAACCTAATACTTGATCTATAAATTAATTAATTTTTATCTGTATTAAAATGAATTAAGAATATAGTTAAATGACGAAAGCAAGAATTCCATAATGTATTAAAATATCGCTAATTTCATAACTAATTATGTTGAGTGTTGCTATTTTATTTCAGTTTACGCTCTTTTTCACAAATATATATGAGATTTATTCTCCCTAAGAATGTACAATCACATTCACTGGTAAGGAGATTTGTTTAAATTATGATGGCGAATATGAAACATTTGCTGTAGATTGTGACGATTGTTAATTTTTACACCTCATTTGGCCTTTTTCGTTGGCTGAATTTATCCTATTAATCAGTATATTGATATGCAAATCGTACTATTATATTACTCTCAAATGTTGTACCACTATAAAGATGATATCAATTCTTTTGATTGCTATCATTCTAACTATGGAGATCTATTTGCTTTTACAATTTGATAAAAATATTCCGGAAGTCTTAACTTTTAATTATAAAATCAAACTATATCCAATCATCACTAAAGTAATCATTGGAATTTTAATGTTATCTATAATAATAGCTATTTGGATTGAAGATATTTATACATTTAAACTTAAGAAAAAATAATAAAAAATGTCAAACTCATCATGTAACAATTCACAATAATTGTTATAAATTTAGTGATCTAAATATTTGTCAATTTGTTTAATGAAAATCATATTACTACAAATTTTTTATACTTCTTTCTCAATTAATCTGCTGTTGTATCTTCGAATTAATCATTTATTAAAACTAATGATTAAATGCCAAGAAATCTACTTAACAATTTATCTATATAATCTCTATCTTGTTCAACTAATTAATTATCTGACAAGTTTCATAATCTAAATTAAGGTTTTAAAGATTATAATTAAAATTATCTATTTTTATATATGATAACACCAATATCAGATATACTTTTTTTTTATTTCTGAAATTTTTATATTTACTATTCACCTTACTACTCTAATTCTTAAATTCTTTATTTATATTCAATTATTATACTTAGAAAATTCTACTGTCGATATTTTATATTTGCCAAATGAATGTGCTAATATCTTAAAATGACTTAATGTTAATTTAATACTAATCCAAGATACTCTAATGCATTAGTTATATTCATATATTTAGCCATTGCATTTACGCCTTCTTGACTTATTTTATTTACTCCAAATTCTAAGATTCAGTCAATTACATAAATCTCCTATTAATTAAACTATTGAATTATTATCGTTTTCTTTCCCTCTCAAATAAATAAATTCTAAATTATAGAGAGGAGATAATTTGATTATATTTAAATTAGGATTATGTTCAATAAATTCTATGATTATTCTTTAGAAAGCAAAAATTTAGTACACAACATCTAATTCTTATGGCATAAATTTATTGCTATTAAATACTATTATTTATAAATAAGTAATCAATTAGAAATTGATCTTGTGTGTTGTTTTATAGAAATGGATGAATGTAATTGTTAATAGAATTAGATACTTGTTTGTATATTATCCATAAAGCTTATGAATTATTATGATAATTTATAGATCTTTTTTTAAATAAGAGTCAAATATTATTTGAAAGCATTTTACTACACATATTAAGGTTTATAGATCGAAAATACTTCTTTTTTAAATAATTCTCGATTATGTTTATTAAGTTGAAGGTGGTGTTTACTTTTGATATTATTTATATTATATAAATCATATTTATTATAAAACTTATAATACTTTCTCATTTAATTCTAATGAGTCAGAATGATCAGGAAATAATTTAAGTGTTTTTTAAACCAATTAATAACATTGAGAATAATCTTGTTAGTTAAAGTGAAGTACGCTTAAATTATACACAGGTTCATAAATAAATTCATTACTTTCAATAGCTTTTTAAAAACTGTGTTTGGCTTTGTCTAATTCCTTTCTTTTAGCTTAAACAACCTAAATATTTTTGATTTGATACTGCTAAATTATTATAAGCTTCACCATGATGAGGATCAAAACAAAGAGAAATTTTAAGACATTAATAAGCAGTTCCACTATCTCCTAGATTAATAAAAATCTATAATTAAAGAGTATTATTTACATGTGATAAATTGTACCATATTTCTGCTCTTTATTGATCATCAGCTACACTTAAAGCTCTTTCAAAACATGAATAAAATAAATCATATTATCCACTATAAAAACAACATAATCCTATATTATTCCATATTTCTGCAGTGTAAAGTCCCAATTATAACTATAAATATAAAAACAATAAATTACTAATCTCTTATAAAATTGTAAAGCAGTTTCTGGTTAATCTAAATAAAAATGTTATGCACCCAAACTAGCTACAGCTTCAATATTGAAATTATCTTTAATTAGAGTATTTTAATAAAAGGGCAATGCTTTTTCAGGTTAATTTAATTAATCATAAACTCTAGCAATACCTATTAAATATGAAATTTCGTGAGGAAAACGTTCACTATTTTTTTTATACAATTCAATTGCTGTAATTGGTTAATCTATTCTTAAATAAACTCTAGTAAATTTAAATTATTAATACTTTGCTAATTATAATTATGTTTTGATCATCTCTTACATTTTTAATGAACTTTCAAATTACTTTTCTGCCTCTCTATAAAGTCCTAACATAAAATATGCTTTTCCTAGCCTTTCTTTCCACCACCAATCAGTGAAATTGTTTATTTAAGTAGCTTCTGCAGCTAATTATAATGCCTAAATATACTAAATTCTTTACTTTTCTTGGATTATGCTCAACATAAATTAAATAATCACATAAAATTCTTGATATGACAGGTTTTGAAGCCATCTTTTTCATATCTAATCTATCAATCATAATAAATTAATCTCCCATCTATTATAAAGATGCTGTTCCCAATCTTATATATCTACCTCCTTAAGTCATAGGCCTTGCTGTACCCAATCTTGTACCTACTCTTGCAGTCTTTACTACATTCTCTTATGTATCTTATCTATTTGTAACTGGTCTAGCATATCCAGTTTACAATCTTCCCATCTTACTCATTGGTCGAATACCCAAATATAATATATTCTATATACTTATCCTGCTTAGCTTCCAGGTCTTTATAAGCTTGTACCAGGTCTAGCTACTGAATTTATTGAATCATCATTCATTAATTAATCTCCTATTCCTTATTCATCAATTTCAATATCATCCAAAAACATCTTTCTTATCAAACTACTTGCTTTCAAAACCCAAGCTGATTAATCCAAATTATTTCCTTAAAGAATCTTATCACATAAATTAATTGATTAATCATATTTTCTTCTTCTATATCGACTTACTGCTATTGCAAAATCATCCATTTTTTATATTTATTATTAATTATTCTCACTTTATTCAACTTTCTAAACTTATTATTAAATTCATCATCTAAATAAACTTATTAATACTTTCAAATCATTCTAATCAACCTAAATTTTGCAAATCTTATAATCCTCTTCATAAACAAGTATTTAATGAAAATTATAATTATTTAATTCAGATTTCCTTAAAAATCCTTACTTCATTAACAAGATAAAACTTATTTCGTTATATTGACTATTTGCAACACACTTATACCACAAATTTTAAATTCAATGGTTTTCCTTTTCAAGTTTTCTCAAAATCTTTTTGTGCAAAGGTTAAACCCTATAAGTATAATTTTATATGACTTAATTAAAAATGATGTGTAATACCACGAAATCAAATTGCATGAAATTTTTACTAAAAAAACTATGAAGCTGTTTTTTATACCTAATTCTATTTCTATTTTGGATGAGTGAAAATAATAAATATTAAAAATATATATTTCATTTTCCTTTTAGAGTATGAAAATATATTTGATTATAACTCAAGTTTTCACAATTGAATGATAAATGATAAATAAATAGTTCAAATTATTAAATATTAAAATTGTTTTAATAATTTTAATTCATAAATATTATAAAAATATAAAAATGATCATTATAAAAGTATTTTTAATAGGATATAAAATATTATAATTATGACCTTCTGTTTTGTATTAAAAATTTCCATAAATTGTTCTTCATATTGCAATAGAATATAGAAATATATAAATTTATAAGATTCGTTGTGAATAATAAATAATTAATACGGAAATATTCTGATTGTTAAGTGAAAGATTATTTGAAAGTATATTAAATTTTAATAATGGATAAATAACAAGGATGCTTATATGAACGTTTTGGGGGTGATTAATAAGTTTCGGAGCTAATTGATCAATTTTATTATAAAGTGCTGTTTGATAAGCTTTTAAGAGATAAATTTCTGAAAGCTGATATGAGTAGAGTCAGATATCAATAAAAGCGATTCTTCTCATAAATGATGGGAGACAAGAAAACTCAATATACAGGAAAGTATGTTATAAAATATGATGTTTTAGAGATTTAATTGAAGTTCATCGTAATCTAAATATAACAGATTAGCAATTCGATAAATTTAAGACGCATTTAAAAAGCATAGCATAAGATATGGAAGTGAGCGTAGAAGATATTGAAGACTTGTTAGAGCATGTAGAAAGACACAGAAATGTTGTTGTATTTAATAAATGATGCTTTAATACATATATTAATTTTTATATGAACGAATTTTCTGAATAAATGGATATTTCAAAACTTAGAATAGATTTAGGTCCATAATGGAATGAAATTGAATTAGAAGTGTTTTTAAAGAGTATGATTGAATGAATAAGTTGATTGTAGTCTTTAGATAGTAATAATTGGCAGGAGTAGGAAGAATGTAAGAGACTTTGAGACAGTTAGGATATCAACGAACAACAACAAATTTATTGTCTGTCTATAAGAAAGTAAGATTAATTATGGATGAAGAATAAAAACTTCTTAGAATCAAATCAAAATTGTACCGCCCATGATTTGTATTTAATTTTACGAGATCATTATGAATAAAATGAACCTTTCGAAATACGATCTATTAAGAAGGTTAAGAAAAATTAAAATTGTACATAAAATTGTATAAACACAAGATCGTAAATCTATTCCTTAGAAATTTGATATAAATGACAATGCAAATGATATGAACTATTATTTTAGCTAAACTTAATGTTTCAATAATTAATGTGTTTATGATAATAAAAACATTAGTCAGAATGTAATTATACATAATTTTAAATTCAAGTTTTGTAAATGGATTTAACATGAATATTTTTATTCACATTTAGATTACACTTATTTTAGTCTAAATGAATTTTAATAAATGTTAACTAAAGCTAGCATTCCTTTAGGATAGAAATCTATAGCTGAATGGAGAATAATAAAAATGGTAGAATTTTTATTTACAATTCCTTAGGCTGTAGGGTAACCCAGAAGATTTTCATTTTATTTTCTCTAACAAGAAATGAGCAAGTTAGCAAAATATAGATCAGTTATAAGAAACTATCTTTTTGATTAGAACTATCCTATACATAGGGATATTCGTAATTTAGATCTGATACATGATATTGTAAGATTGGCTCCATTTAATATTGGTTAAACAGTATATGCTGTTCATCCAGTTTGTAAACATGTTCATATTGGATAAATCTAATCTACTAATCTACCTACTATCACTATTAAATTTTCATAACCTGAATTAGGAATTCATAAAATATCAGATCAAAACATTTAATTGTATTTTTGAATCATTTATAATCTTAAGAGAAGAAAAGTTTATTAGCAAATAAATGAGTGATGATCGATTTGATATGCAATAGTAATTAAGTTTCAATACTCAAAATGAAAATAAAAATACTATGATTTCCAGTATTGTTTAAGAGTTGGATCATTATGCTGCTGCATTTATGATTCGCATATTATAAAGGTATTCATATTTTTTTATATAGAAAACATGCCTTGGTAGGACATTTGAAACAATTAAGTTAAAAATTATAAAATGAACCAAATCTCATAGAAGATTAAGAATTTAAAGATCTTTATCAATGGTCATTATAGTAGATAAGAAACTTTGATTCAGCTTCAAAACATGTTATGACTAAATTTAGAATGAGAGGATTGACACGCTATTGTAAAAAACTATTTTATTTATTTCAAGCCTTGTAATAGGTGAACAATAATCTCGATAAAGTTTTAAGCATGCCTTTAGCCTATATGGAAAGAGAATTAGACCAAAATAATGCAAAATCTGAAGAAGTGAAGAAAAATCATGAAATAAAATAGATCATTCACAAACAATAAGATGTATATTATTTTATTCTATTTCAAAGGAAAAAATCAACTCTCAATTAAATTCATTACTAACTTAAAAGTTTTCATTTCTAGATAAAGACAATTGTAAATATTCATCATATGATTTCATACACATAGAATTAAAACCATTAGTTTCATCCCTCTTTGGCCTATTATATACATTAAATAGTAGTTAAGATTTGAATATGAATTCCAATGCTCATTGGCAAACATTAAAATAAAATATCCAAGAATCCCACCCTTAATAACTCCTAGAAATATAAGAATCAATTTTAAGAATTGTAGGTAATCATAGTAAATGACATAAATTTATATTTCGAATTCAGATTTCAAAGTGAGAAGTTTAGAATTTTAATTTATTGGTTTCAATTTTAAATGACTAAAATATGGTCAAATATCGGGTTTCAATTTTCTATTTATTTGAGATGTTTAAATTTTTTGTTACTCACTAATTGTTCAAGTCTTTTTTTGTTAAAGCTAGACTAAGTTGATGAATAGATTCTACATTTTTACTTACTCTACAGTAATGCTCTTTACTCTTACTGATAATAATTCCCTTTTTCTTGATTGGAGTAAATCTTANAAATTTTCATAACCTGAATTAGGAATTCATAAAATATCAGATCAAAACATTTAATTGTATTTTTGAATCATTTATAATCTTAAGAGAAGAAAAGTTTATTAGCAAATAAATGAGTGATGATCGATTTGATATGCAATAGTAATTAAGTTTCAATACTCAAAATGAAAATAAAAATACTATGATTTCCAGTATTGTTTAAGAGTTGGATCATTATGCTGCTGCATTTATGATTCGCATATTATAAAGGTATTCATATTTTTTTATATAGAAAACATGCCTTGGTAGGACATTTGAAACAATTAAGTTAAAAATTATAAAATGAACCAAATCTCATAGAAGATTAAGAATTTAAAGATCTTTATCAATGGTCATTATAGTAGATAAGAAACTTTGATTCAGCTTCAAAACATGTTATGACTAAATTTAGAATGAGAGGATTGACACGCTATTGTAAAAAACTATTTTATTTATTTCAAGCCTTGTAATAGGTGAACAATAATCTCGATAAAGTTTTAAGCATGCCTTTAGCCTATATGGAAAGAGAATTAGACCAAAATAATGCAAAATCTGAAGAAGTGAAGAAAAATCATGAAATAAAATAGATCATTCACAAACAATAAGATGTATATTATTTTATTCTATTTCAAAGGAAAAAATCAACTCTCAATTAAATTCATTACTAACTTAAAAGTTTTCATTTCTAGATAAAGACAATTGTAAATATTCATCATATGATTTCATACACATAGAATTAAAACCATTAGTTTCATCCCTCTTTGGCCTATTATATACATTAAATAGTAGTTAAGATTTGAATATGAATTCCAATGCTCATTGGCAAACATTAAAATAAAATATCCAAGAATCCCACCCTTAATAACTCCTAGAAATATAAGAATCAATTTTAAGAATTGTAGGTAATCATAGTAAATGACATAAATTTATATTTCGAATTCAGATTTCAAAGTGAGAAGTTTAGAATTTTAATTTATTGGTTTCAATTTTAAATGACTAAAATATGGTCAAATATCGGGTTTCAATTTTCTATTTATTTGAGATGTTTAAATTTTTTGTTACTCACTAATTGTTCAAGTCTTTTTTTGTTAAAGCTAGACTAAGTTGATGAATAGATTCTACATTTTTACTTACTCTACAGTAATGCTCTTTACTCTTACTGATAATAATTCCCTTTTTCTTGATTGGAGTAAATCTTACAGGAGATATTCACAATACTATAAACTATTTCTTTTCAATTATATTTTATTAAATATTCCTAATTCAGGTTAAAATTCTATTTCTAAAGCTACTTCTTTAAAATTTATTTAATAGTCTACAATTGAGTGTCTTATCTGAAACACAAGAAATACATTGAGTCACATTTGAAATGATCATTTTATTTAATTTAATAATTATTTCAAGTCAAAACTACTACATACTGATTCAAATCATTGTAAATTTAATACTAACTATTATATCAAAAAAAGAAATTAATAGTTTCAGAGTGGACTAACAGTTGACAATGTTTTCTGATGGTATTTTGTTCTATGCAAAGTCAATAATTACGATCTCTATTATATTTGAGTAGGCTTCAAAGGTTTAAGTAGTTATGAATCTATTTTTCTCAATGTTACATAAGGCGATAAGTAAGGTAAATTTCTAGGAGTTTTTGAATGTTTAGGAGAACAATTTGGAGTATATTATGCTAATTAATACATTTTTATTTGTTATTGTTATTGTCTTGAGAAATATGAATGCAATTTTGTCATTTATTCTTATATAACTTATAAATTCTAAGGGTTTTTATTACTATCTTGAATTTGCATTGCGTTTATTTTACTTTCATCGTACGTCTTCATTTTTTTCAAAGCCTATTTGATTCGTTATACAGATTTAGGTTATGCTGATTGTCTAATCAAACTTATAATACAAAATACATATGTTAATTAGATGCCCTTCTTGTTAGAATTGCTTTTCGATATGGTCGAGGACCTTTTATATTCATACATTTATATTGAAATGTTCCCAATTATCCGCATTCATTGCAACAACAACTTTTCCTTCTAAATGATCCTTTTATTGTTTTCTATTGTAAAAAAAAAGGCTTTTATTAACTTCTTGATTTTTGTCTTTTCATTTATCGACAATGAAATCTTTATGTATTTGACAATCTGAAAGTCATACTGAGAGGAGAATTCAAGGCAGAGTTACTCTCAAATTGTTTCACCCTATCGAGAGGTAATTAATTCATGATTTATAAAATATATCAATTGGAATCATTTCAACCCAGATTTAGAAAATGTATAAACAATTTTGATAGTTCTAAGTTCACTTTTTGAAACTCTCTTCTTAAGTTTAAAAATTATATATTAATGTATCTTATTTTCTTATAAAATATATGGTTTTCTAATCCTTTTTTTTTAATGTTTTTGAGTAAAAATATTCTTATTTTATTTGGACTTTTTATTAGTTTATCATTAGATTCTTAATTGATATAATTTTAAGAGCTTTTGTTATGATTATCATATTAATATTAATTAATTAGCTTGCTTTAGTATCTAATAATATTTTTTATAAATTATACTAGATTCTTAATTTTCTGAGTTTAGATATACAAAAATATAAATAGAAAATCATTTTTTTAGAAAAAATAATTGTAAATTTTTCGTAATAAATCATAAAATATATTACTCTAGAAGAATTCTTGGCAATTAATCTGTAATTAAATTTATTTTTGATAGAGAATATTTTAAATTGATAAAGCTTTATCGTGTAGATTATTGTAAATATTCTAATAAGAAATATGCAAATTATTAATTTATGAATTGGGATTTTCTAAACAGAAAACTTAAAGAATTCTTTGAATAGCGGCGATAACAATCGATTGATAAGTTATTCACACTAAATACTGTTCCAGATAATAACCTCCTAAAAAAATAATTCTTAGAGTTGGAAACTTAAGTTACAGAGGATCCTAAATAAATTGTCTCCTAACCCACCGCTCTAATTACATCACCAACTCCTTAAAAATAAAAATTAACTCCGAAATCCTTTAACTAAATTTCTCATCTCTTTTCACCTCATGGACCTGCAAGATCATAAAATTCTATGCAAATGAGATAAATTGTAACAAGCAACCTAAAAAATGAAAATAATAGCTATAATAATGTTAAAAGCAAAGATATTAAGAAGGTGTAAGAATTGGTTGGATCAAATAGTAAAACTTCTTTTAAAGGTTATGGAAGATAACTAAAAAAATAACAAAATTCTGTTTCTTAAAAGATTTTAAAAGATTTAGATGATTAGTTCGACCCATTACCTAATAATCTAATTAAGCCATCAGAATCCCTTAAATGTTTCATCACATAAACAAAAAATATCAATACTTTAGCTATGAAAGCTTAATTAAAACTTAAATCTTAAAGGTCTATGCGATAATTAAAGTAACCTAGTCCAGCACTTGATAATTTCTCCAAAATGGGATTTGGAAAAAGCACAGATCCTAGAGTAGGTTTAGATAGATTTTTAAGCAATAAATGGTTATAATTTATAATTGAATAAAAGTCTATGAGAAAAGATGATTAATTTGATAATTATCTCTCATAATACAATGAATCTCCTTAAAAAGAATAAAATGTGTAAAAATTAAAAGAGAAATAAAAAATAAGATAAGAATTTAATAGTGAAATACCATAATAAATCATTTTTAAACCTCATCGATATACCAAAAAGATAACAAAGATAAAGAAGAGTGAAATTTCTGATTTAATATCATCTTATTCTCAGACAATGTTTGATATTGAGAAGAAAAGAGATGATAAAGAGTTGATTGAGTTCTATCCTATTTACTATGAAAAGAAAGTCAAAAAAAGAAGAATAATTTAGAAGATGAAAATTTTGGCAAAAAAAGCTATAAAATTAAAAACATTTGCTTTAGATGTATTTAATAATAATGTTAAATTAGTTACTTTAAAAATTCTATTAATTAGTACCATACTAAATAGCTGGTTCAATTGCATTTTTAAGATTTGTGTAATATAACAATATATAAGCAGTTAAACAAATGCTTGATTCAGATAAATCTTATATAGGTTCTTTTAATGAATAAGGACAGTATGCTATACACATTGGAGTGATGATTTAATCATTGGAAATGGTGAAATTACTGCTATATTATGGAGCTAATGTAAATTCCGAAGATTTCTTTCTCTAAAAACCTCTATATTTTGCTTTAGTGACTGATAATTAGGAGATGATTAGATTATTGCTTGCTTGTAGAGCTTCACCATGGGATGAAAACCTAAAAGATTATTTCGTATGTTGTAGAAGTGATGATGCAAGAAATCTAATAAAGCTAGCATAATATCTTAAAATATATAATAAAGATCCAGAGTGTTTGTTAAATATGGAAAACATTAAATAACAATTGAATTAGTATTGAATCATCTAAAAAATAAATTTGGGTTTTATAATAGTTTGCTATGCTTGGACGTTTAATATAGCAATTTTTTATAAATATATTTTACATTTGAAAAGAATAAATCAATCAACTTTGCTATCCAAAAAAATTAATTATAAAACCTAAATTAAATCTAATTTTTTATATATTTTAATGAATCAAAATCTTAATTAAGGAGAGGGCGAAGAAACTTATCAAGAATTATTCGACAGTGCATAAAATTAAAATTTTGAATAAATCCCTCTTGCTTAAACCAATAACATAGAGTTTGAAGAACCAAATCAATTGGAAGGTGTAGAAAATAAAAATGCTTTAACCAATTGTCATGGGTCGTTGATTCCTCATTAATCATAAAATAGTGGTCAAATTGGAAATTTCTAATAGTAAATGGATTTGCTTGTTATTGATTCAAATGAAAATAACAATGCTATCCTCTATTTAGATTTTTAAAATGAGTCTGCATTTTTTAAAGATCAATAAGAAGATAACTTATCTGATGGTCATTTCTTTTAATAAGATAGTCAAAAAGATAATCTATTGATGAACTAGAATTTTGAAAAATAAATAAATGAAGATTGGAATTAATTTTCATTCAACCTTAATTTGAATTTAACAATTTAAATGGCTAACTTAGAAATTAATTACTAAAACGAAGTCATTATAAAATAGTCTCAAGTAAAATTTAGATATATTGAAATTCTGTTCCCAAATATTGAGTTATTAAAAGTGTCTTACCAAAATGAACTCAATGAAGAAAATGAAATAAACAGATTGATTGAAAATCCTCAAGAGATTACACCTCAAGATTGGTAATTCCTAACTGATGAAGAATAAATTTCAAAGTATTAAATAGAAGTAGTAGAGTTTTAGAAAAATGCCAAAAAATATATATCTAAAAAATCCTAAGAAAAAGATACGAAAAAACAAAAATTGAAGTGGATTTTTAACTATAATTCTTGGTTAGAAAATTAGCATAAAAAAATAATTGGCGATCCCTCTAAAAATGAATTTCATTCTAATTATCAAAAACTCATTGAAATACTCATTAAAATTGATAAAAGTGTTATAAATTAAGATAGGTTAAATTAATTTAAGGAAGAACCCTGTTTTGCATTAGCAGGTTTATTAACAATTTTATATATTATACCATGCGATGATATCGATCAATTGTTTAGATTTTTAGAAATTGTAAAAGATATTATTATTTAAACTTAATAGAATGATAGGAGGATGAGATATGAAAACTTTTGTCAAGAAAAAGAGTATGTCAAAATTATTGAAACATTATAAAAAGATTTTATTTAAAAATAAGATAAATAGCACTTTAATATAGATATTAATAAGCATCTTAATTAAATGACAGATAAAACTCTATTTTATATACTTAGCTATTTATTATTCTATGATTGGTGTTGTAGAATTGATTTAAAAAATAAGAAATACAATTACATTCAAAAATAATTATAAGAGCTCAAATAATTAATGAATGATTACCAATATGATTAAGGGGAGAATTATTTCAATCAAAAATTAAATAATTATTAGAAATACGGTTTTTTACAATTAATTCAAATTATTATCAATTTTTCTTTTATGATTAACCAATAAGATAGAAATAAACATTCAAAATTATTTCATTCAATTTTACTAAATTTAAGCTTTGTCAAGATTGACAAGTTAACTATAAAATAAACATTTAATTTTAAAGAGATTAGTGCCATAATATTATCGTTGTTTGATGAAACTTTTTAAATGGATGACTAAATAATTCTTGAAAATTTAAGAAAAGATCATTTCTTGTCAAGCTTTCTTAAGTATTGTATATTAAAGGTAAACCATCCTGTAAGTGAAAAGGATTTAAACAAGTACATTATTTTAAAATCAATGGAAAACACTGCATAGGTTGAAATATAGTTAAAATTATAAAAAAACTATTTAAATTTTTAAGTAATTCAGATAATTGAATACATAGCTATTATAGAATATTAAGATGAAGAAAATTATTTTAAAAAATAGTTTTGTAATTATATCAGTTATTTGTACTAATAATATTACAATGATTCTTAAGAACTCTAAAATGAATTAAATTCATATTAAGATGTTTTCTATTAAAACGCAGATATGAACTTATAAACTTTATTGAATGAATTCACACAATATAAGCATGGTTAGATGATTGATGATATATATAAGGAGATTATATAATTTAAAAAGGAAAACAAGAAAGTAAAGTATAAGTATATTTAGGTTAAATAAATTAAAAATGATTTAGAAGAAGAATAGATCCCGAACAAAAAGATAAAGAAAGAGAAATGAAATAAGATAAAAAAATTAAAAAAATTATACATTAATGTTTTAGGTGAATCTTATTCCTTGATGGTTGCAGTAATAATTAATTCTCTTCCAGAAATATATTCAATTAAACTAATTAATTCAGAATATCTTTTAATAGTTAAGATAAATTAACTTTAGTAATATCCTAACAAATATTATTTCTATCACGTCTTCCTGACCCTAATTATTTATTTTCAATATCAAATGCGAGACAGGGTGAATACTTCTTAATGTCCTACAAAATTATGCAGTTTAATAATTCCATGTTTTTATTTTCTTATCTTCTTCTTCCATCAATGATTCTTGTAGATATCTCATGCAAAACACTTATGCAATATCATCTTCTGATTAATCTCTATAATATCTATTTCTCTTTTATTTATTTGGATTAATAAATTCATAACCAATCTCAAAGATTTCAATAAAGAATCTAAAGTTTTCATCTAAAAAATCTTACATAGAATTTAGTTCTAACATAATATTAAAAAATTTATTTATTTACTCTAGATGTAAAGCTGAAGAAAAACATTTAATCTAGATTTCAGAACTTCATTTAATTGGATCGTCCTTTTTAGTTATTATATGATTTTAAATTGAATGTAATTTACTTTTCAGAGTATTAAGGTCCTTCTACAAATAATAATAGAACCTATTATTTGATAATCAATATCAGATAAACTTTGAATCATTAGATAGTATTGAGCATTATGCTTAATCCTAAAATGATTAAAGAGTAATTTCTAATTTTTATATAATATATTAAAGTTTATGGTATATTATTTTCAAATCATTTCTTTTAACACAATTTTACATTTATTTATTATATGTATGCAATTTAATAATTATATCAATTTGGTAAAATTATTTAAAGAGATTTATAGTAATCAATATAATGCAGTAAATGAAATTTATGGAAGCTGTCTCTTTTCTTCTTTTATTTACATTTACTTTAACATTCTGGAATAAAGAATGTCATAATGACCCTCATTATATTTTAAAGTGATAAAATTGTTTTAATCATTCCTTGGTTTATTTAATTTAGGCTCAAGTGTTTACATAGACTAGATTGGATGCTTATCTGAGAAATTAATCAACTTCACCTTAAATTGAGTAATTTCAGAAAAGAACTATATGGATAAAAAATCTCCTTCTTCTTCAAAACTACTGTTTCTTTCCAAAAACTCTTCTGAAGTCTTTTCATCCAAAAAATATTGATATTCTCCTTATTGGCAGTATAGTTTATAGCTTTATATGATGGTTGAACGCATAAATATAATGAGGATGTCATAAAAGCCGTTCACTTAATTCATATAATGAAGAATGACTTCTGAAAACATCATCATATCGTTATTACACTTTTTACTAAGTTTTTTTAACTCCTAAAAGATTTTCTTGATCAGAGTAAAAACCATAGGTCTGTCGATAATCGTAGAACTTTATTTTGTAAAATATTTACTTATTCCAATAAATCTCATGAGCCACAAATTAATTCAAAACATTATCAAATAGATTATTTACATGAATCAACTCTAAGTAAGGAAAGAGTAAACTTGAAAATAAACAATTTCCATCACCTCTAACTCTTCTCAAATACTAATTTAAGATTATATTATTTACTGGAAACTATGTGATGATTAATTAAATAATTTATTTATCTGCTACTAAATCAGTGATACAATCAGACCTTTCCAATCTTTCAACTGCTCCAAAAAATTCTATTTTCATGCCATCTAACCTATTATGTCTAACTTAATTCATCTTTTCCAAAACTTCAAATTATAAAGCAGAACAACGTTAACTTGGTTAACTTATTTAATTAAATTATTAGAGTTCTAATTAATCATAAATATACATTTCTCTCCTTTTAATTATATTTTTGTAGTCACAAAATTGCTTACTTTAACTGGTTCTTCCATATTAGTGTCTTCATCATCAAATTTCATTATTTCTATTTGTTCATTCAATTGATCACATTTTAAATTTTCTTAATTCTTTATTTCTAGTTAATCTACTGCTTACTATTCAATTTAATTTAATTAAATTATTGGATTAATTGATTCAGATTTTATTATTTCTACCTATATTGTTTATTTTATTGGAGATTCCTTAATAGTTTCTATTTTTGATGTACCTAAATTTCTCTCGAAAATTTTAATAGTTTAGCTTTCTCTTTTGCTCAAATTCATTTCTTTAATTTCTGATTTTATTATTGATTATTCAACATTTTAATATTTAATTGAATCATTATTTGGTTTATATTCATCTTCAAAGCTGTTTTTTATTTAGACTTCTTAAAAATTTCCTTTTTGTTATACTAATTGATCATATAATTTAGTTGTTATTTTATATTACTACATTTATTCAGGATAATTATTCTATTCTTAAATAGTATTATAATTTTATTTTTAATCCATTGATTAAGTTTCGTTTTTTTAGAATATTGAATGCTTATTTGATTACTCAAATCTATTTGAACAATTTATAATATTAGAATATTATTGCTCTGTTTTTACTATTTTACCTTAATTTTAGTAATAGTTAGCGTTATTATAATTATTTTATATCATTTAAGGCTTGTTGTTCAAATTTTTTACTTCATATTTATTAACAATATCACATGTCTTAATATTTGAACGATCAAACTAAGGACTATTTGGAATATCAGAAGGAAATCTTGAAATGAATTAAGGATTCTTTATTAGTTAAAATTAGTTTTAATTATCAAATATCTTATGCTTTTAATGATCCTTAATAGTTTAATTTGTACCGCCTTACATAAAAAATTCTCTATTTGTTTATTTAATTGCTGAATCATAAGATGCATTTTATATATTTTATTAGCTATTTACATTTTATCGGTTTGACTATTTTTATTAATATCCTTGATTATTGTACATATGCTCCATTTTTCCTGATTTTTGATACATTTTCAAAATTTATAAAAAAATAAATTTCTAATATTAATCTTCTATTAATGAATAAAAGTATAATACTAGTAAAGTGATTTATTTAGGTATGAAAGAAAAAGAGAAGATTTATTTTTAAGATAAATTAAGAATAATATATATTATTACTCTAACTCTAATAATTAATATGAGAGAATGGATGTTATTTAATTAATTATTAATTTAATATTCTGGAATTAAAAATGGATAGTGTAAAGAAAGAACATTCATACACATATTGGGTTAAAAATGATCCAAATCATCCTAAAATAGATTGTTAGCCAAAGAAAGTTGAAGACCCAACATAAGTGTAATAAGTGCAAACTGTAGGATCTTAATGGAATGTATCAGGAACATGGGAGGAAAAAAAAGTAGCAATGAGTGAAATTAAGAAATCACTTGAAAATATTATAGGAGTAAGAATTATAAATAATAACTATTTTTAGATGAAGATTGGTTAAACTAAAATATCAGCTGTAGAATCTGTTGATGGAGAAGCTCATCTTTATTTAAGTAGAGGTAAAATAAGAATGGGTTATCATTTAAAAATCACCTATGCACTTGAAGATGATGGATAAATTAAATACACAGACTTCACTGATGATGGGGATAGAGATGTAAAGATTAAAAATATATTATAATAAGTATATACTTGAAGATGTCAATGATGAAACAGTCAAACATTAAATAGAGGATTTACATTTGAAAACAAAAGAGTTTGTAGAAGTATTTAAGAATTGATTGTATTATATTGTGTATTTATAATTATTAATGTTCCAATAAATATTATAAACTAATAAATTTTAATATATACCACTTTAATTATCATTTTTTTTTTGGCTATTAAATCTATTGAGCTTTTATTTATAGTTTTCCTTATTCTTATGGTTTTTAACATTATTCATAAAAATTTTATAATTATAATCTGAATCCTTCATTAGGATGAACAAAATCTCTTTTATTTTAAATATATAAGAGTGCTTCATCTGGTTTCATGTTCATTTCTTTAATAAAATATGCCATCATAATTGAAACTGATCTTGATATACCAACTTGACAATGAACAAGAACATTTGTCTTTGTTAAGTGTGATTTAATAAATTTACATGTTTTTTCAAAGTGTTCTGATAATTTAAAATTAGGTTCATCAGGTGCAACTATTCTTAAATGATGTATATGAGAAGGTATTTTATATTCTAATTCATCTATAACAGATATAATTGCGCCAAACTTATACTTTTTAATAGAATCAAGTGATTAGATTCCTCCGACATAGAGATTCCCTTTATCAAAAAAATTAGATTTATGGATCAAAGTACAGCTGAAATAATCAGGAATCATGTAAAAAATGAATTTATTTGAAAATAAATAAATAATTATTGAATGAATAAATAGAATATGAATTCAATGATTAAATGAGTAAAAGATGAAGTGAATCTTATAATAGATATTGAATATAAAAAATATTTGATGATTTTAATTATGTATAAATGTAACACATATTTAATATCAAAATAAACTATGTATTTGCAAACCATCTTGATCATAATCATCTAAAGTGTATAGGTTTGGCAAAGCCTTATAAATTAATTTATAGTATTATTATGTTTGACAAATAGGATTGAAAAGTAATCTCAATTCTATTAGTTATGTATCTGCTAGCAATTTGAGATTGGCATCATCAACAATTTGATTGCTAAATGGAATAATATATGTATATATACTCTTGAAGTGAAAGTATTTTTAATTTTTTAAGATGAGCAATTTCTTTGAAACATTAATTAGTCAATTCGTTTGATTCTGCAATTAAAATTTCAATATCTTATTGATCAGTAAGAAAGGAGAGATCTTTGAGTTTCAATCCACTGACATCTAAAACTTTGAGATTAGGTTTGAGGGGTAACTTGAGTGTTCTGACTTATTTCTGATAGTGTAATTCTTTATTATATTCTAAATTTTACATGAGTATTTTAATTAATGTGAATAATTGATTATTAATAATGTAAAAAATAAAATTGGATGAAGATGAAGAATTTAATTTTAGAAGATAGTTCGAATTATAATAAAGTGTAGTAGAGCCAAAATAACTATCGAAAGTATTATGATGTTTTTAAATAGTTCAAAGATATATTGAATCAAGCAATTGATTTGAATAAGAGGAAGAAAAATGAATTAGCTTAATACAATAGAAAATAAATAAAGGAAGAAAACATAAATTGCACTTAATAATAATTGAATTTTATATAGGAATAGACAGATGAAGTTTTAACTTATTAAGAATACTTGAAGACAAAGTTAGATCAAATATTAAAGGCAAAATTATTAACAGATAGAAAGATCAATTATTATAATGATAATTTACGACATATTAAGACTTAACCTGATCATGTATAAAGAGAATTAGATGATAAAGTTAAAATTATGCTTAAGAAAACTTAACATTTTACCCAATAATTTTAAAATTAAATGGAGAAGTTTAGAAGTTAATCTGAAATGAATCAAGAATAATATTCAAGAGATATGGAAAATAGTGAATAAGAAATTAAAGAAATCTAACTTAAAATTAAAAAATGTTAATCTAAAAATTAAGAATTATTATCATAAATTCGTATTTTAACTGAACAAGAAGAATAGAAGAAACATTAATTATAGGAATGTTTCAAAATTAGTGAATACATTGAATTCTTTATGGAAGCTAAATTAAAAGTTGTTGATTAAATACAAGGAAATCAAGATCAAATATAAGAAGTAGGTTAATCTTTATCATAATAAAATGATAAAACCTTAACAAGAGTCGAAATCTTAAATCAAGTTGATGAGTTTTATAAAACATAAGATATTGGCTAATTAACCAAATAAATTATTAGCACTTATCATTATCTACTTGAACATTAGAATATGCAAACAAATGAATATAACTTTTTTACTGAAGAAAAGACTTTAAGGTAATAGTAGATATTACAATTAAATAATGAATTGTCTCAACTTAAAAGTATTTGTAATATTCCACTTGATGATCAAACTAATTTTGGTTCATATAATAACACTATTATAGAAGGACCATAAATTATTCATGAAAATTATCAATTAAATTTTCATCTACATGGCTATTAACTTTGTTTAATCACAATTTATCAAAAATTAATTGATATGATTTAAAGATTATGTAATAATATAATTTGGTTATCAGAAACTACTAAATCTATTCCAAAATCATTAGATAATAAATGTATGTAATATCTCAAAAACTTTACTAAAAATGATTTTAATTTATATGTTCCTTTAGCTACTTAGAGTGTTCCAGTCAATAAATCAACAACATCAAAACATTTTGGATAATATGTTTGTATTGGTAAAAGAAATGGTAGTATAACTAGTGAAGAAATTCCTAGTGAATAAAAAATTGAATCTATGACAAGATTACCTAATGAATAATTATCTAAGTTTAAAATGCATTAAGACTATGAATTTATCATTAATCAATGGAATGATTTAATTAGAAATGATTTTATTACTTAAACTTTAAAATAAGATATCAATTTTGATAATATTGATATTACATTAAGCAATCATGAAATTATATGTTAAATGTATGATCAATATTCTAAACTCATTAAAGATGCTGATATCAAAAAACATTTTGAATTATAATTCTCCTATTATAGAGATATTATGAGGCATATCTATAAAAATAATTAAAATTTTAATTCCAAATCCTTAACATTGAAATAAAAATTCACTAATGAAGTTACATCTCCCTTTTTACTCTAAATTAAATAGCTTTAATTAAAGAGATTATAAGAGTAGGTTAATAGTTCAAATTTAGATGATGAATCTAATTTTAAAATGTAATCAAATAAAACTTTTAATACTTAAGATGATAGAAAATATCATGAATATTTCATTCATTAAAGCTCAAAAATTAAAAAATAATTTCCTGCATTGCATGATCATTTAGTTACTAAGACTCTTTAAGATATAGATGTTATGAAATAAAAAGAAATGAATGAAAATTATTAATAATCTGATTTAATATCATCTGATATGGATTATTTAAATTAGGAAAGAAGAAATTTAAAAGGAATTCTTAGTAAAAAGAAGTAAAAACCTTAAACAGCTAGTTCTTAAAAATCTAAAAACGGATCTCTTGAAACATCTAGTACAAAAACTAAAATTATTAAATAAGTTGATTTATTACACAAGATCCATAAATGTATAAATATTTTAATTAATTATATTTAGTATCTTCCTCAACTCGTAAATTAGAAATTAGTAATAGTTTTAATGCTGATTTGAGTAAATACACTTAAAATGTATAAAGAAAAATATCTGATTATTTTACTCCAAAAATAGACATGGATTTTTGTTAAAAAGAAGAAAGCAGAATTTTATTAAAACCAAGTTAATTTGAAAAAACTCTTTCTGCATCAAAATCAGTAGAACCATATCCTATGACACCTCATTCTGAATAAGTATTTTCATTAGATAGAATTGATTCTTTCAGATAGATTCAAGATTCCACCTAATTAGGAAGTGCTAAAAAAGAAAAGGCCTTTTTGATTAAAAGAAAATGAATGATTCTTAATTAATATTATTATTATGGAATACAAAAAAAAAATAAAAAACAAAATATCATTAAATATTCTTATTCTTTGAATATCTATTTGTTATAAAAATGATTATGCTAGAATTAAAAATCATCTTGAATAGTTTTGATAAAATATATGTATCATAAAAATAAATTCAATTAAAATAGACAATGATTGATTATAATAGATTTAATAATAAAAAGATGAATCTATCACTAATAAACATATTGAAGAGTTCTTAAAATATTGTATATAAAACTTGAAGTTAAAAATGAAATCTATTAACAGAGGACAATGACGGAAATAATATAATAATTGAGAATGACAAAAAATTAATTTATTAATATTGAAAAAATGATGTCATTATCCAAAATTATTATTAAAAGAGCTTAATGTGATACAAAATTTTTTTTTATTATCCAAGTTATTGAATAATAGGTTATTACTCAAGTGGTTAATTAGGTATGTTTATTCCTGAAGCACTTACTATGTCCTAATCTCCTCAACATTAATTTAACACAATTGACTAATCACAATAGCAAATAAACTAAGTTGAAACAATCTAATTTGGCTAGATGTTGAAAACAAGAAAAATAGTTCCTGAGCTTAAAATGAGAAAAATATATTTAATGAAGGTTTGAAATTCTTTAATAATTAGGATTAACTAAGAGAGAAGAATGTTTGGATAGAAATGTAGATAAATCAATACCGATAACAAGATTCGATTCTCCATGATGAAACTAGTAAGAAATCATATATATTTATTTTTGAAGAGTTTTGTAGAATCTGTTTATGTGATGATGGTAATTCTGATCTCATAAGACCCTGTAAATGTAAAGGTTCTTTATAATATATACATGAAAATTGTCTCAAAATCTGGATCTTAGAAAAACAAGGAATTGAGAAGGTGTATAAAAATAATGTAAGATGGAATTTATATAAAAAGATAGATTGTGAAGTTTGTCATTCAAAATTTTTAATGGAAACTAAATTTTGTGATTAAAAAAAGTTAAAGATGATACAAAGAGCAACAAAAGCTAGAAAGTGTTGCTGGATAATCGAAATAATAGTTTCTTTTGGAATTATTGGAATAATTATTGGATTAATCTTTTTAATAATTACAGTAACAAGATACAATAAATATTAGAGTGAAAGAATAGATCCTTTGGTTTTAGCAAGTGCATTAGTGCTTTTCATTTTATTGATTTTAAATATCACTTTTATCTATGCAAGTTGTATTGATCAAGTTAAAGTTGAAGTACTTGATCCTTGGAAAATTATAGATATTCAAGGAGAAAGTTATTCTTAATCAATTTCAATATTGGAATTAGATAACCAAATTAAGTAAAGTATTTAGATTGTAAACAACAATGATAACAGATAGAATAGACGCTATTCTACATTAAATGTAATTTAAATATAAAATTGAAATGAATTATTACTTGTTTATGAATTAATTATTGTTCTTGTAATTAAGATATTTTGTATATCCAAGTACATTAAAAATAAATAATTAATCCAGATGTCAAACGAAGAAAAAATTGATTTACAAATTCTTGGAAAAATACGTCATCTTATTCCTTATAATTTTACCATCGAGAGAATTAAAAAACATGAGGTACAAAAAAACATAGGGTAAATATTAATAATCCATCTTTTTTTAGTTTAGTTAAGAAAACTTAATTAAAATCTTCTAGAAGATTTACTTTAGAGTAGAATGATTAATATGATGAGTTCTGTGATGTTTTAGATTCATTAACTTTTGGTAATGATTTACAAGTGATTAAATAATTTGATGATTTTAAAGAGACAATTAAACCTAAGATTATGAAAGGATCTACTTTTGGTGTTGTTAATGGAGTTGAAAGTATTGATTTGAATTCGTTTTAATCCAAAAAAGGTTGTTTTAAACCAATTTAAGATAAAACGAATCTAATCATCTTTTGGGTAATTTTGTAAAATATTATAATAGTCTTCTTAAGTACAAAAATCAACAAGAGCACTTAATTATTTGAATTCATGGTTAAACTAAAATTAGAATTTAAAATAGTAAATTAATCCAATTGCAATTTCTTTAGATCGTGATTTGAATAGTATAAAAGCATACTCTAAAGATAATGAAGTAAAAGAATTTTAACATTATCGATTCAATTTTGGTTGGGATCCAACAAATGAATTCTAAAAAGCATTAGAATTGAATTATTTACCAAAAATTGTTATTGTTGGACAAGATAATTATGTTGTAGATGTGACAACTAAATCTAAAAAAATAGAAAATATAATTCAAACATATTTAAAATCAGAAAAATAAATTTAGGAATCTGAAGAAGTTTAAGTACCTGAAGAACTTATTGAATAAGAAACATATAAAAAAATTAAAACAACATTGGTTTAAACTATAGCAAATTAATTATCTGAAAATACACAATTTGCTAAAAGTGATTTTATTAAACTAACATTAATAAAAAGTCATTAAGTATCTAATGATGGTTCAAAAGTACTTATATAAAGAAGTCATTTAAATATTGCATATGATGTTTCAGTTTAATCAAAAGAAGCAATACTAAAGTTTTTGAGTGATCTTCAAACTTAATTAGGAAATGATAATGTTCATATTTAGAAATAACTTTTAAAGGATCCTAAAGGCATAGTAGATAAGATATCAAATGCATTTTAGGATGCTTTGAAATCAAATCATTAAGAAATATCAGAATATATAATTAAAACAGAAAGTTTTAATTATGTACATGAAAAAGAAATATTTTAATAAGAAGTTTCATAAATTAATAAGAGAGGAATATTTAATCTTACATTTTAATAATATGAAACTATTTCTTCATAATTTTACTCTTATTTAAAATAAAATCAAGAAGAAATTGATGAAAGTGATGAAGAACATGATCATGATACAGAATAATAATAAGATAGAGATTTTATTTAGGGTCATATAAATTAATTAACTGATTCTTTAAAATCTGGATTACAATTAACTGTTGGTTAATAATTTTAAGCTATATAAAATTATCATAAATTTGGAAAAGATTAATCAGAATCAATTACACATAAAGAAAATGAAATTTTAATTGCCTTTTATTGGACTGATAATAAAGAGAGTGATAGACAATTTCCAAATATAATTAAGTTCTTATTGGCCAATGAAGATTCATTTAAAGATAAAGTAAGATTTGTAGCTTTAAGTCAACATAAATTTGATCATTATGAGCATTATTTTGTAAAAAATTAAGGTATTGAAGAAGTTATTGATTTCTTTTTCCCAAGATAAGAAAATTAGGAAGATTAAATATAATATCAAGTAAAAAAGTTTCCTTATTTTATAATTGTTGATAAGATAGGATCTATAAGATTATTATCAGAAACTTTAGAAGATTTAGAGTCTTTAATTTAGAATTTGTTAGAGGATTAAATTAATAATCTAAAATAATTAGGTAATTTAAATGATGAATAATATAATCAAATTGTTTAATTTTTGAATTCGGATGCAAGTAAAAATCTTTCTTAACTTAATAACAAAAGATAATTTTCTTTAAATTTTAATTTCATTGAAATTCAGCAAGGTGAAAAGAAAAATAGACTTGCTCCAATTTTAAATTATACAATAAGAGAAGGTAGAGAAAAACATTTTGAAGTATTTCTAAAACTTCTTAATAAAGTTTTTCAGATTTAAAAATTTTAGGTTAATAAAACAACTTAGATGACTTTAAATTTTTTATTTCCTGGAAAAGATTGTAAATTATGTTAGAATGAATTAAATGAATAAACTCCTTAATATTTTAGTCCATTTTCTAACGAATTTTATTGTGTAAAATGTGCTGAAGTTTTTGATTAAAAAGCAATAGGAAATAATAAATTAAGAGTAAAAGATAATCTAATATTTTTCAATGCTCCTTTAGTTGATAAATCTGTATTGAATGATATTGATGTAAATAGATTAGGAAATAATTTAAAAGTCAAGAGAGGAGATCCATATTCTTAAAGACATGCAATAGATTGTAATGGTTGTGATAATGAGATTAAAGGATTCAGATATATAGTTTTAAATTGTTTAGCAGGTAGATTAACAGAAATGGTAATATTAATAAATTTAATAGTGATAAGGCTTTAGTAGATTTCTGTTAAAATTGCTTCAATTAAATAAGATAAGGAGGAGGAGAATTAGAGAAAATTGTAAAGAGAACTTCAATGTATGGTTACAATCCATCGATGCTACTGTTAAGAATTCCATTCTATATGGGATATTATGAGTATTGATTTGTTAGAAATGGTTTAAATAAGAATAATTTAATACAATGTAAATTTTTAAAATATATATTTTATCATCAATTCTTTCTATTTGATAGATTGTCTTTAATAAGTTCTGCCATCTTTAAAACTAATAGGATAATGTCCCAATAAATAGTCACACTTCCACTTACATCATCAGCCCTATTGATATCATATGAATCACCACAACTATAGTTTAAATTGACAAAACTTACTTTAAATTAGTATAAGTATCATAAAGCAATAAAAATGCAAATAAAAAAGATGATAATGATATAAGCATAATCCAAAATAATGAAATTTTAGTGTATATTGTAAATAGTTCAAATACTATTAATATACTAGCTGATACAAATAATACAGCTCCAGAATAAGTTATCTTTCTTCTGACTGTTGATGAGTATAAAAATAAAAAGAATATTAAACCTTATCATAAAATATTTAACTTACTTGCAAAATTAACAAAGAGTAACAATCCAATTTGAGAATTTCCAAAAGCAACAAAACAACCACAAACAGAAGCAAATGACAAAGTGAATATAATAAAAATTAGCCAATTAATTGGAGCAACAGTTATCTGATTACGATAAATTAAGGCTAAGGTAGCTATTCCTATACATATCCCAAAACTTAACCAAAAGATCCATTTCTATTGTTCTAAAAAATTATCTAAAGCTGGTATAGAATGTACTATCCATACATAAACACCTATATTAACATATTATTTGAAACACTTACAAATGATTATCATTTACAAGAACAATTTCGAAAATAAGTTTCTTGCATATATCACTCTACCATTAAATGATTAATCATAAGCATTTACCACTTCTGTAGTTTATGCTTATTTATTTCTTGTAGAAAGTCGTGGATCTCCAGTTCGAATTGAACTTTCAAATAACATAATAATTTAACAATAATTATTATATATATACACTTTTAATATTCTTATAGATACAATAGATCCACTTTTTCATAAAAATATCAAATCATTATTTCAAAAATAGTATAACATTCTGAGATTAGGAATTGTATTGTTGAAATAATCAATATATTTTATTAATTTGCATATAAATGGATTAAGAAATCAGACCAAAGCGTTAAAGTATTCTTAAACGATAATCAACTTTCGATAAGCCTAATTATATGGAAGAGAAAGCGAAATAACATTAACAACATTAGAGTATTATATAAGATGACCTGCATGTGTAAATTGATAGCAGTGTGAAGATAATCACAATTCCAGAGGTTCATGAAGTGTAAGCTATCCAAGAACAAGATGAAAGTATATAATAATTATAAAGTCAAGTTCATTTTCCTAAGAAAGTCAATAATTTAAGCGAAGCAGAACTTATCAAGTTAGCATTAAAGTAAAATGATTTACTTTATTACTAGAAAGCCTTAAATATGGGAGGAAGACGAATAATGACTATTATGATTTATATATTGAATGCATATATCATAAATTAGTTTGCACTAAATTTTTGAGGTATCAATAATATTAATATTGAAAAAATAAACTCAGATATGGAAATCCTTATTCTATCTTTAGATTCTCTGTTGAATATATAATCTTAAAAACATATGATAATATTTAAATTTGAAATATTGAGTAATTAGAATGAGATATTGAGAATATATAAGCATTAATTTCTTTTATAATAATTAAGTAATTTTTGGTGATTTTTCTAATGTAAATCTCTACTGAATCAATAATGAAAAAAGTATAGAGATATAAAGTTATATCAATAAGTTAAGAATAATACTATGAAAGTAATGTCATCAATTAGGTTAGTGCATTTTTGCATCCAACTGTTGCAAGCAGCCAACATTAATTGATTACAAGTTCCTTCTATGTTAGAATTATCATAATATGGAGTTATGCATTTGACAATTTATTCATCAGTTAGAAATTCAAATAACCCATCACTTCCCAAAATAATTACTTTATCATTTTTCTCTAAATCATATTATAGTATTTCAGGTTTATCACTAACTCCTACTGAATGTGCAATCTCATCACCAAGAGATCTAGTCATAGCCAAACCTGGAACATTTTAATTAGTCCATACTCTTAATGGACCAACAAATAATCCTAAACTATTCATAAGTGGATCAATTCTCCCTCCATTAGCCAAAATTCTATCAGCTTCATCTTTACAACTTGGTTTGTGATCTCTTGATAATGATTTCATTCTCCATTTATCTTCTCGACTCAATAGAACTGCTCTTGAATCTCCCAAATTTGCACAATATAACTAATATTTGTTAATACTATAATTACTTTATTATTTTAAAGATACACTATCACTAAAGTGGATCCTGAAAATGAAACATCTATATTACTCTTTTGTAACATATCAGAAAGTCCTTAAATTATACTCATCAACCCTTATGAAGAACTAAATTTATTTTTTATATCTACTTTCTCTCTAATATTATTTTATTCTTTTATATTAACATTGGAAGTTGAGTTTTTATGAATCCACTCACCATATGTCCATGTTCACCATGTCCATCACATATGGCAAATAGATGAATACATTCATTATTTTCTATTTTTGCACAACATACAAATGCATCTTGATTTACTTTGGAAGCATTGCCTATTTAAACTCCCTTTCTTGATCTAGCTGCATATTTTGCTTTGAATTTGAAACTATCATCAGGAATCAATCTTGATTGAAACTTTACTAATTCTAAATAAAAGGTATACTCAAATTATTTGGTAATTACACATTTTCTTAATGAAAATTTCTAGGTCTTACTTTAAAAGATGAGACTAATGAAGATTGTGGAGAATTCTTTGATTCTTGAAAACTTATTTATTATTTTATTTTTTAGGGTGTGAATTATGGCAGTATTGTTCGAGGGGATGTATGTTGATAATAAGATTAATTATCTAAATAATTATTCTTCATTCTTAAAGATTGTTCAAGTTTAAGAGGAGTCAAGATCAAATGAACTTATTTTTACTTTTTGCCCTTCCCAAAATTATATTAATTCATTTATTTCAAAAATATATTTTGAATAAATAACTAATTTACATTTTTTTGATAAAATCAAAATAGTATTATTTTCAACAAAAATATCTTGACAACAAATTATCATATAATCTATTTTTATTTTATTTGAGAAGAAAATAATAAGAAAGAAATATAAATAAATAGTATTTGTAAAGAAATAAATAAATTTTGTTTGTTTGTAATTTAACATAGATATATCAAGCTTCAACCTTATTTATAATTTCTACCGTATCACCTGGGCTACATAGATTAGCACACGGATATAAATCTTAACTAGTATCTAAATTCATGGTCTAGAACATTAATATAAGAAATTACAAATTTAATCTAAGTTTTCTTCTTTTGCCAAGTGATTTTCTTTTTAGGAATATCAACTTCTATAACGATAATATCTCCAACTCCAAAATCAAACGATTTATGTGCAGAATTTAGATCCTTCTATAAATGTGACCAAGAATATGCATTATTAGATATGAGATAGGATCTAATATATATATAAAAGAATAAAAATACCCATGACCAATATTAGTATAATTGAATTTATAATTAGCATTAACAATGACTTCTCTATGACAAACACCAATTCCAATCCAACCAGCATATTTAATTACTTTAAAACCAAATTTGTAGATTCCATTTTTAGGAATGTAGGGTTCACAAATAGTAAATCTTTATCCATTAGATTCAGAAGTCTTTTACTCAGCAATTAAATTTTATCCAGAAATGGCAATATTGGCACCTTTGAATTGTGAAGAAAATTAAAATGAAATAGATTGTACTAAATCAACAGTAGAAGTGATTGGTTGTGCTCTAAACAAATTACCTAAATTGTCAACTTTTGCATCGAATTCATTTTACAAATCAATTAATTGATCATTTAATTATGAAATTTGAGTTTTACATGCATTCATGATTGCAGCATCAATACTTTACCTACTAGCAATTCCATTACCAAAAGCAAATTATTCTAAAATTTACCTAGATAAAATAAATGAATACTAAATATTCTTTTTGTATTATTGAAAATCTGTATAGATATTGACTGAATCTAGAAGATAATGGATAGGAATCTTTGAATTGGCAAAAGCTTTAAGTTAATTTTTAAGATCCAAATAGTAGGTATCAAGTTTTTTAATTAATTATTTAGAGGTATTTTCAAGTGCATGATTGAATCTTTGAACCTAGAAGTATAGAATAATGAGAATATACAGTTCGTAAACATTCATTATGTGATCTATCTAAAAAGAGTGAAACATCTAAGATGCTATAATTATTTTATTCATTAGTATTAGTTTGTGCAGTTTCAACTAATTGTAACATAATTTTGAGAGGCAAAGTTTGATGATTTTGATGATCTGCATGTTCACAAAGGGCTTAGATAAAATATGATAGAAATACGACAAATGAGGATAGTATCATTACAAGACTTATCAGTACAGATGATAGAAAGGACATGTCCATTATGAATAGGGCAAGGGAAATAATTCATATATAATTTAATATAAAAAATAAGTGGAATTAATGAGGATGATATTCATTAAGTATAAAAATAATGATTAAAATTTGATAATACTCATTTTCTGGTTGGTTAACGTTTTTGAGGCTAAGTGGAACGAGGAAGTGGTTTTGGTTATGGTTTATTATTCAAAGGTTTTGTTTAATGTTTATGTTATTATTATGGTTTATGTTAATGTTTTCTTTTATTTTTATCTAAAAGAGATATTATATAAATAAGAGAATACCTGAATCAGAATCTCCATCTTCATCGTCTTCATCTTATTCACTTATATTATTGAGATCAAGAACATCAGATAATTCTTCATCATCCTCATCATCATCATCACCATCATCATCACCGTCATCTTCTGTAAAGTCTGAATCATCATCCTCACCATCATCACCCTATTATATTTAATAGATATATTACAGATTAATCTGGAGAGAATTCACTATCTCCTTCTTCGGGGTCATCTTCTTCATCACCTTCTTCTTCACTTTCTGCAAGTATATTTGTCCATCCTCCATCTTAAACAAATCCTGGTATATCTTTCTGTATTTATGCAAGTACATTTTTCCATACTAAATTTTAACCCACTTCAAAAAAAAGAAGATTCATCTAAAATATAAATATTATTTAATACTCTATCCAACCAATTCTTTACTCCCTCTAAATCTTTAATATCAATACTTTCTATTCTTAGTACTGGTTTATCATAATTCTTAAATACGAATACCAAATCAAAAGATTTTATCCCTGGAATTATACGTTCAAAACAACATATTTCAACTTCATTTAATGTTAAAATAAAAAATGGACTTTCAACAACATTCATCAAAGTATCACGAGTAGGTTATAAAAATAATCTTGCTCTATTCCAATTACCTTCAAATCCTAAATCTCTAAATGGTTTTTCGAATGATATTTTATAATCTGCTCCTAATTCTTCAATAGTCTTAATAAACACTTCAAATTCTTTAGCCATTTTCTTTCTATGCATTCTCAATCTCTCTTCTTCTTCTATTTCATCATCATCATTTCTATTTGTTTTCTTTCTTCCTTCTAAATGTTCTACTGCTCCTCCTACTTCACAATAAAATTAAACATCATGTGTCTTACGTTTTCCTAATACTATTGGAGAATGTAAATGTAAATGTAAAGCAGCTATTATATCCTACTCTGGACTTTAATATATATAATGTTTGATATTTTTGAATACAATATCTAATTATTCTTTATTTGAATGTATATAACGAAAACCATTAGTANTACTCATTTTCTGGTTGGTTAACGTTTTTGAGGCTAAGTGGAACGAGGAAGTGGTTTTGGTTATGGTTTATTATTCAAAGGTTTTGTTTAATGTTTATGTTATTATTATGGTTTATGTTAATGTTTTCTTTTATTTTTATCTAAAAGAGATATTATATAAATAAGAGAATACCTGAATCAGAATCTCCATCTTCATCGTCTTCATCTTATTCACTTATATTATTGAGATCAAGAACATCAGATAATTCTTCATCATCCTCATCATCATCATCACCATCATCATCACCGTCATCTTCTGTAAAGTCTGAATCATCATCCTCACCATCATCACCCTATTATATTTAATAGATATATTACAGATTAATCTGGAGAGAATTCACTATCTCCTTCTTCGGGGTCATCTTCTTCATCACCTTCTTCTTCACTTTCTGCAAGTATATTTGTCCATCCTCCATCTTAAACAAATCCTGGTATATCTTTCTGTATTTATGCAAGTACATTTTTCCATACTAAATTTTAACCCACTTCAAAAAAAAGAAGATTCATCTAAAATATAAATATTATTTAATACTCTATCCAACCAATTCTTTACTCCCTCTAAATCTTTAATATCAATACTTTCTATTCTTAGTACTGGTTTATCATAATTCTTAAATACGAATACCAAATCAAAAGATTTTATCCCTGGAATTATACGTTCAAAACAACATATTTCAACTTCATTTAATGTTAAAATAAAAAATGGACTTTCAACAACATTCATCAAAGTATCACGAGTAGGTTATAAAAATAATCTTGCTCTATTCCAATTACCTTCAAATCCTAAATCTCTAAATGGTTTTTCGAATGATATTTTATAATCTGCTCCTAATTCTTCAATAGTCTTAATAAACACTTCAAATTCTTTAGCCATTTTCTTTCTATGCATTCTCAATCTCTCTTCTTCTTCTATTTCATCATCATCATTTCTATTTGTTTTCTTTCTTCCTTCTAAATGTTCTACTGCTCCTCCTACTTCACAATAAAATTAAACATCATGTGTCTTACGTTTTCCTAATACTATTGGAGAATGTAAATGTAAATGTAAAGCAGCTATTATATCCTACTCTGGACTTTAATATATATAATGTTTGATATTTTTGAATACAATATCTAATTATTCTTTATTTGAATGTATATAACGAAAACCATTAGTATGAACTTCCAATATACCTGCTGCTTTACCTGAACCAAACGTAGGTCTTACCTTTAAATCCTTAAATATTGGTTTTCTTCCTCCCTTATTTACAATTAAAGGTTCCATCTCTCCTACATGTTATTTCTCTCTCTCTACCTATTACTCTGCCTTTACCTTCTTCTATAATTATTTAATCTGCAAAATCAAATTCTAAGGACGATCTGATTTCTTAGATCTATATTATAATTCTTTTATAAATATAGTTTCTCCATCTACTTTTGGAAATTAAATCTATCCAGCTGTCGTTTCAGATGTAAAAAAGTTTATTCTAATAGATGATCCTATCTTACCCTCATCTATCTTACTCACATTCTTTATACAAGATACATGAAATGGAATATGTGTACCCATTAATGGTACCAATAATGCACATTTCTAATTATCAATATAAATCTAGCCTTTTTAAAGTTCTCTAGGGTATTGTTCTACTTTCTAATAACATGTCAATTTATCTAATTCCAAAGCCTTTACTTCCTATTAATTTTAAACAAATTATTCTTATTCTAATCTCTACTCCAATTCAGATTACTTTTCTTTCGCTAATTTCTCTTAATGAATTTATCTCTATTTTTCATTCTCTCTTTGAATCTAAATTTATTAATTACGTGGTCTAGCTCTAATTGGTTAATCTGTTTATACTGGTGCTGGTTTCTTCTCAGGTTCATCTTCCTCTTACAATTAATATGATATTTATTTATAAGCCTTTGGAATCTATTATGTTGTAATTGTAGCTGCTCCATTTGTTATTACTATAATATCTCCTACTTATATAGTATAAGTGATATTTTTCTATCCATTTGGAATATTCTCCAATACTATATTCACAAAATACACTTCTCCTTTGGCTACTACATGAGTAGATTTTTCATTGATTGTTAAACATGATTCTTTTAATTCAAGACCTATTCCATATCCTAATGATTTTGGTAATTATAAATTTTATAAATTTAACTCCTATAATTTCTGTTACAATAATTGAATGCAATCCTTAAAAACTACATTAAGAGATACTCCAATAGTCATCATTGTTATAACTTTATTTTAGACCTCAAAAATTGCATTATACAATTTCTTCTAAATTTCAGTAGGATTAATAAATAATGTACGAATACAATTCGTATTATATTCATTTACTTAAGTTCCAAGTTATATTATTATTACATCTGACGATAAATAATCTTTATTTGGTGCTTCTACCAATTAGTAATTACCACCACTCTAAATTATTGGAGTATATGCAAAATCATACAATCCATCTTACAATCCTATTTCCTTTATGACTTTTTGTTTATCATTTTCTAAAGATTACTCAACCTTCTTAGCCAAGTCTTAATGAGTTATCCTTGTACCTACATCTATTGAATCTTCTATTTATTTTATCAATTTCTTAAATAGGCGGGTAGTCAATTATGATGATTATTAAATAAACCCTTACTCTTAATCATCTTTAACTGCTAATACATCACTTATTAATTAACTTCCATCTACTATACATTACCATCCCTTATACTCATACCATTCAGCTGCTAAACTACCTGCCTACTTCTCTGTTGTTGGCATTCCCAATTTTACATTCCCTATTTTCTATCGAATCTTATCAAATGATTCTCTATTGTCATTCATCTTCTTATAAAAATTTACCTCAAATTTCCCACTTAATTTTTACTTTGTCTCCTCCATCATCTGAACTATAAACTCACTTAATAATCTTACGTTTCTTATCACTTGCTAAGTAAAATATCTATCTCTTTGTTGCTAAAAACACTGTCTCTATCATATCATATCCAAATAACCAAACAAAAAGGGCCTTTGTTTTAGGCTTTATTGATCCATCTTCCTTACCAGATAATATACATATTGCTGGAATATCCTATTTCATTTTTATATTTATTTACATCACTCAATCGACTCACCAACTATTCTAAATGTCTCTAGAACACATCTGCTATAATCTTTTTGTCCATTATTTAATTTATTTAATTCATTGCAAATTAAATTTAAGTTTTTACTACACCAATCAAATATATTAATTAAGCCCATTTAATTGACTACTTTTTCTAACTCACATTTTTTATGAACAATTTTTTAGATGCATATAATTATATATTTATAAACAAAACCCGCTTAAATTTTTACTACCCCCTATCACCTTTTCCTATCTCACTTTATCATTTATCTAACACCCTCCGAATCTCCATCATCAGGATATAACATATACTGAGGTATAATATATTTTATATATTTACCAAGCCACTCAAAATTCCTTATTATAAAAATGAAATTCAAGTTGGTATTTAACAAAGAAATTCATATTGTCTCATATTGTCAAACTTGAAAATCCAACACTCATGAAATTCATTAAATTCATTAAACTCTATATTGTCGTACCTTAAGAATATTAGATGAATCATTCCCATTATTAATGTGATTGTTCTTAAACTACCCCCAATTATTAGTGCCAAATTTAAAGGTCTTGAATGTCCAAGTTTTTGATTTATGCGAATCATCTCAATCACAAAACATACATCACATTCATAAACTATTTAAAATCAGTAATCCTTAAGAATCAGAGGATTACTTAAAAATATATAATTAAAAACAAAGATGATCATGTCATATTGGTTCCTTCCCTCAAAATTTTAAAAACTTTATGTAATTAATTGAAGATCCAAGATTTAAGGAATTCAAAGAAAAAGTTGGTTCAGCTGCTTAAGAATTCTTTTAAACTATGAAGACTGAAATATAAACCAAAAGGTTTAATAACAAGAATAATCAAATTAAGAGACATTACTTATTGATTTTTTTTTCTTAAAAATAAAAAGTAGATGAACATGAAAATTAAATTTAAAAGGAAGAAATACTATAAGAAATTAAAGAACAAAAAGAACCAGTTGATGATGAAATAGATTAGAAGGCCAAATAATTAGCTCAGATTTTTGATTGTAGTGAATAATTAGCTAAGGGATATGTCGAATTGTTTAAAGGATTATCATTAAAAGAAATAGTTGATATAATATATAACTAAAAATGATTTTAATGATTTATTATTAATGAATAATCAAAGCTAAAATAATAGTGCTAGTTATATTTCATCTCCAAAGTGTCCTTGGTCAAAGAAGAAATAATAAGATATTGGAGATGAATTTGAACCAGAAGATAAACAAATGTTAGATGAAACCAATTCAAAATTTTTAAGTAGATTATCTATTGAGGATGCTCCTATAAAACTATTGTATAGATTAAATTTATATCAGTCCCTCTTTAAACTCTATTCATGAGGAAGAACAATAACAAAAGGTTTAAAATGAAATTCTAAGTCCTTCTAAATTAATAGTAACCAATAATGAACTTAAGAGTGTTCCCTCTTTTGAAATTAAGCCTGAACAAATGTCAATACAAGAGGAACCAATAGTAAATTCTAGAACAAGAAGGAAAACAAGCAAAGCTAATTATAATGTACATGTTTCCATTTATTCTCAAGGTTGATGACTCTCCTATTATTGATTCAGAAATCAAACCTTGTCATTGTTCTAAAACTAATTGTTTACAACTCTATTGTTCTTGTTTTCATAATCGAAGATAATGCACTTAAGAATGCAGATGTTTTGATTGTTATAATGATGGAGAACATTAAGATGAAGTTCTTAAAGCAGTTGAATAGATTAAAATTAAAGAATAAAGGGCATCACATCATGATCTTGATTCTTTTGACACTAAATAATTTTGGGGATGTAAATGTAAAAAAACTAAATGTCTCAAAGGATATTGTGAATGTTTTGTTAGAAACAAAAAATGTAATTCACATTGTCAATGTTCTGATTGCCAAAATAAAAAATAAAAATTATTATTGAACAAGAAAATTAAAAAATTGTGATTAAATATCTATATATATAATTTTCTCTATGATTAACTTTTATTTAAGTAAAACATTTTCTTATATTTATATATACATAAATTGATTCTTTATTGATAAATTGTTTAAAAATTATTATAAAATAATTTAAACAATTGGATCTTAAGTAATGAGAGTAGTTGAGAATGCAATATTTAATTAGGTTTTGTTGAAAATTAGTTATTAAATATTAAACAATTATATTTATAAAAGTATAAATGGAAGTTTTGATAATAATGAAAATAAAGAAAAAATAACTGTAGTAATACAATCAATATAAAAAAATTGGTTCAAAATCATATAATAATAGAAGCATATCATTAATTAGATATTTATTAAATTAATAATTAATATAGTTAAGTATCAATAATCCCAATCATGTATAAAATTTGATCTCTCATGATGTTAAGCTTATTCTGAGAATGTAACTTTTAAACCCAAATCACAATTTTCTGTTCTCAAACTAGCTTTAGGAACTGGTTGTTTTCTTTAAATAACTTACTCCCAATTCACATTTTTAAACCAATCATGTTTTTTTAAATCTTCTGAATCTTCTTTAGAACCTAATCTCTATGATTAATTCTTCTCTAATAATTTTCTTAAAAGATCCCATAATTCATCACTAATATTATCTGGTCTTATTGGTTCACTAAACTTGATATTTTTGTACAGAGCATTTCTATCTCTTTCATAAAATGGTGGTTTCCCTTAAACCAATTCATATATAAACACTCCAAATAAATACCAATCTAATGGATATCCATGTCCACTCTTATTTAACATTTCTGGTGCTAAATATGCATAACTTCCGCAAAAACTTGTAGTTCTTTGTGCATTCAATTCCTTTGCTAATCCAAAATCTGTCAATAATGCATGACCATCTTTATCTATCACAACATTAGATGGCTTTAAGTCTCTATAGACTATACAATTCTAATGTAATGTTTCTAAAGCTAATAATATTTCACATGCATAAGCCTTAGCTGCTTTTTCAGGTAATTTTCCTCTTTCAATCATTAATTATTCTAAATCTCCTCCTGGGCAATAGTCTAATATCATATAAAGTTTATTCTCTGTCTAAAAAGCATAGTGTAATTTAACTATAAATGGAGAGGTAACATATGTCAATATTTTTCTCTCAGTTTAAATATATCTTACAATCCCAGCTGCTTACAATTTTTTTTTTACCAAAATTTTCATAGCATAATAATTAGTATTTCCTTTCTTTTAAACTAAGTATACTTATCCAAAAGATCCTTTCCCTAATTAACATAATACTGAAAAATCTTAAGGACCAACTTACTAAATCTCAATTCTACTAACTTTTGCTTAACTTGTTTAAGTGCTTTAACGATCTGATAATTTTAATAAATTTTTTATATGATCATTCCTATTATGTATTCCCCTAAAAGACTTTTTTTAATAATCTTAATATAGATTTCTTTTTTCAAATAATTCCTATGTTTATTAATCAAAACTAATATCATAAGCATTAAAATTGAAATGATTTCTAACATTGCANCAATCAATATAAAAAAATTGGTTCAAAATCATATAATAATAGAAGCATATCATTAATTAGATATTTATTAAATTAATAATTAATATAGTTAAGTATCAATAATCCCAATCATGTATAAAATTTGATCTCTCATGATGTTAAGCTTATTCTGAGAATGTAACTTTTAAACCCAAATCACAATTTTCTGTTCTCAAACTAGCTTTAGGAACTGGTTGTTTTCTTTAAATAACTTACTCCCAATTCACATTTTTAAACCAATCATGTTTTTTTAAATCTTCTGAATCTTCTTTAGAACCTAATCTCTATGATTAATTCTTCTCTAATAATTTTCTTAAAAGATCCCATAATTCATCACTAATATTATCTGGTCTTATTGGTTCACTAAACTTGATATTTTTGTACAGAGCATTTCTATCTCTTTCATAAAATGGTGGTTTCCCTTAAACCAATTCATATATAAACACTCCAAATAAATACCAATCTAATGGATATCCATGTCCACTCTTATTTAACATTTCTGGTGCTAAATATGCATAACTTCCGCAAAAACTTGTAGTTCTTTGTGCATTCAATTCCTTTGCTAATCCAAAATCTGTCAATAATGCATGACCATCTTTATCTATCACAACATTAGATGGCTTTAAGTCTCTATAGACTATACAATTCTAATGTAATGTTTCTAAAGCTAATAATATTTCACATGCATAAGCCTTAGCTGCTTTTTCAGGTAATTTTCCTCTTTCAATCATTAATTATTCTAAATCTCCTCCTGGGCAATAGTCTAATATCATATAAAGTTTATTCTCTGTCTAAAAAGCATAGTGTAATTTAACTATAAATGGAGAGGTAACATATGTCAATATTTTTCTCTCAGTTTAAATATATCTTACAATCCCAGCTGCTTACAATTTTTTTTTTACCAAAATTTTCATAGCATAATAATTAGTATTTCCTTTCTTTTAAACTAAGTATACTTATCCAAAAGATCCTTTCCCTAATTAACATAATACTGAAAAATCTTAAGGACCAACTTACTAAATCTCAATTCTACTAACTTTTGCTTAACTTGTTTAAGTGCTTTAACGATCTGATAATTTTAATAAATTTTTTATATGATCATTCCTATTATGTATTCCCCTAAAAGACTTTTTTTAATAATCTTAATATAGATTTCTTTTTTCAAATAATTCCTATGTTTATTAATCAAAACTAATATCATAAGCATTAAAATTGAAATGATTTCTAACATTGCAATCTGCTCCATTATCCAATAAAAATTCTACAATTTCTTTATTTCCATGTTATGATGCAAGATGCAATGGAGAATTGTATTAATAATCGAATAGATTTACAGAAGCTCCATATTAAATGAGCAATTTGCAAATTTCCAAATTGCCTTTGATTGCTGCTATATGAAGTGGAGTTCTTTGTAACACATTTGTTATGTCTGGTTTAGCTTAATGTTCTAGTAATAATCTACATGATTCAATATGACCTTCCATTGCTGCAAAATGTAAACAAGACCATTGTTCTTCCATTTTCATATTGATATCCACTGGTAAAGGATATTTTGGTGATAATAGAATTTGTAACTATTCTAAATCATTCTCTTATGAGGCTGTGCAAAGTAATTTATGAGTCTCAAATAATTGCTGCCAATATAGATCCCAATGTTACGATTTATTGAGTTTTATAATTGAAGATTCAACATTATAAATAATTTATCCTTAATCCAAATCTTTAATCGTTATCTCCTCCTATTTTTAATCCATAATTTTTAATTATAAAATTAATGGAATCTCAAATAGTTATTTATTTTATAAGGCAAAAGTATACCAATCAAATTTAATCGAACCTCTCTCTTTTATGATTTTTCTTATCTAATTCATAAATTTATAATAAGACTTTAGGAAGCAGACATAGTTCCTTTAAATTGAGAATAATTTATAATTAAGGATTCACTTAATCATCCAATAATTTAGAGATTATTTCAAGTGAATCCTATTTTTTAACTGATTAGTTCACTAAACCAATCCAATTCACAAGAATTACGACCAATAATAACTAAAAAGTATTTAACTGATTACACTTATTCTAAAACAAACTTCATTTCTCGTTTTTAAGATTTGAATGCTTTGATTTTCCATCTATCTTGCTTAAGTAATATTAAAGAATGAGAAAACAACCAAAATAATAATTCGAGAAATTCAATATACATCATTATTTAATTTTAATGTGTTCTCCAACTTAAATCTGTAGCAAAATGTTCAAATGTCAATATTCCCAAATATCCAAGCTAAGAAATGTTTAAGATAATTTATCAATTAAATCTTTTTTGAGCTTTCTAAAAATATTTGTAGACTTATTCTGTGATGGTCTAAATTATTAAGAATAAATAATAAGAAAGATAAAAGATATGCCTAAAACATTTAAATAATAAAATATACCAAAGACTTACTAATCACATGCATTAAATTTATATCTCGCTATAAATAACATTTAAATTGCATTTTAATCCATTCTCTAACTTAAATGTGATAGTTTTTATTTATACTTAATTATATTATTAAATGAGTCTATATATATAAGTATAAATGATTGAATTCCAATTGCTGCTTTAGACACAGTTAATATTAAAGGTTTATGCTATAGAATAGACAACTGCATCCTTTGAGATTGAAAAGATTATTTCTAATAAAAGATTGAAATAAAGTCTTCCAATTAGATTCTTGATTGAATATGGAAAACAAATCCTAATGGGATACAAATTAACTATAAATATAATATAATAGATTGAATAAATATAGTAGAAGAATTACAAAAAAAATCTATCTAAAAAATTGATGAAGTTAATATTTTACGAATACTCATCAAATTTGTTGTCAGATATGGATAATCATAAATAAATGAATAAAATAATTTAAAATGTGATTTTATATTTTGTTGTTAAGAACCATTGAATTCTAAATCATAATATATTTCATCTATTATTGTATTAAAGATATGATTACTTAAAGTTAAATGACTTTTAAATAATATAGTGATATGGCATTCAAAAATAAATTAAAATTCTTAAGCTATTAGTATATTCATTATTTTTAAGTTAAATCTGTATTTCAAATAAAAGTACAAAAATAATTAATTGTATTTTGATAAGACTTAATGAGTTCTTAACTTCCAGTAAACATTGTTGAGTTTAGAAGTAAAAGTTTTAACAAAAGAAAAACTTTATCGTTTTTGGAGTATCCCACAAGAAGAAAATCATGTTATTGTAACTAATGTGGAAAAACAAGCCATTTTTAGCAACAACACGCTAATTTACCGACGTAAAAAGAAATTGATTTTTTGAATTAAGTAGAGAATATAAGGAAATAAAGTTTGTGTGATGAAATAAAGACTGAAATTCCTAGTGAATTAAGTCTTATGGATAGTGAAAATGGAAGACTTTTAAGAAACTCAAATCGTTCAATTTCTATTGTTAACAAATATTTTAAAAGATCCATGAATTTTGATTAAAACAGTCTTGATGGTAATAGTAAATTAAAGAGAAGAAGCTGTGAATGTTCAGAATGTGGAAATCTAACTTAATTTTAAAGAAAACATGAAGATTTATCATTACCTAAGAGAGATAAAAAAATAAAGCAATTTTTAATAAGAAAACATCACAAACATATAAAAGGAAAAAAAAATGAATTGCAATTGAGTTAGAAAAAAATAATAGTATAAAAATCAATAATTTCTTCACCTTAAAGTCAGAAATCATTCTAAATTAAATAATTTGATTAAACTAGAAGAACATAAGACATTAATAAATTAATTTTGAATCGTATATCAACAAGAGATTTAGAATAGCCAAAATAAGTTTAAAGTAAATATTCAATAATTAATTCTTGTAAATAATTGGATTCTCCTTAATTTACACAAAGTAAGTCATAGAGATAAATATAACACAAACCAACAATGTCTTTTTGCACAATTTCTACATCTAAGTGGAAATCTTACAAGAATACAAAAGAATTCTAATGATATACTTTATAAATTGAAAATCCCTTTTTTTATCTATAAATTATTTAGTATAAGAATGTTTCTCTAATATTTATAATCAATCATTAAGTTTGTAGTGTTCCTTTGACATGAGTGATTCTGTTGAGTTATTTTTGATTTTCAACTTTGATTTTATTATAAGTTTCTTCTCTAAGTGATTTAGTTGACCAACGAATAGGAGCTTCACAATAGATATTGTAATATATTTACATAAACTTCTCTTATTTTCTGTGTTCTATTTGATACAATTTTTTAGAGAGAATAAGATTAGAGGCAACAATGCGAGATAGTGTTTACTTTTATTTGAAATATTAACTATTTTTAACCTTTCTATTGGCATCCAGTTCTATTTTTAAGATGTAAGTAAGTACATCTTTAGAGTTAGATTTCAAATTCATTCAGAAACTTATAATCTCTATGTTGAATATTATTGATCTTCTGTTTATGTTTTGCATATTACATTTGCCATTAACGAGACGAGAATTTATTTTAATTCATTTAATATTTAGGTTATGAATATAAGATTGTTGATGAAAAGGATGTGAAGAACTGTAATAGATTCTCTATTTAGAGAATATAACTATTAAATATTATAATTAATGAATTCCAACAATAATAATAACAATGACAGTTCAAGTGAGGATGAAATATAAGTTTATGAAACTCTGACTAAATTACCTCCTGCAAATGAATTGCTTCCAAGGAAATTAACAATTGATATTGATGTCAAATCATTATACCCACTTAAGTGAATAATAATATAAATACATATAGAAAACTTCCTTAATTTTGTATGACTTGTGTTCCTTTTTTAGAGGAATCTTCGTAAGGTCATTGTACTATTTCTGAAACTACTGTAAGTGATGAGAATAGAACTCTTCTTGATTATTATGATGAAAATAAACAAAATCTGGTGTATAAACGATTTGATTAATTGGATTTAGGAAAAAGAACAAATAATGACAGAACTTATTTTGCTACTTTAATTGCTAACTTTAAAAAGTATTAATATTTATAAAGAAAGAGCATAACCAAAAATTTATTTTAGAGGAGAAGCACTTTTTGATCAGAAATTAACATCCTGTATAAGTGATTAAATATAATTTGATTCAAATTTTGAATCAGGCAATCTCTTTTGTGCATTTAAGAAAGCAGAAAATGTATATGATTTGATCATTTAAAACGATATTAATACAAGAGGAAATACTTAATGGTTCTTTTTTAGTGTAACTGGAGCCAAGGCAGGATAGACTATACAATTTAATTTGCTAAATCATGTATAAGATTGTTACTCATAATGATGTAGTTAAAAAGTGGAAGTCTTTTTAATGAGGGAATGCAACCGGCTATCTATTCAATAAAGAATAATTAATAAAATGGATCTGAATGGTTTAGAGATGGATTTAATATAAGTTATTTTAAAAGTCCTTTTATTAAGGAATATCCATTGTCTTTAAAAAAGAAATACTATCAATTGAGATTTCACTATACATTCAAACATAATGATGATAAGGTGTATTTCGCTCATTCCTATCCATATACATACACAAATTTATTAGAATTCTTAAATACATAATTAAATGATCAAGAAAGAAATCAGTAATCACATATATCTAAAAAGATATCTATTTCGTAAAGTTTTGTGTACAACACTGGGTGGGAATACTTGTGAAGTCTTGACAATAACTTCTAATTCATTATAACGTAGAGCCTATAGAAAAGGAGTAGTTTTTATGGCTAGACAACATCCAGGCGAACCTTAAGGTTCTTATGTAATGTAAGGAATCATTGACTTTCTTACTTCTAATCATCCTTAAGCTGAATATTTAAGATAGAATTGCATCTTTAAATTATTCCCTATGATGAATCCAGATGGTGTTATTAATGGAAATTATAGATGTGGATTAGAAGGTAGTGATTTAAATAGAAGATGGAAAAAACCTAATAAATATTTACATCCTAGTGTTTATTATGCTAAAAAGTATGTCAAAGGATTTAGTAAAGAGAGATAAATAATATTAGTTATTGATTTGCATGGTCATTCTAGAAAGTATATTAATTATATATATAGATAATCCTCTTTTGTTTATGGATGTGCCTATTCATCCTAAGTTAAAACTATTGAACGTGTCTTCGCTTTACTAATGTCTAAATTAAATCCATTTATGAATTATCCCTCTTCTACTTTTAAAATTGAAAACTCAAGAGATAAAACTGCCAGAATATAACTTTGGAGAGAATTAAAAATTAACTGGGTTTATACTTATGAATGTAGTTTCTATGGATAATAGAAAAAACATTATTAAATCAAAGATTATATTAATTGTGGAATTAATATTTGCAATGCATTATCATAAATAGTTAAAGATACATCAAAAGAATTTACTAATTAAATTAATGTTCCTGATATATAATAATAAATCCTTGAAGAATTAGGTAAAATGCCATAGACTGATGATTAAGATAATGGATCTGATTCTAGTTAATCTGAGGCTGAATTATCAGATGATGAATTAGTTTAATTATTTTAACCTAAAACCTATTCAACAAAATAAAAAAATTTTCTAAAATAATAAGAATTCAATAATAAAAAAAAACCACAACCTGCAAATCCTAAATCTACTTTAAATTCTTAAAAAGCATCAATTTTATAAGAATCCCCATCAAAAAATTCAGATCAAAAACCTCCTATGAGTGGTTAATAACATAAGAATACTCTTTATCGAATTTAAGCACCCTAAAGATTAAAATAGATTGAATAGGTAAAAAAACCAGATCAACCATTAATGGTAGATAAATCAGTTTAAACAGATGATTGGATGTATAGATAGTGGCTTATTCAAATGGGTAAATTAAAGAAATAGTAAGAAATTTAAAGCTTTACTCCAACAAGAAATATATACAAATCCTCATCACAATCAGTCACAAGATTTATTGTTAAAAATACTTCAACCAAAAATGATAGGGGTCGAGTTGATTCAATCTCCCTTGTTACATAAGGAATCTAAAATAATAAATTAATTAAAAACTAATAATCTAGAAAATGAAATAATATTATTTTGAGTAATATAAAATTTTCTGAATTCTAATTAATCATCAAAAATACAAATTTTTTCTTTTATAATCTTTTATCCTACAAACCAAACTATTTTGATCAGATTAACGCGGATAATTAAACTTTATAAAAAAAACTAGAGGGAAATTTAATCTAGTTAATTGATAATATATTTATATTTTAAAACTTTCGCATCTCTCATTCTTATGAATAGTCATATGCGAATGATCATTTAGAAACTAAGGATGCTTTAACCAAAAAAATTGATGAGAATAGTCAGGAATTCTGATAACTTAGACCCATAAAGATGACTTGGCCAACTATCAAAATATAATGAAAATCAAAATAGGTAGATATAAATATCAAATAATAATCAATCGTATAGTTGTTGTTGAGCAAGAGTTTAATCATTTATAGTTTAAGGGAATGGAGTTTAAGTTATCTATAGGGGAACTGTATTCTATTGTTATCCCTATTCATTTTTTGTTTCCTCCATGAAATATAAATACGGCTGGATAAGTGCTTCATCTCTATCTTCTTTAACAATATTTAAACCTTGCATTTTATTAATACTTAATATTATTAATATCAAATAAAAGAATGAAAAATGTTAATTATTAACTTCTTAATTACCAATAGCATATTTTTGATGAGATTCTATAATGTTTATTTTGGAGAATAAAAAAAAATTAATCTCTAATTTTATCTCTTTTAGAATTATAATTATTTACTGTAGTTAAAAATGAATTTATGAATATAAAATAATACATTTATATAATAATTTAAAATAAAAGGATAAGAGATAGAAATATGATATCAATTTTGTTGGTCTTTATAAAATAAAATTAAATAAATACAATTAATGAATTAAGCAAAGTTCAGATAATTTGAGCACTTTAATTTTGAAAACAATGTTGTTTGGAAGGATTTTATTAAAGATTTAGATCCAAATATGTATTATAACTTCTAATAATTAGACCTAAAGAAAGATTTGAAAAACTAAAGAAAATTTGGTATAAGGATAATATTGATACAGATTTTGATCCTGAGTTTGTTAGTCATCCAAATTAGCAATCTTCGCATTAGAATAATACTCATTAGAAATAAGGAAGTGCTTTTAACCTTGGATAGTAAAGTATTGGATCCCTTTCATATTAGCGATTGTCTAGAAAATTCTTTTTGGGCTAGAGAATTTTTTAAAATTGGCATTTATCATAACTTCCTTTGTACCTATTGTTTCAAATGCTTAATTTGCAGTTGCAGCCTGTATTTTAGGTTTGTATAGATAATGCAAATTTCCAACAAAAACAAGAGAATATGGAGAAAAAGTGTTAAAAAATGAGTTTACATAAAATCTATTCTTTTTGATTGGATACCTATTTGTTTACTCATTCAGACCTGTTTATAATGCTCCAATTATTTTACATTTTGTTCTTGGATTAGCATCTTATGTTTTATTATTGTAAGGAACAATATATCAATGTATTTAATTTGATTTGTTTTAGATTTTAAGAGTTAAGTTGATAAAATATATTCAATGTAAAAGGAAATCTATAAAATTAAATATAGAATAGAAATAGCATTAGTTCCAGCAAGCTTGATATTTTTATTCATTGGACATTCATCTCTATTCACCTTTGTTTACTATGCAAACTTTATTAGAATCAAATATATTTTACTTGATAGTTTTAAAGAAGAATGTAGATATGTTAATTACAAATATTTGGAGCCATATAAGAGAAACCCTATATTAGGATTTTTAATTTCCAAAGTCTAATCATTATGTTCATATTTCATAAGATTTAAATGAGTATTTAATATAATTTTAACATGAAACAAACATTAATATTATTGGTTATTCTTATAAATATGAATCAAAATAATATTATGTTTAAACTCATAAAATTGTTTTTTAATTTTTGTTTATTTATGAATCAAACATTTCTTGGATGCTTAAAGTTTTGTATGATAATTTCTTATTAATGAATCAGATTTCTCAATAGGCAAACAATTTTATGTAAATTTTAACAAAATTCTTTTAATCATTAATATTAGACTAACTATCATATTTTTTATTTTTATTTAAATGAAGTAAATTTAGTTGCCTCTTTGAAATAACTGGCAAATTTCAAATATACTTTAAAGGGGAAAAAATTAAATTTTGAGTTAATAACCGGGATTATAGAAATTTAACTCGAAAGTAGTATAAATTTAAAGTAGAAGTGGAATGATGATTTATTTAATTTTCAGATTTCAAAAAAATTTTAAGAGAGAAATACAAAATGAATATTATTGTTATAATTAATTAAAAAATTAAGGATAATATTTATAAGTTTGAACATAAAAAGTGGGAAAATAAATTACTTTTTATTAGATTAAAAATAATAAAGTTAATAATAATGTCATTCAAAGATAATAGAGAGTGATTATATTTACTTTAGTTTTTATAATTATAATCTAGAAATTATAAAAATAAAATAGAATAATATTTGAAAAAATTTAATGAATCTTCAAGTTTAAAAAGAGTATTATATTAATAGGTTTAAAACTAATAAATGAATACAAGAAAAGTAATGTATTGAATATTGATTTAAATAAATTGATTATATCAATGTGTTATAATATGAATATATGAAAATCAATTGGTTTGAGGGTTATAAACTTATTTTTAGCCATTTAGACTCTAAGTGTAAATTTTAAAAGAAATACTTGATAAGGAACTTATTGTTATTATTATTGGGGTTGAAAAGCATTGAAATTCATGTCATTTTCAATTTCTGCCATTTCCCTATCTAATTCACTTTCATCAATATCACATCCATAATTTCTATTCATCATCTCATTCATGTAATCTGTTTCAAATTTCATATCCTCCATATCATCCATTAGATCTAATGATATATAGGATAAATAATACCATCAAGTTTATCCATATCAATTTCTTTGAATGCTTCTTTTTGAACAGCTACAACTTACTACATTGCTTAAGCCTTACATAATAAGAATTAAATGAAATACCATTTCAATAGTATTTTAAATGTTTTCTTTAGTAAAAGCAACCTAATCTAAGGTCATTTAATTATTGAGCATTTATCCTAATTATTGTTCCAACCTAATGTGAATTTAAGTCAATACATTTTCTTTCTCTTAAGAAGCATTACGGCTCTTGACTTAGCTGTAGTTTATTAAACTCCCCTTGAATTTTTAGCTTTTAAATATTGTTCACTTATCTATTTATCTAATTCTTAGATTTATTCTGTCAATTCCTGAACTTTTGCCTCAGACTTCTTTAGTTAATCAATTATACTCTTTTTTGTTATTCTGTCAAGTCTAAAACCTTTGGTTATTAAGGATTTGGAGGAGGAGGAGGTTATTATTTTGGGGGTTCTTATTTAGAAGTACCAAAAAGACGATTCATTATGGAATATTATTTAATAAAATATTTAAAAATAATGATAATCACTTATAAATTAGTATTTTATAGAATATAATGAAAATTAATAAACAAAAAATAAACACTATAATAATTAAATTTTTGAATGGCTAGTCGTTTCATTTAAAATTCATTTTAATAACATGAATCATAAGCTCCTAGTAGAGCTGTATCAGAACATTAAAAAAGTAAAAGTGAAAAAAATGTTACAAAAGTACATCACAAATCACATTAATCAAATCATTATAATCCTTTAGCAATTCCATGTGATTGGTAATTAGCTGAAAAACATGCAAAAGCAAGAAGAGTAGCTTAAGAATTCGAAGTTGAAGATCAAACTACATGTCCTTGTTGTGGATATTCAGTAGAAAGAATGGATTTATAATATGATTGTGATCCAATAGAAATGAAATTTTTAGGATCAGGATTTCCTTTGTTCTACATGTTTATTAAATATTGTATATTTATACTAGTTGAATTTTGGTTATTGAAAGGTATGTTTTGTTTAGCAACAGATTTAATGGGAGATTATTGTTATAATTAAATCAAATTGGAAAAAGTGAAAAATGAGAATCATTCACATAATCATATAGAGAATCATTTAAATTCACATCATTCTCATTAAAAAGAAAATTCTATTTGTGGTGGATCTTTATGGCATTTTGTAAGTTTAGCAAATGTTTATGATAGATAAGATATTAGAAATTGGTAATCCAATTTATCATTAGTTGTAGTATTAGCTAATATGTTTTCATTTTTATTCTTTAGAAAGGCTTAAAGAAGTATTGATATTGAAGTTGATGAATCTTAATTGACTCCAACTGATTATACTATTTGTGTTAAAAATATTCCAAAATTAGATGAAGATTATAGAGAGGTACTAAAGAATATATTTTAAAATTATGCAGCTGATGGTAGAGAATTAAAAGTCACTAAAATAGTTTTAGTTTATAATTTAGATGAAGTAATTGATTTAGAAGAGTCTCTTAAAGAATTAGTAAGAGAAAAGTAAGAATATTTAGTAGAAAATGGAATGAATTTTACTGATTTCAAAGTTAAATAATTAGATGAAAAACTAGAATCTTTAGAACATAAGATTCATTAAGTTGAACATGAATTATTTGTAAATAGAGATAAGTTTGCAGGTATTGCATTCATTAGTTTCTAAACTGAAGAAATGAAATAAATTGTATTATAACATAATTCTCATACATCTTGGGAAAGAATGAAGGCATTCTTTAATTAAGGTAAAACTGCAGATGTTAAAGGAAAGGGTTTAATTTTGAATGAACATAAATTATATGTAGAAGAAGCACCTGAACCTAATGATGTAGATTGGGAATTTATACATATTTAAACTGGATAAAAAGTTAAAGCAAGAGTTGTTGCTTGGTCTATTTCTATTAGTTTTATGGCAGGTTGTTTCTTTTTAATTTGGTTTCTTAGCGAATTAGCTGAAAGAATGAATGAATAAGTCGAAGAGTAAGAAAAAAAAGGAATCAAAGATTCATTAACTTAAACAATTGCATTCTTAACTAGTTAATCAATCTCATGGACCGTAGTATTCTTCAATAAATTTGTAATTGGAAAAGTTTATCATTTAATTGTTGATTTAGAAAAAATATCTAATAAAACCAAATTTAATATTAGTTTTGCAAGAAAACAATCAGTTGCCTTATTTATTAATACAGCTTTAATTTCATTAGTTATTGATTTCTTTTTAACTGGCAATGTAATTGGAAAAGGTGGATTCATTTATAATGAATCTAATGTATTTTTATTAAATGCATTCATTCCTCCTATTGTTTGGTTTGTTGATCCTTGGAGTATTTAAAAGGACTACCAAAGATAAAAATAATAAAAAAATGCTAAAAATTGTATTCTAACATAATAGGAAGCAAATGAAATTATGGAAATGCCTGATTATTCCTAAGCAAAAAGATATGGTGATATTATGAAAACTATGTGGTTCACATTCTTTTATGGAGATATCATTCCTGTTGGTATTCTATTTAGTATAATGGGTTTAACATTATATTATTTTGTTGATAAATATAATGTACTTAGAAGAAGAACAATTAAGGAATCTCTTTCTAAACATTTATCAATTGAAATGATTGAAATGCTAGAACTAATCGTTATATTTACTGGTATTGGTAATACAGTTGTCTCAAGTATTCTATTTGGAGAAGTCAAATGGTAAGATTTTATAATAATAATAATTGGAGTAGTGTATAATCTTCTCCCTATGGAAGATATCTCGAGTGTTTTGTTCCCATTAGAGTAGAAAGATGAGGTTTTATCCTATGAAGAAGCTGAAGAATATTTCAATACAGATTACGACAGAGAAAATCCTGTAACAAGACGGGAAGCTTTGGAAGAATTTGCAAAAAAAAAATGAATTATATAATATATATTACATTAATTGTATAGTTATAAATAAATAATAAATATAATGAATGTAAGTAAGAGAAATTATTTATGATCATCCCCATCTAAAGATATTTTCTAAAAAATATTTAATTTGGATCACTATAACTAAAGAAACCTATCGAATCGAAATAATTCATAAGTTATGACACGAAGGTTCACTTGCAAAGAAAAAATGAGAATTGTTTAAATTAGTGTTAGATATGATGCTAAATATAAAGGAATCTTATATTATCTGAGAAATCATTAAACTTAAACATTTTCTAATTTGGAATATCATTTAGCTCATATTTAAGGCATGTTTATAAGCACAAAAAACATTAGTTCAAGATTTCAAATAATAAATTTAGCAATCTCTAATATAGCAAAATTTTTAATAATAATAATAATTAAATAAGATTATAGAAATAATTAGTTATTAAAAATTGTTATAAGTATCTATTCTTTATACTAATAGCATTCTTAAAACAATAAAATGTGAATTTTTTCTAATTCTTGAGGTATTTAATAATTATATTAAAGTAATTGATGGGAAATAAGTTTATGTTGAAAATATAAAATATAAAGAAATAATAAGCGATTTATTAATCTAAGAGACTAATTCTATGTATTAATTATTTAAATAATTGAATATAAATTCTGATGAAGAGATTCATGATCATTTTCTCATTAATACGTTAATAAATTTGATTAGTAAATAATATTATGGGGAATAAATATTAATATAAAAGAGTCTGATAGTATATTTAAACCAAAAAGAGCATTATTAATTTTTCATTAATAATTGTTGATTTAGATCTTCTCAAAAGTAATTTTACTCAAAATTGTATTAATACCCAATAGTATCAAAGAAATTAATAAAATCACATGAAAAGAGCAACTGATATGTTCTTTAAAATAGATTTCAATTTTGCTTAATATATGATTAAACAAATTTTAAGTTTGGTTTCTTAAATTAATGAGGAATTCAAATTTGATGATTAATATTCATAAAGGTATTGGACAACTATAAAATCTGGTTATAATGTTTTAAAGGAGGATTTTGATAATAGAATTTTTGTATTCAGTGATCATAGTTGAATAATGAATTACATAAATAATAAAATTATGTTAAAAAGTATCTTTAAATGAAAAACAATCTTATTAGTTAATCTTCTTAATATATTTATGTTTATTAAAATTGGAATATGATAAATATATTATATTAACAGACATTATGGATGAAGAATTTATTAAAGTAATGCTTTCTATTGAGGAAGCATATTAAAATCTTAATAAGCATTAAAAAATAAGAGTTGAAGCATGGACTAAGAAATTATGTTAGGTGACTACTAATGAAGTTTGGAAAAAGAATCGAAATTTATATGCTAGAATCTTATTAAATCAAGTATCAAAAGGAATACTTTCAGAACCTTTTGACAAAAGACCTCCTGAAGGTCCTTTACCTAAATTAAATAGATATCTTGTATTAAATGATTAAAAGGAGAATTCTCGTCCATAAGTTTTTAAAAAAGACAGCCTCTGCTTTGAACAATAATAACAATAATAATAATTTGCAGAGTGTCCAAATCTATAGGAAAAAATGTTAAAATTACTTATAGATTGTAGATAATATTTGGAAAAAAGGACTGATCAAGAAGTATAATTCAAATTTCATTAAATAAAAATAGGCAATTTTATTAAAAGAATAACAAGATTAATTCTTTGTCTATCTTTAAGAGCTTAACCAACCATACATACTTGAATAGATTGATGAGAAAACAGAAGAAAATGAAGACCAATAAAAGGACACAATGCAATTTTTACAATATTTAGATAATTTTGAAAAGAAAACAGAAAAATTAAGAGTAGAAACAGAAAAATTACTTCGCGGAAACAATATTTAATATAATGTTTGATTTTATTTTAATTATTTGGATATATCACCTACTTTATTTAGTTTATAATTATCCTTTCCCTAATACAGATTTCACTATATTACTCTTGTGGCCTCTTTATTATTTGATATCCTTTTAAGCTCATTTCTTCATTAAAAAGAAGATAATTTCATATCTTATTATGTTAACTCCTATGATTATCAGTGCATTAGTAGAAACAAGCATAACAGAAGGAATATTTGCTACCTGTATTGCATGCATTTTCAGGTTAAGATTTCTTATTTATATTTAGTATGAAAATGTACTCATACATTGTAAGTGGTGAAAAACTGAACTTAATTTAATACAATTAATATCTTTGGTTACCAAGTCTCATTTGCTAACCTAATTAAATGGTTTTTAAGAGGAAAACAAACTTTATTTAAATTTTTAAATGTATCATAAATTCCACTTTAATAATATTATGGGACTTTTATTATATTACGTATGAAATAAAACCCAATTACATATATGACGGTTTAACTAAATTTATTATAAATTATTCATTTAGATTAGGCATATTAATTGTGATCAATCATTATCTTATTTTTGATTATCTTCTAGGTTTATTCAAAGAAATAACAAAAGTTGAAAATCTTATTTTTTATGAAGATTGGTGGAATGCTGAAGGATTTGGAACTTTAAATAGAAAATGGAATAAATAAGTTCATAATTTCCTTAAAATCAATATTTATTAAAGGTTAAACAAAAATGGACAAAACAAAAAGGCTCTTATAATGACTTATTTAGTTACAGCTTTACTTCATGAATATTGTATTAATGTTTCTCTTAAAACTATAAGATTTTACTTTTTAGCCTTCAGTTGTGCTTAATTTATCTTAATTCCTTATTAGAAATATATTCCTTTTCCTAGATATGTCCTTTTCAGCTAAATTTTATTTGGAAATAGCTTATTGATATATTTGTATACATTTTATTGAAAACAAGATATTTTTTATTTATTTAATTCTAAAACCTAAACTATCACTTTTTTATAATATTATTATTTTTAGGATTCTAAAAAGAGCATAGATTCGAAAAATAAAAATATTATAATTCAATTTATTGTTTATTAACACAAAGGACAATTATTGTGATTTGCCAACCATTTTGACATACAGTAATAATGAAAAACATGTGAAGGATGACATTTTAATTTATGCACTCTTTAACCTTTTGAAATTTTTTCAAGACAAAAACAACATTCTCCATAATCTTCTGACGCATTCTCAACTAAATTATCAACAATTTATTGATGTTAAATTCTCCCTACCTCATCTATTTATCCTTCTATTACCACAGGAAGAATTATATTTAACTATGATTAATTCATTTTAATACTCTTTGATTTTCAAATTAATATGTAAGAAATCTTCTCCTTACTTAATGAATAACTCTGGCAAATGATTCAACAAATTACCAAAACATCAGAGCCACAATTATAGCTGTATCACAGTATAAATAAGATTCAAGACTGTACATTTCACTAATAGTAACATCATAAATCTTATAAAACGGAAATTTAATTAATCCATAAATTGTTTAGATGTACAACAAGATAAAAATTAAATTTCTCCAAAATCTGAATTTCTTACAAAGAATCAAAGATCTAACCAAAATAAACCATCCTGAAAAGCATTGGATGTTTAAATTATAAATCAAAAAATCTTAAGTGTCTGGAATCTATAAGTAAATAATTTTTAGTTATTTATATATTTTTGAACCTAAAATTATACAACTAACATTCAAAATTGACACTATTATTGAAAATACTTTTATATTAATTTCTTCATTATTTTTAGCTATCATTATATACAATGCTAATTTTAATCCATAATATCCTATAGAACCAAGAGTAAATAAAATTGCTACTTTTGTGATTGCTCTTTTATATAATTTTTCCTCTTATATCGAGTCCTTTATATGAAATAGGTATACTATTTCCTTAATATACTCTTTAAAATCAGCTAACATTGTTATCAGTTATATCACAAAGTATAATTACAATATAAAACCAAGTATAAAACTGATCATAAAAAGTACGATTGAAATTGATATATCTAATAAAATTATAAAATACTTGAAGTAAATCCAAAAGCAACATCACTATATTTCAATCTTGTTACAAAACTTAAAGTGCTATGAAATAAAATAACAATTAAGCACTTGAAGAAATATTTTGAAATCCATAAATCTGAATTATTTAGAATTGACTTGTAAAGTACTTTCCATGACGAAAAACAATTAAAATTATTGATTTCTGCATTGATCAGATTAATAGTATGTAATTGATAGAATATATAAAAGTTAATCGACATAAATATAAATCCTGCTATTACAAATAGAGTTCCATAAATCTTTACTTCTAAACTATCCACTTATACAGCTAATATGCAGCCTAAGATGGCAACTGTTCCTGAAAGTATAATTAATATCCAACTATATATTTTAGTTTTGAGTATTACTTTGCGCATTATAATAATAATTATTAAAGTAATCCTTATAATTAGTGATTTATTTAAATAGAAAAGGATAACAGCATTATAATTAAGATTTAATAAAAAATGAGATTACAAGGCCTTTTTTATTTATTTAGAAATAATTAAATGTTGTTAAAATTCTTTTTTTTTTGTTCTTTAGAAATCGAAAAGCAATACTTTAAAGTAAAAAAAAATAACAAAAATAATATATTTATAATATAGAAAATATAATTTTGAAATTGATATTACTACTAGAAATATTGGTGATAATTATAGAAAATAAAATACTTATTAAAGTATTGTGGAAATTATTTAATTTTTGGAAGCTTAAAAAGGTCAATCATTTATTTAATAATCAAAAAAATTTTGGATTCATCAAAATTGAAATTAAGAAAATTAAGTTAATATGAAATGAATCTAAAAGAATATTCTTTAACTCATATATATGGTTATAATTAAAATTAATGCAATACTGAGTATAAAAAAACAAATATCAAACAAGAATTTTTTAAATGTGGTTATTAAATTCGTTTTTGTATTGCTCTAGAATTTTGAAAAAATGTTATCATTTAATTTACAACTTTTGATGTGTATCATTAAAATGATATATGAAAATGAATAGGTGTAAATTTAATAAACAAAAATATCATAAAATTTATCGTCAAAATCTAATTTGGCAAAATTTATATTTTGCTCTTTAACAATTGTATTGATTTTAAATAACTAATAATATTATGTATATAATCTTCCATTAATATTAGAATATATATTTATAGAAATTTTTATAATTAAATTAATATGTAAAGTCATGTAAATTTATAGAAATACGAATCTTATGAGATGCAAAAGGCAAGCATAACAATTTTTGAGTAATCAACTTAGATGAATGTTTTAACAGATGAATAAATAATTGATTCTGACCCTGAACCTGAGAAGACCATTTAAGAAACGCAAAATTAAAATCTGTTGCTTTCTAAATAGTACATTTAATTACACAAATAGAAATAGCCAGCATTATAAAACAATTATTGAGGATGAAGATGAAGAATGTGCTTTGGAAGAAAATGTAAAGGAAATAAATCCTTAGAAGCCATTTTTAATGTCGATCAACATTGCTAATGTAAGTCTTTATAGATTTCCTACTTTGGAATAAGAGAAGGTAATCTATTTCATGTTTAATAGAGTAGAGTTTAAGGGCTGAAATAAACAATATCGAAATTAATAATAATGTTATTTATTATCAAATAGAAACTAAGTCATCTTAATTAGGGTACACTGTAAGAGTGAAGAGAAGATATAATGATTTCAAATTTTTATTGAGAGAATTGAATATTCGATACCCTTAACTTATATTACCTTATTTACCAATAGGAATTGGTGTAGGAAAACTAAGTAACAAAGATGTAGAAGATCGAAAGAGATTATTGCAGAATGTTATAAATATAATAACCATGCATTAAGAATTGATTCTTTCAAGTTCTGTTAGAAATGTAATAATTAATTAATTATTTAGTTTTTTGAAGAAGGCGACTAATAGGAATTTGAGAATAAAAGAAAACAAAGTTAATTCAATATGAAGGGAGGATTAGCATAAAATCTATAAACCATGATAGATAAAAGCATAAAATCATTTGGATAAATTAAGAATTGGTGGAATGGCACTAATACAAATAAAAAAAATGAAGAACTGGAATAAATATAATAAGAATTGCTTTAGTTATAAAATTAATAAGTCAAATTTTAGAAATTACTTTCTTATATATAATAATTACAAAAGAAATAACATAAGATTAAAGACATTATCGCTTAATAAGATGGTCAAAAAACATAGTTATTAATTGAGACTAAATTACATGATTGTGTATTAGATTACGCTAAACATTTAGATTTCTAAACAAACACTTTGGAAGATAAGTTTGTAAATTATTATTATCAAATCTTAGGATCAATATTATCAATAATAAATCTGGTAATTAATGAATTTGATTGAATTTATTGATTATGCTGATATTTATTTCAAATAGATAGTAAAATATATTGATGATCTAAATGAATAATTATTATTAGTAGTTCCAAATTAATAAACGTAAATAAAGTATTTAATATTTTAGTCATTAAACAATTACAGATGAGATCACTAAATATTTGAGCAAAGCAAAGGATTAATTTTGTAATAAAAAAGATGGAATTATATCAAAATATATAGGGATGCAATAAAAAGGATTTACTGATTATTATATTAGTCAATAATAAGAAATCTGGAATTATGCTTAGGAAATGAAAAACAAATTTAATTGATATGACTTTAAATTTTATTAAATTAAATAATGAAATCACATAAACCAAATAAAAAATCTAATAATAAATAATGTCTAATAGATGAAATTGGATATTATAAGTAATGTTGTCGTTTTTTACCTTTGGAAAGAGCTAATGAATTTTCTACTTAGGATGCAATTATTTATGACCGACTAAGATAAGCAGGAATGAAAAGAAATAAAGCATTACAATTTTGCAAAGGTTAAAATTGTAAAATAGATTCTACATAAAGAAAACATGGTCCTCCTGGATTTAAGATCTTCAACACAAAATAGATTAATATAAGTAACTAAATGGGTAATTAAAATAAATAATAATAGTTGGTAAATGATAGGAAGATTGAATTATGAGTAATTTATGCGAGAAGATTTAAGCAATGATTCTTATTGGTAAATATCAGATTAAAATAAAGAAGAGTAAAAGAAAATGAAAAATTAAAATAATTTTATACTGAATTAGATTTAAAATACTCATTTAATGAAATGAATTAATAAGACACTTTAATTAAATTAAGAACACTTTCAACAGAACAATAATGTAGAAGCCGAGTTCCATAACATTAATTGAGAGATGTCAAAAGTAAAATGATGTATTATGAAATGGCTGAATATATCTTATAATTGAAAAAACCACCTTATACTCTTATATAAGAATTGAATGTTTTTGATGATACTATACCATTAGTTAGACAAGAATATTTTGATGTTTAACCAAAATATATTGAAAAGGCAACTCCTTTTTATCCTAAATAAAATTGTGAAAAGAGATCCAAATTATTAAAAGAACTTACAAAAGCCTATACAGGAAATGTTATTATTAAAGAACCTGCTGAAGAGATTAAAAAAGTATCTTAATATTAATAATTTTGGCTATTAGATCTTCTTACAAATTAGATTATAATAATAGTCATTATATAAAAGGATTTAAATAACAATAACCAAATGAATCAGTTCTTTCTAGTTTGAATGACTTCGATTAACAAAGTACAAAAACAATAAAATAAGGATGTAGTGTAATGACGCATCGAATAACAAAATTTGCCCCTTAAGATTAAGTTGTGATTAAATACAATCAATTTCGTAATAAACTTGAAGATATTGTAAATAAAAGTATTAAAAGAATGAATTGTGAAACTAATAATCAGATATTTTGATTATATTACAATATAAACTAATTAAATTCTCAATCAAAATCATGTGAATCAGTGATATATCTTTACATCATTTATTTTCACTGATTTTGTTATTCGATTTAAATAATAATTCTTGTTAATTTTCAGAATGAGATTTTCAAAGTTTATACATGAATAACGAAAATTAAAATAATTATCAAAGGTCTATTTTTAAGTAGTTTTTAAGCTAATCTATTTATACTGGCTTAACTAAATATCCATCCATTCCATTTTAAATTGCTAAATTTTCTTCTTCTTACTTTGCATATGCTGAACATCCAATAATTTGAACTTAAGGAAATTAGGATTTAATGATTGAAGTAGCTTAAATACCATTCATTGTAGGCATATCAATATCCATAAATATTAAACCATATCCATTGCATTTATTACATCTATTAGATTTTACCATTTAGATAGCAGTATGACCATCTAAAGAGCATTCTAATTTGAGAGATGAATTTATCTTTTAAATTAAGAATTTTAAAACTTCTATATTGAATGCATTATCATCAACAATTAAAATATTAGCACATTGACATTAATTTATATGTTTTGTTTTGATATTATTGTATCTCCATAATGATTATCTTCTCTCTGGACTCTCTTCTTCTATATCATCTTATTCTTCTTGAATTTCTTATTCTTAGATATTTTTTGAAATATAAAACCAAAAAGAAGAGCCATTCTAATATTCAGATTAAAATTGTAATCCCTTTTCATTAGAATTTAAATTTCTAGCAATCATATTACTTATAATTAATCCTAATCCAATTCCTTAAGGATTTAACTTTTTACTTTCAGAATCTTCAACTTTGGCAAAAGCCTGTATTAATCTTTCTTTATGCTCTTCCTTAATTCCAAGACCAGTATCATGAACTTCTATTTTTAAAGAACTGTTGAGATAATTGGAAACTCTTATTTCTATATATCCTTACAAAGTATACTTGAAAGCATTTCCAAGTAAATTTATTATAATTTATCTTATCCTATTTGGATCATTGTTTAATAATCTTGGAACACTTTTTCTATAATTTAATGTAAGATTTATTTTTTTTAAATTAGCTTCAAGTTTGAATAATTCCATACATTCTTCAATTAGTTTATTAAGATCCATTTAAATAGGATTTATTGAAAATTTACCAACTTTTAACAATGCAAGATCTAATAAATCATTTGATAGATTTAGTAAATATTTACAATTTAACAAAGCTATTTTAATGTACTTACTTTAAACATTACAATCTCTTTCATCTTATAATGCTGAAATAAATTAAATGATTGAATTAAGTGGAGTACGATATTCATGACTAACATATGAAATTATACTAGATTTAACTTAATATTATTTTTTCATCAATTTAATATAATCTCGATGAGTTACATCTCTAATTTAAAGCAAAATCATCAATTTTTCATCAATAAGAGTTGCATGAGCATTAATCTCTAATAAACGCTTTTTTGGTTATTCCAAATCTGCACAACCTTCTTTTTCATACCAATTTCCCAAATAACTTCCAATAAAAACAGTATTATGAGGGCTATTTTTTAAAATCTAAAAAAATCTTTTGTTTGGTTTAATATTTCTTAAATCACAAAGTATTTACTATATAAATATAAAATCAATTACATTTAAATCTATTTCTTCTTTAGATTAACGATTATTTGAAACTTTTCCTTACTAAAAAGTTTATTAAAAACTTTAAAATGATGGAAATGAATCTCTAGGATCTCTTTAATCAGGTTTAGCTTAAGTTGAAACAACATCAGATAATTATTCCAAACAAGTCTTAAAACTAGATTTTTCACTGATCTTAAATAATTCTAATGTAGCTTAATTACAAAAGTTTATAGATAAATTTTAGGCTGTTAATAAAACTAGAGGATCTGGAATTAAGTTAAAGAAATTAAAACATTCCTATAACTCTTATTACAAACTTGTTGCTGATGAATGAAATTATTGTTTTCTATAATCAGGAGTTTGCACTAAATTTAAAATTGATTTCTCATATGATTTTATATATGATGCCTAAGGTTCTCCATCTTATTTTTATTGATTAGCCCATAATATAAATAGATGTAATAACAATAATAAAATTCCTCCAATAAATGCAAATAAATCATACGAATTCCAATTACAAACTCTAATTAAAGCATATTAATTCATTAATAAAGTGGATTTTTATAACAATCCTTTCTTTACTCTTTCTAACCCTATTTCAATACAAATGAAATATAGTATTAAAACACTTATATTTTTAAGTTTCACTGCACATTCTACAAAAAATAAAGCAAAACATATTGTGTAGCTGAAACTCATTTATAAATACCATTTTTCATTTAATTTTAAAAAAAAAAGGGCAGCTAATTAAATAGCACACATTATGCTTAATAAAATTATCATTTCTATTCCTTCAAAATCTAACCAAGGTGTTAGCACTATACCTATGATTCCTTCAAGAGGTATTTTCATTATTTTCCTCATATATTATTTATAATTTAGGTTTCAATTAATAATTTAAATTAGAAACTTCTCAATCGTATGAAAATGATGCAATTAGAATTTTAAAAATTCAACTAACAAATAAACCTAATTTTATTTTAAATCATGTAGTTTATCCAAAATACGATACTAATATTCTCATTTATTATCAAAGTTAAATCATTAAATTATAAAAGTAAACTGTTATTAAAATTTTATAATAATCTTGATGATAATTTTGTTCATCTCCCAGGAAACTGTTTTACCAAATTAATAATTATTCTATGGAGATTATTTCTATAGAATTTAATCAAAAATCTTAAAAATGTTAATAATACTTGTTATTTTATAGAATAAAAATTTTAGAATGTTAGAAGGTAAATAATTGTAAATAAAATCAATAAATAATTAAATTATTCTGAACTTTGTGAATATAATGGAAAAATAGAAAGAAATTCTTAAACTATATCATGACAATAATGATAAGTAAATAGAAGAAATGCTTAAGTCTGATCTAAACATACCGATACATAAATTTCAAACTCAAAAGTAATTTACAGGTAATTGGTATATAGTGATAAGAAAATTAAAAGTTCTACATTTGGCATGTCTCCATAACAATAAAAAACTAACTGAGCTTACATTGACATATTGTAGGAATTCTAACTTAATAAATTAAACACAAATGATGGAATTCATTAATATATAGAATAAGGATGGATTTACCCCTTTGCATATGGCATCCTTTAAAGGAAATCTAGTATTAATATAATGAGAATATCTATAGGAAATCATCAAATTATTGCTATAAATTGGGGCTAATGTAAATATTTAGACGAATACCGGATTATCCGTTCTACATATGTCTGTTTAGGGTGATCATATCAAAACTAGTGTAATAAATATAAATATTTTAGTTATTCTGGATTAATCAAAATATTCCTATTGATATCTTAGATTATAATCATTAAACCCCTTTGATTTGTGCTTCATTTTTAGGTTGTTAATAAATGGTAAACTTTTTAATTCCTTGGGGTGCTAAATTAAATGCTCAGACTAAGGATAAAGGCCATACTGCTTTACATGTTGCAACATAATAAGGACATTCTAGGATTGTGAGAAAATTGCTAATCAAAGGCATAGATAGGAAAATAAAAGATAAACGTGGAAAAACTGCACTTGATTTAGCTATAGAATCTAAATTTTCATCTATTCAAACTATGATTGTAAATGATTCTACTATAATTTTAGGAAAATAAAATGGGTTTGGCTGAAAGATGTGGTTTGAGATAACCAGATTCAAAAGTTGAAAAAAATTACAAATCCATGATAGTTTATTTATCATTATATTGCAGTTCAGTTTTTTTGACACTTTTATTCACTTTGCCAAGTATAAAACATCTATTATTAAATAAAGAAATTTAATCTTTTTAGGTTTTGTACATAACATCATTTAGTATAACTCTTCTTTTGACTTGGATTCTTATTAAAACAAATCCAGGATTTGTACCCAGTTCAAACAAAACTTTAATGGTAGGGTGATTTAACATTTATAAGGATCTATTAGACGCTTGTTCAGTTGACTAAATTTGCCCAGATTGTTAGGATGTGAAACCATCAAGATCAAGACATTGTGAGATATGTTAAAAGTGTGTTTTTAAATATGATCATCATTGTCCTTGGCTTTCTACTTGTGTGGGACAAAATAATCAATATTTCTTTATAGCATTTCTATTTACTTTAATATTAAGCATCATTTTGCAAATAGTAGTAGAATGCTCAAGTAAAAATAAAGTAAAGTTTACTAGTTTTAAATTTGAAAGATGAGTAGGGAGAAGTTGAATCAAATAATGTCTTTTAATGGATAACATTTTATTATACTATGATATTTGGTTGCTTATTTATTTTACCTGTGATGTATATATTATTTGATTTAGGTTATTATTTACAGTTTAAATCTATAATCTAATAAAAGGACAAACAACTTATGAAAGATATATTGAAAGATAAGGAATAAACAGAATTTAATCTAGAAAAGCTAGTGCAGAATAGCAATTAGTATAATAAAAGAGTGCTTCTAGTACAGATTCAAGTGAGAGTGAATTTAAATTCACAATAAAAACTTAAAAGAAGCCTTTGTTAAAAGAAACTGAATTAATTGTTTGATAAACAATAATATTAATTTTTCATACACCTTTTAATTCTCTGAAATCCTATGATAACTAATATTCTTCAAACTAAAAGTTTTATATAAAAATTGAATATATTTCATCATGACATTTCTACAAATAAACTATTTCAATTTTATTCTTCGTACGAGTAAATATCCAATAAGATGATTATCAAGATACTTCTATTTTTGAATAGTGAAATAGAAAAGCAATAGAAAAACGTTTTTAATTCAATCTTTGTATTTGCAATTTTTAATTAGACAGCAAATTAGAAAATAACCTTTAAAATATAAAAAGATCCTATTTCTTGTTCTTTTGCAAATTGTTTGATGATATTTAAAAATTGCATTGAATTGCTTTTCATCTAATAGTTATTTGAGATTCATAGCAAATTTATCAGAAACTCATTACTATGACAAGAGATCAAAATAAGCAAATATTAATTAAGAAAGTAATCTCATATCAGTAATATCACTAAAAGAAAATTGTGGGCATCATATTATTTAATGAGTTTTTATAATTCTTCTTTATCTAAAGGTGATTAATTTAAAGGATTGCTAATAAATGTTTATAATATTTATTATGAAGGAAGTATATGATCTTCTAAAAATATTAAGATTCTATTGAAAATAATATAGAGAGGATTGAAATCAATTTGATTTTGTACTTTAATTCATTTACAAAATATTGGTTTTGCTAATATACAATATCATCATAGATCAATCCGAATATTATAGGGAAAGCATACCTTTTTCTATTTTATAAGACTATATATATACATTTCTGAAATATTTTAATAAATCCCTTTAAGCAATTTTGCCTAAAGAATCTCTTTTTCTTGATTAAAATAATCGAATAGATTCTTCTAGCATTCTTTCTCCATAAATTAATCATGCTACTATTGCAACTCTAGTTCTGCCTGTACCAACAAGATAATAAACAGCAACCTTTTTATCATTTTTTTAGCCATTAGGTCAAAAGCTAAAAAAATTTTGAGAAGATTTTCAAAAGTACTATTATTTCACTATTTAAAATTTTTGACTTATTCAAATAGTACTTAGTTTTTATATCATTTCTTTGATTTTTAAAATTAGAGTATTCTTCCTTAAATTCAAGAGATATACAAATCCACTTTGATTTTTTAATTTTTTATGATTTATAATTTATGAATATCCTGTCCTATCTTCCTATCTATAATTAAAAAATTGATCTTAGCTTTTGATTAGATTTTAAATGCCTGATTGTAATGATTAAGGGTTATATGAAAATTCAATACCTGCATATTCTCCTTATTATTATAAATTGATAACTGCTCCAATGTTATGTTTTAAAAGGATAATCTCTATTCTGTTAGAAATGAGGTATAATATCGTACTTAGTCTTTACATAGCTAAAATATTATCAGTAATCCAATCTCAATACAATCCTTCAATAGGATTTTTATTTTTATTTGAAATAGCTTATTCCTTTTTGCAATCATGTCCTCCACAAAAATAACAAATATATATAATAATCTAAAACTTTACTTGGTGCAGGGCCAGTTTTTTTATTTTATAAATTTGTCTTCGGTTCAAATTTGTTAGTGCTTATCATTTGTTACGTGATAGCATTTTTTTATTATGATAAAGTCCTTGATTTTTGATTTTCTTATTCTAAAGGTGGTAATCTACAAGAATTTGAGTTGGCATTATCCATTTAATTAAAAATAAAATTTAACGTATATGAGTTTGACAGAATAACAAGAATATAATTATGATGCATAATACTTGGAGACATTTGGGTGTAATCATACTACAAGATAAATGCATTCTGAAAAATTGATTTGTCAATAATGTGGCATATTTTTAAATAGCGTAATTGAGTTTTTTTAAAATTAAAGTCAACCACAAGAGTATATAAAACAACAAAAATGAAGTATAATACCTTCTTCAATCCGTTAAAGATTTTGACAAACATTTTGGCTCCATTAACAATAGCTTAGCACTAAATTACTAGGTTGCCAATAATTGATTTCTTAGAATAAACTTCTGAAAGATTAAACTTAAGTACAAATACTGCTTTTTTGGCTATCACATATATTGATCATTTTTTCAATAAAGTCAGTGTGGATGAAAAATAAATATTTTTATATGCAGCTGCAGCTCTAATGTTAGCAGCAAAAGCATAGGAACTAGATGAAAGAATACCATTTATTAGTAAACTCAAACGTTATTCATCTTTAACCCCACATCCTGAGATCAATAATTTTACAACATAAGAATTTTGTAATGCTGAAAAAGCACTTATTGAATCCTTAAATTGGAAATTATAGAAAATTACACTTCTTGATAGAATTGAATCACTTCTTTCATTTGGGGTCATTGATGATGATGATAGTCTCTCACAACCTCCTTAACAAAAAGAAAATAAAGATTCATAATTTACTCATATTAAATTGAGAGATTTAAACGAAAAATAAATAAATAATTATGTTAATGAAGTAGAAAATAAATATATAGAAACTGCTTATTCTGTGATTCGAGGTAAAAACTCTTTTATAAGTAGATGATCAAATTTATTTTTCTAATGATCAAACTATATTAGCCTTGTCTTGTATTGCCTTTCTTAGAAAAAAGGCTGGATTACTAAATATCTGGTCATAACAGCTTTAAGCTCTGACTGGAGAATCAGCTTAAAAAATATCAGCAACTGTATCTTAGATTATGACACTTACACCTAAAAGTATAACCAAATCTCTCATTAATACTTCATCTAGTTCGTATTTGAATAATTATTAGATCTAATCTTCTTAAAACAAAAACAATTCTTATATGAAAAATAGGTAGTATTTATTTGAATCAAATAAATAATCAGCTGGAGATATCATATTATAATATAATACAACAGCCAAAGCACATCTCAAAGTTCCTTTATTTCAATCTTAATCAACAATGTAATTATCATCAAAAAACGAAATCATGAAACCTCATCAAATAAATTAAAATAAATATTCTAGTCGTAACAGTAATTTTACAACTACAAACAATTATTCCTACTTATCTGATAATATTGTCCATCCAAATTCATATATAAAACATGCAGAATTGGATAAAAAATATGAGTAATTACAAAAAGTAAGCGAGACAAAATTTAGAACTAAAATATTCAGTTGATGAATATTAGTCAAAACACAATATTTATTATGTTATAATACTATTTTATTAATGATCATTATCAATTGTTAAACAAATATCTTATAGCTTCATCAATAAATTTATATATATAGGAATATTATTCTGAAGTATGAACCATTCCCCATCTTTGTTCTCTTAATCTACGAACAATGCCAAAAATGGAAATTCTATAAAGTTCTGGATTTTCTTCTAATTCTAAAATAATATAAGATGAACCATTACTTTAAATATCATCTCCAATGTGTTATTTATATGCTTTAAGTAAGATCATTAAATTTGATAATGCAATTAAAGTCCCTGTTCTTCCAACTCCAGCACTAAATTAATATAATTCGATTTATAATACCTGCAATGAAAAACTACTTTTTGATCTGCTAACAGCTTTTCATTAATCATATTTAATAATTCTCTAATCACATCAAAATCACTAGGCGATGGAACTCCTTAATCTGGCCATCCACACCATTAAATTTATATAACATTCCTTTCATCTCCCTCTTAACTAACTTTCATAACTCGTTTTGTGATATTATTCCCAAGATCTTCTTGACTCTATAGATTTACTTGAACATTTCCACAAATCATTGTTTCGCCAACATTTTTTGGCCAATATTATTCACATTATGCCTAAATAATGTAAATTTACTAACTCTTTGGTTCTCTTTTAAATTGCACAACATGACTATCATACTCATATTTTCCTAAACAATCATCTTCCAAAAATGACCAAATGTTTGATTTAATGGACCTTAAGTTGCTACAATCATCTTCTCCTTTCCATTTATTAACTATGTTACCAAATTTATCAATTACATTGATAAAATTTGCATTAATATAGCATTCTTTAAGGTTTTCTTCTTCATCACCTTCATTCTTTAATTTCACATTTGAATGCTTAACTAATTTATAACCTATTCACATACATGGAATTATATTATTATATCGATTCAGTTTCTGTATATCGGGATGAAAGTCAAATAAATTATCATTATGATATTAAGTTTCTGTTAATCTACGTAATAACTATATAATAACTAATCAATACTCTGAACTCCATCTCTAAATCTCTTTTTAATAATTCTTAACTGAAGTGTAAAACTGAAATTCCTTTTTCAATTGCTACTAAATCAGCATTGCCTTAAACCCATTCATAAGAATAATCCCTACTAATTTCCTTACCTTCTACTAAGAAACCTTACATTTATTTTATTTTAATAAAATGGATTAAATTAGTTCTAGACAACTTTAAATCATGCCCTCAGCCTTTCAAACGCTAAACTAAAAAATTATTTGATCAATAGTTCATTATTAACATATAACTCAACAAAAGTCCCTTAAATAGTTTAAAATATATGAAACTAATTATTTATACTTTTATTTGTAATACTTCTCTTATAACTTAAATTGAAATCAAAGAATTGATTAATATATTTTTTTGGAAAGATATAAAAATCTCTTTATTTGAATTAAATTAAAATATAACTGGAATTGAGAAATTAATTAATAAGAATTTCATTCAACTCTTGAGAATGATAAATTTATAATATAAATTAAAAATCAATAAAGACATCTAGCGATGATCAGTTTTTTATAGGATTAAGCGATTTTGATTGTTACTGTTGATATACTTCATTTATAACATCATCTAATGCTTAGTTTAATGAGCCTTGTCGATTTATTATTAACTTTTTATTTTTTTAACAAGATTAATTAGAATCAAACTATTATAGATCAATTCGATCATCAAAATTCTATTCAATAATAACTTTATAAGCTTCTTAATCTGGTTCTGATTATAAATTATTATTATTATTATTTATCTTAATAATGTTTGTAATAGGTTCTTCTCTCTATGAACCTTAGCCTTATTATTCTTAATATTGAGGTATAACTTGTATTTCATTTTAATTATCATTTTAGGATTAAGATTCTTCATCTAATTAGAATGAAAACTATAGCTTTTAATTTTATTTTGGTATAAGTTCTGAATGTAATTAAAACAATAGGTCATCAGTGATAAAAGCATTCTTTTTTTCCTATGCTGAATTAATACCACTGTATCTTTATTCTTTTGAAATTAGAAATGGATGTTCAAGTAAATCCACTGCTTCCCATCTATCCTCTGGATTCAATTAAAGACATCTTCTAAGAAAATCTTTTGCATGTTCAGATTTTAATTCTTCTGGTATTGGAATCATTTCAGTTAGTTTACTAATTTTAACCATAACTGTATATATATTCTTTATTTCATAAAATGGAGGATGTCCAGTAGCCATTTCAATCATTGTGCAACCAAGACTCCATATATCTGCTTTCCTATATTAAATAAATAAGAAAATTAATCTACTTTCCATATTGTTGCTAATTTATAACTTCAGGTGCCATAAAATTAGGAGTCCCACAAAGAGAACCCACGATATCATGTTTAATTTCTGATAATTATTTACCACTTCCAAAATCTAAGAAAATATAAATAATAATAAAATACCTGCCAATTTCACTTTTCCATCTTAATTAATTAATATATTTGCTCCTTTAATGTCTCTATGAATAACTCCTTTGGAGTGTAAAAAATGTAATCCTAATAAAATTTACTTCAAATAAACTCTTATCAAAGACTCCTTAAATTTACCAAATCTTTTGATCATTGTTAGAACAGAACCACCACTTACATACTCCAAAAAAATATTTAATTAATCTTTTTTTGTTTCTGAACCATAATAACGGACAATATGAGGATGTTATAATTTACTCAAGATTTCTATTTCTCTTTGGATAGATTGTACTTTCTAATAAGAAAATATTAATAGTTTTTACATTTTCATCTCCATTTTTGATGAACACTTATTTGACTGCCATTATTTATCCACTAATTCTATTCATTCCTAAGACAACTCTACCAAAGGCACCTTATCCTAGCATTTCTCCTTCTGTCCAAGTAATCTATTTTTCTTATTCTATTTTTTCAATTTTTTATTCTTTTGGAGGAATAATTAGATCATGACACACATCTTAATAATGTGATTCTTCAGGTTATTAAATTGGGACAGGTTATTCATCACAACCTGCATTAGCATATTTAGAATGTTTAGTTTTTTTAGTCAAACAACAACCCATATAATATAAATAAATTAAAAATGTAATAAAAACTAAATTAAGCAAAAATAAGGAACGCTTTACAATAGCAATTATTCCCTAAGATGCAAAAGAAAATAGAAACACCAAAGACATAACCTAAAAGGTATTCAATAATTGAATGAATAAAATTAAGAGCTATAAGAATAGAGGATGAAAACAAATTATCAATAGCATTACCACATATAGAGACTATAGCTATGAATTTTAATTCAAAGTATCAACTAGGTAATATGATTGGAGAAGGTGCACATGGATTAGTTAAAAAAGCCATAAAGATAGAAACTGGTGAATAAGTAGCAGTGAAAATTTCAAGAAGTGGAGATCCTGAACTTGTGAAAACATTTACTGAGGCATACAAAAATACAAGAATGCTAGATCATGAATTCATAATAAAAGTGTATGAATGCTATATAGATGAACAATCTGAAACTTTATATTTAGTAATGGAATACTCAAATTTACGTAGTTTAGAAGTTGTATTAAAAAAGCATAAGAGATTAACGTAATTGTATATCCTTCAATTAGGGAAGAATAAACTAAGATTTTGATAAGACATATTCTATTAGCTCTATAGCATATTCATGAAAGAGGAGTAGCTCATAGAGATTTAAAACCAGATAATATGCTGATCAATAAAAAGTCATTGGATATAAAAATTATTGATTTTGGAGTAAGCAGAAGATTTAAGAAATATAATGGGAGAGAATTTGTAGATGTAAATATGTGGACAAGAACAGGAAATGTTTATTATGCTGCTCCAGAGATCTTAACTGGAGGAGGTTATGATGAAAGAGTTGATCTATGGTCATTAGGTGTTTGCTTATTCCGTATATTGACTGGTTAATTCCCTTTTTTTGAAGATAGCGTATTAGGAACCATTGATAAAATACTTAAAGGTACATTTGAATTTAATGAAAATATTTCTTTACTTGCTAGAGATTTAATCAAAAGACTTTTAGATCCAAATCCTATTCAAAGATTATCTGCGTAATGTATATTATAGAGATTCACATTATAGTGGCTTTACAGCATCCTTGGCTCTATCATGAAAAGATTGATCCCATATCTCCTAATAGCACTGAACTTATAAATAAAGTCAATTATAGGGCCAGTGATGATATTTGTGATATCTCCCAAGTTGCTGATAAAAATACTTATTATAGCAGGAATCTTCATATGAGAAGCAATACCATGACCAAAAGCCCAGTTTTATAATAATAAGAATCCAATCCCAATTCAAAATCTCCTATCAATTTATTAAAACAAGATCTCGATGAAGAAATTCAATAGTCTCCATTAATTAAATTGAAAAAAATTCAAAATTAAACGAATAAAGAAATCAACATCATTAAAAAAAATGAATCTAATGGGCTAAGCTTACTTAGAATTAGTTAGAGATTATAAATGGAAAAATTAGACATCATACATGAAATCTAATGACTATTAATAATAACTCTTAATATTAATCTTCAGTTTATATAATAATCATTTCAAAACATATCTGGCTATGTTTAATTTCTTATTTAATATTATTGATAAGAAATATTACCCATTTAATAAAATGGAGAATTATTAATATTTTATTAAGGAATCTTATAGTCACTATAAAAGTATCTACCTTCTAACTTTTTATTCTTCTCCTAATAAAGATTTAGTATTTATCTGAATTCAATAAATGAGATAAAATTATCAGAATTTAAGTCGAAAATTTTAAAAACTGTTTATATTTCCTAAGGTTATGCATTTCTATTGATCTTTCTAAAAAAATTTAAATTTGTTACATAATCAATTATGCAAACTCAGAAAAACTGAGAAGGCCATCGAAGTCATAATCGAATTTTTAGAATAAATCATGAACATTTATATTATATCTTTGAATAACCTATTATAATTTTATTATGATTTTCTCAGGATCAAATATTTATGCTTAAATTGGCATATAACTTATATGAGGTGTTGATTGAGATTAACCTAAAAATGGGTATTAGGTGTTTTATAAATTACGAAAATCCATTTCATTTTATCTACCTGGTTAATTTTAAATGTTTTTTAATGATGGCATCTATTTATTATATTAATTTCGCTAATTCTAACGACCTTTAACTTTAGATATCACTGCCATCTTTGAATTATTATTTGTTATCCATTTTTCAAATTCTTCTAATGATACTGTTTAATCTCCATCCAAATCTAATTTCTTAAAAATGATCTAACAATCTTAACGACTGAGAGTTGAATCAATTGTATGTAATAATTAAACTAATTCTGAAAATTGTAATGTTTAATCTCCATTTTCATCAAACTCATAAAACAAAGAATTAATATTCAAATTTTGTTTTATAATTTTCTATCTTAATTCATTCATCAAAAATTTGATTTTTTGTTCTTTGATTTGTGTTTAATAGTTCTTAAAGTAATCTTTAACCAAATCATGTTTGAATACATCATCCCAATCCATTCTTTCTGCTTCTTCCATTGCCAAACATCCTTCTATAAACTTTTTCAGATCATAACTAATTGATGTCTATTCATTAGGAAAGTCTAAAAACTTATGTTCAATGTTATGTAATAAATATTCTATTTTACTACCACTCCATGCTGGATAACCATACAAAACATTGTACATTATCATTCCTATTGACCATATATCACATTTGCTTGTATATTTACTTTTTGACAAAACTTAAGGAGAATAAAATTTAAAATCTACATCTTAATGAGATTGATCGTTTTTCATCTCCAAACACTTTGTTAAACCACAGTCTTAATATAATTACTAACTTTTACCTGATATTTTATAACCTTTATCTGTTTACATAATATTAGTCAATTTTAATCCCCTATGGATAATCCCATGATTTATCAAATCAGTGAACCCTTCCAATAAATCTACCAATAGTTTAATACATTCAGATTCAGGCAATTTATGAACTTATTACAAATATGTTTGTAAATCTTATTTACAAAGTTCCATCACAACATAATAATTATTATCTGTTTATATCACTTCGATTAATTAAACTATCTTTGGGTGTTTTAATTATTGGATCAATTTAATTTCATCTAATAATGCCAATTATTAACCTTCATCGGCTGTTATAACATTTTTTTTTATTATTTTTAAAGCATATTAGTTTTTCTTAGCATCAAAAGCTTTAACAACCTATCTTAAAAACTAATTTAATTACAGTTCCTGTAGAACCCATTCCTATAATATCTTCTGGATTATATTGGTATTTTTCAATATATTTCATAATTATAATATAATTTTAGCATTTTTTCAATGAATTAAGATATATAAAAGTTTTTATAGAATTTGTAGCTATAATAAACTTTAAAATAAATATTAAAAAAATTATACCTATTTAACTATTTTGATTTATAAGTATTTTATGAGTATTCTAATTGGATTTTTTCTAAATTTTAACGAAAATAAAAAAAAATATATTGTTATATGTAAAATAAAAGTTTTTTTTTAAATGAGATTTAAAAGAGAAATCTGTTGTTATTTTTAGAGAATAAATAAATATGATTAAAAAATTATTAGTTAATTATTCACTAATATTAGTTATTTTAAAGAAATAAAAAGAAGAAATAGAGATAGATAAAAATAAAATAGAAAAAAAAAAGCAGTAATATAAAAGGAGATTCAAAAAGAATTGAAAAGATAAGAAATTAAAGAATTAATAAAGAACAAAATAAAATGATTTTATTAAGATTTGGATATTGATATTGAACTTCATGATCAAAAGACCTCTTCTCTAACTTAGAGGAATTCAGATGCAGCGCTCATCTTTTAGGTGAGAACTTCTTATAATCTCTCAACAACTTCTAATTATTATTCTCTTTCAAAGGTTTGAGCTTCATATTAGGCTTCTTATTCAGCAGCCCATCTTTCTTAAATGGCCAATGAATCTTCAGCATCTTCAAGGAATAACTAAAGAAGAGATTAGAGATTATATAAATACAGTTTAATCTTCTAAGTCTTCAACAGCCTCTTAGATGGTGACCTTGAATTAGACAATTGAGTTTTCTAAGAATGCTTTTCTTTCAACTAATCTCTTGTGTTCTTCTTATAAATGTCCACTTTAGACTTCCCAATTAGCAGCTTATCTTTCTTCAGTAGCGAGGAGAGAAGCTCTGCTGGCAACTAATTATTATCTAATTTAAGCTAAGAGTTCTAAGATTTTAATTATGCTCTTATTATCAACTTTTGAGGCTAATTATGTTAAGGCATTGATAAGTGGCTAGATATGATTAAAATTAAAAAATACCTTGAAGAGAGCATGTTTAGATTCCATCAATTTAGCTTAGACCTTTTCAAATCTACTTTTGAGTTAAGCAAAAGCAACACCAGCTTATAAATGTTAAACAATTTTAGAGGCTTCATCAATGGCATCCATTTAATCAACGTGTTCTGCATCTTTTCTAACCCATGTTTCATGTTATGATTGTCTTGTTGCAGATTCATCAGCAAAGCTTCTTTCATTATTGGCAATATCTGAAGTAACAACTCTAACTTCAACTTCAGCTTCACCTAATGCTTCTGTTGTTGAATCTCTCAAATTTGAAAGAGCAACAATTTAAGATTAGTGATAAGCAATTTCTTATTCTAAATCAGCTATGATCTATACAATTATATTATAATATGCTTACCTTTTCGAAAGCAACTGTATCACTCTCATGAACTTTGTCAGCTTTCTTTTAATCTCCGTTGAGTTGGGAAGCAATATTGTTTAAGAGAATTTGAATTTCACCTACAGGTCCACCTGTTGCCAATTAAAGTTAAAGCACTGACAACACTGAATTTCCAAATGAATCCTTGTTAATTTAAGCCAACACTTCCTTTGGACTTTCTGTCTTTGTTACTCTAGCAGTTGCAACTGCAAGGATAAGAGTCAATACAGGTACGATTCTCATGTTATTAATATTAATATTAATGAAATGAAATCACAATCATTCTCCAAGACATTAAAAATTACCCGTTTTTCAATTTATTGTTACACTCTCATTAATACGTTTTTGTTTTAATTAAAAACTCATTCATTTTATTATTCTCTATTAAACTCTCTTCTACTGATAATAATCATCATAATCGGATTCTCTTCTTTTAATTTTATCAAAATATATCAATCATAATTTCAACTTTGATTTTCTATTTATTTTACATAAAAAATTCATGATTTGATTCATTTATCAAATTCTCATAGTAATCAAATTTTAAACACGATCATTTTACACTCAAGGTAATATGAAACAATATTAATCAAGATTCTCAATTTATAAATAAATATAATATTTATGAATCAAATTTATGTCTAAATCATTAACATTATTGTGTATCTTTTAAGTTTCAATAAATCTAAAGATTTAATATCATATAGAATTTAATTTAGAATCAGTTAATTCCTTAACTTTTCTCAATCCTGAAACCTATAATTTCTTAGAAAATTAAGAATTTAATTGTTGAAGATATTTTATTATCACTCTATGCTTTCTTAATTTACTCAAAAAAATTTAATTAAATTCTCAAGATATTTCGAAATCCAAATAAAACTTCTTTTTTTCTTTTTCTTTTTTAAGTCTTATAAACTATTGATTAATATTATTTATAATTTTCAGACTTGAAAGTAGAACAAATTAGTTTATAAAGTTTATCAGTTTCTTAATTCTATATAAACTAATCACTTATCATGAATAGTTAATCTATTATGAGAAAATAATAAATGAATTTTTTTATAGTATTAATTATAAATTATAATTTAATATGAATTAAAGTTATAATGTAAAATGATTCCTAACTCACAACCTAAGTGGTTTAAATAGAAAATAGTTTAGAATGCAATTAATTGATTTTTTGTGTTTCAAATTAATGATAGAAGAATTGTTAGAAATATATTTAGAATAAAAAATAATAAAAAATAGGTTTGAAATAAGAAATTTCAGCAGTAGTTAAATTTTGGGAAATATAATTCAAATATGCATTAGATTTTTGATTTCTTAATTGCCTATTTACTTTGCTAATAAATAAGGACTCATCTACCGATAGGGCCATTTCTTTAAATTAGTTATTAATAAATAACTTCTTAGATTAAATGCATATTAGCACCTTTTGATAACAAAAATGAGACCATTTTTTAATTTTCATCCTTGACTGCTCTATAGAGCAATGTCAAGCCTTATATAAATTAATCGATTGGATTCTTCTTAAAGTATTCTTTCAACTCATAATATTCCTCTTCTTAGTACCACTTTAGTAATTCAACATTTTCAGGTTCAATAGAAGATTTCAAAAATCTTTTTCTAATGGTTTATAAGAAATCCAAGGAAGACTTAGAAGACTCTAATTTTGGAGGTTAATTAACTATAGGTTGATGTAATGATTGGCTGGCATGCATTCTATTAAATCGACTATGCGAGAAAGATTTGATTTAAGCCTAATATTTGAGTGAAACGATTGAATTCATTTCTGATCTTACATATTCCATAGCATTATGTTATTCTGAAATGTCTTTCTAAACTTATTTTTCAATAGCTATAATTTTTTTATTTTCTAAGGGTGGTAAGATGTAAGTGCTCTTCTTGCGCATTTTATTATTTAACAATAAAATTAAATAAAAAAAACCATGAGATCAAAATAAACATAGACACCTGAATAAATAATTCATATTCTCAGATCTTTTAAGAGTTACATAGGGAAAACGAATTCTATGAGTCCATAGACAAGATGCTCCACTTGTGTTTAGACTGTAAAAAAGGAAACAAAATAAAATTCTGAATTTTTACTGAAATGTCCTATATTGAATATAAATGAATAGGAATTAGGGAAAGAAGGAGTTGAGAAAAAGATTGAACTTTTATCTGATCAAATTAAAAACATGTAAATGAAGTAAGAAGAATTGGAGAACTAACATTTTAGATTAAGTAAAAATGTGAAGAAATTGAATCTTGAACAAAAACTTGAATAACAAGTAATAATTAGAAAATATTAATTAAGGAGAGAAATCAAATGATTAAGAAATTAGATTACATGATTGAAATTTAGACAAAGTAGGAAGATAATTTAAATTAAATAAAGTAACTAATTGCCTCTCGAAAAATTATTTGACTTTCCTTATAAATTTAGTTAAATATGGAAGAATGGAATTTAAGTAATTTAAGTAATCAATTAGACAATAGGTCTATTGGTTTACAATAATAAAAAATGTTGTATATTTTTTTTCAAAATTTTTTATACAAAAAGGTGTATAATTTAGTAATTTATAAAAAATATTCTCAACAAACAAAATATAATGAAAAAGTAAAGTGAGAATGAAAGGATTGCTTAATAAATATATGCTTCTTAAATGTAGAAACTGTAGNGTAATTCAACATTTTCAGGTTCAATAGAAGATTTCAAAAATCTTTTTCTAATGGTTTATAAGAAATCCAAGGAAGACTTAGAAGACTCTAATTTTGGAGGTTAATTAACTATAGGTTGATGTAATGATTGGCTGGCATGCATTCTATTAAATCGACTATGCGAGAAAGATTTGATTTAAGCCTAATATTTGAGTGAAACGATTGAATTCATTTCTGATCTTACATATTCCATAGCATTATGTTATTCTGAAATGTCTTTCTAAACTTATTTTTCAATAGCTATAATTTTTTTATTTTCTAAGGGTGGTAAGATGTAAGTGCTCTTCTTGCGCATTTTATTATTTAACAATAAAATTAAATAAAAAAAACCATGAGATCAAAATAAACATAGACACCTGAATAAATAATTCATATTCTCAGATCTTTTAAGAGTTACATAGGGAAAACGAATTCTATGAGTCCATAGACAAGATGCTCCACTTGTGTTTAGACTGTAAAAAAGGAAACAAAATAAAATTCTGAATTTTTACTGAAATGTCCTATATTGAATATAAATGAATAGGAATTAGGGAAAGAAGGAGTTGAGAAAAAGATTGAACTTTTATCTGATCAAATTAAAAACATGTAAATGAAGTAAGAAGAATTGGAGAACTAACATTTTAGATTAAGTAAAAATGTGAAGAAATTGAATCTTGAACAAAAACTTGAATAACAAGTAATAATTAGAAAATATTAATTAAGGAGAGAAATCAAATGATTAAGAAATTAGATTACATGATTGAAATTTAGACAAAGTAGGAAGATAATTTAAATTAAATAAAGTAACTAATTGCCTCTCGAAAAATTATTTGACTTTCCTTATAAATTTAGTTAAATATGGAAGAATGGAATTTAAGTAATTTAAGTAATCAATTAGACAATAGGTCTATTGGTTTACAATAATAAAAAATGTTGTATATTTTTTTTCAAAATTTTTTATACAAAAAGGTGTATAATTTAGTAATTTATAAAAAATATTCTCAACAAACAAAATATAATGAAAAAGTAAAGTGAGAATGAAAGGATTGCTTAATAAATATATGCTTCTTAAATGTAGAAACTGTAGGGCAAGATAATGGAAAAGAAACTCACTAAAGTATGTTCAAAATAGCAATTTGAGAGCCAATCATAAAATATCTCGAATAACAACAGTCCTGCTATGGGACGTTAAAAATCGTATGAAAATTTATAGAAGGTGAATAGAACATTCATAAATCCAACATTATAAGTGTCTCAACAAAAATTGAGTAGCATTTTAAATGTTATGGCAGGCTAACAGACGAAACCAAAATTTTAAAGTTTATTTAACAATGAATTAATGGATACAGTAAAGATTACACATAAATTACGAAAGAATCAATCGATGATTTAAATAGATTAGCAATCACCATAATTAACAAAGAATTCTTCATTTCATCGTCCTAATTCGAGTGTGAAAATAAAGAATAGTAATAGTATATCTTATGAGTAATCATAACTTTAAAAAATTAAAGATAAAATCAAATAATTATTATAAGAAAGAGATAACAATTGGTAATAGGACCAAAAGGAGATAGCTTTTATGATAAAACTAAATCAATCATTAAACTAATTATTCTCGATAATTTTTTAAGAGTAACCAAATACTTAGCCTACTTCTACATAAGATACTAATTCGAGTCTCTAAATAGATCATTTTTTTAAGAGATAAATTTAAATATTACAATAATATTATACATAGTAGATGGAAAAGAAAAAACTGGAAAATATACTCAGTTAAATAAAAAGAAAGCATGAAAATGTACTTGTGGAATACAATTAGTTATAAGAGTAGAAGAAATCTTAAGATGATTTAATGAAAAATTTATAATAGCAGATATCAGGATTGTAATCTAAAATAAATACATAGCAAAGAGAAACAAAGACTGAGTAAGGTATATTTATTATATAATATTATAAATAGAATTTTTGGAATTGAAATATTTAGTACAAGGATAATTTGAAGCGATTTAAAAATTATTGCAAAGGGAATAGTTAACTAAGATATTTTTAAAGAGAGTAGGGGATAGTTCAATTTTAGAGTATTTTATATATTATAGAATTTGAGGATGTTCGATTAATTTGTATCAAATGCTGAATAAACAAATATGGATGACACAGAAGGGAATCTCAATATAGAAGTGATACCATCAAATAAATTGATTTCCCAAAAGAAATTAGCAATAGCTTAAGAGTAAATGGGGATGCCTGAGAAGATTTTATATTAATATGAGTAGAATTATAAATAGGAGTTAAATTTATGTGATTCTATGTTGGCAGATGATTCTAGTAATAATTAAATCAAAATGTTATTAGGAGTGAATGACTCAGAAGAAAGCAGTTTTGGTTATTTGGGTAAAGAGTAAGCGACTGAAATTAGTTGTTATTTTAATGATGCTGAACAATTTGTTTAAACAGAAAATTAAAGAAAGGGAGTTCATACAATTTCAAAAGAGAAATTAAAAATTAATATGATGGATGTACAATTAGCATAAGCTGCGTAATGTTTATAAAATATTTAGTATGAAACACTAAGAATTAATTGAATAATAATAACAATAATAATAACAACAATAAAAGATTCTTCCAGATGATTTGATGGACAATGATGATGAAGGTTCTGATGAAAACTTGTTTGATGATGATGAGTAATAGTTTTGACAAGGATAGCTATTTTTGCTCGTTTTATATATATGTTTAATATAATATTGAAATCTATAGATTTAAAATAATAAATAAAGGAGATTAAAAATTAAAATTAAAAAAAGGTTCAATACCATTTCTTAAGTTTTCCTCGAACCCAAAATCCTTTTCTTGATTTTCCTCTCTTATTTATAAATATTCCAATGCCATCTTATAATCCACTTTACCATTATCCTTTATAACAACGACCATCATTGTATTGCATCTCTCCATACCCATGTTTAAATCCTTCCTAATATTGACCCATATAAACTCGACCTTAAAAATAAATTAAATAAAAAGTGATCGCATACCATCACCCCACTTCATAGTACCATCCCCATGTTTAGATCCATTTTACCAATAACCTTCAAATAATTTATTCCTTTCTGGCCAAATCTACATTTATGAAGGAGATCTACAAATATTCCATATCCATGAAATTAGTCATTTTCGAATTATCCTTCATAAATACAGCCATCAGATAATTTGATGATTCCAAGTCCATTCTTCATACCTTCCTTAAACTTCCCTTCATAGATAGATTTATCTTTATATATTTCTTTACCCATTCCATGTTAGTATCCTTTTCTCCATTCACCTAATATACTATTTTATATGATACCTTAATAAATGCGACCATCAGAATAAACATACTCGCCTATTCCATGAAACTTACTGTTTAACCATTATCCTTTATACATCTCAGTACCATTCACATAAACAGCCTCTCCTTAAAGTTCATTGGAAGTCCACTAAGAAATAATATTAACATATTACTGTTCCTTCAACATAGCTAAGAATAATAAATATTATGATACTACCTATCTTGGAATTAATATTTACCTTTTCCATTTGCCTTCCCATCCTTCCATTCTCCTTTATATATTGCTCCATTCTTCATCATTATTGAACCTTAATCATAATCATTGAATTAAATAGAATCAAAACAAAATTTTGAGGGTTCTATCTAAGTTAGTACTTAAGTTTCTGGAATTTGTAAAGATTTCATAAACTATTTACGTACTTTATGACCTCTATAAAGTGCTTATATAATGATGATTTTATTCTCATCATAATAAGGAGTGGTATCCTCCTTTATAACTGTTTCTGTTTATTTATGTTCACTAGAATCCATTGTGGTGAGGTCTTCAGTAGATACGTGTATACTCTTACAAATGCCCATTGCAAGAGTTTATCAAAATTATTTTATATTACCGAAATTCCTTTTTTAATATTCTTAGTTAATTATGTGACTATTTACTCTCATTCTAAACATATTATCAATACAACAACTTAACTTTTTATAACTTATGGACCTCCTAATTTGTAATTTATAATATATAATCTATATTTTATATTTAAACATGTTTGCAGACCTTATTCAGCATATTAAAAATACAAGTCCATAATTTATCTTAGGACAATATGCAGATGCTTATGATAATTATAGTAGTTGGCGTATGTGTAGAGTGATCAATCTAACATCTGATACTGTTACTGTTCAATATGATGGATGGACCTCAAAATATGATGAGACTCATAAACTTAAAGCTGGAAGGGTTGTGTATTTTAGATCACATACTGAACTATACACAGGTGCTTAGAAATTTGCTTACAGGGATTACAACATTACAAAAGAAATTGATCACATTCATTAGGTCATTGAAAAAATGCAGAAGCTTATTGATAATGATTTTACTAATGTTGAACCTCAAGATGTCTGTTAATTTGTGAGAGGAGAACTCTATTTACTTATTGATAGTCTTATGCAAGAATAGCAATCATATACTCATGGTGAATTTAAAATTACTACAGATCTAATAGAGGCCTTTATACGATTCTTCATCTCATGGGTTAATAAAATTTAAGAAAAAATTCATACATATATTCAAGGCACTTAAGCACATCCTCTCATTTATTATTTTCATTTGGACACATGTTTAGTATCCTGTCATCCTGAAATGTTTGATACATTAACTAAAATATTTAATGGAGGAGGAGCTAGATGTAAAAGATACTTTTAGAATAATGAAACATTACTTTTAAAAATGAATAACATCAATGATCGATACTCATAAAATCCTTAATAAGGTTTCTTTAAATATTTTTAAGATAGAAATGGTTTATAAGAAATAGATAATTTGATAGCTTGGTAATATGGTGAAGGTGAGACTAAATAAAAAGTTCCTTTTGGAATTATAAAGAATATATTACCTTTAGTTGAAAGTATTTATCGAAGTTTTCCTGTAAACTAAAATCGTCAAGATTGGTTATAAAAAATAAAAGATATGGTTATAAAAAGATTGCATCAATTAACTACAAATGATCTTAAGGAATCAAATTTGAATCCAGTCTTTTAAATTTTTAAGTTGATTCCATAACAATTCTCTTGTATTACTAACATCTCTTAAGAATGCGAATGCACAGAGATAAAATTGGCTATAACTTTAATAAAATCATCTATTCTTGAAAAGAAAATAAAAGGAGTAAAAGAGTTAACAGAAACAATTGATAAAATAACAAGTTTCAAATCTTCTATGTTATATCAAAATACAATCAATACTTATTTTAATTCAGAGAGATTAGGGAAATTCTTATAAGATGAGAAAGTGTTTGATATTCTCCTTTAAGAAGCTGGACATGCAGAAGTATTCAAAAGAGCAGCACCTATTATGAGATTTATGGTAGATTAAGTACATTCAAGTACTAAAGACATTGAATAACTATGGGAAGCTAGTTAAAAAGGACATGAAACAGAAGCATAGAGTGTCTATGAAGTCATAAGTGATATTGCCAAAGTTATGAATCATGAGTAGATGGACATAATTTATTCAAAACTCTATAGTTTGGCTTAAAAAGACATTGATTTGAATTTAATCAATTTCATGAAAGATTTTACTTTAAGTGTTCAAAGAAATGCTCTTAAAAAAAATAAAGCTATTCAAACATTAGCTTTGATGTGGGAATTATTATAAGATAAAAGTGATTTAAATCCTAATTTACTTGAACCTCTAATGAGTGGATTTATTTAATGTCTTAGATAAGATCGTGAGTAGTTTTAATAACTTTGTTTGGAAAACTTAAAAAAAAGTGTTTCATTTCCTTAATGTTTACATATCCTTTAAAAAATTGTAGAAAGTTATGGATAAGGATAAATCTATTTTGGTTCATCATCAGAAGATAATCTTAATAAAATCATGAAAGAAAATCAAATGATTGATCTCATTGTTAGAAATCTTGAAACTTATAGATCATCTGTATAAAATTCTTAAGATTGCTTTGCTATTCTGAGTGGCAAAGTTGCTCATGCATAAAGAATACAATATAAAATGGATTTTCTAGAGTATATTGCTGCTAGTCCAAAAAAGTATGATTTTTCTCTTGAAAATTTTAAAAAATTATGGAATATACTCATAATTAATCCTATTCATGAAACTGATCGTAATCCAATGTTAGATTTCTTAGTAAAAGGAGGATTCAGAGTAAAGGATGATTTATTTAAGCATATTTTTTGCAATATCAACTATCCAATTAAACTATGCTATAGAAGTATAGAAAAATATTTTATGTAACTTAATCAAAAAAATGGATCAATTAATTGCTAGAAATCTTATATAAGAATTCTTAAGTATGATTAGATTATTGGTTTAAATTTCTTTTTTGATGTAGCCTTCAATTATCCAAATTAAGATTAAGCGATATAAACTCTATTATAACTACATATGAGAACAGAGAAAGCAAATTAAGTAGAATAGAAATTACTAATGTGGAATTCATTGCTTATAAAATGCAAAGAAGCTTTGAAATTATAAAATAGCTAAATTTAGAATGTAATTAAGTGTTTAAGAGATCTTGTAACAGGTATTGAAGGAAAATAATATTCGAATACAAGTGGTCCTGCATTTACTTAAACAAAATTTTAGGTTCAAATAGGTAAGGATGAAAAAACATTGAAAGAAGTATCATTACCTTCTAATTGTACTCTATTAGCAGTTAGAAAACACTTAGGTGAATTGTTTAATCTAAACCAATAAGATTATGATATGTTTTTAGCAAATCATGATATGAGAATAAATCAAGATAATGAAGAAGACTTGACTATAAGTTTATTTGAGGAATCTAAATCCAGAGATAAACCAGATATTATTCTTTAGAATATCAGCTAGAATATGAATTCTATATTCCTAAGCATTCGAAAATTCAAAGCAAATTTAAGTAGTAATACAGAACTGTCTGAAATATTGTTTGATTTATTGTAATCTGAAAATTATGAAGATATTTGGTAAGTTTTAACATTGATGCCTCAAAATAAGCAAATAAAGGATAGATTAGATAAAGGAGGATCTGATGAAGAACAGTGGAGCAAAATATTGTATTTTAATTGCAATAAGAAATTATTATATTGTTTATAAATTTATGAAACAATGATTCAATAGGATAAGAATTTGGTACAATCTTTTATAAAGACAAAAGGATGTTAGAGTATAATTACTTACTATCTCAAAAGATAAGAGAGTGAATTCGCAAATTTATTCAATTTGAAGTGTTATGCTTAAATAGCTAAAATTATTGGGATTTGCAATATTAGAGACTCAGAAATAAATAAGAAATGTGTAAAATATATAATTTATGCTTTGTAAAAAATTGAAAATAAAGTATATTAAGATCCATTAGCCATTTAGAGTTTTCTCTAAAACAATTTTAAAATAGCTTCTACTGAGAATGTAGGAGATATTGAATAATTAATAAAGAGTTTAACAGAATTGGTTGATCCTTAGATTAGAAAGACTCTGTGTTAATAACTTATAGAATTAAAACCTTTACATAAGCATTTCTAAAATTTGGGTGACAATTTGTAAGATGTTATGAAACTGAAAAATTAAGCAGAATAATATTTAGAATTGTATGCTGGAGTTTTATAATAAACTAATAATAATGATTTAACAAGAATTACTTAAAGATTACCATAGGTTATAATTAGTTTTTTGTAAGAAGAGGAAACAGAGAAGATATTACTTCAAGCTTTTAAGTTGATTTGTATTTTAGTAACAAAATGCTAAGCATCTCTAATGATGATAACTACAAATGAATAATTATCTGATTCTATAATAAGTAGTTTATTTTAATTAAATGGAAAAACATTATAAAGTCAAGACACAAGAAAAGCAGGATATGAAATAGTGTAAAAACTATTTGCTAATGAGAAATTGATGAATATATTTGAATAATATTTTTCATGTTCTTTTTGGAGAACAAGTTCAAATACAAATTGGAATATAGTTTAAACGTAATAAAGTAAGAGTCAAACTGGTTTTGTTGGATTACGTAATCTGGGATGTATTTGCTATATGAATTCATTAATGTAATAATTATTTACTTTACCTAATTTCAGAGAAAGTGTTTTATCTCTAACTCTTGAATTTGGATAATAAACAATTGCATATTAATTTTAACTCTTATTATCGGCATTAAAGAATTCATAAAAATAATTTTATGATCCTACTAATTTCTGTAGTGTTCTTGGTCCAAATTATAAGGCAATTAATGTTTATGAATAGATGGATGTGGATGAATTCTTTCTATAACTTATGGATAAATTAGAACTTGAACTTAAACCATTAAAAAGAGATATAATTATACCTAAAAGTTTTGGAGGATTTATGAGTACAGAATTTATTAGTAAAGGATGTTAGCATCAATCTTCAAGAGAAGAATTATTTTTAGCATTATCTTTATAAGTAAAAAATAAAAAGAATATATATGAATCAATGAAAATGATGACTGATGGAGAAATGCTTGAAGGTGATAATGCTTATATGTGTGAGAAATGTGAAAAAAAAGTACCTGCTTTAATGAGAGTGTGTATTAAATAATTACCAAATGTATTGATCATGGTATTAAAAAGATTCGAATTTAATTATGAAACTTAATAGAAATTTAAATTAAATGATTATTATGAATTTCCAACTCAATTAAATATGAAATAATTTACTAAAGAGTACTTATAAAAATAAGATTATTAAGATACTGAAGATGCTGATAGACCAATTGTAACAGAATATTCAGATGAATATTATGATTATCATTTAAGAGGTGTAATTATACATGTTGGGACTGCTGATCATGGACATTATTATTCATTAATTAAGGATACTTAAACTAATAAATGGTATGAATTCAATGATATTCTTGTAAAACCTTTTGAATTTGGAGATTTAGCAAATGAAGCATTTGGAAATGATGATAAAGGCAAAAATAATTAATTATTAAGTAGATCAAAAAATGCTTATATGTTATTTTATGAACGTAAAACTTATTTTGATGAAAATGGTAAAGCACTAAAAAGTGATTAAGAATTAAGATGGTTTTTCAATAATCATAAAAGTGAATAATAAAATGATGAAATCTTAATTGACAATATTAAATTTTAAATTAGTTAGATCATGTTCGATGAAGGTTTTTTTGAATTTAGTTGTGCTTTATTAAATGAAGGTTCTTAAATTCATATAGGTCGATTCTGTTTATAATATTTCCTTACTGTTGTTATACGATTCTAAGAAAGAGGATAGTTTGTACCTAAATATTTAGAGAAATTAAAATTAATTACTAGAAGTTCTATACAATTAGCAAATGAATTCTTAATTTCAATATAAAATACTGATGTTTTAAATGAATTAATACTTTAAAATCCAATTCATGATATGAGGGTCATAATTGGTGGATTAATTAATGATGCCATTAAATGTCTTATTGAAAATGAAAAGTACTAATCATATTAAGAGTTTAAATAAAAAAGTAATTTAATTCAACTTACTTAATCTATGTTTCACTATATTTAATTAAGGAAAAATACTGAGCAAATTTAAAGAATTATCTATTAATTATCTTAATATGATTTTAGCAAAAAATATTTAAGAGAATTAAAAGGTGTTGGAAGAATCTTTCTCCTATTTTTAGATGAACCACCTGTTGGTGCTGGTTACATAGAAATAGCAGAGCCAAACGTTGAACAACATCTACTTAAAATAAATAAATAATATATTAGATGTGAATAGATGTTATAAAACCCTTAAATTATTTAATAATAAGAAAGCCTCAAATTCGATAATATTTTTGTTGATTATACATACTTAATTATGACTCTTAATCAATTAATCTACTAGGATGATGATGAATTATGTATGCTAGATGATCCATTACTATTAAAAAGACTTTTAACTATCACATTTACAAGATAAGCAAGATTGGCACTTAAAGATGCTATATAAAAATACATATAACTTTATAATAATAATCCTTGGGATCAAAGTTTAGCTGTAGTATTAACTCTTTATGAACATATGAAAGATTGTGATGAAAAAGATTTAAAGACAGCTCTTATTGTACTCAAAGGAATAGGAGAAATTGATGATGCATATTCTGAATAGAGAGTATTTATAATTTTAAATGTAGTTAACTTTGGTAGCTGAAGCATATATTTCTGCTTTGAAAGATAATTTAGGATATTGGTATTACACTTCGATTATGTTTGACTATATAATAAAGGTAATATATAATAATATATTTAAAAATTTAGATTAGCACAAAATCAATATTTTAAAAAGCTTTTGTTGATGTTTTGAATCGAAATAAGGGTGTATTGAAATTAATTTAATAATGGTTAAAAGAATCCTAGAATCCGTTTTAAAATTTTTCATAATAAAGAGTATAACGATTATATATTTATTTTAGTGGAAAGTTTTTAAAAAGAGATAGATAAATGTTTTAGCTTAAGATATAACTGAAAAATTGAATAAATTTTAAACTCTATCTTAGAAACGTATTGAATCTCTAGAAAAATTAATCAACTAATAAGTTTTGACTAGTAATGGTTATGATTCTGATACAATTCCTATTTTTGAATAATAGGTTGATGTAATAATACCAACAAGAACATATAATAATAATTTTGAGAATAGTGGTTATTAAACATGGACAATTGGAATTAATTTAGGAGATATGATGGAATTAAGATAAAATAATAATATTAAATGGGTTTTCAGTACAGATTCTTCACTTGCACCTCCAAACACTTAGACATTAAAATATGAAAATCATGTATCCTTTATGAAATGATCAATAAATATATCATCATTTAATTAAATCATCTAAAGCTTGATTAAATTCATTTGGTACAACAGATTTGTAGGGATACAAATCAAGTGCCTGTTAATTTGATTCTTCAAATTATTATTATAGTAAACTCTTAATCTCAGGTTTGATAGTATTCAAATATTCTTTAGTTTTTGCTGATAATTCTAAAGATAATTTTGGTTAATTAAAGAATATTAAATAATTTTAAAACTTTTTAATTGAATCTAAATATATAAATTAATAATAGTACTAATTAAGTCTGCACTTTTAGCTTAAATATCTTTGAGAAATTCAATCAAATATTCTTCTTCTACAGGAGATCCTTCTTTTATGTTTCTATTTAAAAATGATTTTTCCTTTGGCTTTCTTTTTCGAACTCCTGTTGTTACAGACATTGTATATGAAGATTTTGTTATTCCAGATTTACCACTTACATCACTCATTTGATCAAAATCAGCATTAATTTAAGATGGTGCTAATATTCCATGTTATTTTTTCTATTCTTAAACTATTCTTAATCTCTCTAATTTTTAAATGAATAAATGTTATTGATTTAATAAATGATTTACTTTTAAAGAAAATGCTAATTATAAATGATCATCTATATTGATTTATTAATATCTTAAACATTAAGCAACAGATTCCCATTCTTCAGCTTTGCAATAATAATGAATAGCTTATTCGTAATTCTTTAAATATTCTTAAACTTATCCACAATCTTACCAACGAGAAGCTGCTAATAAAATTTATAAATATTTATTCAAATAATCTTCTTTTGGATTGAAAGATAAAATTCTTTTTGTGTCCAATATTTCTTAAGATGCTTGAATTGCATTCTCATGTAAACCAGCACTTTCATAAGCTAAGGATGCTTAATGATATTGTTTTTAGCTATTTAAATAATCTCCCAATACTTCTTTTACCTTCTTGATCATTACTTAATCATTTCTATATATTTCAAGTGCCACTCTAAATTTATTTTATTTTTTTATTAATTCTACAGATTTTTATTTCTATTCTTCATTTCCTTCTGATAACACTTTAATGGCCTTATCGTAATTCTTTAATTCAATATGAATTGTAGATTTCATATCAATAGGATCCTTTATTTGTGAATACCTTTCTAACATTGGTAAATATTCTTTAGGATCCTTTTAAGTGAATTAAGCCACTTATTTGACTAAATCAAAATCATAAGTTCCTAAAGCTACTTCAAACATTTTATTTGCATCTGCCAACCAACAAATATATTCCAATACTTACTCAGATTTTATTTTATGATGTTTTCTAATTATTTATATATTTAATAATACTTATAAGGTTTGTGTGTCTCTGGATTCAAATGTGGAGGTATTTCTTCATGTTATTATTCTATTTGTTTCAATTTCAAAGTCTTTAACAGTGCTTCCTCAACTTCACTAGGTTCCTTCTTTAACATTGCTGTTACTATTGTCAAAATATGTGTCTCCCTAAAATTAAATCACATAAATACTCCTTCATATTATCAATCAACTTTTAACATACATAATTTATCTTTGATGTACCCAAAGTTTTATCAACTATTAATACTTTTTAATGTTTGTACTATTCTGTTGTCAAAACATAGGGAAGCTCAAAACTTATTTCATTATTCAATGATTATATAAATAATTAGAGATATTACTCTGATAATTATTCTATGATCTAAATATCTAATTCACCTGAAAAATCAAACATTAAATTCATATCTAACTTATGTTTCCTAATCATTTCAAAACATATCTTAAATTGCTTATTCTCATATAATTATTTGCACAAATGTAAAGCCATAACTCTTGGAGCTGTAGTTTCTAAATTTCCTCTTGGAATTTGAACTATCACTCTATCCAAAGAAACAATTGCTAAAATTCTTGCACCTCTCTCTACATTACTTATATTTAAACTCTTCTTATCTATTTATATAGACTTATTAAGATCTAAAATATATAAATTATGAAATTGATCTGTTGTGTTAATAGTAAAAGCCAAAAAATGATCAAAAAATGCAAAAGATGTACATTCATTTGTTACTAATTGATTATTCAAAGTTAATCTACTATTAGATTTCAAACAACCAAGCCATTCACCATGCTATTAAATCTTAACATCATAAACATTCTATTCTTTATTAGCCAAATCAAATTCACTTAAGGCTTCTTCTTTTGATTAATCATAAATAAACTTTTCTCCAAATCTAGAATGCAAGATTATTTAACCTCCATTTTTAGTTAATGCTGATATTTATGTTGATTAAGAAAATTCCTTTCTCCATATATTAATAATTTCAAAATTTGGTGAAATTACAACATCAATCAATTTATCACTTCCTTCTTCATGCACTATAAATATTGCATGACAAAAAATTACATCTTATTACTTATCCTAATAGCATATTAATTTATGAGCACAATCAATTTCTAATTTAACTTTTCCTAATTGATTAACATTATTAAATACACTTAGAATTCCATCAAAAGAATACACATAAATTAATTAATCAAAATAAACTAAATCTATTTAACTATCTACCTTTAATTAATAATGATATAAAGGTGGTGGAATTACCCCTTTTTTATAATCACTTACCAATAATGTATCATAATCAGTAGATAAACCCATTGTTGTATTATTGAAATGGTAATTCAACCAAAATATATTCATATTATTCTCACTAAATACTACTAAAGTATTATTCTCTATAAATGTATAATCCATAATTTTATCAAATTTAAATGCTTTTTTTGTATACCATTTGTAATTTTATCTCAAATGAACTGTTATTTTATTTCCTTATTAAACAGCTAATATAATCCCATCTGGACTCCATTTTATATTTGAAGATTTCTCAAAAATGTTGAATTCTAAGTGTCTCAATCCATTCTTCTCCCAAAATATAACTTATTTCTCTTGAATACCAGCAATAAATTAACTATTAGGTTACCATGAAACTGTATTTATAAGATTTCTAGGTTTTTCAAAAATAGCTTAGACTAATCCTCCTTCAGGGTCTGATTTACTAGGACTTCTGAATTTTTCCAATTATACATCATAAGTTTCACATATTCTGCCATTTTCAATTGCATAATTTAAAGAAAAAAACTAAATTATATTTATCAACAATTTATACTTTTCCATCATTTTTAAATGAAATAGAGACTAATTAATCTAGAAGACCTTCAATATTAATCTCCTTTACTGGTTCCAATTATACATCAAAACTCACTAATTTTCCATCACCACAAACAACTATTAATTATTCTTAATTTGGGTTCCATGCTGCCCCCAATACTCCACATTCAAACTATCCAACAACTTCTGCTTCTTCTTTATAAACTTTAACTATTGCTCCATCTCTATAAACTATTATTAATTGATCATTTTCCATTAAATATTGAAATGATAAAATTTAAGAGTTATTTTGAATTTATTAACCCACTTTATATGTTGTTTAAATCTAATATTAAACATGCATAATACACATAAAGATTTATTATTGTATTCATATTTGATGATATTTGATTCTTTATCAATTACAAATAATACTTTTGATAATTCATCGAAAATAAATGCTAAAGGTTGTTAAATTTCATAACTAATGAAATATTTTATAATTAATGTACCTTTACTAGCATTAGATTTATATTTCTTTCATTAATTAAAAATAATTAATTAAATACATTTCAATTAATACATTAATATATAGTATACAAATTTTATCAATAAATTTCTATTCTAATCCAATCAAAAGAGTTAAGTACGAAAGGTTTTGGGAATGTTTAGAGATGGTAAAAAAGATTTATTTTTAGAATTGCATATATTTATTTCTGTACAAACTCTTGAAAAATTCTTAATTTGGTTTTGCTCCAATATCAATTTAGCAGTTCTTGAATATTTTGAATATTTCATCATAGGAGAATTCAAGTGTAGATTTACAGGATTATCAGTCTCAATCAAGGTTTATGTTTTATTTTTATTTTTTCTATTAATTTATTTTATTCGAAATTATTTCTTCATTAGTTGATACTTCTCAATATAAAGATTTTGAGTTTTTACTTAAAACTTGCTTAGATGACCACATTCATTACAATGGCAACTATGCCTTCTTCGTTTTTATTTAATCGTCTTAATTAATTAATCATAATTTGGAGGTAGACTAATCAATTTGAGTTAACCTCTAAGAAATGGTAACTTTTAATCAGGTTAGATTAATTCTATTGATACATCTAAATTTGTGTTAGCACTTGAATGACTTGTATTTCTTTATCGTTTTACATGTTCTTAAACTGGGCAGAAAATATGAGAATGTAATTTTTAGAATAAACTAAGGTTTCCACATTATTTACAACAACAACTTTGTCTTCTATGATGTATTATTTGCTCAGCTGATTAGTAGGTAATACAAAAGCTACTTCTTCTAGTTGTTTTTATATTACAATAATTCATAAAACTAATAAATTGTTATCAATTCAAAGTTTATTTAAATCTTACTAAGGACTGTAATTTATCTGAATTCTTATAAAACTTTAATAATTTATGGTAAGGCTCTATTAAATATTCTACTAATGCTAATATCTCCATTTTTTATCTTCAAAGACCTAAACCTGAAGATTTACATACAATTTTTATATTGTTCTATCCTGTCAAAGCATCTCATATCAAATAACTATAGGAGAGTTACCACTTCATCCGACTGGTTCTTTTTTATTCAAATGGGAAATTATTGCTGAATATACTTATCCATTATAGTTAGATACTATTTTTTAAAACTTTTTCAAGTTATTTTTTGATTATGAAACTCTTAAGAGAGTCTAAGGCAATTTTCTCTTTTTAAGGTATTCTTTTTTAAATAAGTAGTTTATTGAAACTTGTTTATCACCATTTACAATTCAACTCTTTTTTCTTAAATTCCTTTGCTGATTTCCATTTTGAAATAATGATGTAAATGAAAGTTCATTGATATTTATTTTATTCAATTATCTTAAGTTTAAAGATGTTGATTGATCAAATTAAAGATGGCAGTAAACTTTTAATGGTGTGTTGAAGAAATAATAATTAGAGATGTGTAATCCCTAGGACCTTAATCACAATAACAACTTTTAATTTCTGGAAATAAATTAAAGAATTTATAATTAAGAGTTGTTTTACGGAGTAGACTTCATTATTATTTATCATCAGCATTAATAATAGTTTTATAATATATTGAATTTTTTCACAATTATCTTTTCGTCTATCTGCATGAGAAGTCTTTAATTGCAGGAAGAACAATTTAACTTTAGCTCATGCATTCAGTTTTAAGTCTTCGATGTTACACATCAATATGTCTTAAACTCATCATTTATTTTTTCTACTAAATTAATTATTTTGGATCAATCCTACTTCTACTTTACATTTATTCCAGTTGAATTGTTCGACTATGAATAAGATTTTTCCTTTTTATAATAAAAAGCTTTGAAGCTTTTTTTTTCTTTTAAAAAGGAACATCTTTATGCTCTATTTGAAATTATGACATTGGTCCACATTCAGAACAATTACAACTATTACGTCTAGGCTTTTGGGGTTAATTTTTATAGAGTGAAGGAGCTATGCTTATTGATGTAGACATTGTTCTTGAATTCTTACTGATTTGTTAATTTTCATCTGTCTAAATCATCTATTGTTGAATTTCTTTTTTAGATTCATTAATTTAAATATGTTAGGGAACCCATTCGTTATTTTAATGGATTTGTTAAAATTAACTTAACTTACCACATTAATCACAATAACAAGAATGCCTTCTTGTAATAGTTTCATTTTAAAAATGTAAAGAAAGATCTGGATGTTTTTGTTGGCTTGTCCTTCGCCATTTAGCATACATGAATTTAGTATTTAGTTTATAAATAAATAAAATACAGATATTAAAAAATTAAGAATTTATCAATCTGGATAATTTAATATAATTTCATGATCTAGAAGTNATACTATTTTTTAAAACTTTTTCAAGTTATTTTTTGATTATGAAACTCTTAAGAGAGTCTAAGGCAATTTTCTCTTTTTAAGGTATTCTTTTTTAAATAAGTAGTTTATTGAAACTTGTTTATCACCATTTACAATTCAACTCTTTTTTCTTAAATTCCTTTGCTGATTTCCATTTTGAAATAATGATGTAAATGAAAGTTCATTGATATTTATTTTATTCAATTATCTTAAGTTTAAAGATGTTGATTGATCAAATTAAAGATGGCAGTAAACTTTTAATGGTGTGTTGAAGAAATAATAATTAGAGATGTGTAATCCCTAGGACCTTAATCACAATAACAACTTTTAATTTCTGGAAATAAATTAAAGAATTTATAATTAAGAGTTGTTTTACGGAGTAGACTTCATTATTATTTATCATCAGCATTAATAATAGTTTTATAATATATTGAATTTTTTCACAATTATCTTTTCGTCTATCTGCATGAGAAGTCTTTAATTGCAGGAAGAACAATTTAACTTTAGCTCATGCATTCAGTTTTAAGTCTTCGATGTTACACATCAATATGTCTTAAACTCATCATTTATTTTTTCTACTAAATTAATTATTTTGGATCAATCCTACTTCTACTTTACATTTATTCCAGTTGAATTGTTCGACTATGAATAAGATTTTTCCTTTTTATAATAAAAAGCTTTGAAGCTTTTTTTTTCTTTTAAAAAGGAACATCTTTATGCTCTATTTGAAATTATGACATTGGTCCACATTCAGAACAATTACAACTATTACGTCTAGGCTTTTGGGGTTAATTTTTATAGAGTGAAGGAGCTATGCTTATTGATGTAGACATTGTTCTTGAATTCTTACTGATTTGTTAATTTTCATCTGTCTAAATCATCTATTGTTGAATTTCTTTTTTAGATTCATTAATTTAAATATGTTAGGGAACCCATTCGTTATTTTAATGGATTTGTTAAAATTAACTTAACTTACCACATTAATCACAATAACAAGAATGCCTTCTTGTAATAGTTTCATTTTAAAAATGTAAAGAAAGATCTGGATGTTTTTGTTGGCTTGTCCTTCGCCATTTAGCATACATGAATTTAGTATTTAGTTTATAAATAAATAAAATACAGATATTAAAAAATTAAGAATTTATCAATCTGGATAATTTAATATAATTTCATGATCTAGAAGTATTTTTTTGTATATTTTTAAAATGTATAGGATTGCCTTGTAATAGTTGGTACTTGGTTGACAATTTTTAAGAATCTCCATCATCACTAAATTCATCCATATATTGATGAAACCCCCAAGTAGTATCAATGGTTTTAGAGCGCTGAGAATAATAAGGTTGATTAATTTTACTCTAAATTAATCTTTAGGTTCAATGATTTAAATTCCAGTTGGAAAACATAAGGATTATCTTTTTGATGATTTAGCACTTTTTTTGCTTTTTCTACTTTTTTTGCTTTTTGATCTTTTATCTTCATTGATACTTGCATTTTCAACTTAAGATGGGACATATTTAATGATCATTGATGATAAGGATCCTTGAATTGAAGTGCTAGTCATTCGTTTAGATTCTACTCTTATAGGACTGGCTCCATTTTATCTGTTTGCTTCAGGAGGTTTTAAAAGATGATTTGAGCCTAGGGCAGGCAAAGGAGATGTTTTTTATTTATCTTCATATACAGCCCATATAATTTAATCTTTCATTTTAGTAGAACGATCAGACCATTCAAAAAGTTTATCCATAATAATTTAGTTATTGGATGCAGCTTTAAGAATCAGAGATTTCATATACTTGTAGTCGGGCTCTGATTAAAATTCTAATTTTTTGAGATAACTATGTTTTAGTAGGCAGTTACTTCAGAATTTCAGAAAATTCAGAAGGAATATCTTTACAGAGTTGTGAGATTTCTGTTTTCATTTTCACTTCTCCAACTAATTGAGTTCTGTCTCTATGCCCAATATTTTGTAAATTTTACCAAGGTAATTTGCTATAATAAGTACTTGAGTCTACCCTTTTAAGAGATAAATCATCACATAAAACATGGATTCAACATCGTCTTTTCTTCCTAATTCATAACCTCGATGAGCAGCAATAGAGGCATATCTGGTTGTACCTATAAATGACTTTTTCTCTTTTGATTGACTTAATGTAATAGAAATTATAAATAATACATATGTTTGCCTTGCTTATCAATATAAACTTTAGATACTCCATAGTCAACTAAGTATATTGTACTATTATCTAAATGATATCCAGTCAAGATGTTTTCTGGTTTGAAATCTCTATGGATAACACCTCTTTAATGAACCATCTGTAAAGTAGTTAAGAGCTAGAGAGTGATTTATAAAACAGTTTTGAGAGTAAATTACTTGTATTGCTTAATATAATGACTCAAATCCTTTCCTAAGATTTGGATTACAATGACATTATAATCTTATTCAAAGCCACTCCAATAAAATTTAGGAGTTCCAGGTACTCCACTTAGACGATTGAGAATAGAGATTTCTCTTTCAAGAGAACTTGCATCTTCATTGTCTTCTTTTTCTACTTTTACAGCAACTTCTTCTTTAGTATTTTTATCAAATGCTAAATAGACTATTCCAAATGAACCAGAAGAAATCTATTATTTAATAATGTATTTATTATTGAAGATTTTAGGATCTCTGTAACTAGCAGGCAGCTTTATCATATTTTAATTATATAATTTAAATTCAATTATAATTTAAATTCAACGCTTTTCAAATGTTCACAACATATCCCAATTTCTTAAGTTCTTCAATTTTTTTTTTGGCTTTAGTAGCATTAATAAGAGTCTGAGACAAATATATATTTTTGGGTAGTTGTCCAGTTTTAGTTAGATGAAGAATTAAATCAAGTGTTCTTTCTGATATCATATTGGAAGATAGATGTAAAGATGTAATATTAGCATTTAAAATTAATGCTTATAAAATGATAGCTGCCCCATCATCACTAATTTTATTTCTTGCTAATTTCAACTATTTAACTTTTTTACAAATTTTCAATTAATCAGCAATAAGATTGCAACCTTCATCTCCTAATTCTAAGAAGATAAAAATAGAATAATTACCTGCATTAGATAGATCAACAATTTCTAAATTGTCATTTTTGAAAGATTGCATGATGGGTTCAAATTTATCATTAATTTTAAAAGTCTTTTTCCTTTTATCTTATAATTTAGGTGTGGGAGAGATTCCTTATCTCAACAAAGAAACAGGGGCAGGAGGTTATAAAGATGTATTATTATTTAGAACTTCTTTATGTGGACTCTTTTATTTAATCTATTTCAAAGGAGTGATTGAATGTTAAGTATGCACAGCTGGTTCTGTTCTTACAGGACTTTTAGTTTATTATAATTATGAAGTGTATTTTAATTCATGCATAGAGTTAGATACATGAGTTGTAATTTAAGATACTAGATTTTCATCATTATCATTCCAATCAGCTACAGAATTATCTCTTAATAACATAGGTTCTTCTTAATCAAATTTACTAAAACTATTTTCAGTATGTGTAGTATCATTATGATTTAATTATAATGTTAATGAACACATTGAATCAAAACATTTGTCTATTTCATTCTTTTTAAAATCAACTCTTATTTTTTTAATTTTTACATTGTTTATTCTTTATTCTAACATTTTTAAAGTTCTATCCATTTCATCTATAATAGCATTTCCTTTAAATTCTTAATTATACAATAAATCTAATGGTAATTCACCACTCTCAGTTTTGGTAGAAAAATAAAGTAATCTATCTTTAGCACCTATCTTCCATAATTCTGCTTATTACAAACTCTATTAGATTTAATCTTTAATCTATCTTTTTGTTTATTATTCTAAAGTCTAAGTTAATCCATTCAACTATTCTAATAATTTATTTTCTTTTAGATCTAATTATTAATGTAATTCTTTAAATTTATCTCTCACTGTCATCTAACTCTCTTACAACATTGTTTAATACTTTTCATTTAATGGTTCATAAAATTTAGATTCTGTCAATTCTTATTATTTATCCAAAATCTTTTAATAAGTTTACATTATATTTTCAGCCTTCAATGCAATTTCTCTTACTACATCATCAACTGAGCGAACTTCATGATGTCTGTGATTACCAAATAAAGCACATTTTGTACATATTCGAATCTTATCTGTCAAACATACGATCTCTAACTTCTCTAAATGTTCTCCACATAAATCAATCTTCTCTTATGCTAGATTATTCAAATGCAACTAATATTCTGGCTACTCTAATGATGGCCTTTATTTCACAACCATTTTTAAAAGTTAACAATTCTTCGGAAACTCTGTTATATGTGTCTTCCCTCTTGCAAGAATACTTTTATATATCTCATTTTCACTATTACTTATCCTCAGGACAACATATCTGTTAACCATCTGCACTCATCAACATCTATTCTATACACTTCTAACATATCGTATGTCCACAATCTGGTAACATCAAAGGTATATTCTCCAATTCATTGAATATATTTTAGCATTACGGACATATAAGCTCTTCCATTTTAATTAAAATAACGATATATCATTAATCAAATACACTATTAATTTAATCACTCATTTCTATCTTTCATTATACTCGTCTCTATTCTCTCTTTTTATTAAACAACTTCATTTTATTATCACTTCCTTCTTTCTTCTTCTTTTTTTTATCCCTCTCATAATATATTATTTTAACATATTTATTATTAATAAAATGAAAACATAAATTTAAAAGGACTTAATTGATCAATATATACAAATGGGTTTCTCATTCGAATTAATTAATATGGCATGGGAAGTTATTAATTAAGAATCTGATATGATGGACACACTTATCACTTTATCAAATTAAAATTAAAAAATGCAGTCTAATAATGTATTATTTTTGAATATTTTCATAAGAAATAAGATGAAGAAATGCAATTAGAATAAGCATTACTTGATTCATATAAAATTAATTAATAGGCAGCTACTTAATCATTTGAAATTGTATCACCTGAATAAAGAAAAAGACTCGATGGAATTCCTTGTGGATTAAAAAATTTAGGCAATACTTGTTATTTTAATTCTTTACTATAGACATATTTCTTTGATAGTTAATTTGTAAAGACAATAATTACATTCTAACCTCATTAATAAATTGAATAAGGAAATAAAAGTAAATCTATTTAATTAGTCTAAAATTTATAAAATCTCTTCATAAGTATGATAGGAAGTGATAAAAAATATGTTGATCCTTCTGAGGTTGTTAAAAGTATCTGTGATGAATTTGGAAATGTTCTTCCTATTGGAGATTAAAAAGATGTTGGAGAATTCAATCAATATTTCTTAAATAGAATTACAGAAGCACTTACCTAAAATGATTAATAACACAATAACAAAATTGAAGACAATTTCGTTGAATCTTCTTTATCTTCAATTCTTAAATCAAAATCATTTCACATTAATGATGATGATATTGCCTCTAAATTATTTTTATGCAAAGTTTTTCATCAATTTTAATTTGAACAAGCAGATATTTAACAAACTACAGAATCTACTGAACTTTTTAATTTTATTCCACTTGATTTAAAAGATGGAAATTTATATGATAGTTTTGATAGTTTTGTTGTTAATTATATAGATGATTACAAAAATGAATTCAATTAAACTGTTCAAGCAGTCAAATATAATTGGATATATTCACCACCATAAAAATTATCATTTCAAATTCAAAGAGTTAATTATTGCAAAGAAAAAAGTAAAATCTAAAAGAATATTTAGATGATTTAATTAAATAAAATGACGAATTTTTTTTTGATGAAGAAATTTATTTAGATCGCTTTTTAATGGAAAATAGAAAATAATATTTAGAAATTAGAAACTAAAATAAAGAATTAAAAACTAAATAAAAGAAGATTAAAATAGATCAATAATAGTTAACTAAATTTAATGATTAACATGATCTATAAGATGTGTTAACTAATACCATTAAATTCTTAGAAATGCAGAATTAAGAAAATATAGATCATGCTGCTAATTTTGGATAGTCAAATTAATAAACAACCATAGAATAATTATAATAATACTAACAAAAAGTATAGAGAAAAAAATAAATACTTTAAAAATAATATACTGAGCTTGAAAATAAAATTTAAGCTAGTTATAATGATTTAAAAAAACATAAATATCTTCTCTAATCTATTTTAATACATGATGGATAAGCAAGTAAATTATATATACTGATAAATAGATTCTGGACATTATTATAGTTACATTAGAGATTTTCATCTTGAAAAATGGTTTAAATTCAATGATGCTCATGTAGGAATAGAAACAAAAGAAAAAGTATTTTAAGATGCTTTTGGTATGAAAACAGGAGTTAATGCATATTTATTAATTTATGCTAGAATAGATATTCTGAAATAAGAATTAGAATATCCTATGAGAACTTATAGAATTAGCTCAGAAAAGGGATATTTAAATGATAAATATGGAAGTTTTTTAAATTATATGCAAAGAGAATAATTAGCAAAAGAAAATTAATTATTTTAAAATGAAATAGAGGATTATAAATCTTAAAGAATTATAGATAAATTAATTGAGTCATACTAAATAAGATTTGAATTTATAAACGAGCAATATCGTATTATATCAAATTCAGTGCAATCAGAAATTTACAAACCGCTGATTACATTGAATTTTCCAATTTTTATTAAAAGTTAAATTGGTTAAAATAATTATGATAATATATTAAAGTGGGCTATTTTAGATTCAGCATTGAGAGAAGTAAATCAAGATAAATCAGGGATTTTTGGGGAATAAATTAATGAACATGTAAATAAAAAGTATTATTGATAGTTTTAAAATCTTATAATGGCAAAATTTAAGACATAATTTAATGAATATAAAAGACCAACAGCATTTTTGAGTCATTAAGAATAGAATGATTTTCATAAACTATCTTAAGATTATATCTAATATGTTGCTATGGGTTCTTTAATGGCAATTTTATTAGATTTATTATTAAATAGAGAGTTTTCAATTGTTCTATCAGTGCTACATCATTTTTCTTAAATGGCAAAATAATTAGATTAGCTAAATTATTTTTATAAAATGGCAAATAATTTTTAAAAATTAATTCCAATTATAATAATTTGTAAAATGATTCCTATTTAAGCAGAAGTGAATTTAGAAGAATTATTATTACTTTAAGCTTATTTATCATTTTAGCATTTTAAAGTTGACAATTAAAGTTTTTGGGAAACTTAAATTTCAATAATGATGAATGCAATTTTTGAGAATCATAATGAACCTTATATATAGGAAATAATATCAAAATTTGAAAATAATGTCAAAGATCCAATATATATAAATAAGATAACAGAAATTAATGATGTAAATATTGAATATAATAAAAAATAGACAATAAGTCTATAGTAAACAGAATTAAGTGCTAATTATGATATATACAATTGGTCTCCTCATATGAAACATGACATTATATTTGATAAATTAATCAACGGTTGGAAAAATTTGAAAGAATAATTTTAAGTAAAATAGAATTTAAATGTAGCCATTTATAAAAGTATAGAAGGCTCATAAATAATCCCCTAATTTATTGATGAAATAAGAGTTAGAAAATCTAATTTGTTGATATATATTTATATATAAATATAATATGATCCTAATAGCAGCTTCAATGCATATTAGAGAGCATCGTTCTTTTTCAGTTAGAACTCCATCAATTCATATAAGAGATGAAGATCCAAAGGATGTAGTTAAGAGTAGCATTTGTGGTATTATGATGGGAGTACTTTTTATGATTATATTTTCAATTATTGGGATGGTAGGAATATTTATAAATATTGAAAAAGAATTAGAATATATTTGGATGATGATTATTTTGACTTTTACTTATGTTCTATTTATTCCTTACTTAATTTTAATTTTATAAGATCTCCGAAAAATATCAAGAGAATTAGAGAAACATTAAGATGAATCAGTAATAATGAATCCATTTGCTTTTACTACTAGTATTAATATAATTGTTGCAGTAACAAATACAGAGAAATATAATCCATTTAAATTATTGAATATTTAATTTTTTATAATCTCTCTGATCATTAGTGCATTCTTAATAGATTCAAACATTTTGATAGGATAATTATTATCAATTATTAATTATATTGTAGCAGCAATATTACTTATATATACTTGTAGAAGGTGTTGGTTAGGCTGTTGTCAAATTAAAATAATTAACAAAAATCCAAAAAGATATCGTTTCTAAAGTTATTCATGTAATATACATTATTTATATTTTTATAGCCCCTAATCAAGTTAAGAAATCAGCATTTGCTTTTAGCGTTTTACTAATTATTTATTTTAGTTGTAAATTAATCCTCTATGTAATCTTTCTTTTTTTAGAAGAATAACATTTTCATTACACTTATTTAACTAGTTTATTTTATGCTTTTATTATGATCGTTTAGTTTTCATATGTTTCGTATTTGATTAAAATTATAAGTATTACTCACCAATCTAAAAAATACTTTAAATGTTATATGACCCTATTTTAATCCCTTTACTTATCTTATACAACCTAAAATTGTATTCTTAAAGGACTTTACTTCTTTTCGCTTTTGAGCACTTATATTATATTCTTCATTGAAAAACCATATGTAACTATTACTGATACTGATCTATTTGGAATTTAATAATTTTGTTCTTATGAACATTTTATATATTTGTTCACATTTCTATAGCTTATTTATTTCTTTTTATTTCGAAGTTATTGTGTCAATAAAGAAGAAGAATAAATATAAATTTTTGATTTCACTTCAGTTTAAACTTTAGATAATAGAATATAATGGATAAAGAATCAATAAGATTATCCAATATATGATAATTAAGTATCTGATTTCATCTATTTTATTAATGATTTAGAAGCTCTATAAGAGATATATGATAATCTAATTTACTAATCTTCTTAATTAGATTAAATAATTAGACCAAAAAAGGGTCAATTAATCAATTTAAATTAATGGATTGAAAATAAAAAATATTAATCATAACTCTAGGGTAGAAATTAAGATGAAGAATATTTTAAAAATCTTAAATCTTTTATATAAGAAAATATTGGAACTAAAAAAAAAGATATCAAAGAAAAATAAAAATAAATAATTGATATATTAGAATGTGCTATATGTTTATAAAATTTGGATATCAAATAAAATATTACTCAATTAGGATGTCATGAAACTCATAAATTTCATACACTATGTATTGAAAGATGGATAAATGCTGTTCACAAATGTCCATTATGCAATCAACCTGTTTGATTATTAATATACTACACAATTATAATTTATATGATTTAACTATTCATTTTAATTATACTTTTTTCTAAGAGATTGCGTGTATCTTTAAGATACTTCTAAACTTCATAAATACATTTAAAAGTCTATTAAAATCTTAAGCGATAGTGATAGATGTATTATAATTATGATCATTAACTACATTATCTTGTTAAAAATTATGCAATTTGATTATTTATTAACGGATTAATGGGATGTACATCTTCAATAGAATAAACTACTATGATTTCTAACAAAGTTGGAAAGCCTAAATTGAGGAAATCAATGTCTACAAGCTCTATCATTTGTTACAAGAACTCAAAAATAAGAGAAAATATTACAATTCTTAATTAAGGAAAATCATAGCTTGATTGTTAATTCATCACATAGGTGTTGAAAAAACACTATATATTTTATTAATTGAATGAAGAATCTATCTAGAACATCATTAAACATATGTTTTATTGTTTGATTAAACAAAATCATCATTTATACTAAAATATCAATACTCCATCTTGTATGTTCCTTGTTGATAAAGGTTAACTCAAAAATTAAAATTTCACATTATTTTAACCAGGTTCTATTGTTGCTGAAGACAATTTATTATTAGGATAAATCAAATTCATTGAAGCTAATGTAGACACATATATGTGGGGTTTGGATAGAATTTAATTCAATAAAGCAATTTAATACATTACATCTCAATCTTTTGTCAGTAATAGAGCATTTCTATAACAATAATATTTATTTTAATATTTCAGCTAAAATTAATTAGATGGAATTGCAGCAAATATTTTATAAGTTCAATATTCCAAAAATTAAGTTATGTTTTCTGATGATGCTTATGTAATTATTAAAAATGGTGAAGCTTCTTTATTTAAAGGAAATCAATTTTCTAAAACCCTTTCTCGCAGAGATACTTATGGTACTTTATATAAGTTGAATAAACCAAAGAATACTAAGGTTAAAGCTGTTGTAGAAACTCAATGTCTTATTCTTACATAAGCAAAATTAATTGAAGTAATTGGGTTTAATATTTAAAAACAAATATATTAAGCTATAATAAGATATGTATTAATTGAAATAGAATTACCAGGGTTAGAAATTGAAAAAATTTTGGAAAAAGAATATTATAAATTAAAGATTTATAATGATGAGACTATAAGATAAAAGTAGATTCATGAAGATCTAAGTATTATTGTTGATGGAACTGTTAATTGTGAGGGAGAGACTTTAAGATTGGGAGAGTTTATTTCAGACTAATTTGATAATTCAGTTTATATTGCTAATGGAACTATTGCCATTATTTAAAGGGAATATCTTTATATTGAAGATTACATAATAGAAGAAAATTCAGATGATGAATAAATAAAATATAAACCTAGATTTTCTGAATTAAAACAGCTATAAATTATGAGAAGAAATGGGAATAATGTAATTAATTTGGTTTAATTTAAATAATAAAACTATATTCTGAGATAAATAAATAAATATTCTTAATAAAAGACTTAGTAAGATCGAAGAATGAAATAATAAAAGAAAATATTGGAAATTCTTAAGAGTCCCCATATATCTAAATATTATCAATTTTATGAAGACAATGCTTCTTACTACTTCTTATTGAAATATATTGATGGAACTCTTTTATCAGAGAGAAGATTAAAATTACCATAGATTTAAACAGCAATACTCTAAATAATATCTATTTTAGAGGTTTGTTATAAAAATTCAGTTATTTGTCGATCTATAAAATTAGATAATTTCTTGATTGATTATTAGGGAAATGTCTATTTGATAAACCTTTTGAATGCAAAATAAGCATCTAGAACTTATACAATTATTGGATCTCCACATTATATGGCTCCTGAAATACTTGAAGGTAGAGGTTATGATTGTAATAGCGATGTCTGGAGTTTAGGGATCTGTTTGTATGAACTTTTATTTGAATAAGTACCTTATGGATAAGCACTTGATGATCCTTATTAGATTTATGAAGAAATTATAGGATCTTCTAATATCGAGTTTCCAGAAAGTTATAAGGATGAATAAGGTAAAAGTTTAATGAAATAATTGATTAACAAAAATGTTTATTAAAGAATAGGATCAAATTTCGACTAACTAAAAAATCATTGTTGGTTCAGTTAATTAGACATTGAAAATATATCTCCAATTGAACCAGCATTTGAATTAAGATGTTGAATACATGTTATTACTTTATTATATATAAAGAATTTAATTTTAAGATAAATATAATAAAATTTTTAAAGATTATATAAATAGAATTTTAAATAAAATATTTAAATAAAATATTTAATTTGAAAATAAATAAATTCTAGAATAAACAATTTAATAAATAAAATTAAGTATTTTTTATAGTGCTGTGATGTCATAGGTTTATAAAATGACATTAAAATGGATTTTGATGAATTCATTAAAATTAAATGTAAAAATAATAAGAGTAAGAATAAAAGAGATCTTCTTCTGTCTTTAACAAATTATTGTGGATTGTTGTAGGTGTCTTAGCAGCCTACAATATAAAATTGTATATTGATCATAGTCCTAGTGCTCATTATGAAATAATAGGAAATGGTAATATTTGAGTTTATGATTAGAAATTAGAATGTATAATGATGGCTAATACTTAAAAGACTCTTAATTATCTTCATTATCAAAAGTGTTATCTAAAAATCTTTAGACAACTAAATTAAATGCATAATTGTCAATCAATCATATTACTGATTTTAGAGACTTCTTTAATAGTTTAGAGAAACTACAAAATTTGAATGAATGTAAAACTTATTTAATATATAATTTAGTATCTCTATCTCTTGGAAACAATCCAATAATAAATGAATAAGCATAAGCCAATGCCTTGAGTTAAGCATTATCTAGACTCACAAAATTAAATACATTAAGTTTAGGACTTGAATCTATTTTCAATTATGAGAATAGAGAAACTATAATAAAAGGATTAAGTAAAATTTCTGGATTGAATACATTACGTGTTTCTCTTATTAATTGTGATTTATCAGGGAATGGTTTAAAATCACTTTATGCATTGACAGAATTATAAAATTTAAAGTCTTTAGATTTATTATTAGTTGGTAGTAAATTGAAAGAAGAAGAAATGAAACATTTATAAACAATTTTACACAAACTTCCAAAATTAACAAAATTGAATCTTAATCTTTATGCAAACAAAATATAAATAGATGGAGCTATAACATTAAGCGGAGGATTATTTTAATAAAGATAATTAAAAGAATTTGGAATAGAATTATATTTTAATAATATTACAACAAATGGAACAGAAAGTTTGATGGGAGTAGTTGGTTCAATGGAGAATTTAATATCATTAAATTTAGGTTTAGAATTCAATTATATAAATAATGAAGGAGGAATATTAGTTGGAAAAGCATTATCATAATTAAAAAATTTAAAAGATTTATCTGTAAATGCCGCTACTAAGAATTTTGGTTGGGATGGCTATGAAGCAATTGTAAGTTCAATTGAAAAATTACCACCTTTAGAAAATTTAGAATTAATAATTGGTGTAAATAAATGTGGTTTACCTGGAGCAGAATTATTAAAATAAACATTGTTTAAACATGATAAATTAAAATCTTTGAAAATTAATTTTCTAGAAAACTATATTGGTGATGCTGGTGCAACATTTATTGCTGAAGGAATTTAATATTAAAAAAATCTATAAAAATTAAGTGTAAATATGAATTTTAATTCATTATCTGACAGAGGTGCACTTGAATTAGCTAGAGCTGTTAAAAATGCTAAATCTCCAAAAGTATAATATTTCTTATAATTATTAGATTGTTGATTTGAGAGTCAGTTAAAATTAAATTACTGATAAAGGCATCAAAGATATATTTTCACTTTTAGAATAAGCACTTCCTAAAGTAGATTTAATGGAAGTAGAATTATTAAATACTGCACTTACAAATGCAACAAGAGATGATATAGAACTCAAATATAAAGAAATTTAAAAATTGTAAATTAGATTAAATACAATCCCACCAAGTCATTGGGAATGATTTTGTTTTATATATATAAATCAAAGTTTCCTTTTTTAAGTTCTCCTTTATTTCTTATAATTTTTTATTTTAAAATCTTAATCACTCTCTTAATCTTATTTTTCCTTTTATTTTGATATTTTCTCATCCTATTCCTATTAATCATCTTCTTCATCTTCTTCTTCTTTTTTGCTATTTTTATTACCATTCTATTTTAATAAATTTTTTAAATAATTTTAATCTTTTTATATCATCTTCTCATAAGCATATCTTAAACCTTCACTACTAAAATATTTTATATTTTTTTCAATAAATTCTATAACTCCTTTTAAATCAACCAATGACATTTCTCTTAATAGCCAACCTGTTCCTAATTAATTAAATCTTTCTTAATGTATTATATTCTCTTAACATATTTTATATAGTAAATCCATGTCACATACTTTCTTTCTTGCTAAAGTTACAAATCCTACACAACTAGATCTTCTTATCCATAAATTCTCATGTTTTGCCCATTCCAACATTAATTTTGCATTTTCCTTATCTATTACAAACCTTTTTAATACTCTTCCACAATATGTATCTGCTGTTGCCCATTCTTTTATATGACCATCAATAAACCATTTTTCTGTTAATTTAATTCGTTAAAAATCAAATTTCATTTTTTCTGCTATCATTAATGCTATCTTTTTGTCTTCTCCATATTCTTATCTCATTAAAAAATCAGCTATCTCATACTTTTAATCATCTTCCATTTCTTTTATTTCATCTTTAAATATATTGAAAACCTTTGCAATCTCTGGTTATTATAAACCTCTAAAAGGAAGTACATTCTTCATGTATTTAGATATTTCTTTTCCTTTTTTTGGATTTGCTATTTCAATCAAAGCTTTTTATATAGCTTATTTCATAGTTTTTTTATTCTAAAATTTTTATCAGTTTAATACCTTAAATAATATTGTTTTTATTAAGTTTGCCAAACTTTTCTTATATTAATTTTTAATTTATTATATCATTTTATATCAAATCTAAATATCATATATAACTTTGATTCTTTAACTGTTAATCTTCCATTAAACAAAAAATTTAATTCAATCTAATTTATTTAAAATTGAGCACTTTATAAGTTTTTAAAAAAGAGTTCTAACTATGAAGAATTATTCTAAAAGAATTCTTATGTTTTGTAAAATAAAGAATTCTTTTATAATTATGTATTTTATATGAAATTTATGTGAACATACATGCATATAACTTAACTAACTTTTTTATGAAATTAAAATGGGAAATGATTATTGCTTGAGTAGAAAATCAAAAATTTAGGATCAACAATTTTTTAAATCAGAAATAGCATATCATCTAGAAAGATTAAAGGATATCCCAATAAGATAATAAAATGTTTTTGAATATGAAAATAAATCAATTATTGATCTCTTAAAAAATATAGATATAAATGTTTAAGATCAGATTAATAAAGGATAAGAAGACAGAAGTTTAGAGAACAATGACTCAATCAAGGTTGATTTTGCTTAATATACTCAAATAGGTAATGAGATAATGATACAATTACAATAAAAGATTATGGATCTAGATTCAAATAAGTAGGACTGGAGTATTTTAATTGATGATATTGAAAGCTCTCATTTTCTTAAAATATAAATAGCATAAACTTAAATGGATGATGGAAATTATATCAATACAATAATAAGTTAATTTATTGTTCCTTGCTATCCTTAAAAGTTTATAGATTATATGGGTAACTTTAATGAACAAAAAAAATTAGATGATCGAATAGATTAATTTAAATGTATTAGTAAAAATGTTGAAGATAAAGAATAAATTATTTATTTAAGTTATAAAAAAGTTTCTATTTTATCTGCTAGAGATTTTATCTATTTTAAAAAAACTAAATTAATTGATGAAGATTAATAAGTTTGGTGTGATGCAAGTAAATCTATTTAAAATGATAAAATTTGTCCAATAAAAAATACAATTATTCGAGGAACTATTTATATTAGTGGATATATTATTTAACCACTTAAAAATATTCTCAAATTTAATTCATATTCATAGAGGTAAATAATATTTTAATATAATTAAAAGATTTGCTTCTCTTAAATTGAAATCAGAAAATTATTCATTTGTATAAATGTGCTCTGAATGCGATTATAAATTAAAAATTCCATTTTATTTTGCGAAAAGACAAGTTAAAGAAGAGATGATTAATTATATAAATAAACTATAGAATAATTTATAATGATAGAAAATTTCTAAATTAAAAAAAATATGATTTTAGGATTTCAATCCTGTTCAGATTCATTTAGTATTTTAGAGAATTTATCGAAATCAGATCTTATACAAAATACTTTTTAATTAGTTGATTTGATTTCATCAAATTATTATTTTTTTAAACTAAGTTATAAGTTATATGCACTAGAGGAAACTTAATTTAACTTTGCAAAATATAATTTTGTTGTTGGTTTCGAAGTTTGAGAAATATGAAAGGATGAACAGGTTGGTGAGACATGTAAACTTTAATGTTTTTTGAGAGAAGGTTTTTCAACTTTTACAAAATTTAAGTTATTGTTAATAAAAGATTTATTTTTGGATCTTTTTTTGGAATTTTAAATTTAAGCTAACTTAATTTAAATAGGATTTAATTATGAATTGTTAACATTTTACTTTGAATTATTACTAAGTTTAATATCTTCATCATTTTCAAGAATTAAACCATTTAATCTTGGGTTAGATGAAGATCTATACAATTATTCACTATTAATAAAATAAATTTGATACTAATTAGGTTTATCAAGAATCTATCGACTAAGTTCCAATAGATATTGACAATTTTATGAAAGTATTTGCCATTTATGCTCTTTCAATTCATCTATTCTAAGTTCAGGTTCTACTTAAATTTTTTATAAGGTAGTGAGTTATTTACTAGTTGAAATTCGAGATTTCTATTTTATTTAAGATATTCTGTTATCTTTTAAGAATGATTTAAGTTAATCAAGTTATGGTTAGTATTTTAATTTGTCACTTTATTTTCTAGAAAACTAAATAGTTGGATTTGATTTATACATGTGAGAAGTGCTATGTTTATTATGGAGCATTGAAAGATTATTACATAATTAATAAAAAGTATAAATATTTTACTAAATATGGCAATAGTCAGGTTTCAATAATAAAATATAATCATATAATAAAATAGAAAAATAATTTAAACTAATTTTATAGCATTTACATCTAATCCTGATATCTTATAGTTAAGATTAAGATCTCTTTCAATCAAAGTTTCACAAATATATTTAAATCTGTTCCAAATACATTTATAATTATACAACATTTTATGTACAATATACAATAGAAATCTAAAGAACTCTAACAACATTATTAGCAAAATTAACATTGTTTTTATTTTATAAAATATATGCGCAACATTGTTATATATTAATTATTATAAAAGTACAAATTTTTAATATTAAACAAGTATTTAATCTATTGTCTTTTATTAATTAATAACATATCTTTAATTTTAGATTCTTATAGAGTAATTAAATATCAGAATAATTTAATTGTATTTTATAACAAAAGAAAAAAGTCTTAAGTTATACTTTATTATTTAAGGATTATTATGTTAGTCGAGACTCAACTGCATATTTATTTAGACTGAATTATTAATATTTACTTTATATATTTTTTGTAAAAACGATTAATCGCATAGTGACTCTTTCCTAACTATCTTGATCTTCATCTATTAATTTATGTTATTTTAATGTTTGAATTTCAATTCTAAGTGTCTTTCTCCTTATCAATAAGAGAAACATTTATCATTAAATATTTGTTTTCACCTTTTGAATTGACTTCAAATCATTTTTCAATTTTGATGAGGATTATTTACTTTGAAACTCTAAATGAAAAATAGAATTAAGCTAATTTATTAATATAAGTAATTAAAATATTTTGAATTCATAAATAAGAAAATGTTTAATAGTTGTTTTTATAATATGCTAGTAGCTTAAATGGTTTATGAGCTTAATTTTAAACGATCAAATTAGATAAATACATATTTTTTAATATATGAGTGAATTCTTCATTTCATTTTTAAATTTAGCTCAAATAATAACCAATATATTAAATAATGAGATTGGGATATCATCGTACAGAAATTGTAGGAGAATTGGATAGTATCATTTTAATATGTGAATTAACTATCTATTATATATACAACGGTTTATAAAATCTAACTAAAAATTAATGAACATAATATTTTGTTAAATTTCTCCGAAAATAGAATACTAATGAATTATTAGTAATATGCTGATCTTTTATGCACTCATTTATTTAATATTCTTGTTCTATTTTAAAAAGTTTGTAATAATGAAAGATTCTTTAAAATTATACTCTATATATATTGATTATCTTAGATATAATCATAATTTGCAAAAATAGAATATTTATATAGTATCTATCTTTATATGATAATTCTTGTTATAAATTATTAATCATTGTTAGATCATATATTTGTAAATTATTAACCTAATGCAAAATACCAAACTTATCCAGAAATCTCATAATCTTTTTCTTTTTATAATTATAACAATTCATCGACCAGATTCTTACCCATAGATAATTCATACACCTTAATATTTTCATCAAAATCTAAATTTTATTATTAATNCTTTATTATTTAAGGATTATTATGTTAGTCGAGACTCAACTGCATATTTATTTAGACTGAATTATTAATATTTACTTTATATATTTTTTGTAAAAACGATTAATCGCATAGTGACTCTTTCCTAACTATCTTGATCTTCATCTATTAATTTATGTTATTTTAATGTTTGAATTTCAATTCTAAGTGTCTTTCTCCTTATCAATAAGAGAAACATTTATCATTAAATATTTGTTTTCACCTTTTGAATTGACTTCAAATCATTTTTCAATTTTGATGAGGATTATTTACTTTGAAACTCTAAATGAAAAATAGAATTAAGCTAATTTATTAATATAAGTAATTAAAATATTTTGAATTCATAAATAAGAAAATGTTTAATAGTTGTTTTTATAATATGCTAGTAGCTTAAATGGTTTATGAGCTTAATTTTAAACGATCAAATTAGATAAATACATATTTTTTAATATATGAGTGAATTCTTCATTTCATTTTTAAATTTAGCTCAAATAATAACCAATATATTAAATAATGAGATTGGGATATCATCGTACAGAAATTGTAGGAGAATTGGATAGTATCATTTTAATATGTGAATTAACTATCTATTATATATACAACGGTTTATAAAATCTAACTAAAAATTAATGAACATAATATTTTGTTAAATTTCTCCGAAAATAGAATACTAATGAATTATTAGTAATATGCTGATCTTTTATGCACTCATTTATTTAATATTCTTGTTCTATTTTAAAAAGTTTGTAATAATGAAAGATTCTTTAAAATTATACTCTATATATATTGATTATCTTAGATATAATCATAATTTGCAAAAATAGAATATTTATATAGTATCTATCTTTATATGATAATTCTTGTTATAAATTATTAATCATTGTTAGATCATATATTTGTAAATTATTAACCTAATGCAAAATACCAAACTTATCCAGAAATCTCATAATCTTTTTCTTTTTATAATTATAACAATTCATCGACCAGATTCTTACCCATAGATAATTCATACACCTTAATATTTTCATCAAAATCTAAATTTTATTATTAATGTTAATTTAGTTCAGAATCTCCATCTATATCAACTATGAAATTGTAACAATATTCATTCGATTTCCAAGGATCAACTTTTGTGATAATTTAATTATGATGACATTAGCTTAATGTGGCAGTGTAACCTGTTTCTTCTTTTAATTCTCTTATTCCATTTTCAAGTTGAGTTCCTTCTTTATCAATTAATCCTCCAGGAAATTCCAAACAATATTTACGTATAGGAGGTCTGAAATTAGCAACTATTATTATTGAATTAGATTTATTCATATATTTTACTATTGGTATAACTCTTACTCCTCCTCTATATCCTTAAGGTTTCTCTGTATATTCCCAAACTTTTTATTTTTCTTTAATTTTATAAAATAGAAGTTTGAAATTTAACCATTTTCCAGCATGCACTAATTATTCTGTTGCTTAAGTATTTTAATTCATTTATGTTATAATATAAATAAAATCTAAGATTCAAAACTTAATTTTAAACACTTTTGTATCATAATTAAATAAATTTGACTGTTTATTATAATCATAATTGATTCTCATAAAAGAAAATCCTGGTATTTGTGTATCAGAATGTATTGGATACTTCATTTATAAATTGTAAATGTGTAAATATATAACCAAATATCATATAATATTGATTTGAATTTAAATAGAACGATAAAATTGAGCATTTTCATTTATCAGAAGAGTAGTAAATAATTCGATTCTAAACTTTATATATACAATTCTTATTTGTTCCAAGCATAGAATAGAAAGAGGGTATTTAATAAAAAAATAATTTTAAATACTTTGTAATGATGAGAATAGATCACAATATTGCTTAGAATTAATTAGATGATAAATTAATAGTTCATTATAATGATATTAGAAAAATAGCAATATTTATTGATCATTCTACTACCTTTAATTAAATAAATGAAAATAAATCAGTAATATTGAATATACAATTAATCAGACCATGAGTTCAGTGAATTTAGATTATTAATGAATATTTGAGAATTTTATTCTTATAATAATAAATTATCAAAGCTAAATAAATGTCCAGTGCAGCTTCTGTAAAAAATGCTATATCACCAATTGAATCAATTGAACTTCTAAAATTAATTAAATCACTCAGAGATTTTACCTTTACGGCTATACAATCTAACTTTAGATATTATGTACCTAGAGAATTGATTTATTCATTTTCTACTTCTGTAAAAAAGGGAATTTTTAAACTTTTTAAGAATTTTCAGTTTTCACTATAATGCAAGAGGCTGATAGATGAATACATCAAAGAATTAATTAGAAAGAGATGCAGTCGATTATTTATATCAAAAGGTATTCTATATTTTAAATAAATCCATATTAATTTATTAATAAATTATTTTTTAGGATCAGTGAATTTCTGAACCATCAAATTTTTTTAAGTTTTTGTCGTACAAAAAAATAATTCAATATAAATTAATAAGAAAATATATTACAAAGGGAGTGATAGATTAGAATTATATAGAAAAAAAGTGTATAAATAAAGGTTTTCAGGAATGTTGTGTTTTCTTTAAACTTGATTGACATATCTTTAGATTTGTTAATAACTTCTTATTTCTAAAAAACCTATTGAAAGTTTGAAAATGTTTGTCATCTTCTATATTATAAGGTTACGAATAATCGTTTTGATCATCGAATACGATTTATTTAGAGGGGAAATATTTTTTGAATAGTTTTTTACTTGACGAGGCATAAGAAATGGCAGTTTTTATTACCTCCTCATTTTCGATTGGTTGTCTTTATCCTGGAAATCCCCTTTAATAGAAACAAAAGTTACCCAAACCTAGCTTTGTACAATTACAAAAACTAGCCAACAGAAGATTGTTTTTCTTCTATTAGTATTTTTTTAACTCTTAGGTCTTAATTATCATCCCATATCTCAAATTCTTCATCTGCACTTACTTGGCTATCAGTAATTGATAATATAGACTGTCTACAAGTGATGCTAGTCTATTTTGATATCACTTGTATTGGTTAGATTTAGATTATACTATTATAAAATTGTTCTTAATATTTCTTTGCTTTATTTGTTAAAGATTAACAAGTTAGACTCATTTAAAGGGATTAGTATTGAGTGTTATTTTTTGAATTATTTTTTAAGGATTTGATACGGAAGGTTTAGGAACTTTTCATTAATTAATAAATATAAATACTTATTTACTATTATCTTATATAAGGTCTTCTGTCATCAAATCTTTAATATAATTTAATTAGTATTATGATAGATTTTAATATAATATCACTTCATTATGTATCTTTTAAATATAAAATTAGAATATGTTGAAAAACCTAAATATATTTAAATTTTTGATCTTAAAAGTAAGGTTAAGTTTTTATAAAATTAAATAAGTATTAATATATGGCAAATTTACAAAAGATAAACAAGTATAACTAAATTCATCATATTCTAAATAAGTATTATAAAATATACTTATTCTTAATAAATTAATAACTACTTAAGCTTTATTCAGAATATTTAGGATATTTATAATAGGAAAGCTAAGGAAGTTTAATTTAAATTGAGATCAGTATAAATAGATAATTCTTTAGATAGATTGAAAGATAAATAGATTTATGTGAAGCTCCATGTAGTTGGTCATAAATTTTGGTTAAGAAATTGACAAAAAAGAATTTCCTTCCATCTGAGAATTGTTGAATAGTATCTTGGGATGGTTCGATTAGATTAGGTTACATAGATATAATGAGAGATCACTAAAAAATGACTGTTGATGAAATCTTAAAAAGTTTATAATTGGATGGATCACCTGATATTATAGGTTTTCATAATATTGATTATTAAATTTAATCTTAATTGATAGTTGCTGTTTAATGATTTTAAGGAATAATGGAATTATTGTTGCAAAAATATTTACAGGATCTGATATCAAATTATTGCATTTATAATTTAAGTTGTTCTTCATATAGCATATTTCATTAAACCTAAATCAAGTAAAGCTTTAAGTGTCGAATACTTTATTGTATAATAAATATTTATCCATTACTTTAAATATTTTTACAATACACTCTTAAAATATCAATGAAACACCTTTATACTTTTTTGTAGAAAATCGAATAAACTGAAAAATAATATAAGAAAATATTGATTAAGAAACAGAAAAACAAGAAGTCAAATATTATAAATTTATTACATATGGAGATTTATCTGGATTTGATGAAAATTGAGTATAAAATTAAATTTCACATTTCATTACTATGCTGTGAAATATTTACTCTCAATGTCTTTAAGAAGTTTTGGTTCAATTTTTGTAGGAATCTAAGCTTTAGGTGTAGAAGGTGTAACAGATTCAATATTTGATTCAGATTTCATATTCTAATTGGATTCTTTCTAAGTGGTTAACCATCTTTAATAGTATTCATTTTTTTTTTTGCCTTCTTTTGATTCTGAATATGATTTATGATCAAGAGATGAAACCCTCTTTCTATTCTATAATGCTTTCACATGAAACCTATTATTCATTATTCCCAAATTATTATTCATTAAATAATTATATTATTGTTTTTTTAAATATTTAAAGAACTTTCAAATAATCCTAAAAGATGGACAACAAGATAAATTGAGAATTCATAAATTCAAATTTAACTTTTTTTAATGTTAAATTCTTAAACATAATTAGGTTTATTGTTAATGAAAAATATAAAAAGATTTTTTTAAATTATACCAGAAAATTAATCAAATAAAAATTTTTTAAAATCAAAAAGAATTTTTAATGCAATTTTATCTTAAAAAGGACTCAACAATTTGTAAATCTTCAATTCAAAAAATAAAAAAAATATTTAAGGTGATTATTCTAGAGATACTTAAAAATTTTAAACTCAATTTCCAAAATTAATTAAAAGATTAATTTTATCAACAAAAGTAAAATTGGTTGTTGATGTATGAAATTATATAAAAAACATTTAACAGATAGAAAACCATTAAAAAACGTCAGTATGATGAATAAATTTAAGTAAATTTATGATAATTCTTAATCAATCGAAAATAACAGGATGGCTTTATATATTGAAACATTATGTATTTAATTGGTAGGATTTAATATGAAAAAGGATTAAGAACTTATACATTAAATTGATTCCTTTGATGAATTACTCTTAGAAATACCTTTAAAAATTAAATTAAGAAACTCTATAAAGAAATAAAATATGTAACAATGAAAATGAAAAAGATAAGTTTTTTTTCAAATTAGACAAGGAATTTAAGCTTTTACATTTATATCAACCTTTAATCTTTTTTATCGAAAGTTGATTAATATGTTAAGGTGTATAAATAACAGCCTCAAAATCTTTATTTTAGTCTTTAATAATCCTCAACTTCTTATACTTTTTGGATTAATGTAAAATAGCTCAATAAAGTAAAACTATATTTCCTCTAAAAAATAATTACAAAAAATCTATTATTTATAATAATTGAAAGATATCTTTTCTTTTTTACTTTCAAACTGCTTTTAAGGATTTAGAATTAATAGACTATAAACTAATAGTAGTTACATTATTTGATGAATATCAATACACTATGATATCTTAATTTTAACAACAATTAAAATTACATATTGTACTAGTACAAAAACAACTTTAGAGATTGCTACAATTTTATTTTGACTATAATTATTTAGATCCAAATGTAAAACTTTAATCAGAAAGCTATGTATAAGAATACAATTATATAAATATACTAGATTAGTCTTATAATAATAATGCCTCTTAAAAAAGAGTTGCATCATATACCCAGACTATTACAAGACCATATACTATTAAACTTAATGAAGGTACATAAATTAAAAATTAAACTATTTATCATTTATTAAATTAAAACCTAATAAATGATAAAATTAAAAGATTAAGTCTTCTTATCCAAACATTACTGAATGAAATTATCATTAGTTCATTTAAACTTTTTGCAGATTAACTGAAAAATTATAAATCATTATTAGTATTAAACAAATTATACTAATAAATACAGAAGAGCCAAAGTGTTAAACTCAAAAATAAATGGATTTCTATTATTGATTTAACTCAATAAAGAAAATAAGATGTAATAATTTAGTAAAGTAGTTGAAATATGTATGATAAATGATTTTAAATCTTTAAATTAAAAATTTTAGGATTCTTTTACTTATGGTGATAAACCAATTTATAAACCTAATGTTAAATAACTTAAATTTTTTAATCAAATAGTAAATATTTTTCAGTAATAAATTAGGAAATAAGAAATAAATAAATCTGATGAAATAGATTAATTTTATTGAATATATCAAATCTTTTCATAGAATTCATAAAATAGAATAAGAAATGAAAGGAAAAACTTAATATAAGTTTTTAATTTAAATTTATGTCAGTAATCGTTAAAAAGGAAATAATGTTAAAATTGATTTAAAAGAAAATTGTTTTAAAAAGTTTCATGATTTTTATGTAAACTTATTAAAAGCATAATGGAATTTTATTTCTTTAGTTTTAATCTTTGCTTCGTCATCTTCAATTGGATTTTAAGTATACAAATTATCGAAAGGAAGAGGACAATATCCAGAGGAATTATAAATTTGTGATAGCGAATTGAGAAATATCTATCCTTTTTACAATTTTTTAGAATACACTAAATATTATATAGAGTATTAAATTACCTGAGTTATAGACTATTGTTGCAATAGGATAATAAGATTAAAGAGCATAAATATTTTTAGACATACTTGTTAGAGCATAATATTTATCAGCAACTTTTAAAGCTTAAAATTCATCAGTAGAGAAAATTTAATTTTTTGACCATAAAGATAATACTTTAGATTATCCTTCTAAATAATTTTACCATTCTATTTATAATTAATTTAAGTGATCTGAATCAAAAAGTTAAATAAATTCAATAAAATACTGTCTACATTATTCCGCTTAAATATTTTTTAATTTAAATTTTTTTAATCCGTTTGAAATTGAAGAATTAGATTAAATAATTGTTCTTTCTTTAGGTGTGAGATGCTTACAAAAAATATACCATGCTCTAGGTAAACTATCTTCATCTGTTTTATGGGATTAAGTCAAATATCTTAAAATTACTGATAATTTTCTGAGCAGTAAAAGATGTTTACTATGATTTTCAAGATAATTAGAAATAATAAAAAATGAGTGATCTACACAATTACACCCTGTCCATCTAACACGAAAAGGAAACTTTTTAACACCTATTCCAATATCATCTCCAAATACCCAAGATGGCTTTAATTATTTTCTTTTCTCTTTTTATTTATTTTATATATCTTATGATATTTCAGACCTCATTTCTCCTTAAAAACATTATTCCATTATTTAATTTATTTTTACTTTCATGCGATATCTTTCTCGGTCATTCAACTTTTTAGCCCCAAATTTTTAATAAAGCTATAATCCTTATTCATCTGCTTTTTCTATTACTTATTAGTAATTCTTTTTAAAAAAATCTATTTCTTCATTGTACTTTATTATTTTTATATTAACAATCCTAAGAAAGCTCAAGTTAAATTTTAGCAAAAGCATATTATAGTTAAATACTTAATTCTTTTCTTTTAGATTAGATCCTAATTGGAAAATCTTATCTTTTAAAAATTTAAGCTATTCTAATATCATAGGTATGCAAGCAGTAATATCAATCATAGTTTTAAAATAGTCATTTAAAACTTCCCCAAACCATTATAATTTTAAGTCACCATTTAGACCCAAATTGTAATTTAGACTTTTACCTAAGTTTCAAATTTTATTAATTAATACCATCAGCCTCAAGTTTATAAAAAACCCCATTTTATTTTCCTTGACCTAAATTGCACATTGATACAAATCTTGTCCAAAATCCAAATGCATCAATTATAGTTTCATTTGCTGTTAGAGAAACCTATATTTAAATAGTTTTTTAACTTTTGTTATCCGAAAAAGTATTATCCTATTACTATCAACTTATTTATATAATTAATGAACATCTTTTATCAAATTGTTCACAACAAATATCAATTATGTGAGCTCTATTGATAAAGTTCCTGTTTTCAAAAATTAAAAGTCTTCAAATGCTAAATTGTTTGTCTCATCTGAAGAAACGCATCCCATATTTTATTATTATTTATGCTACATCTAACATCAATAAATAAAATTTCACTATGAATTTATCAAATCAATCTTTTTATATATTTCAAATCTTACAAAATTATATTTTTAGAAGAAATAAGTATCGATATGATATCAATTCATAAATTTTATACAACTCCTTTTTTAAAGTTAACTTATTTTAATTATCCAAGAAAATATATATATAATTAAAATCGAAAAAACACTTTAAATTATTTAGCAAAAAACAAAATAAAAATTCTACTTATCTAAACATTTTGTTACTCATATTAAAAATTAATATAGCGTTCAAAATATCCTTAAATATTTCTTTTCTTTTTAACTGTTAGATTATTATTATTCTGATAATTTTTAATTTAAAACATGTTTACATCGACTCTATAAATAATATTATCATTAAGTCCATATCATCCAAATTCTATAATAGTTTTTATTTATTGGGAAATATAAAATTAGATCTAAAAATATTGTTATTATTTTTAATAATAATAATTATACACAATAATAATCATTTTTATTACTAATTTTTATCTTATTATCTCTAATTAAAAATATCTATTGTTTCTTTTTCAAAGTAAGGGAAAATGATATTATTTTTACTAATATTTTATATATAGAGCCTAGCTAAATTGCTATCTTTAGAATCCTTTTGAACAAACTTTTCAAAATCTTTATTGAGATTGTAATGGAAAATCATTAGACAAGAAATTACACTGCTAAATCTAACCTTTATTATATATAAAGTATTCAATTACAGTATTTTTTAATACGCTCTATCTGAAAATATAGTAAACATTTACAAAAGAGGGTACAAAAACTAATGCTAATGTTGAATAGAGAGAATTTCTGAAATCAATTTCTAAAGAATTTCTAGCATAGACTTTCCATAGTTAAGTATAATTTTCTAACTCTTTCTTATAATCTTCTTACATAAATAAAAAAATAAATAAATATTTAAATATATTATAATAATCTTGATGTCCTGTTTTTCTAATAGAATGCTTGGTGATAAAGATTAAGAAGTTAATTGAAAGAATAATTATGGATTATATTATTATATGATTTTGAATTCAATTAATAGATAATTTATTGTTGTATTAGATAATACAAATAAGAAACAAAACAAATTTAGATTGATTGAATATTTTAGAATAAAAAGTTTTTAATTAATTTTGGAAAGTATAAAACATTAATTTATTAACGATGAAACAAATAGTGATAAATTTCTCTGATCTCAATGATGAGGCCAAGAAAAAGTACATAAAATTTTTGGCAGAAAACAACATTAGTGTTGAGAATCAATATCAATAATTAAAGAAATCTTCATTACCTTAATAACAACGCTCAAGATAATATAGTACATTATGTGATATAGGGAATAACAAAGCTTTTACACCTGCAAGTAATTGATTTTATTTAAGTAGAAAGAGTCGTAAAAATAAGTTATTCAACACATTAAGACAGAACATTCAGTTGGAGCCAAATTCAGTGATTTGGAAGAGACTTATCCTAAAATAATGAGCAAAATATAAAATAAAGACTTATTATCAAGACCTTTAAAATTAAACTTCAATGAGCTTAGTCTATTAATAGAGGAAATATATTAAAAAAAGTTTATTGAAGATTCTAATCAAATAGCAAAAAATTAGAAAGTTCAAGAAATAGCTTTTGTAGATTATGTCTATGAATTCCTATAAAATAAATTTAAGCATTCTAAAAATTAAGTAGAATTAGATATATATTAGTAGTAAATAATAAACTTTTTAGCTTCTGTAGATTTGCACTCCTTAAAAAGAAAAGATGTTAATATGTTTTAACAATTTTTAAAATTCAATAAGTAAGAAGTGTTAACTTTTTATTTATTTACAAGGGCAGTAATACAAAAAGAACTAAAATAATCATTTTATCATCGTAATATATATTAGTTATATAATTATTAAAGCACTAAGAAAGTAAGGAATAGATAGTAATTAATTGCAATTGAATTAAAAGTAAATTCAATAGATTTCTTTACTTTTATTTGGTTCTACAGAGAAACATTAAGAATTTAAGAATTTCTTTTCTGGGAATAGTAGTATATCAGTAAGTGAATTTTCATTTATTGCTATTGTAATTTATGAAGCCCAACATTAAACAAATAAATAAAGACCATTTTAATAATAATAATCAAGATCATTATCTCCAGTTTAATTTACTAGTAATATAGAGACTTTAGAATAAAAATAACCAGATTCCCCTTTATTTATGTAATCAGAGATAAGTTCTGATAATATTATATAATAAAATGAAAACTTCTTTTCTTCTGTAAATTAGAAGGGTAGTAATCAAAAGAAATAATAATGGAAAGTATAAATAAAGTTTGATCGAGTACCGAATGCTGTAAATAATGTTCAAAAATTAATTAATGAAAAATTAGAAACAAAATTATCTGATTTTATTGAAGAGATGCTTTCAGAAATGGAAGACTTGACTGATGAATAGAAAAAAGAATGTGTTAGTGGAATAGAAGAAAGGATTGTAGATACAGTTGCTATTTTATTAGATGCAATTTATAAATTTGATAAGTTATTATGGTATATAAGATTAAATTTTATAAAGGTTTAAGAAATTGAATAAATAGCCAGATGAAGTTGGATTAGAGTATATAGAAAATTTATAAAAACTATATAGAACTTTAGTGAAGGCAAAATAACCTTTAGATGATTAATTAGAATAGCTATGTTAATAGATGATGCAAGTAATTATTAAATTAAATAATACAAAGACTCCAGATTTGGCGAAATAAATAGGAAATGAATTATTATTATACTTTTATAATTGTGAATGATACTTAATAATTAAATATTAAATGTCATAATAAATTTGGGGTAATCCATAAAGGTGGGATGCTGCAGAATGGTAATCCGAAGCAACTTGGGCTGATAGATTCATGTATATAGATCCCTACTTCTGGAGGTAATAATTAATTTTTATTTCTAAATCTTAGTTATTTTGGTGTAGCTTTGGCTTTGGCAACATCTATTATAGGAGCATCATGGGGTATATTTGTTACAGGTGTATCATTATTGGGCTCAACAGTCAAAGCACCACGTATTAGATCTAAGAATTTAATTTCTGTCATTTTTTGTGAAGCCGTTGCTATTTACGGTGTTATTATGGCAATTATTATGATTGGCAAAATTGGACCTATTGAAGATATTCCAACAGAATAAAATGGAATTAATGTATGTTATACATATGCACTTTATTGTGGCTATTCTTTATTTTGGACAGGTGTTTCTGTAGGATTATCTAACTTAATTTGTGGGTAATACTCATTATTATATTCTATAGTATTGCAGTTGGTGTTACTGGTTCTGGATGTGCTATTTCTGATGCTTAAACTCCAGAAACCTTTGTTAAAATTCTAGTCGTGGAAATTTTCGGATCAGCTCTAGGGTTATTTGGAGTCATTGTTGGAATTATTCAATGTTCAGGAGCTACCTTTCCTAAAGTTTGTCCATCAGCTTGAAATTGCATATTCAAATAACATATAAATATATAATATTCTATGTTTTTACTTTCATCATTCATATACTATTTATTTTCTAAATCATAATATTCATATAAATAACTTAAACAATAATATTCACAATAATAATCAAAAGATCTCTCATTCTATTTTTAATTCATATTACAAATCCTTTTTCAATCAAATCCTCTTTTTATCACCAAAAATAGATAAGTTGAGAAAAAAATAACAATCTCTCTTTCTGTCGCTCTTTTATTTTTATTGATTCTTATTATTTTAATATCTATATGATTAATACAAGTTATATTTATAAACATTAAATATATCATTGATGATCTTAATTTTATAATTTAAATTAATATCATAAATAATATTTTATGATGCAGTTCAGAGGGAAGAAAAGATTTTATCTAAAGAAATTATATTTTTATTATCAATTTTATTAGAAACATCAATAAATTCTCTTCATAATTATATAATTAATTCATCCAACCTTTAATGTTAAAGAGAAAATTATACTTAATATTATTTTTCGATATTGAATTACATAAACATATTGATAAGTAATTAGAATGGAAATTATTAATTGATATTAAAATAAATTATGAATTTTTTATTAATCATAAAACATGCTATTAAGTACGTTTTCAACCTTAAAATTTATAATTTATATAAAGGGTATTTAAAATAAACTATTCTTATTCTTATTATTAATTATTCGAGAGAACATAATAATTATTTTTAGATCCAAATAAGAACTTTTTTAGACATAATTTTATATATAGTAACTTTATAAAAGAATTTTTTTATTACATAATAGAGATAAATCTAAAGTTTTTATTTCCTAAAATGCAAACTATCATCATAAATTCTAGAAATTGTTCATCGAAATTAATATATAGACGTTGTATTAAATAAGATTAAAAAAATTAACAAGATAATAATGAAGTAAGGAGATTTAATTTTTGTAGAGAATAATTTATGATTTTAACAAAATTTCTCTATGTTTTATTAGAGATTGAATATAAAAGAGAAAATTTAGAATACAAATATGACAAATGATTAATAAAATTGAAATTTGATTATTAGATTATAATAAGAAATAAATAATTAGTAAATTATATTCATAAAAATCGTTCTGATATATTTTAAATAATTGAAAACATTTCTAATGCAAAAATAAACTTTAAATATTGGTTCTTTGATTTAGTTTTCTTAATTTTATTCATTTTTTTAAAGATTAGTTTTGAAATTGTTTTTTTTAATATTTGAGTTGGATAAGTTTTTTAAAGAAAAGATAGTAATCATAAGTTGATAAGTTTATTGAATAAAAAAGGTTTTCTAGCAAAAGGTCATCAGAAAATGGTAAAAGTGTAAGAATGATATAAGAATAATAATAAGAGAAATGAATAATATAAATTTAAAATGTAAATTTTCTTATAATTTCTGTGGAAAGGATGTTAAGGATTAATAATGATTGTGTTTGTGATTTAGATTTGATAATATTAATTATAATTGTATAGTATATATTTATGGGATTTAAAGTTGATTGAATGTAATGAATTCTGATTTAATAAAAATATTAAATAAATCATCACAGATGGCATTCTAATAAGACTATGACTATTTATTCAAGATTCTCCTGATTGGAAATTCAGCAGTCGGCAAGGTTAGATACTTAATATAATATATTAGAGTTCACTATTGTTACGATTTTCAGATTAGATTTTTAGTGAGTCTTTTCTTCCAACAATTGGTGTAGATTTCAAAATTCGTACTTTTGACATGTAAGGAAAATCTGTAAAGATGTAAATTTGGGATACAGCAGGATAAGAGAGATTCAAAACAATAACAGCATCGTATTATAAAGGAGCACATGGAATAATTTTGACTTATGATATTACAGACAAATAAAGTTTTAAAGATATTGAGAATTGGTTGGCAGGTAATAAATATATTTAAAAATAAAAGAGGTTGAAAAACATGCTTCTGAGAATGTGGTTAGATTATTAGTAGGTAATAAGGCTGATTTAGAAAGCANTTTTATTTCCTAAAATGCAAACTATCATCATAAATTCTAGAAATTGTTCATCGAAATTAATATATAGACGTTGTATTAAATAAGATTAAAAAAATTAACAAGATAATAATGAAGTAAGGAGATTTAATTTTTGTAGAGAATAATTTATGATTTTAACAAAATTTCTCTATGTTTTATTAGAGATTGAATATAAAAGAGAAAATTTAGAATACAAATATGACAAATGATTAATAAAATTGAAATTTGATTATTAGATTATAATAAGAAATAAATAATTAGTAAATTATATTCATAAAAATCGTTCTGATATATTTTAAATAATTGAAAACATTTCTAATGCAAAAATAAACTTTAAATATTGGTTCTTTGATTTAGTTTTCTTAATTTTATTCATTTTTTTAAAGATTAGTTTTGAAATTGTTTTTTTTAATATTTGAGTTGGATAAGTTTTTTAAAGAAAAGATAGTAATCATAAGTTGATAAGTTTATTGAATAAAAAAGGTTTTCTAGCAAAAGGTCATCAGAAAATGGTAAAAGTGTAAGAATGATATAAGAATAATAATAAGAGAAATGAATAATATAAATTTAAAATGTAAATTTTCTTATAATTTCTGTGGAAAGGATGTTAAGGATTAATAATGATTGTGTTTGTGATTTAGATTTGATAATATTAATTATAATTGTATAGTATATATTTATGGGATTTAAAGTTGATTGAATGTAATGAATTCTGATTTAATAAAAATATTAAATAAATCATCACAGATGGCATTCTAATAAGACTATGACTATTTATTCAAGATTCTCCTGATTGGAAATTCAGCAGTCGGCAAGGTTAGATACTTAATATAATATATTAGAGTTCACTATTGTTACGATTTTCAGATTAGATTTTTAGTGAGTCTTTTCTTCCAACAATTGGTGTAGATTTCAAAATTCGTACTTTTGACATGTAAGGAAAATCTGTAAAGATGTAAATTTGGGATACAGCAGGATAAGAGAGATTCAAAACAATAACAGCATCGTATTATAAAGGAGCACATGGAATAATTTTGACTTATGATATTACAGACAAATAAAGTTTTAAAGATATTGAGAATTGGTTGGCAGGTAATAAATATATTTAAAAATAAAAGAGGTTGAAAAACATGCTTCTGAGAATGTGGTTAGATTATTAGTAGGTAATAAGGCTGATTTAGAAAGCAAAAGATAAGTTACTTTTGAAGAAGGCAAAGAATTGGCTGATAGTTTGGGCATAAAGTTTATTGAAGCATCGGCTAAAGCAAATACCAATGTTGATTAAGCCTTTATGACTTTGGCTAATAATATTAAAGCCAAGATCGGAAAATCTGAAGACAAACCAACTCCAGGAGGAAAGACTCCAACAGGTGGTTTAAAGAATCCATAACCTACAAAAAAGGAAGGAGGCTGCTGTTGAAATTAAGATAAATTATTAAATAATGGGATTTAAGGAAGCATTCACAAGATAAGGCGATGGAGAGAATCTACTCTTCGATGATGATGCATTCATCTATTTCGCCATTTCTATTCTTACTCTAGTTATTCTTCCTTTGGTTTATTCTGTTATCAAGCCACTCTTCTCTACATACGTGTTGGGAGAAAATAAAAGAAAATTTGCACGTGTCCCCAAAAGTACTAATGATCAATAGAATCTACAAATGGCTAAATAAGAATTAAGACTTAAATGGCTTACAACAGGTTATGTATTTAAGGTAAATAATTATTCATATCATAGATCATAATACTTGTGGCTCTATTGTTATTGCTTAATGCATCTATTTAATCATTGCCAAACACCGAAAAAATTAAAGGCTTTGATCCTTATGAGATTTTAGAAATTGATCCTAGTGCAACAGAATAAGAAATTCGTAAAGCATATAGAAAGATTTCATTAAAATTGCATCCAGATAAAAATCCTGATGATCCATAAGCAAATCAAAAATTTATACTTCTTACAAAAGCTTATGAATGTTTGACAGATGAAGATAAAAAATCATTATGTATGAAATATGGAAATCCAGATGGACAATAAAGTTTATCTGTTGGAATTGCTATGCCATCATTTCTATTAAAAAAAGAAAATAGAGCTGCATTTTTAGCAGTCATATTTCTTTTGCTTTTGGTTGTTGTACCTATAATTGTTTTATATGAATTAAGATCTATTGGAAAATATGATTAAAATGGAATTATGCTTAGTAATTAAGAAAAGTTTGAAAGAGGATTAGAAGAAAATTTATTAATTAAAAAAGGAGTAGAATTATCTAGTTCTAGTGATGAATTATGTAGATTAAGAGTTAAATCAGAATAATAAAATATTGCTTTAGAAAAACTTGTTAATGAATTAAAAGATGAAGCTGAATTAAGAAAAATATAAAAGTTTGAAATTACAGAAGCACTTGAATCATCAAAAAAATAAAAGAAGAAAAGAAGAGTAACTATTTCTATTGCAATGATACTTATTTATGCTCATTTATTTGGTAAACCAATCCCTGAAAGTTTATAATCTATGTATAGATCTACAATTAAGATAATTCCAAAATTAGTAAATTCTATGGTAAGATTAGCATTTGAATTCTCTATGAAATATAAAGTTATTTAATGGAGACAAAGAGGTAGATTCTAAACTAAATTTATGGGTGCTAGGTGTATTAATAACATTTTATAATTCTCTTAATGCATTGTATAAGGAATATATGAAACAGATAATCCAATTAATTAAATTGAGTTCTTTGCTACAAAAGCTAAGGATTATATTAAAAAAGGAAAAATGCCAATCTTTTAAGAATTAGTTTAAAAATAAGTTGATTAAAGAGTGGTATTATTATTGCTTAATTTTAAAATAGTTGCCTAATTGGGTACCTGAAGAATTCAAGGAGGAAATAATGAATGAAATTAATATGTTTCCTTAATTAGAAATCAAACATGAAGTGACTGTTGATGATGAATCAATTGTTGAATAATGTAATGAAGATATATTTAGTGTATTAATACTATTTATTAATTAGATTAAAATCACATTAACAAGATTAAATACTCCAGAAGGATAAGACATTCCATTTGCTCATTCAAATAAATTTACTTATGTAAAAGAGGAAGGATGGCATGTTCTAATAACATTTTAAAATGAAGTCTTTTATTATGCTTAATTGAATGGAGCTTCTCGAGTACAAAGCACAGAATTTAAATTCTAACCTAAAATGTATTTTGGTGATGTTGTTGAATTTGAATTCATTCTATTTGTTATTTCAGATTGTTACAGAGGTTTGGATGCTGAACTACCTATTAAATTTAAAGCCAAAAAAGCTAATTAAATAAACAGAGTATATTTATAATTTAGTTTAGGCTGTTGAATATCATAAAGAAGATTAAGAATTAGATAAATCACTTCCATTTATTCAATCTATGTTATTTCCAATGCAAAATAAAGTAGAGGATAGTGATTCAGAAGATGAAGATTAATCAAAGAAAGAAGATGAATGAATCGTTAAGTATTAAAAGATTATTAACATGTTTTATTTTTATTTATATTTTATGTATTAATTAATTGTTATTCTAAAAATAAGAGTAAAAAGAAGTAAAAAAATTTAATGACTTCTTTATTAGTTTAATATTAAATATGAGTGAATACAAATGCTGTCCTTCTTGGTAAGATTTAACTTATTATTGAGTTTGGAATAAGTATTGTCAGTCAATTTCCTGCTCCATTCACTTTACTGTGAAAGAAACATTGTTCAATGTGAATTATGTGATCTTCGTATAGATCTTAATGAAAAAGAAGAACACATGAAATTACATTAAAAAGTAGATATGTTAATTGGATATCTTAGAAAGAATGTTCCTATTGTCATGAAAACTATGAATAGCATCTGTTGTAATCACATCAGAAAAATTGCCCAAATAAACCATCATTATGCATCTATTGTGATTTACTGATAAACTAATAGGATATGGTATAACATTAAGTTAAATGTGGATCTAGAACTGAATAATGTACTATTTGTAAAAAGCACATTTAAAAAAAAGGTATAAATAAATTGAGGCTTTTTTTAGAATTTGATATACATCTAACTATTTGTTAATAACTGTAATAACCTTCTCCTCCAAAAAGGGCAAGACTTAAATAAGTTTTATGTGATAGCTCAGATGATCTTTCAGTTTAAGAGATAAAGCCAAATCATTAGTAAAAGCGTCCATTGAAGAAAGAGCTTAAGAGTTGTGCATAAAACTAAAAAAGAGAACAAAAAGATTAAAATTAACAATTCTAAAAGTCTTTTTTGGATGATGATGAAGATGAAGAGCTTTAAAAGGCATTATAGTAGAGTTTGAATTAAAAATGAATTAATAAAGTTTGTGCGTAAGATTTAGAACATTGCATCAACATAGACATCTCTCTCATCCTATCTATCATACACCCAAACCTAAATTAAAACGTAGTTTCAGTCTACCTAAAATCTTGGTCTTTAATCCAGTTAAGCAATTTCATAGCATCCCTTAAAAAATGAGAAGAAAAAGTTGTGATTGTAAAGAATGCGGTCGAATGACTAACTTTCAATATAGAAATATGAATGTCCCACTCATTCTTAAACCTTCTAGAATTAGAAGGTAACCATCTCTTAAAAATAATCGATTATTGACTGCATAAAATACAAGTATATTCCCTTCCCTATCATTATTTTAGAAAAACTATTTCGCAAATTCTCTGCTTCAAAATAAGATACTTTAATTTGCACTTCTTCTTCTCAGTTAATGCTCACTTCTCTCCGTAGAGCTTCAGCAAGAACTACTGAAAAACTTATTGAAGATACCCAAATTCGCATATTTGAACCTCCTAAATCTTGTAAAAGTCATTTATTATTAAATCCTAACAAACCAGAAATACAAAAGATAACTTTATAAATTCCTAAATCATAACGAATTGTCAAAACACAACCTTCAGAACATACGAAAATTAAATTACCTCAAACCTACAAAAGCCTTAAACAAATTTACACTAGAAACTTTCTTTGTACTTACCTCACTAAATATAAGAAATCTAAAACATAAATGAATTTATAAAAGGTCTGAAATCTTCATATAATCATTATCAAATTAAAAAAATCATTCTTTCAATTAATATTATAATATTTTTATAAGTTTTCTATTAATAAACTCAATATTTTATCAACTTTTATATAAAGCTTTACAAATTTTTATATTTATGACTCTTATTAAATAATTTTACATATTAACGAATAGCTATCATCACAAGATTTTCTGAATATCCTAATGAATCAAGGATCTTTAAATTATATACTTTACACAGATACTTAAAAAATTATATATTTTAATATGGCTCAGTGAACTTATATTAAAAATGTGTCAAATATAAAGGCTTTTTAAATATTCTAATATGATTAATTTTTTAAAAGTTAATCAAGATTATTACTGTCAAGATTAGCAAATTTTTAAAAGATTTATTGTTTGGCTTGTATATAAATATCAAATTCACCCCTAAATTATGATGATTGTCAAAATATTTTTAAGATTTTTCTGATGTTTGTAGAATAGAGCCTTATATTTTTTTAAAAAGAAAAAGTTTGCATTCAATTTAACATAATTTTTCTTATTAAATTTAGAATTGAATTTAATTTCGAAGATAATTAATTGATAATTTTTCTATTGAATATCAAACTATTTCAAATAATTGGTATTGGGAATAAAGTTGAGAATAATTTCAAAATGTTTAAGATTATAGTTCTACCTTACCATAATTTATTAGGATAAATTATAGAGATTTTTATGATTGATGAAATAATTTATTTTATTTAGAAAGTACGAAAGATTTTCATACTATTAAAATGATAAGACTGTAATAGTTTGAAATGAAAATTTTCAAAATAAATAGATATCAGGAATATAAATTATAATATTTTAGTCAGCTTTTTAAATAAAAATTTTTTAAAGTCATTCTACTTTTACAAATATATTTTAAATTTGTTAAAGGTATTTCAAGGATGGAATCATTATTGCATTATAAGATAATATGATGTTAAAATTAAAAGTGGCAAAAAGTTTAATGTATAATTTTTCTTATAAAAAAGTTCTAAATAGTTGAAGTGTTTAAAGTAAAGAAGAGAATTAAGATAATGCAAATAAGATAAGTGATAGTATAATTAAAAGATAAAATAATTAATGAAGTATATTTTTTTTCTAATAATAAACAAATGATGGAAAAGAATTTATATAAAAATAAAAAGCAAAAAATTCAAAAACGCATAGTTTGTGTAATTAAAGCGAAATAAGTATGGCTTAGAAAACATTAATAATATTAATGAAAGCTTTATTGATCTTAGGATTAGTGATTTTCACACAAGCCGTCTTTGTTAAGCATGCTTCTGAACCACATGCTGCAGTCTTCGCTTAACTCGAAGCCCTTGAAGACCACCCATTGGGAAAGAAGATTTTAGATACAATTGCCTTGTAAATGAAGAACAAATCACCACTTTCTGACATTGCCAAGATGTTATAAGACTTAAGAGAAAACTTAGTTCTCTAATAATAAGATGCTGAATTAGTCCATGTTGCTTAAGAAGCTGATTGTGAAGCTGAAATCTATGGATATAACAGAAGAATTGACTTCGCTTCCAATGAAATCACAGAAGCCACCATTGATATCAACAAGTACACTGCTGATATTGAACTTTTGGAAACAGATATTGCCAACAAGGAATAATAATTATAAATCTTAGCTAACTAAGAAGAATAACTCAGATAAAAGAGAGCTGAAGATCATGCTTCATTTGAAGAAAGATAAGTCACAACCCCAAAGGTCGTTGAAGCCCTCGACGTCATTGCCGCTAAATTGAGTGCTATCTAACCAGAAGCTGATGCTGAAGCAGTCCTTGCTGAATTAGAAAGAGTTGGAGGAAACAATCCCATCCTTGCCCTCGTTTAATTAGCCTCAACATTCTCAGCTGAAAAATTATAAAATGTCTAAGACAAGATTGCTGAATTGAGAGCTTCATTAGAATAATCCATCATCGATGATTAAGAAGAAGAAGTCTAAGCTTAATTAAACTTCGAAGCTTAAATCGTTGAAATCAATGAATAAAGAGCTGCCCTCTAATCTGAAAAAGCTGACTCTGAAACCAAATTAGGATAAGCTTAAGTCTAATTAGCCGCCGCTAAAAAGAGAAAGTATGATGCTGGAAGAGAACTCGACTCAGCCACCAGAGGAAAAGTTGCTAAAGAAGCTGAATGTGAAGCATGGAGAACTTAATATGCTAGAGACACTGAATAAAGAACCGTTGAGATTGGTATCATCAGATAAGTCGAATAAATCCTCGCCACCAAATTAGAAGGTGCCTCCTCATACATCAAAGGAAGAATTAACTGATCTTGATGATTCTATAAACATTAATCAAATTTCTTTCATTTTTTTTCATTTTTACTACTACCTTTTTATTTAGAACAAATAGTTATACATTTTTATTATATTCATATCAACATCAATGTTGATATAAATTAATTATATAGAACTGCTATTAACTTCAAATATTTATCCATATATTTTCATTAAGAATATGTAATTATTATAACAATTATTGAAAACTTCTATGAAATATTTTTTACTGGAAAAAGATAACTACTTCTTAACTGAATGTCTTTATTTATACCCTTTACACTTATTATTTTAATTATATTTTGACATATAGAATTTGGGAGTCCTTTAAATCATTAGAATAAATTATGAAGCTTATTTGATAGCTTATTTTAGATGGAAAAAAAAATAAACATAACTCAATATCACATCTGGGTTATCATTCTTTGAATTATACCTTCTTTTAATGTTTTTCTTTAAAATTTATAAAACTAAATGATGAATCAGGATTTTAGTCATTTGTTCTTGCACTTAATATTCCTTTTAAGCCATCTTTCTAAAATTTAATTTCTTCTTCAGACACAATTTTAGGTTCTAAGTATGTAATCACATGTTATTAGCGAGGAGATGCTGGACGAGAAGATAATATAATGTCTCCATCCTAATATGTGTATTATTAGCAATGTTCTTATATCAATTCTGAAAAGTTTGCCATTTATAGAGAGCCTTCCATCGATTTTCTGAGACTGCCTTATTATTTCAAACATATAATCTCTTCTTGCCCTTGTGATACAGGATTAGTCACAGAACAACAATTATTACCCATTATATATATATTAATATTAATGTTTTCCAATTCTTCACTATCTTCTTCTCAATATAAAAATTAAGAATAAAAACATATAAGACAAACTTAATTATATAAAAATATTGGTAATCAATTCTACAATTATAGTTTCTAAGAATTATACTTCAAGTTATTGTAGATATTTATATAATAGTAATTAATTTTATTTTAGATTTTAATATCCGAGCTAAAAATACATTAAAGTATGATATAATTTTCAATGCTTGGCATTCGGCAACTTTGGCTTATATGATTACAAATGGCTAAAATCATAAATAGAACTATTATCCTTTTTTTGACCCATATCAGAATTGACACATGTTAAATAATTTTTAGTCAATTTTAAATTGGCTAGAGATTGTGTTTAAGACCCCATAAATTCCAAAGTTTTTGCACTTTAATTTTATTATTTTGTAACAACAGGTTTATTTTCAGTTGTGATGAAATCTAAAATATCATCTAAATCATTTCTATCTGTTTTTTCAAATTTTTATTAATTTGAAAATTAAAATGATGAATCATTTTTGAGATTTGTTTTATTATATTTTTTATTTTCATTAGTTTCTTTAAATTCCTTATATTAAAACCTATCCTATTCTTCAAACAATAAACTTGGAGCTATTTTCTATATATTATAAAAGAATGGATGAGTCAACATTTATTAAGCTGTAATTCTCTTATTAGGATCCCATTTTATCATTTATGATAATAAATTAAGAGCTTCTACACTTGCATTTGGAATTAAATGCTATAACTAAAGAGGTTAATATTGTGCCAATCCTAATCCTAATTATGATACTAGACGACAACCTTCTGGCCAATCATTAGCTGTAAATGTACTTAAAATAGATATAGTTTATAGTACCCTAAAGTTGATAAAATCTTATTGAATTATTCTAACTCAGTATTTCCTGAGAACAAAGGTTTATTAAGAAATAATTCAGCCATTATGCATCCTAAAGCAAATATATCAACTGGACTATTGTAATTGATTTATTTCAATAATATTTCTGGAGCCTAAATATATAAGTTGCTCAGCTTACCCTATACCATCTTGTTGCTACATAATCGGTATAAGGTGGGCGTGACCTTATTTCTCTTGCCAGACCAAAATCAATTATCTTTACGACTCCATCTTCAGTCATTAGCAAATTCTCAGGTTTTAAATCTCTATGAAAGTAACCATGCTTATGCATATAACTTAAACCATTCGCAACTTAATAGATTATTGATTTTATTTGATCATCAGACATAGTTTTACCCTAATATCAACTTTAGAATTAAATTCTACTTATTCTTTATGTTATGAGTATATTTAATAAATACTCTTCTCTACAAACTCAAACACAAGACAAAGTGTATCTACATCTAGATAAACTATTAAATATATTTAAATTAAGGTTTACTTTCTTTAAGTTTTACAATATTTGCATGATTTTAAAGTTTCATTAAGGCTTTAACTTCTCTTAAATTTGTACACTCTTCAAAATTATGATATTTTTATTTCATTTTTTTTATTGCTACTAATTCACAACTTTAGATATCTTCTGCCTTCATAACCACACCAAAAGTCCCATCTCCTGTTTTTTTTATCTCTTTGAATTTCTTCATTGAAATTTATATTTTTATTAATATTAACAAATATAATTGTAATCAGTCTTTAAAGAGATCCATTGAATAACACTTAAAATTTCAAAATTCATTATATAATTTTATAAGTATTTTCTACATATTTTTTTGTTGGTCTTTCCATTATTTTTATTGATGAGACTATCTTTTATTTCTTTAATGAAATTGTTCCAGAAAATAAAATTATTGATTATTGAACTAGCTATTTAATGCGAATAATTGATAAAAATAAACCTTATGAATTTGAAGCATTAAAAATTAAACTTCCTTTTTTTTAAACAATATTGAAGAAATCAAGTTTGAAAAGGCAACAATTAATTTATAATCTTTACTAAACAAAAACTTATTTTTAACTTTCCTTATTTTTTGTTTCATCTTTTTATTCTAACTTAAAATTACTATACTTGAATCTCTTATATAAGGATTATATTATAAATATTTAAAATCGATTATAATATTTTAATTTAATAAAAATTAACATGGGTGGAACGTAACTTAAATACAACAAGATATCAGAATTCAATTTTAATTTAATAAAAAAAACTAATTAAATCGTGTTTAATCATGATTTCTCAAAAGTTTTTATGATTTAGGAATATGAAAATGGATATTTGCTAATTATAATGTAATTTAAGAATGGAAAGATCAAGATTTTGAGAAGTTAGAGAATTTGTTAGGATCAAATTATATTGTTGCCATTGAAAAATAGCCCTTTGTCATTATAAACTAGCAGAATTAATGAAGGAATACTTTTAAATCAATATATTACATTAAACAATAATAAATATTTAATAAATTTGAATATTTAGAAAAAATAATAGTAAACTAATTCAAAAATATGTTGTTTAATAATAAATAATGATGAAAATTTAATTGTAAGTGGAGGATATATTTTAAATGGATTAAAAAAGGCAAATCTAGAATTTTGGACCAATAAAAACGAATGGAAAATGATTCAATAATTAACTTATAATGATAATTCTGATTCTAGCATATTAAAAATCAATTTTAATTAATCTGAAACATAGGTTATAAGTTATCTTAGGATTAATTAGTATTATTATATAATAATATATTGTTATGAAGCATAGTATTCATTGTGGGTGTAAAAAGATAAATATTAATTCATGTGCAAAAATCAATTCTGTTGTATTGATGATAGAATATTTGTAGTGAGATCAAAAAGAGTTAAATCAAATATTTTAGGTTCTTGTAGTTTATAAGATGTTCTTCAATCATATGTTTTAAATTAAGAAATGAGTAAGTTTGATTTTAAAATGGAATAAGATGATTAAGGAAGTTTTGGAAATGAAAACTAAATCAATTTAGTTTATTGTCAATAAAAGTAAATTCTTGTAAGTATTCGAAATGGTTTTATAAAGTTTATGAAAATAAAATAAGATGGAAGAATATCTATTGAATAGATAATAAATTTAGAATTACAATATGATTATTTATTAATAAGTTAAGATTTAAGATACTTAATGATTAGTTAAAAATAATTGATGAGTATTTTTGAGTTAAATAAAAAATGAATACTAAAAACAAAATGTATTTATAAATGAGAACTAATTTGATTTTATTTTAAATCAAAAATCAGTTCTACTATGTCTAGACATTGACACTCTTTGAGATAAATAGTTTTGTTATCCATTAAATTAAGATTTCTTATTAAATAATGATGATATGTCATCTCCTTATCCTTATGTAAATCTTTTACTTCCCACTCTTGTTCGAACTGTTTTATTAAGAGCATTTATAATTTTTTTATCTTTTTTTTCATCTGAAGTTGGGTCATCTCTAAAATAAATAAATTGAATACATTAATTTAAGTTTTTTTTTTATTTTTATAATTTGATTGATAGCTTCAGCACTAAAAGTATAAGAGGAAAATTAATTAACAATATTTCTTTTTCTTTCAAAATATTTGGTGAGAATTCTAATAGCTCTAGGAATAACAACTTTTGGATTGTTCCAATAAAAGTAGATTGAGAAGTTTTTCATAATTTCAAAACCTTCTAATTCCATAGAAAAAGTTTGTTTTTCAAAAATTGGTATAGAAATTTCTTATGATGGATTTTCAGAGTACAGTTTAGTAGTTTTATGAGTTTTATTAGTTTTTGTTTTAGTGTTTCTTCTCTAATCTCTTTTATCATCTTTAGTGTCAACTGAATCTCTTTTATAATCAACTGATTAGACAGATGGAACAATAGGTAATTCTGTTTAAATATCTTTAAGTTTTGATTTTCTATGGATAGGTTTTTCTTTTTCTTAATTAACATCTAATTAAGTTTAAGTTGAATAGGGTTAATAGAATTCTTCTTTATTTGAATTTTAAATGGCAGTTATTTGTTTTTATTTAATTCTTAACGATATTTCTCTAGGACTGCGTAGCTGTTCATTAATTTAATTAGATTTTTAATCCTCTTTAATACCATGATTAGCGATATTTGGAATGCTTTCTTTTTCATAATCTTCGAATGACATTTTCTTTTGAAAATGAATTTACCCACCAAAACCAGCAGTTTAAATAGTATTTTTAACTAAAACATTTCTTTTTTTGATAAGATTTGGACTATGGTCAGAATCCTCGCTTTCTTAAATAGGCAATAAAACTCTAGAATGATTATTATCACTTTATGAATAGGAACGATGTTTGGATTATTATCGTTAAATTTTAGATTAGCTTTTATTTTAAGAAGCTATAATATAGATAAATAAGATTAATACAATCATATGGATATCCTTCATAATCTTCATATTAAATATCTGAATCATCTAAATTATTTGTAATATTCTCATTTGAGAGTTCATTTTATTGAAATTCTTTAATAAGCGTATGATTTCTTTTCATTTCTAAAAGAGTTGCAAAATAATTTCTATCAGATTTCTATCTAATATAAGTTGCATTTCTTAATTGTGAGAATGGAAAATTATCTTTTTTAATAACCTTTTCCTTATCTGAAACAAAATGTAAGATTGGACAATCTTTAATAAGATGATTAAATTTGCCACATGAATAACATTATAATTAAGCAGGTTGATAATTATCGTTTTACAATATCTAATCTCTTACTTCACAAAAGCGTTCCTAAATAATATACAATATATAAAATTACTAAATCTATTTCATTAGTTTAGAGTACATTTAATAATTTTTATCTAGATATTTTATAAGCTCTTGAAAATCCAATGCTTTTAGCAGATGCAGTTCGATTGAGGCCTGTAAAAAAAGAATATTCCCCAAAAGATTATCCTTTTTATAAATATTAAAGCACTTTAGCATTTCTACCTTAAGGTTCATTTTAAAAAAGAATAGAAACTGTTCCTTTAGTAATAAGATAGAGTGAACAATCATCCTGAATGCCTTACAAAATTATTTAATCTTCAGGAGAGAATCTAACTTCTTCAATAATCAAGGATAATTCTCTTAATGTTTTTTAAGAGAATCTAGTTAAAACTTAATTAGTTTTCATAACATTGAGTCTAATTTCAAAAGTGAGTTCTTCTTGTAAGGAACTAGACAATTTAGTTGTAATTTAAGAGACTTCCTCATCATTAATTTCTTATTCCTCTTAGAAAATATAATCATAATAATTTCTAATTCTTGATTAGAGTTCTGCTTTAATTAAATTTTTAGTTAAGAATTAATTAAGTAGATTTATACTTTTTTTATAAAGTACTTATCTTGAATTTAAATTACTGAGCATTAATCCAATACTATTGAAAGAGAAAGCAAAAACACCACATGCTAAAAACATACTAAAATTAACACATAATCTTTCATAGTTATTTTGTGGAGTTAAATCACCATAACCAACAGTAATCATAGTTTGAACAGCCCAATAGAATGCATAATTATATTTAGTAAAGATATCAGCATCAACTATATCTTAACTCTCTAACCATGTTTTATTATTACTTCCTATTTGATAGAAAGCTACACTATGCCAAAGACAAGCAAATAGATGACCAACATAAACCACTAGAAACAGTAATTTTACTAATTCTATAAGATCTTATACTACTCCAGTGAAATTGAAAAATCTAAGACTTATATATAAATATATACTCTTCTAATTTATGAACTCTCCCTTAAAGCTTGAATATTCTACTACCATAGTAGATTATCAATGGAATTATTTACCAACCAAAATGTTCATACGAACTATCAATATTCGAATATTAGGCTACAAGCATTGACACAATTGAACACTTAAACATAAAAAAATAATATTACTAAGTCATAGATAGCTTATGTATTGATATAATTCATGAATATCTTACCTCTGGACTTAATAATTATTCCCTTTTCTATATATGATGTATTTATCACAATGAATCCATCTACTATTATTGAAAAAAGAAAGTAAAACTCCACTTCTTTCACAACCATGTTTCCAAAAACAACTTAATCAAATGTAATTCCAAATGACAAGTTAAAGGGAGTCCAAAAAAATATTATAATAATTGTTAACATGTATAACATTTGCCATCCAATAACCAATGGACTACTTTGATCTAAGATAGGAACAAATCTTAATTTCTTACAAAGTTTCCCGATTATATTTTTATGTGTATGCTATTTTGAATCTATGTATCTTAAATCATCTAACATTGTATTTTGATAAATGCTAAATTATGATAGCTTTCTCACATAAGCTCTTTGTAATAAAACATCAATAAAATGATTGTAATGGCTTTTAGCAATTACTAGTTTAAGGAAATTTTTCATTCCCTCTTTATGAGGATTGCTTAAATTAGTTTAAGCCAAATCTCGAATTTATTCTTTATTTTGTGCATTTCCTAGAATTTTCTCTTCTAATAATGAAGTTTTGGGTGTAAATTAAATGGCCAAAGAATTAGGAGATTATGAATTATTTATCTAATCTGTTGCCTTAGGTAAACTAATCATTGAAGGTGGCTAGATAGCATTATCTACTCCCTCTTGAAGTGGATCAAATTTTGTTGCAGGTTTTGTAGGACCTGTGAATTGTTTTTTCATTTGCTCATCATTAGAACTATTAGGAATTATTGCAATTTAAGAATGGCCAATATCACCATATTCTTAAAGCAGATCAGATTAACTCATTAATTAAATAATAACATATATTCTTTACTTTGTAATACAAATCACTTTACTCATGAACAAATATATATGTTTTTATGTTGATTAAATTCATTTCCACTTAAGTATCCATTTATTTTCTAAAGAAAATATCAAAATTCATTAGAAATTTTTGAATATTCAATTTCATTATCAATATTAAATTCTTATTTTTTTTTAGACTAATCTTATTTTTTGAGAATTGCAAAAGTAAAATATCTAGAAAATCATTTTTTAAATTCAACAATATACAATGCTCTACAAAAATTTTAAATTCATTTCATGTGAATGTCAATAAGTTTTATCACTTTTTTTCTAATAAGGTATAAATATATAAGTCTGTAGAACGAAATTTAATGATAAATATTAATGTTTTTATTTAGGATGTTAATTTAATAGTAAATTTTTTGGATTAAATTAAAAGGATCAAACTGTTATTTATAAATGGCTCAGTTGAAAATAGAAATAAAATTTTATTGTAAATAAAGATTTATAATAAATTAAATTCAATTTATAGATTAATAATGAAGAGGGAACATTTAAGAATTTCTAAAAAATAAAAATAATTCATATATATTTCTAATTATAAATTCTAGAATTTTTTATCAAATACACGTAATAATAAAAATAATGAAATAGCTTCTCTTGCTCTCCTTACTTGCTTTAACTGTCTTTGCTGATTATGAATATGATGGTGATGTTATGGTACTAACAGAAGAAACATTTGATCAAGCATTTAATGAATTTGATTATTTGATGTTTGAATTCTATGCTCCTTGGTGTGGACATTGCAAAGAACTAGCACCTAAATATGCTGAAGCAGCTACTGCACTTAGATCTGAGGGAATAGTATTGGCAAAAATAGACGCCACAGTCTAAAAAAAATTAGCAGAGAAATATGGAGTCAAAGGATATCCAACAATTAAATTTAGTGTTAAATAAGCTGTAAAAGATTTTGAAGGTGGTAGAAATGCTGATGGTATCAAGAATTGGATTTACAGTAATCTTAATCCTGAAAGTGAATTACTTTAAACACTTGAATAAGTAAATGAGGCTATCACTTAAAATAATGTTTAATTTATTTATTTTGCAGAAGAATAGAGTGAAAAGGATAGAGAATTAAGAAAATATAAAGAATTTTCTTTTACAATGAAATAACATTTTGCTCATACAACTACTAAATCTATAAGAGAGGCTATGAATATTCCAAAAGGAACATATTTTGTTGGGTTTAGAAATTAATAACCATATTATTATTAAGGAAAATTATCATTTCCAATAATGAGAACATTTGTTGAGAATGTTGCTAGTGAAAGAATTCAAGAGTATTCTGACAAAAAGCAATTATTAGATGAAAGAATAACTAAAAACAAACCATTTGTTGTTGTATTCTCTGATGAATCAGAAGTATAAGCTGCTGCTTAATCTTGGTCTTTCTAAGATGAATTACTTTTTATTAAAAATGTTGATGAAGAATTTACTAGAAAGATTTAAGTTAGATCTTAAGATTAAAAAGGAGTTTTTATTATTAAAGGAGATTAAAAATATAATAGAGTTTAAGGTTAAAGTGTTAGTGAATTTTTGGAAGCATTTTAATCAGGAAAAGCTCATAAATACTTGAAATCTTAAGCTGCTCCATAATAATAAGGATTAATCAAAATATTAATTGGTGATACTTATGATGATGCAAAATCTGTTAATGATTCAATAATCTTATATTTTGATTCTTAAAACTAAGAACAGTAATTATTTAATTTAATAATTATAGCAATGCAGTAGAAGAATAATTTTAGAAAGTAGCTGAAAGACTTTAATAGAATAAATAATTGAATTTTAATAAAATAGATTTATCTTAAAATGAAGTTAGTGATTTGGCTGAATCTATTGAGATAGTAAAAATCAGATTATATAAAAATAACTAACCTACAAAGTTTGTAATTAGAGCAAATAAGATCTAAGAAGAAAGATTTGTTAAATGGATTATAGATAATGCAGCAAGTTAAGTTGTAGATCCAAAAGCAGAATTATGATTGTGTAAAATAATATAATTATAATATATATATTCTATATGGAAAATTCTAGATTAAATATAATACACAATTTATATCCAAATTTGATTCGTCATTGAATAATAAATAAATATGGCAGATCAATTAGTGTTAGGATATTGGGGAATTAGAGGATTGGCTCAACCATGTATAAATATATATCATAGCTTTAGTGAGATACATGATAGAGTATTTGGGTTTACCATATGAAGATAAAAGATATCTTAAACCTGAAGAATGGTTTGGAGTACTTAATTAAGCTCCATTCAACACACATGTCCTTGTGAATTTACCATATATCAAGGATGGTGATAAATACATCTATGAGAGTGCTGCTTTATATGTTTATTTGGCACATAAAGCAAATAGAGCTGATCTCTTAGGATCAACACCAGATGAATAAGTTGCTGTAACTTAAGTCAGAGGTGTCATTTAAGATGCTTTAAAAGGATTCTTCCATATTATCACATTGCCAGAAGATTAATATGCAGCCAAGAAAGAAGAACTTTATGCAAATGAAGTCGCTTGGTTAATTGAAAGATTAGATAAATTCATTGAAGGAAAAGCATGGGCAGCTGGAGCCAATCTTACATACATTGATTTTGCTCTTTTTGAATTAGAAGAAACATTGAAATCTTTCCATCCAGAATCATGGGCAAAATTTACTAATCTTTAAAAACATCATCAAGAATTCTCAAATATTCCTTAAATCAAAGATTATCTTGCTTCCGGAAGATTCCTTGCTGGACCCTTCTATCCACCTGGCAGATTTAGATGGGGATTCTGATAATCATAATAAAAATATATTATTATCACATTAAATGTTTTTTTTCAAGAAAAATTTTCAATTTCTATTTTATTATTCATTAATACACAGCTTTTAATATGAGCCTTTCTAAAAAATAATTAGATATTAATTTATATTTATTTTCAATTATATTGTAATTACTACTAAAATTTTATTCATCAAATTTTCAGTATTCATTAACAAAATACTCTTTATTAATTATTAAACCTAAACTTTATACATATTAATGAATTGTTAAAACTCTTGATTTATATCATAATTTTTTAATATACTTATTGTTGATCCTTAATA